ATGATGCGAGCTTCTTAATATTATTTTTACTCGTACCAAACATCATAAAATTTATAAAGATTTAAATGTTAAAACAATACACTTACGAATAACATACAATAATACAAAATATTACTTACCTTCTGAAATATTGTAAATTTTTTGTCAATCAGATACTTCTGTTAATGCAATTTTCTGATTGGCCTGAACTAAAAACAACATATGTATATTATGTATTACATTAATATATATTTAAAACAAATAAAATAAATATATTGAATACCTTTAAAATATTATTCATTTCATGAGAAATTTGATGAGAAACTGATGTAGCTGCTATTAATAAACTTGTTTGATTGGTCTGATCTAAACAAATGTTTAAAACAAATAAATAATGAAAAAGTAATAATAACTTGACATTTTTACTTACTATTAGTAGATATTTTTATAAAAAATCACTAATGATTTTTCTTTCTTTATGTTCACTCATATTTTTAAATACCTACGCATATGTACCGAAAATTAAATGAGTAATGTAAAAATATAAAATACAAATAAATATTGAATAACAATTGTATTCCAATATCAAACGATAAACATTCAACAATCAAACATTTTTAATTAAAAAATAGTAATTATTTGAAAGCAAACTATATTAAATGATTTATGATATTATTGAAATTCAATAGATTTATTTATAACCAGTAACCGAATTACTACCATGGTTGCGGGCAGTGGTAGCATTCTTGTAACCGCAACCGTCAAGCTGAGTTTCCATTACACCGTGAACCGTTTCCCATGCATTAATCTACGTATTCTAATTGGCTATACCAGATAGTACCTGATATCAAGCAAATTGTTCAGCCAATCAAAAAACGTAGGTTTATGCACGGGACACGGTATACGGTGTACTGAAACCTCGGTTTCAAAACCACGATATAGATAAAAACTCTTATCTACATCGTGGTCATAACCTTAGAGTAGTATGGTCTATGGTAATATCACAAAATATATGAAACAGTTTTATAATATAACTGTGGTAGTATACTCTATGGTCAAAAGTTCATAACCAAGATCTTAAAATACAATAATATACGATAACATTGATATTATAATATTAATATATAATGCATTGTGTTATTGTTTATTTTTTTATTTAAATTTAATTTTGACTTACAACAGGAGAGGAGGAAACACACTATTTCCCTTAAATCAAATATTTTAGGGGGCAATTGCCCCTCATTAGCCCCCCTCAGATTACGCCTATTTATATAGTATAAAATATAAATACCTAGCAGGTAAAACTATTTTGTTCTTGGTTAGAATACCTACCTACCCACTAAATATCTAATGTGTATATCTTTTTTTAATTTCATAATTGTATCTTTGGCGAAATTTACGATAACTATTGGAGTAACTATGCCTTGTAAATTTTACCTACATGCTTGATTTGTATTCAATCTACACACGTCTATATTTTTACGGAAAAAAAAAAATCAATAACATTAATGTTTTACGTAGAATATAGTACGACAGTAATACACGCACAGGGATATTATAATATATACTGTTTGGCGGGGACAAAGTGGTAATAAATAAAATATTTCCCCGGTGCTCGTCAACGCGTCAGTAATACGAGAGAAGGACCAGTGTATAATAAAGACATCTACTGGACCTAACATAATTTCGTTGCCGGCCGTCTAGTTTTCCCCTGCAGTATATTTCCTTTCCTCCACATATCGTTTTGAGTAAAAGCACAATATTATCCAGCGTATAGTAGTAGTATAGTAGCTTTATAATATTTTTTCAAAAGATATCTGTAACGGATCAGTGCGCCCGATTGCCTTTGATGGAAAAAAAAAGCAAAGAAAAGCAAAGACCCCATTTACTCATGATCGAACACACCTACCTTATACGTATATACATATATACATGTTTTTCGTTCTCTCTTATACATATATATATTTTAAATTTTTTTCACCCAACTAGGTATTTTTTTATTTTTATCGGAGTTTTAAGTGTCTATATTATCAGTATTATTATTATACACCATAACTGTTAATAATATAAACGAATATCGCAAAAGAAATTACGGCACTTCAAATTATGTATTATCGAACTGCGCTCAGAATCGTCTTTTGTCAAGGAACAGTTTATCGTTACTTACAGATATAAATGAAATAACCTTATATATCCTACTTTCCCAACTTCTCACCTACAACAATGGACACTCTCATCTCCAGTATTAACTTTTTTTAATTTTATATTTAACCACGGATTTTTCGCATTTATTGTTCTATTACTCGATAATTTTTAGCGATGAAGGCCTTAGTTTTACAATGATGTTTATTTTTATTTATTTTTTTCTGTAAGCAACTTTTCTACCAGAAACCTTGCTCCGATGTAGTTATCAATTGTAGTAGTTACCTATTCTAAAAGGAAATTTGATCTACTTGGGACTTTAGTGAAGCCATTTTTTTATTTTAAAAACGGTTTTCATAGTAATTGAGAAAAATAGCGTAGGGAAAGCGGGAATATGTACGCACATAAATAAAAGAAACTTCGTTTTGAGTAAGCAATGGTTAATCGTTTCGTACAGATATAAATTAAATTCCCCTACCTTCACAATTTCTCACCTACAACAGTCGCCCACACATTCTGGAATTCCTGGAGTTTTAAACTCTTCTTCTATTACGCCTCCTCCCTTCCAGTTGATTTTTAACGGTAAACAAATATGAATAAATGCATAGAATTTGAACCATAATGTGAAAATCTCTGGAACCCAGTGGCGTATAGTATTTAAGGTTTTTTTTGGGAGGGGAAGGGGAAGATTCAATAAAACAATTTAGACGACGAAGTCCACCTAAATCATATCGAGCCCACCATTATCATAGGAATTGTGCGTATCTAAGGTAAGGAGGGAATAGAAACCCTCTGAACTCTTCCCGTCGCTACTGAAATCGCTTGTCACGACACACGTGGTTTTATTTTCGTCTTTTATTGTCGATCGTTTGCGAAGTTTCGTCGGAGAGTCGAGTACCACATCTATCATACATAATCGTATGAATTATAATAATTTTCCCGAGACAAATTAGACCACGAACCCCCACTTAAGATTGTAAACGTCACGGAGCCGCGGAATCAACGACTCAAAAAAATATAATTAATAATTTCAATTTAGCCGGCAGCGTTTATATTTTCGCGGTGTGCAGGGTATGTAATAATACGATGTGTGTGTGTGTATATTATAATATTTCGCACACGTGACTCATCGCCTCCGCCCGTCAAACGCCAAAATGGTCGGGCAGTCAAAGGCCCGCAATAACGGATATTTTATTTCTTTTTGATTTTTTTTTTTTTTTTACCCTCCGTGCCGGGAGCGGGCCGCGGGGTCGTTATGTTATTATTATTCTCCCCGGAATAAAGCTTGTTTCATTACGCGCGGTGGTTCTGCTCGACAACTAATTAAAGCGGCCCATGTACCCACGCCCCCTTATCGCCTACTCCGACCGTAAATGGCTCTTGTCACCCTAACCGTCGTTTCTGCCCGCCGCCGCCGCCGTATAGTTGTCGTTTGACGAAATTATATTTATAATAATATTATGAGAAAGAGCAAAAATAAATGCTAAAAAAAAAAAAATGTTTTCGAGAGGAGGGTATATATTATAATACAGTAAATATATATATATATAATATATACCCACTTAAATTGCAATAATTCCATTAAAAATAAAATACAACGTTACACTCAATCCTATCAATTGTCAGTCTATCTCAATAATTATATAATTATATCATGTCATTTAGACTACGTCTATAGGAAGGGCCATTCAAATTTCACGACATATCGTAAATAGTTAAATTTACCATGAAGTACTTAATTATTTTTAAAAAAGAACTGATATTGCCGATGGGCGAGATGAGACATTGGGAATATAGGATACATATACTGTCATACCTGGCAATCAATTACGCAACTACGAGGGTGCTAAAGGATGCTTAAGCACCCCCAACTTAACTCTAAGCACCACGTATTCCATGTCGTTGTAATTTCAAATACCTATAATTTTAAAAACAAAATGGTATTTTTAATAATTTACGATCAATTCATATAAAGACGTTTTTTTGAATTTTTACAAACTAATGCTGCAGTTTGCATTGACCATTCCAATCAGTTCAGCAACATACGAAAATTGAAAAAATTGACTGAGAAGTAGTATGATACAGCAATGGTTTATCAACTTAAGTATCATTATCATTCAAAACGACTTAACGAATGAATTTGACCCAGAAAAAATATTGAACAAATTTGCTTCCACCGATTGAAAATTATTTAAAAAAATTTCATGTTGAACAATAGAATGATTAAAAATAAAATATATTGAAATTGTCAATGCATTATGTTGGGGAGTATAGGGGCGGAACTTTTCACGACTATGTGAGTTTCATAATTTTAGCACCTTCAAAACTTGTACTCTAATATTGCTCCGCTGCTACCCGTTTAGTTTTATTGGAATTCAATTATTATAGTACATAATATGTTTTTCGTTGATTTATAAGATTAAAGCTATTTGTGACTTACTATTACGCTATTTTAATATTATGCCTGTTTATGCACACGACCGTTTTTTTATAGCTGTACGCGCAATTAAGTTTCTTTGTCTCTAAAATATTCTACTATACGCGGCTAAAATTGGTTTCGGCCCTCATAATATTAATATGGTTACAGAATAAAGGTTATTAAGTTATAGTTTTATATTAATTTAATATGTTGACCATATATTTAAAACCAATAACTTCAAATTTTCTGTGGTGACAACGTTGAATAAATAATCAAAACAAAAATAACAAATCGATACTTAATGTTAATATTTATTATACGTGTTCGTTGCGATAATTTATTATTGCTGTAGAAGACGTGGATTTATTATAATATATATTGTATAGCTGATGACGCAGAATCGAACAATAACTTCGTTTGTCGTTGAGAATCCTATTATAATATTAATGTATGGTGAAACATGATAGAAAACACCAGTAGCTATGAAAACGATTCGGACACGAATTCAGAAAGCGCTAGCGCACGGACGTTTCCGACTGCACACGACGACGATCTCGAAGAATTACAACGGAAGTTCTTGTACGCGATCAAAGCGTGCGATATCGTGACGGTCAAAGATCTGCTGGAGAAAAGAAAAAGGAAACAATTGGATTTCGATTTAAATTGCAAAAACTACCAGGGCACGAACGGCTTGAACCTGGCCATCCAAGTGAATTGTGAACAAACGATCGATTTGCTGGTATCGCAGCCCGGGCTCCAGATCGGCGACTCGCTGATGCACGCCATCCGTGAAAATCTCTATTCGATCGTTATCAAGCTGTTGGACATCCTCGAGTCAAAAGATCCGGAAAAGGTCAAACTGGGTTACGAGCATTCCATCGAATTCCCGCAACACCTCACGCCGCTCATATTGGCGGCCCAATGCGGCCATTACAAAATTATCGGCTTGTTGTTGAAACGCGGCCACACAATACCGATACCCCATAAACCTCAGTGTTTTTGCAAAGACGTTAGTTATTGATTACCAACTAAGTTATTTATGTTTATTAGAAAAGTATGCCCGAGAGCTTTACGTTTGTCTAATTCAATCGGGGAGGGGTAGTAGAATTTCACAAGTGGCATTATTGACACCCCACCCTAATATTTTACCGGTATAACGTGTGCTCGGTACGTTTCTCAGGTGTGCAAGTCGTTGGCCCAGCTCAACGACGGTCTCGGGGCGTCCGAACTGAAACTGTCCGTGTTCCGCGCGATCACTAATCCGGCGTACATCGCGCAAACGTCCGAAGACCCGATATTGACTGCTTTCCAGCTCAGCCAAAGGCTCAAGGATCACGGGACCGTGGACCGGATATTCAAGTCCGATTATGAGTCGTTGGACTTCCATACCAGGATGTTTGCCGTTCACATGATCGGTCTGTGCCGGTCGTCTGCCGAGGTGGAACTGATATTGACCCGGCAAGAGGGGTGCAATTTTTTCGGCTCGTTCCCCTACCATCGGCTGGTGATGGCCATGGACCTGAAACAAAAAGAATTTGTGGCGCACGCGTACGTGCAACAGAACTTGGAAACGGCATGGACCGGTACCTGGCACGAATGGAAGCGTTACGGGTCGGCATACAAGAGCTGCATGGTGTTCCCGCGGATATTGCAACTGTTGTTCATAGCGGCGCTGTACCTATTCGTGCCGTACTCCAAGTGGGGTCAACACTACGCGCTGCCCGTGAACCGGATGCTCAACTATTTGGCGTCGTATACCGTGTTCCTGGCGATACTCACGTACGAGAACAATTTCAACAAGTTCGCGTCCACCAGGGATCGGCCCAATTGGACGTTGAAAATCTGTATTGTCGTGTACGCAACGTCGTTCGTCGTCCGGGCGGCCAAACTGATCATGCTGCAGGGGCCCAAGCGCTATTTCAGTATGCTGTGGAATGTTTACGACTGCGCGATGCTGATCATGCTAGCCGCGATTTCCGGCTTCTGGTGGCTGTCGTACACGAGAACGTGGGCGGACGACGGCGGCGGCGCCGCGTCCGAACCGGTGGAACGGAAATACTGGCATCCGCTGGACCCGACGCTGGTCGCCGAGGGCCTGTTGGCCATGGTCACGGTCATGTCGTACATGCGGTTGCTATTCCTGTGCCAGTTAAGTTACGCCCTGGGCCCCATGCAAGTGTCGCTGGGCAAGATGACGGTCGACTTTGCCCGATTCGCCGTACTGTTCGGCATAATCATAGTGTCGTTCACCGCCGGCCTGTGCCGGTTCTACCAGTACTACGGCGGCATGACGCGAACCGACCCGGCGACCGGTCTCCAAGTGGAGCAGGACGAATCGTTCGTGGACGTGTTGTCCACGTTGAAAACCCTCTTTTGGGGCATGTTCTGCATGACTTCGTCTACGGCCGGGTCGGTAGTGATCGAGAATGCGGTTGCCGATACCGAGACGAACGAGGAGTTCGCGGTCAACAACCATTATTTCACACAGGCCGTGGGCACGGCTCTGTACTCGTTTTTCGAGACCCTCTCGGTGGTGGTTATGCTGAACATGCTGATAGCCACCATGTCCAACACGTTCATGCGGATCACGGGCAACTCGTACATAGAATGGGTGTTCGGCCGGACGCAAGTGTTCCTGTCGTTTTCCGTGCATACCGAACTGCCGCCGCCACTAAACCTGCTGCCGTCGGTCCACTGTTGCGTGGAAACGTCCGCGTGCCTGGGTAAGAGTTACCAGGGCGTGGCCAATATGATGTCGACCAAAGGGTACCTCAAGCAACCGTACCCCAAAAAAGAATTCGTTCACCTGATGCGCAAACTCGTCAAACGGTATTTCCGGGACAGACTGTCGTCTGCTTTTGTCAGAAAGTGCAATCCCGTTTGTAGTTGAACGCGAGGAGTACAGGTACAATAGAACGTAACACCCGTTTTCACTTTACGAATTTGAATGAGTCTGTTTGAAAAAGTTATCTTGTGATTTTTTGATTAAATCATTTTTTCTGGTAGAAAAGGTCGTCCGTGCTTTTATAAAATAATGAAATCGTGAAATTATACGTTTTCCTACATTTTATCCCACTTAAGTGCTTTTATTTAAAAAATGGAGTCGGAAATCAAAAAATTTACTTTTTTAAAAGTACAATTTAGACAAATTGAGCTTTCAGAAAAGTTGCTATACGTAGAGATTGGATCACGTTTACTAGAAAAAAACGTGTCCACAGACTTGAACAAAAAAAAAAAAACATCTTAGTAAAACCAATAGCCCCTCGCTCCGTTCGGAATCTAAAAAATAATAAACATCTTTGTAAAACCATAAGCTTCTTCGCTCCACTTAGAATCTAAAATTAGGTATGTTCCATCTGGATCAGGCGAAAAGTTGGAATATTTTAAGGTAAGTACATGAGACACGAACAAATCGAACTAACTGAAAAAAAACGCACTTTTCAATAATACTTAATAATATAATAATAATAATTCAATATTATTTAATTCCGTTGTGACATACCCGGGTGGTAGTCGGGCGTCCTATGAAATTCTACCACCGACGAATCACACTTTCTTAAACTATAAATAGTTTTGTTTGTTTTTGTACACGCCTTTATTGTCTAACACCAATCACGGACAACTTTATTAATGAACATTCTTCAATAATATTAACACCATAATATAATAAACGAAATAACGTTCATGGGAACGTACAGCTCTATTAACGCCGCGCACACTCAGTGTCCAGGCTCCAAAGAGAACATAATATTATAAAACCGTTAACCTAAAATTAAAATTAAAACGAAAGGGACTAAACTGTACATATTGCCACCGCGGCAACACAGCTTCGACAACTCCGATGACCGCTGTTCGGCGAGAAGTATCGTCACCGCGTTTTATTTTATTTTATTATAATTTAGATGGTATTTCACCGTGAAAATAAATACGAACGAGAGAAAAAAAAAACACGAACGGTAAGTACAAAACATTTCGGAAAATTTAATTTTCATTGTAATGTACCCATATAGGCATGGGCGTGTTTAAGGAGGGTGGCATGAGACCTATTGCCCCCCCCCCCATTCACGGTATTTCATACTTTTTTATTATTATGGAAAGTAATTTTTAGAAGAAGAATTGAAAACCTGGAATGTAATATGAAAAGAAAAACCAGTACTTAGGTGAACTTCCATCCACTACATTGGAAACTATATTTTTACCACTTATGGATTTTTATCAAAACGGTAAAAGGCTTTTAATACTATTCACAACCATTCCTGTAACTACATGCACACCCGAAAGGTCGTTTTCTTCACTTAAGATAATTAAAACCTATTAAGGGGAAAATCGATTCAATGGATTAGCATTGTTCAATATACATCCAGAAATAATTATGTATAAAACTTGAAAAAGTAGTCGATATATTATACGCTAATAAGGTAATAAATACCACAGACGCCTTCAGTTATAATAACTACACAAATTTCATTTAAAAATATATTTTATTAATTATTTTACGAATTAAATGTTATACGTTTCTTTCAAACACATATATTTTGGTTGTTTGGTTATAAATTATGACATTGTTTTGAGATGGAAAATATCAGTTATAAATAATATAAGTTTTAACTACCTAATTACCTGTATGTATAATATTAATTTTTTGTTTGTGCCGCCCCCAAGGCATTTTTAAATACACCCCTGTATATAGGCTAGACAAATATGGGCGTAAACTTTATATTTTTTTGTGTGGAGGAGTGGGTTATAATTAATGTACAGAATGATCAATCTTCTACAAGACCGCGTTTTCTTCTTTAATTTTTTTATTTTTCAAATTTTGTATAACTTGGAGAAACTATAATATAGGTACCTACTATATTTTTACAAAACATTTACTTTTAATTTTTCTAGTTTAGTTTAGTTTTTTCTAGTCTAATTTTATCTAGTTGATGTGTAAAAAGGACATTTTTTGATTTTCCAAGTAGTTTTCATGAAAATTAAAAACAATCGGGGAAAAAAAAAATTTTAATTGAAAATTGACAAATTTAAAGCGTTATGATTTCATTATTTTAAATTTGTATGCAAATTTGTTTTCAACCAGAAATATTGCTCCAATAGAAAAACGACAAACGATCATTAAACTGGTTTATTGATATTATATTTAGTCTTTAAGCCATTGACATATTGTTATATTATTATGTTTTTATACTTTAAAAATTAGACGTGTTAATCAAAATAATAAAAAAACAGCACAACAATTAAAAACAACATTTCCATATAAACATATAACTATATATTTTTTGAATCATCAAACAGAAAACAATTACTAAGTTAAATAATATAAGAACTAAGCTGAATAAAATTATAAAATATATGTATAAACGATTAATGATAAAAAAAAGATAGTCAACAAAGTTGATAAAATAGTTAACAATAAGTATATCACAGATGACACCTATAAAAAGACAAAAAAAAGACAACCTCACTTGATCACATGGGGTCTATACGATATATAAAATTATCAGTATACAAACATTTAGCTAACTTAATTATAAACTGTTCACCAGTTTTCATACAGCTCTGTGGTCCTTTGATCATTTTCAATGCCATATCGATGGCTACAACACAATCAGAAAATTGTTTATCTTGTTTAAGACATTCCAAAATACTAACTGCTTTCAAACATTCCAATGATGTAGTAAAATCACTATATCAATATAATAAATAATTTGATTAAATTTGTGAATTTCAAAATGTCAATTTATTTAGTATAAAATTGTTATTATTTGAGTTATTACTTATCATTGCATGAGAAACCACCAGGTGCATTGTCTTCTTGTCTAATGTATTGTTTACGACTAGATTTGTTTTCGGGTAGCTGTGTATATATAAAAGCTACTAAAGCACGACACAACACACGACATCTATAGTTTTAATAAAAACTGTTAATAATAATATTTTATACAACAAAGAACAGATAACTAACTTTGAAGAAATATTGGTCTGTTTTTGTAACCTAATAGCATCAAACAAACTCCAACTCTGTTTATATTGGGCTAATTGTGTTGCTGAAACAGCTACTCGAAACAGATAGTCAGCTGTTTGATCATCTTCAGCAGTACTCAATCGCAAAACTAGAGACCACAATAATGGCAACTTGTTTTCGGCAATATTACTGCAAAATAAAACAAATATTTTTACTTTGATTAGTTTCAGCAAATTTGATTTTAAATAGAACTACCAAAAAATTGAATAATAGTTAAACATTTATTAAGTTTTTTTTTTTTTTTTAAAAAAAATTAAATAGTAAATTAATAAAGTGATTTACTTGGGTTTCACAGCTTCTAAACATTGTACCAAAGTACTCAAAACATCAGGATATGCAGATCGATTTTGGGATTCTTTTAAAGCCAGTGTATATAATGTAAGTATATGGCATGATGATATTAACACTTCACCTAAACCTTGATAATAAAGTCTAACAGGTTGAACCAAAGACAGTACTTTATCCCATTTAAAATTGTCTTCATTTCCTAAATACCGTTTAAGCAAATTATTTAATATTCATTTAATAAGTTGTTTAAATTAACTTACCAACACTTTTAAACCACGATGTCAAACAGGATTCAAGTATATCACCTTTATGTTGCTGATCGGTAACATGAGCCCATGTTACCATCAAAAATCCTTGTAGTACAACACAGTCAGCTTTCCGTTGACTAATCCACTCTTGAATAGTTTGCAACATAAGTGAAGACAATATGGAACCTGTAGGTTGGTTAACTAACATCAACAACTCTAGGACTAATAACTTTGCTTCTTCGCCGTGTTTAGTGACCATTTCTGTTTCATCAAGTAATCGATGGAAAGCACACTTCAGATGCTTATAATGACTACCCAATACTGACCTATATCGTGATGCAAGTGATATAAACATCCTCACCATTGCTCGAATGAATATACGCCTTTTATATAACATTGGTTCCGCATAAGGCGCTTGATGATCAACATTATTATATCCAGCTGCTGATTTCAATAGACTAAACATTCAAATTATATATAACAAACATTTAACAATATATTTATTAATTAAAAATAAAGTATTTACTCAAGCACGGCTGAATCTGTACCACACCAATCTTCATTACTTAATTGAAGAACTGTCATAGGATCATATTTTGAAACGAACCAACTAAGAACATTTTCATACGTTTCACCATCAATTTGGTACCATGCAAATTTCTGAGCTTCTAATAAAAGTGGCCTGATTTTTCCACCCTATAAAAACTTATAATAAAGTACACATTTCAAAAAACAACTGTATACTGTACTTTTCTCATATTTGGTTGATTTGATAATTTTATAAACAATGATAAAAGTATCCGTAGATCAATATTGGGCACGTATGGCCACGGTACTTCCAAAATTATATTTGCTAAAAAGCACTGTGAATGTGGTAAAAATTGGTCCATAACCTGTACAAATATTACCAACATAACATATAAATTATTATTATGAGTAAATTAAATAAATAATATTGTCACCTTCATAATTAAATCCAAATCGACAGGTGTTGGTATAAATCTTTGCCACGGTAACTTTTCAAGATTTGTATGAATAGTTTCAAAAATGTAATCATTTGTCTGAATATGAGCAAACATTTTTATATACCATTGACACACAAAACTTAAAACATTATCACAGGCTATAAATAAAAATAAATTATTTTTATTTTTAAGATTTAAGTAAAAATAAATTTATTCAATAAATTACCTGGCATAGTGTCTAAAACAAATGAGGTACATTCCACCAGTGCATCAACCATTAGAGTAGATATTGAAGTATCAGTAGCCAGCCATGGTAGTTTCAATGATCTATGGTCAGTATTCCATCCTTCATACCAAGGTTCCAACCATGGACCAAACATACTTATTAAAGCTGGACATAAAAACTCACATACTAAAAAAAAAATTGAAAAATTATCAGTCACCTACAAACAAAATATTTTAATTTACTACTTATTTCTTTGATATTATTATAAATACTATTATATATATACAACATAAGTACATAACAAAAAATACTATATTTTTTTTTAAATTATGGAATCAATTTTTTAATTTTAATACTAGAACATACAGTTTTATGAAAAATAAAGTTCAAAAAAATAAATGAGCATACTTTTATTTGCTAACATTCCTCGATATGATTGTAATGTTGCCACGACTAATGCATGACTAACCATAGCGTATAAACTGACTAAAGGTTCAATGTATACATTATATTTTGAATAAAGTTCTCCCGTAGCAGACTTCAATCTTTCATTAGCGAAATGTGTTGTTAAAAGATGTAAGGTCTCTTGTAGCTAAAATACAAAAAGGAAATGTTAGGTTATGTAAAAAAAAATGTTAACTATATAAGTTGTAAAATACTTCTTGTGAGCCTAGAGACCGTTGATCAGTTGCATAACGTCTAACTACATCTCTTCGCTGATCTGTTGACATTCCTAGTAATAATATAGTTTTCACATTGGTTGTTTGTGTTGTAGGCACAGCTTGGGCCAAAATAGTATTGAGAATGCTAAACCAAACTTGGCAATATATTCTGCCTTCTTTAGAATGATCTAAGAGTTTTAATAATATTTCACCGTAATGTTCAGGGAAATCATGATCCATTATTTTACATAAATGTTGACTAAAAAGCTGTAAATATTTAACAATAAAGTGTATTACTAATGAGTAAAAAAGTGAAACAATATAAAAAAATTAAAAATAAGTTATCCTAACTTCATGCAAGGACCATGTGTAGTCTGATCGAATTTGTTGTTTAACCATTATTAAAGCTTCTATACAATGATCAATTAATACAGATCTTTCTTGAAGTAGAGGCTGTCTGGATGAGAGACAAACACAAATATCGAACTGTAAGATAATTTCATATTAGTATTTTAAACCACAGTGACACACATTACTAACTTTAGAGAGTAACTTTAATGCAATAGGTTCAAAATGGGCATTACAATGGTTTACGATTTTTATGTAAGCTTCTATGAAAGTCTTTGTGGTTGTAGTGGATGGTGAAAATAATGGAACAAGTATATCAGCTAATTCAGGGTAGTTTAATGCTGTGTCTTCTATGCGTAAACATTCTAATTCATTATTCATAATGAAAACCTAAATGCATTAATCATTATTAACTTGTAACATGAATGAATATTGATATTTTGTATTTTAAACAATAACACTAGTATTACGTACATTTCCAATTGATTGTAATATGGTCAACAGAAATTGTTCAATAAATGGACATGATTTCATAACTTTATATTCAGACATAAGTGTATAGAACAACTTCACGCCTATACCACGTAATTCATTAACAAGAGCAATATCTCCTATTTTTGTCAATGAACTTAATTCATCTAAAATTAACCTAAAAAATCACAGTATTGCAAACAAAATTATTATAATAAATAACTTATTTATTAAAATTTTGGAAATTTAATTTAAATGTTTTAAGTCTTACTGAATAATTAAATCGATTGTAGTACAAGAAGTTGTTAAAGAACATGGTAATGCATTTTCTAAAACCTCATTAATTAATGTGTCCAATTCTGATCTATTATTTGAATTTATTTCTACCACATCTACATTCAACTTAGCTTCACGAATCTATAAAATATGTTTCGTTATATAAGTATTAAACAATATTATTATTATTTTTTTAAATTATATAGTTTATACTTGGAAAGTGATTTCAGCTGCACCGGCACATTTAATACTGCTTGCATTTCCTTTTTTTGTTTTATAATCACAAACTGCTTGAACACGTGTAGTTGAATCTATTTGAACATAAACCATTTTTATACCATCAACATATCGGTCGTCTAAATTCTCATGACATTTTGTTTGGGCTCTATATACCTTACTACAAAATATAATATTCATTTTTTAAATGTACTATAGAATATAAAATAAATTTTATTAAATACCCACTTGACAAATTCTACTACTTGCTTAATATTTAATTGTATAATATTTAGTAAATGGTTTTTTTGATATAAAATATTATTAGGTATTGTCTGCACATCTGATAGGCGTGCCATAAAAGTAGGACTTTGTACTGGATCATCATAAGACTTTAATCTAAAAATACACATAGTATTATATTCATTTAACTGTGAGTCTTGGTATATTAAAATTCAAAATATCAAACCTGTTGATTATTCTAGTTAAAGGATCTTTTTCTAAAGGACGTTTTCTATTGATATAACTGCTGATTTTAGTATTTTTACCAAATAAATCACACCAGTTTTGAATACAATTAAGTTTATTCTCTTCAATTAACTTATGATTAATTAAATCTGACAACCATTCCTATAATAAATAATAAATAAATAATAATTTGGCTATCTTCAAGCACAAATTTTATAAGTATAAAATTACATTAGATCCATTAATAATATGTGTTAAGTCATTTGGTTCATACATCGAATTCAATGAAGGAATGAATAATGTGGATTCAAGAAGCCGAACATCAGTTAACCATAGAGTACAGGCTTCATAAAATCTACAAACCAATATTACATTTTAGAACTAAACATTTTTGTTATGGATATTATACAATTACGTATACCTTGCTAAACGCAAATCAATTTCAGAATTTGGTTCAGTTTGAAGTTTTGTACGGTGAAAATCAATACACTCCTTTAGCTTATTACCAATTTTGCTTAAATATGGTGAATTAACAAGGCCTTCGAAAAATTTACGACCAACACAACCCAGTTGTTGAGGTCTAAATTAAAATAATTAAAAATAAAATATTATAACAGAGATTATAATTGACTAGCAAACATATATTCTCACCCTGGAATTCGTTGCAAGTACAATCTAAAAAAGTTTTGCCAGTATATAGAAGTCATTGGATGATCAGCAGGTATTTCTAACCCATACTGCATCCATCGATAAATGGATAAGTGTCCAGATGTAAAATTAGGTAATTTTAATTCTGAGCATACTCTCTAAAGTGAAAAACATGTTAAAATAGTTATTGTAAAACATTTTATTGTTTGATTTTTTCTAACCTTAAGTGCATCATCAATATTTGCCTTTCCTTGTTGTAAATGTAATTTCATTAACAAATGTTTCCAAACATCATTTTTACCTTGAATACACCATTCTTCAGCTTCTAATGCTAAAACAGCATAATATGGACAGTGATATAATACTACTGGATATTTTGGTAATAAGAGTGGTCGTTTTTCTGGACTTTGAAACATAAAATTGAAGATTGATCCAATTGACGAAACATTTTCTTTAGTTTCGCTAAATTGCTATTAATCAATTTATAATTAATATTTAATTAACATCTCCTCATGACCAAACTTACTGTTATTAAACATATAAGCAATTCTCGAGCCCACTGTAATAACTGAAATCGAAAAACATTTCTGAAAACAGCATCCAACACATATACAAACAAATCAGATTCTGCTTCTTTCCACACAATGCACACCACTTTAGTCCAAAGTTCCATTACGGGACGAGGACTGGTTAATCCATACCGTGTATAGTTAGATATTTGATATTGAATCATGTTGGTGAACTGTAAAATTATTTCAGAAGGCCCTTGCACGCTTAATAAATTCATAGCACGTTTTGTTGTATTACTACGATTATCTGCCATAATGCCAGCCACAATTGCAATAAATCTATAAAAAAAAAAAAAACAAATTAAAATCAGTACTTAAATGTTTAAATGATAATTAAATTACTTTTTGGATTCTAGTAGACAATCTTTGTTTTCAAAAAAGAATGGCACAATCACATTTAAACAAGCAATTGTTGCTGTATAGTGTCTGTATTGTAACAATCTATAACAATAGTCCAAACCTTTATTTAATATGACTGGAACACAATGCCCAGCTGTAGTTACATATATAGCGGTATACAGAACAATTGGGTCATCATAACGCAAACACTGTGTGTCCTAAAATTGTACAAAACACATTATTCCTAATTACTGTAAACTATAAACTATTAACTCACATCACTATCAGAATCAATATCAATAACTAAACGTAAGTAATGGCTTAAATCTTGTAATGAGCTCTGTACAATGATATCTGGTAAGTCCATTAAGTGAAGCTTTAATGAATACAATATTTTCCATGTCCACACCCGAAAAGCTTGTTCATTTGATTTAATTTGTACCAACTAAAATAATATTAATTATATTGCTTTCAATCATTGAAACTAATTTTTAAAACTTTCATATTCAAAATTACTTGTTTTATACTGTGAACTAAATATTGGGTTGAAGTTTCATCTACAGTGATAGGAGCGTGCTGAACAACAGCTTTGACAACAATTATTGCTATACGACTATGCATTTCTTTAGTTAACATAAAATCACTGCATTTAAAAATAAAAATAATAATATTTGTACACATATCTTACTAGCAAATAAAATCTAATAAATAATACATACTTTACATTAGTCTCATTGCATCCTGAATACAATTTTGTAAGTATATAGCGACTTAATGTATTTTCCATAGATGTAATTGGATGATTTAAAATTAATTTCTCTAAGTAAGATAAGTCATCTGTAGTAAGATTCCAATTTTGTAATGGAAGGGTTTTGAAAAGATACATTGAACCCTTAACAAAACAAAATAAAACAAATTCAACATAACTGTCTAAAATGAATTGAATTGACCATATTTCTAGTATACATACAGAACCAACTTCATCAAAATTATTTTTGAGTTCATTTAAAATATCAGAAATAAGAGATGGCTGTTTATCAGATAAATTTGTAAGTAATGTTCGACAAGTTTTGCGACATAGTTCTCTAGTAGTTTTACTCACAAATCCTATCTATTAAAATAAAAAGCATGAAAAAAGATTAATTAATTAAAATAATTGTCATTCTTACTTTAAATAAAAAAACAGTCACTGTTTTTATAAAGTCTACATCAATAATGTATCTACTTAAAGCCATATTACTAATGGCTGTCAGAAGATAGTAACATTCACTGTCAGAAGTATTCACAATACATTCTGACAGTTCTTCTAATGAACATTCATTTGAATCTAAAAACAAAATTAAAACTTAAAAATTAGGACTAAAATTTTATAAAAGTGACAATTAACCATTTATCAGTTAAACGAACCTGATTTAATGTGTAATACATATTGAAAAAGCTGTAAAACTATTTTAGAAGATACTTGACTAAAAGGTAACGTCACTAAATATTGCCAAGTAGTTCTATCAGCATTGTCATACAAACAAATAACTGTACGACAAACAAATGAATCATATTCTGTCTGTATTCTAGCTGATGTAAACTTATGACATCTAGATAATAATTAAATTTTGTCAATGTGTTTTATGATAAAATAAACTATTATAAAACTAACTTAAATTCTTCCAATATATCAGTAACATAGTTAACAGTATCCTGGAGTAGATGTCCCAGTCTTTTTGAAAATTGTTTATACTCAGAACATCCAGAAGAATAAGTTTGCAGTCCTGATTTAAATAATTTAACTAAAACGTTTCCAATAGCAATAAGTCTTAATAGATCATGTTCACTCCACAAGTTCAAACGCAAAACTTCTTCTTTGTCAGAATACATAATCATCTGTTAATAAAATTTAATAAATATATAAACATTAAGAATATATTTTTGGAAAGAATAATTTACATACTTTTTTAAAAAGTACTGAAAATGGTATTTGATTGAGCATAGCGATAATATCATTTTCACGGAGTGTTTGTTGAGAGGTGCTAGAACTATCTTCCTCGCCATCACTATCTACCACTACCCAAATTGATTCATTAGCATCTCCTTCATTTTTATATATCTAAATAATATAGTAAAATACTTAGTATTAGTACATATAAAATACAATGTATTGCTTATTACTTGTTCTAAAAACTTTTCTCTTGCTTGAACTGGTAATAAGATAATAGCCAATGATGTAATTATATAATCTAAATGAAAGTTATTTTCTTGGTAATTTAATTCAAATGATGGTATTTGAATACACGAGCTGGCCCATTTTCCAACACCTGTTGGACATCTATAATATAAAATACAATTTTATAATTAAATCTGTATAATATAAAAACTAAAAAAACTTTTCTTAAATGAAGTATAAAGAAAATTACCTTAAAATGTGATTTATTACAAAAAAATGATCTTTCCATGAAGCAACTTGAAGTAAAACACTAATTATTTTTAACAACAATTGTCTAGTTTCATTAATAAAAACTTTATCACTAATTATTTTTCTTTGGTACAAAAATAATATAGAAATGGAAGACTTGATATCTTGTACAGATGCCTGTTGTTTTTCTCCGACAATTTTTCCTTGGAAGCTCCAAGGATTTTCTTGTGGACTGGAAACACCAGAATTAAGAATAAATTCTGATGAAGAATTGGCAAAAATAGTAGTAAATGGCTGACATAATACATGTAAATAATAGTCAATCTGAAAAAAAAATATATAGTCCATTACATACATAATAACATAGATAATTGCATACAACATAAGTATAAATATAATTTATTTACCTTCTCTTTAATCATTTGGCAATCGTATAAGGCAAAATAATAATTATTAACTAATGTCCGTAACTCTTTAAGAGAGACTAGTAAATTATCTAAAGCTACTTGATTGAATCTGGAAATATCATATTTTTTTGTAGCAGATACTGGATTACCATCCTAAAATAATAATACAATATGCAAATAAGACACTTAAAACATTTTAATTGTGATAAGTATCTACCTACTACCTAGGCAAATATATTTTAGAGCTGTACAATTTTACAATCTTTTTCATTTCAATTGATTAGTTAATCTAACTTTAATTGTGAAAATAATCTATTTAAAGTATAGATTTTTAATTTGCTTATTTCTTTTAGAATAGTTTTAGTTTAAAGAAAGAAATATCATTAATTTTAAATGTTATCAAAATGTTTGTTTTTAATATTGAATCTAATGGCGTTTAAAAAATGGCTTACTTTTAATTATAGTGAAAAAACCTTGAAATGTTCAATTATTTCAAAATGCCCTCCAATTTTTTTTTATTTTTTATAATTGCCAAAAATCAACCTTATCAACCTTTTTAAAAATAATTCATGTGTAAATGTAATAATAATCAAGAATTAAATTATAGATGATAATGATTATGTCTGATAAAACAAATACCTTCATATAGAATCTATATGAAGATATCTATATTATAGATACATAGGAACAATTAAAAAAATAAAATAAATTTACTTGGCATTCTCCATACTGTGTATAACTGGCAGGTTCTAATGTCCAAATATGTTTCTCGTGTACAACGTATAAATATTTTGATTCATTTATTTCTTGTTTGATATTACTGAGTTTCAGTCTTGCTTGCAAGTAATTTTGAAGTAATATATGAAGTGGATGTTCACATGCTTGAAAATACTTTAATTCCGTTTGATTAAATTCTTCAATATGCTCTTGTAAACCAAATAATAATTTGTTTTCGTAATATTCTGCCAATTGTTCATCGTTAAACGGAATTAAAGATTCAAAAGGTGTTTCAGAAACTGGTATATTCCATAAGTCATCAAACACTGGAGCACAAGGTGTTGGCAGTGAACCTATAGAACAAGGAATTGAAATTGGTAGTATAGAAGGTGATGTGTTATGAACAGAGGGTTTTTCAATCAATTCATCGCCCAAGGTATCATCTTTAGACGTTTGATTGGTGTCATTCTTCACATTATTGATACTTGAATTTGCAATTTCTGTACTTATAAATATATCGTTAAATGCTTCAGAAAGTGCATTTTCTACATCATCTATATCAGAGGACTGTAATATATTATCGATAGGTTCAGGTTCTTCAACATTTACCTGAAACCAAATTGCACATGACATATCTTTATCACTTAGAAAAGCAAAATACAATAACATAGTTCAGATTAAGAATATCTGAATATTCCAAAGTCTATTTGGTACATACTTTGGCCAATTTCTTAGCTTTGGACGGGGCGTGATTCCTAGGCCTTTGTTGTTCCATATCGAATAATTTAGACCATACTTTGTTCCAGTATCTAATGTTCTCTCAATAATCGACAAACGAACAAGTATTAGCAGGTTAAGCACATAATAAAATTAATATTGTAATAATAACATGCAAATTGCGACTTTGTTCATTTCATTAAGTGTTCTTTGTTTTTGTCGATTTTTTTTTTATCTCTTAATCTATTTCGTACCTGATAAGATACATCTTATCACGTTATCAAATCAAATGTTTTCATTTTCATTGTATAATATTCGAAAACCTAGTCTTTTATTACGTCCATTCAACTGAATCTATAGTATATTTTGATTCCATTAATATTAAACCAATAAGTTATTCGTGTCAGCCTACGGTTAGCCTGGAAACGGATTATATTCGTAATAGATACCTATTATCACACGAGTATGATAATTGTATGAGATAGTAGCAGCAGCTGTTTGGCGGTATACTCTCCTGTCCGTTTGATAACGGAGCGGTAGGGAAAAGGTAAAATACCGAACTGCCTGTGGTCGATGATTCCCCGACTCGATGTGCCGCTCGTTTATGCCGTTATGAGTGGCGACTACACTTGCCGGCCGATCGTTGATCAGTGTCCGTGTGTAAGGCTGACCAACAAGTCGCGACGGTTTGGTCGCCGATGTTGTTGAATACGTCCAGTCCAGTGCTATGGCTTCGCGTATAACGTCCGGTGTCCGGTTGTGCGTTCGCGCCAGTATCGATAAGCTCGTGTGCAATTTGGTCAGAAGTCGTCACCACAATGCAGTGACCACCGGCGAAACGGCTGTCGGGCCCAAGCTGGATAACAGGATTATAATTTGTTACCAGGTTAGTTCCTACGACGCGTCTTTTTAAGTTCCGCGTGGGGAAGTTGGGCGAGGTGCGTTTATTGGCACCGAGATCCTTTTAACCTCCAAGGTCCTTTCAATGACTTTCCAAGTTGTCTTTTTCCAATTTTTTTTTTTTCTGATTCTTTCTACTTGGCAACATTCCCATTGTCACTGTCCAAGGGTCTCGCGGTCACTTGTTGACAAAATACAAGTTGTAGCACAGATTATACTCATAGCCGTTAATTGATAATTAATTTTTTTCATAAACAAAAAAAAAAATACTATAATTGCATGATAACATCATTACTCGGCTCCACCCGCTCTAGTTGGTAAACAAAAGTTATTATTACTCTGTGAAATTTACTTAAGTACCCAGTTATCTATAATATAATTTGAGATAAGAAATATTGATTACAATTTCTTTATTAACTAAATAATACTCGCGCAGTAGGTAAATCAAAACAAAATGCTTTATGATATTTTTCATTCACATTGGACGAATTTGAACTTGAATATATTGTTGTTTTAAAATCGATTATAATTAATTATATAGGTACTTACTCACAATAATTCTCTGGACACGGAACTTTGGCGGTTCCATATTTCTTACCCGTAAAGAATAGTTCACTTTTTGTTGGTAGGTATCTTTACATAAATTTAAATTCAAAATAAACTTTTAATGCAATATTTAAAAAACGCATAAACAACTAACATAAATCTGAATATAACATGAATTCTACCTAAAATCTATAGTTTTTTATTTCTATTAGTTCTACGATTCCGAATGTTAAGTATGTCTTGTGGCAATAAAATCTTCGGGTTTATTGTACATACTCGCCTAGTGAAAGAATGTACCTAATAATAATCAAGAAACGACCTCATTTTTTTGAAAAAAAAATTTCCTTTTTTCTTTGTACATATAATAAAATAAATAAATAAATAAAAAAAAAAAACACTTTTTTTCCCATGTAGATAGATTACTATTCCGATAGTTTGGTGTTACTGCATCCGCAACGCAATAGGTATAGTGGAAGTATCTTTTTCAAAAAAATTAATTCGGATATAATATTATACCAAAGTACCTACTCGTTCCCTACTTCGTGAAAATGTTGACAAATCCGTGGCAATCCTGGCCATTAAGTATTACGGTTTACATTTTGCCCGTCCCGTTTATAACCATTTTCGATTATTTTCGTTTTGAGAATTGCGACTGTCGAGGAACGCTTTTTTAAATTTTTATTCGGTAACTGGGCGAGTTAAACGGCGTGGTTACTGAGTGTTTTTTAGCCGGTTCGTAAAACTTTACGCGATGCGATTTCTCGTCCGGTAACGCGCACGCAAATTAATTACAACCGTGTTTCAAGTGCGGTATTATTTTTGAGTTTTGAACATAAATATTAATTATAAGCACTGTTTATTCGGTTGTTTTGAGTGATTATGGTACCGTAGTAATGCGACGAATAATACGTAGGTACCAATGTAAGATATACGTTCTGTCAATAATTATTAGAATCAATTACAATAATTATAATATATATAAATGTGTGTGTGTATATATATATATATCGATAGCGTAATACGAGTGCAATTTCACGATATTTTTATCTGCGCGTTGGTACGAATGTCGTTGCGTAACTATATTGTTTCACCCGTTGACGATTAAAAGCGTTTGAGCGACGGATTGTTCGGGTATTTTTCCCTAGCGACGCGATCTCTCGGTAAAATTCGACCAGCATTGTTTAGAGGGACGACGCGCGGACCCGGGGATCGAGGGGGGGGCGACGAGGGGCCCGCAATGTCCGTATTACAAGTGGAATCAAATATTCGAGAACCTGTTTTATTCCAAAAAAAATATACCGCGCCTTCGTTTCGGGCGTATAGAGAGTTGAGCGATGGTCGTACCGCTTATTCGTTACATTTTAATGCAATAGGTCCCCTCACTAACATTGGCGCCCCGGGACACCACAACCCTTAATCCGGGCACGTCGACGTGAAACGACGCGTCCCGCCCGGTAGCCCGTCTTCTGTTCCGCGACGACCGTACCGACGCGCATTTCGTTTCGTCCTTGTGACGTCGTTTTGGTGGTGCAATTATTATTGTCGCGCGCGTGCATCGCCGGTCCTCGTATTATAATAATAATAATAATAATAATACAAATATAATAAAAATTGACACGCGACGGCGGCGGCGGCGGCTGCGGTCCGCGAGCAAAAAAATCGCCATAATAACGAACCAGTTGCGCGCGACGCGTTACTGGCCTACTAAGGAGGAAAAAAAAAAATGATAATAAATAGAGAAGAAAATACGCGGCGTAGCCGCCGAGACCGTTAATCAAGGTCGACAACCTGACGGTAGCCGGACGACGGTTAGACGGACTTCGTCGTTCTTTTCATTATTATTATTATTACTTTTTTCACTCGCATCTCCCGCTCGGTTCGGTCGCGACGACGGTACCTGACAGTCTCGGCCGCCGCGCCGGATCCTCGCGTCCGTCCGGACGGCCGACGGACATCGTGACGCTTGCGGGGGCCCCGCCGAAAAGCGCGCCGGTCCGGCGTTAATAATATTAGCCGTTAAACTGTCTTATTACCGGCCGAACGTAACGTTACGATAATTAGACGTATTATATTGTACGTACACTGTATTATGCGTATTATACCTACGCGCGCGGCTGCTACCGAAATCGCTAATTAGACGCGATATTGATAATAATTATCGTTATAAGCGGTTTTTTTTTTTTTATATATATATGTATAATTACGACGCCGCGATTAAAATGCGCGCGTACGCGATACCCGGAGCTGTAGCGCGATAATTAACATGTCTCCTCCCCATCTTCCCCACGGGCCGCGGCTCGTTTACCGTCGTCTCGGTTACCAGCGAGTCTGAGCGGAGCCGTGAATTGGTTTTACAATGATGTTTATTAATTTTTTTTCTACCGGCAGTGTTTCGCTTCGATTTTCGGGTGTAGCACTTTTTCCGAAAAAGAAATCTGACCACCAGGGCGGTTACTTTAGGGAGGTCGAAAAGGGGAAAACGTACGAAATGTATTTTCAAACGGTACACATATTACGGCATTTCAAAACGCGTGTAACCGAATTCCGCTTAGAATCGTTTATTTTTTTTTTTTATTAGCAAATATTAATCGTCACGTACACGTATATAATGTGTGTATTAAAATTTCCCTCTATATCCTACCGCCTTCCCAACTTCCCCTGCATCCATCGTGACATACCGTATCTCTTTTATTTTCTACGACATTACTCGCTTATGTCTGAGTGCACAATACGCACGCTTGCTTAATCGTATTTTCGGCGAGACGAGCTCGTTTTTTCACAAAAAAATTGTTTTGCAGAATTTTATTACATTCGAATACGTGTTTCATCGTCCTTATTTTTGGCGGCGAATTAAACGTCCGCTTTTGATTTTCAAACGGTGGCCTGTATTGAAATTCCAAAAGTCGATGTTTAAAATAAACGTCAACGCGAAAACGTGTTTGAACCAAAACTCCGGATATTTATAGAATTTTAAATATATGTGTGTTTTTGTTTGAAAATCGAATTTAAATAGTCGTTTCACCCTTGAAAATAAGAGCGACAATAATAAGAACATTTTTGATTATAATATGATTCCAAACAGTTTTTACATAAGTCAGTTTTTGAAAGAAAAAAAAAACCAGTATTTTTCTTGGAACATTTGACTGTAACACGAAATCTGATAAACCTGTATACTTGATTTTATTAGAATGACATTGATAAAAATTCAAGAACACATTTGTTTTTTGTTGTTCTTTACTCTATCTTGAATAGGTATAACGCGTCTAAACCGTGATTTTATTATGTTTTAGGTGTGAATTCGTAGGAAAGTGAGCTTTTGTTAAACGTAGCTTTCTTAACGAAAAATTTGATTCGTGTGCGAATTTAATTTTGGAATTTTATTTATCTTTTTTTTTTTTTATAAATAATTGTTTATGGGAGTTCGTTTACCTTTCTGGTTTATTTTACTATATTATTATTCATTTCTACGCGAATTACTTAACTACATTTTTGTTTTAATTTACACAGATTGTATAACATGCGTCATACACCTTTGTTTTAAAAATATTTTTACATAATCTGTGTACCAAGTATGTAAGGTCAACGTTTGATTTATAGCGGTTCAATAAGAAAAGGCTAACCGCGGTCATTAATTGCGGTACACCAGTGCCTAGAGAATTTCCTCAGTAAGTGGGTACTTGAAACAATTTTTTAGGGATTTTAAATGCATTTTTAATGTCCTGCGTATATCAATTGCCTAAATCATCAAAATACTCTTAATATGTAACTGCTTGGACTACTACGTCATACCATTCGACATTCCATCGCGATTATATTATTGAGTAGAATATAAGACGTGAACACAATTTAATATTCCAAAATAATCCGACGGGTCAGCGGTAGTCTGCATTTAATTCTATTACCTTGAGACTTTCTATATTATTATTGTATCGATTTTGTGCCGTGTCAATCGTGATGGTTTTTATTAAATTCATATATTACGTAAAATTAATAATATGATATGCTTATTTTATTATTATATATAATATATTTCATCTAAACTTTATTTAAGTAAGTAATTACTATTATTATTATCGTACAACGATATGTAGGTATTACATAATTGAATTAAAGTTAAACATGTATTTAAAAAATGAAATCTTAATCGCTCGTGTTTGTTATATTATAACCTATAGAACTATTTAGACAATTGTATTAATTGAATTCAAATCCATCGTCATTATATTCGTAATTTACCCAATATAAGTATCTATACGTCATTATCCTGTACTATTCGATTATTTAAATGTTATGTAATATTACTGCACTATTTCTATTATGTTCTTACGAAGGTTTTTATCCCAAATGTATACATGATACCGTGACGTGGTCAAGAGAGTGGGAGGTAAGGGGTTATACCCCTCGCCCAATCGGCTTATAAACGTTACAACTATATTATGAACATTAATTTAGTAATTTTATATCTAAATTATATATTTCAGCCAGGAAAGTAAGCTGAAAATGTATTCGATAATAGTTGATTTTTTGGATCCGGCTTTTAAATTCTCACTATCGGGTTATGCGTATAACAGACGAGGACTACTTGATGAACCATACAGATAGTATTATTTACTGCGTCTCTTTCCATTGAATATCCCTGGCCACAGATTGACGATGTTTTTCTATACAATAAATGAATAATAATAAATATACCTAGATAACAAAATTATTAAATATATCCAATCCTGCAGTATTTTAGTTTTGACAACGATGAGTTATTTAAACCCATCGCTAAACGTGGCTGTTTGGAAAAATATATTCGTCTAATTACATCATTTACACAGTATTTGAACGTTGAATTTTTTAATTCGAGTACATGACAAATTAAAATTATGCACACAGTGTGATTTTTCCTTGGATTTTGATTTATTCTTTATGTATAATAAAATCTATATAAGTGTAACGTTTATAATCTTATATAGACGTTGTTAGTAAATACCAAATGCCTGTATATTTACGCGAGATTTCGAATATTCATCACACAAACGGAACAAGTTAAAACCTCTCAATTATACGTACCTTTATTTATACGCATTTCGTGATCAGTTTAAGTTAAATTTCACGAGAAAAGTTACTAAGTACAGACATTGTATCCCGCATTGTACACTATTGTGGTGTTGTACTTTATATGTAACTTTCCCGTTGATGAAATACATTAACTATTTAACTCTCTTAAATTATTTCGATCAACACTCTGTGAATATTGATTTCAAATGCTTTCACGGTTTTTTTTTCTTACCTTGAATGTAAGTCGGGGAATGCATCGTTAATCGAATATTCCATCAATTTTAAGACAGCAATCAACTGCAAGAAGAAATTTATTTGATTTAAATCTAGATAGGAATCTGGCCAATTTTTATTAGCAGTTTTTAATGTGTGATTCAATGTTGTAACTTACTCGATAGCATTTCGAATAAAATTTGAACAAATTTCTATCTAGACAATGAATAAATGTCTAAATTTATTCATTGTGTATACAACGTTTTCGTATTTTCATATAGGTAATATTTTGCAACAAACTTGGTATATCTAACTACTATATTAAACCGAATCTATCATTCTCGTATACATATATTATAGTAAGTGCTTATTTTGTATTTTAAAACAGTGAACAAAATTAATCTGACCTTTTTATGTGTATAAAATTTAATAATATTATTTTTAAATTACGTATTTTAAGGTTTTTAGAAAGTGATGGCAAAACGTTGTATTAATTGCCAAATAATTATACATATACCTATATGCCCATACGTATTTTTACCATAAAATAGTAATCAATTTTCGATGTTTTCGTTTATTAGTACGATGCTTTAGGGTAAACACTAAAACACCAATAATTTACTGCTTTCACACTAATATAGGTATAAAACAATTTTCAAAAGTAAGTTTATATTGTTATATGGTTAATATTTAGTATACGTAAATAGACATATTATAAGTAAGCTGAATGTTATTTATGTAACGGTCCTCTTATTGAATATAATATAATATTTTTTTTTTATTTAGAAAATATGCTTCATGTTAAACAAATAGGTATAGGTTATAGGTACACCCGAGGGTAAACCTAACATTAAATACCAATGAATGTCAGTTCTTGTAATATTATCGGAGTGTACAGATTATACTATACTTACAACTCGATAGTGTCTGGCGTATTGACCTTGTGACTTTATACCTACGCGCAAGAATAATAGGTGTTTCCTTTTAACCGCGCGGTTTGGGTGAAAGCGCAAGTGAAACACACGTGCAAACCGGTCCAGGATGTCTGCGGCGCTGTGATATACATCATGTATTCGTACTATCCTGTGTATAATATAATACGTAGTTTTCAAAAACCAATATTTTTTTTTTCACCTTTAAGCCCAGGACCGACAGTTTTAATAATGTTTTACATATTTTACAATTCGATAACTCTCTAAATGTATTAGGTTACCTACGTATTTTTACCTGATTGCTGTTGTTTTGTTTTTTTTTTTTTTATATATAAAAAATTACTAATTAAACATTTTAAGGAAAAAAATAACGATTGTTTTCATAAATAGACGATACTTATCTCGGACTGCAGTTAGTACAAGCTTTAGTGCTCAGATAGGATAATTTCGTTTCCAAACCAAGTAATCGGTTAATTGTTCTTATGTGTGTGTTCTTATATGTATGTGTGTGTATTTGCAGTGAAAGCCGCGCAGTGGCTCTCTTTTGCTCATAATATAATATTATGATCTTCATGGGCGGTTTGCGTTTTAAAATTTATGCCATCCGTTCTAGATAATAAAATATACTGCGTCTCGTACCAAATTAAATTACAATTTCGTCTCGGACATGTTATTAGTCTGAAAAATCAAATACATATTTGTTTAGAGACAAAAAAAATCTCTAAATGTATTAAGGTTATGTTATTTGTGTTTATAATTATTGGTCTTGAACTCGAGTAAAATATTTTGAAAAATCAAAAAAAATTGTTGGACAGGTATATATAGTATATAATATTTAGTTATAGTTTTGAACTAGTAACTTTCACATGAAGATACGTTGAGAAAGTATCGAAATCAATTTTAAATTTTGTCGCGTAGTTATTGAATTTTTTTTCGCTGCTATTTGATATATTGTAATAAAATATCAGTGCCGAAAATTTGAAATTGTTATAGAAAATATGTAATTCTTAGCCATTTTTCGTAGTAGTACTATGACATTAAAACAGGCCTTAAGTAATATAATTATTAAAAGAAATAAATTCAAGCAAAAGTAAAAAGGTTCAGAGGTATAAAAAATAACTATGAAACAGTAACCAGAAAAGTATTATTTTTCTTACTTACAAATAAACATAATATGGGTTTATAGTACATTATTGTTTATAAACATCAATAGACAATATTCACGCTCAAAAATACGTTATTTTAATAATTTAATATTTAGTAACAGTCTACAGTAAAATTTATACGGTATTATATTATATTTTTGAATTATTATTCGTGATATTATGATGAGACCGCTAACTATTTACGACGATATAGGTAGTCGGGCGATTTACCGTCTAAATTCTATCATATTGTAATTTATTATTATTTCTCGTGTTTGGTGGATTTACCTCATTGCGTATTACCTACCTATCCTCGAACATATTATATTTTATGTAATATGTGTATAAATTAAAAAAGTGATAAATAATAAAAACAAAAAAAACAAAACATTAAATATTTTTATATTACATAATTCCAGATTTTTTATGCGACAATTTTCGTTCGTTTAAGACAATTTGATTATATTTCTACAAATACAATAATTGATAGTAGCGGATCATTAAAAATGTAAATAATTGATTTAATATTATAAATCTAGTTTTCGTTTTTAAAGCTTTATTCACCTACTTATCGTGAATTTGTTTTTTATTATCCACATGATTTATATGATTTACATCATTAAATCAGAAGAACACTTTTTTTTCTTTTTTTTTTTTTAATTATAATCTATATTTAATATTATAAAGTGAAAAGATTTGTTTCATGTTTGTAATATAAATAAGCTCAAAAACCACTTAATCGTTTTTAAAACTTCTTTCATCTACAAAAAGCGGGTAACATGGGCTGTATTTTGTTTTCAAAAAAATTAAAGATCTTTACGAAAATTGCAAATAATATCTAGCAATAGCAAAGTATTGCCAGGTCAGTTAGTTTATAATAATATAATACATTTTTATTACAATGGTCTTAAAAATATAATATAAATATAAATAGTTTTATATTTCATCAAAATATCGCTCGTCGTTTATCCGATTATTGTATACACGGTCGCCGCCACCTGCAGTTCATTACATTGCTGTTCCGCGTTTTCATATTGTCGGTCTGTCCGAATCGACAAATAGGGTTAAGGTGTCTATAAGTGTCTATTTGTTAGTGGCATCATAATATCCTTTTATTATTATTATTATTTATTTCCTTTCCCTCGGTTCCGCCGCTTGTATTCAATACTAAGCAAGCGTGCACAGCACATGGACTCACATGGACACGCCGACGATAGGAACGCTCAGGAATGTGTCGTCCGGCAGCGCGAGATCGCGCGGTATACCTACGAATTGAGGCCAATCGAAAAAAAAAATATCGACTGCGTTTCTTCTTTCTGCTGTTTCTTCAATGTTGTTCTTGCTTCTTTTTTTCCGTTTGCGTCGGTTTCAATGTATAGTATACCTACACAACATAATACTACCCGTATGTACCTCCATGTTATGCTCTCCGCATCGACGAGACAGAATACGTATTGTATTAAAAAATAATAATGATAATAATAATAAAATAAATAATCTACCTACAGCTACAGCGGCTGCCGTTTTGTTTTCTCTCATTAAAGTAGTTGTATGTTTATTATTTAACTTTCATTGTAATCGAAAATGTCGAAGGAAAACTATATAGGTGCTTATATATTATACCTATATTTAATTTAATCACCGAAATATCATGATCATTATCCTACACCCGGCTATGTTTTATTTAATGTTTTTTTTAGTTTTACGTTTAATCTCCATCCGTATCTATTTTTTGTGTTTTTTTTTTTTTTTTTGTTTTTCTAATTTATCTTGTATATCTCAAGCGATTATTATTATTACTGCTATATTTCGCTAAAGTGAAAAAATTACCCATGCGTCGCGTTTACATTTTATTAATACCTAATTAAGTTTTTTTTTTATTAAAAACGTACAAGGATTTCTTAGGTGGTGGATTATCTTGAGATGGTTTTGAAAGCGTTTGAGTGAAGTACTTACCTATCTTATTATTATAATCGTGTTTAAAGGAAGTTTTAAAATTAACCATCACGTGCGATATAACAATATTATGTTGTTAATAGTCGAGTTTCGTAAACGATCATTAGTGATAGTTTGTAAAAAAAGAAAAAAAATTAACAATAGTCTATAACCACACAAATTTGACACGTAAAAATCTCAGGTCGTATATATTGCTGGTTAACCGAGGCTGCACTTTAAAAAAAAAATAAGATTCTTAAACAAACATTGTCGCATTATCGATAGAATCAATTTGCTTCTAAATTCTAATAATCTATAGTATGAGTAATTAATGGAGGGGAAAAATTTATTTTCAAATTCCATCGTGTACTAGTTGAAATTGTTATATTATTATGATTCGACGTGTAGCTGTATAACATATGAAATCATTTTATTATTGTGTAGCTTTCACATATTGGAACGATGACAAATACATAGTATTATATATATGTCGTATCTAACTATATGACTAACTTGGGTACCGATTTCAGAAATATTCGCACGAAAAAGCTTCCGGTTCACCTATTATATAGGTAATAATATTTTTGTATTGTTGAAAAAAAAAAAATGTAAATTCTTTAATAATATGCCTTCGTTAAATAGGTATAAGTGTATCGCTGTGTCTGTAAGGTACTCACTATAATTTCGCTAGCATAAAAAAGCAGCTTAGATTATAATATAAGCAATAACCATAATATAATATTAATTATCTATATATCTATGTAGGTATACTTTAAGTTGTAAAGTTATTTTTCTCTCCGTATTTATTTACGGCTATCTTTAAATTATCTTATTTTTTTTATGGACTATTTATATATATATTATACAATAATTATAATTATAATTATAATATAATAATTATAGACTATTTCTATCGAATTCGTAACTCGTAATATTTACAACCGAAAAATGGAATCGAAAAAGTTCAATAGTTTTTTTGAACGTCCGGTTTTAAAAATATTGTATTTACGTATTATTTCCCATAATAATACTTAATATTTTTCTTTATAATTTATTAAATATAGTTTATGCATTTGTATTTTAAACGACTGTACGTCGTTTTAACTCGCGTATAATTTATGAAGTACTAAGAGAAATGTGTACAATACATATGCGTAGGTATAGTACCGCAATAATAATTAACAGCGATCAATGATGTGTGGTTTAAATCCGTAATGCAAATGAAATGGTAAATTTAAAATTCTAGTGGAGGTAGGTTGGGTTAGGATAAATTACGATACACTGTACTTAAAATAATATTAGAATATAAAATGTATGAATGCGCATAATATTTTAATTCCGTTTGATTCGATGTGATTAGGTACCCAGAGAAAACTTAACTAACTTATCTAATGTGAAACTGCGTGAAAACCTTTGATTTCTGATAGGCCTATATGGTAGCGTTATCCTTATTTATTCATCAGGTATGTTATTATAATTTACACAGAAAATTAGCTAAAATTACATGTGATATTATATACTATTGCCATACGATTGAATTTCATTTCGCCCTGTGGCCTTGTGGTTCGAGTAGTGCGGTCGATTATTTCGAGCAGCGATGGTCACTTTTTACTAGATTGGACATGCACCGATTATTGTCTAGGTATATATAATACGACGTTAGAAAGCGCAAAAATACGTTTAAAAAAAATATTAATAGGAGAGTCTACTAAAAATTGACCTTGTAAAACCATTAAAGTACTTAGTGATTTTTTAAAAAAATGTATACATTTATTGGTATGTTTCGAAAAGTTTAAAACAATTCGATGTTGCCGGGTCTCTAATAATTCCTTGTGTGGATATATAATTTTAAACTCGAAAATCTTAAATCATGCAGTAGTATAATCACGTTCACAGCGCGGATTCTAACCTTTATAAATGTAAATATTATTATCACTATTATCTATAGTATAGGATATTGTTGTATTTTTGAAGACACTGCGGGTTACAAATGGTGTTTACTCATGTTGAAATAAGAGGTGCATGTATTATTTGAATATTATAATAATATTATGTTTAAACGTGTTTTTAATTTGAATTAACCGGGAACTATACGAGTTGAAATTCAGAAGAGAATTCACTTTCTTATTTCGATACACACCTAATAGAAACAGGAAAGTCTAAATCGTTAACCGGTATATTTCATACGTTTAATATGTCTATTTGTTTCGCGTTTAGTATTTTTGTAATAATATTTTAAAGCGTGATCGTATAGGGTTTAAATAGCACACGGGTGAGCTTAAAATATCGCAACAAGTAATTTAAACAAATTATGATATTCGGCAATTTCATAACTATAGATTTAGGAGCTGCAGTTAAATTATTATTCATTAAAAAAATTGTCAGATTTTTATCTATTATGACTTTCGTAAGGATTTTAAATTCGAATTAAATTATCTATACCTATCTCTAAAATATTGGAAAATAACAATTGCAAGATATTTCATACCACACGAATGTATACATTTTCTAGAATAATACAAAGTGTGCAGTGTCCTTCAAATCGTCGATATAATACTGTTAGGTTAACCTATTCTAACCTAATAAGGCTATACCTTATTAGGTTATATTAGAATAATATATATTTATACGCTAACATAAGACTGTAAGAAACGATACTAATCAAAGTGGTTATTAATAATTTATGATTTTACTCTTTAATATACTTAGGCGCCAGTACAAATTATTTTAATACATTTATCACATCAAATAATAAATGTGTGTGTGCTGTGTTTTATTTTAGATTCTGAGTGTAGCAAAGAAGCTATTAGTTTTACTAAAATATGTGTGTCTTTTTTTTATATTTTTTTCGGTAAACCAAATTTTGGTTTGTTTAATACACCGATTTTTATTTATGTCATACCTTAAATGATTCGGAATTTCTGGCTGTAATAATAGTTTATCTTTATTTGGAACATTTTTTAAATTTCAACACAGTTCATCCTTAGATCATTTTTTTTTGTTTTTGTTGATTTCTGGGTTCCCTTAGCAACAATAGAAAAAATATAACAAATACTACTACGATTTTATTATTGCATACATTATATAAACTAAATTTCCCTGTATATACCTACCCCTCTAGCTACTCACATATAACAGTGGCCAACCCATAAGCCGCATCAACGTTTTACACATAAATAATCCAAATATGGCTTAAAATTAATTCTCCTCCTCCCTCCTCCTCTATTTATAGGTAATTTTATACAATCTGCAAGAACTATTACTACAGAATTTATTTTGTATATTTTCCGTTTTAATGTAGTAGAAACAAAACAATTATAACAAATATATTTTGCGTATATAGATGTAACAATATCATAAGTTGTAGTAAATTCGTCGATTTCCCCGAGGGGATAAAATTTTGATGCGATTATTAATACATGTATCTCGGTCATGTCCCACATACTCGGGTCGATATGATGAGGGGGCCAAAATGCCTGCAGGATGGAAAGTATTATAAATAAATATGCGCGTTATACAGAAAACCGGTCCTGTAGCCATCAAAATAAAATTGTATATTCGCAATTTGAATATAATATATGTCTTCGAATGCTAATGGGCGTGACAACGTATTAACAAATTCTTATTCTTATTCATAGTCTTATATATATATATATATGTATTTTTTTTTTTTTAGGAAAAAGAATTAACTAAATTTTTTTTTCAATTTTTTTTCACAGAAACAATTAAACCGAATCAGATCGGATCACCAAAGGAATCACTGTCGTCGGTTTACTACTTTACAAGACACAGACACCGATTCACTGTCTTCTATCGACCCTTACAGACTGTTAGAAGATGACCTCAGAGATGTATACACTGATATCAGACAGGTTTGTATAATAATTCGCCATTTATTAACGTGTTCTAATTGTATTGTTAAATAGGGGTAGATACATTAAATAATAATAATAAACTTGATTGCAACAAAACAATACAAACAATTTATACAAAATAATAATGGAATACAATATTACAGAAGCCCTTATAAGCATAACTTATGCTATGGAAGCGAGTTCTTATCACTTTAAGAGTACATACAACCTAAAGACAATTAGTTATTCATAATAATATTATACATCATTTCGATAATTCTGTATATTTGCTGATAGGATGTAGTATAAAATATGTCAATACATTTTCAGATTCTGAGCAAAGTTTATTAGTTTCATTTTGAAGCGTTATTTTGTGCCTACAAACAACTTTTCCTCCAGAACTCATGCTCCAATGAAAAACTTTTAAGGAACTATCTTGTAGCATTTTTGATTTAGTTAGTAAATTGGGGAAATCATGTTTTGATTTTCCTTGTAATTTTTTTAATAAATGGTAAAACTGTAATTTATTGTATAATTTTTATTGATTTCTGAGTTATTTTGGCAATCAATGAAAAATACAACTAAATTCTCTGAATTTTTTTGATTTAACATTGTGTATAAATATAAATAGAGTTGAGTAAAAAATAATAAAAATAAAAGGTGCCCCAAAAAGGTGAACAACATGGAACACACTTTGATTACTTGTTTTCCCAATTAACATACTACATTTTCATATTAACAATTGTATTAAATTGGATTAATAAAATATTATTTACTTGATTTTTGCAATATATTAAAAAATAAAATAAAATATATTCTTAGTTTATTGTAGCTTTTAGCTTAAAAATTTGTATCAACTATGTATATTTTCAAATGTTTATAACCCCTCAAAATTATGAAATATAATTAAAAAAATTTAATAAGAATTTAAATTTTATTCTGCATATTTTTTAACTTTTTCTTGTATATTTTGACTTTTTTAGCGCTTGTTTACATGTATATTTAACAATTATATATTTTTTTAAATGAGGTATTTACTTATGATGAACTCTGTATCAAATATTCGATTATATTTGAGAAGCCAAACAATTTTACTTATCCACATTAAACAAAAATATAACAAAATATTTAATGGCTATAAATAACTTAAAACAATGCTAGAATAATTTTGAAATCGCACCACGTCTAATGAGTACTTATATACATTTTTAGAGGAATTTTCAGATAGTTAGGAATACAGTTTAATGAATTAAAATTTAAAAAAACAAAATCGTTATTAACAGAAATAGTTGTCCGGTAAATATTCCCGTTTTAGCAGACTTTTTTCCGATTTTCTGCCGTTATTAAAAAAATAAAAATAAAATCAAAGACGGACTACTCTATAGCACCAATTAGATAAAATTGTCAGCCAAAACCATCCCTGTTGATGATTAGACCAAAATTGAAAAATTTAAAAGTTATTGAAAATTAATTTCATATTAATCTTTTTATTTATTGATTTTTGTAAAAAAAAAAAAGCTCTCAGAGTTGGCAATTGTCTTTATTATCCCCTTTAAATGCGCCCCCGTGTCCTGCAATTTAACAGTTATTTTTATTGGTATGAACATAATTACGATAAATTCATATAATACCTGCTGGTTTTAGTTCGGTTTACTATACCTACCTACAAAACTGTATGCAAAATATCATATAGGTACATAATTAACAATTATAATTATTATTTTAAACGTGTAACAGTTACATGTATATGCATATATATATATATATAATATAATGTATAAATTAATATTTCATAAACATTTTAAAGGTTGGGTGCATTTTTATTGTTATTGAATGTAACAATATAATATGTTATAAACTTTCACTATGTATTTATGGTCTACATTAACGATTATTTAGTTAGTTGATAGTTTATTAATAATAATTCTTACATTTTCTATAGATACTTTTAATCAATTAAAAAATATGTTGTTATAACTTATTAGTGTTAATGATAATTGTACGAGTGTATTTTTTCGTAAATCACACTATAAAAATAACTATACATTTCTACCTAGATAATTTTAAATTATTTAAAAAAAGAATTCTCATCTCCATCCTATAATATTATTTACAGGAACTCGAACAGAACACTAATCAAGACGAGCTTCGGACGATAGCTACATATTACTTCGACGGGCAAGGAAAAGCCCTGAGGCCCATGGTGGCCATCCTGATGGCACATGCCATAAACTACCACATGAACAATACGTGAGTTTATACCCATCTATATATATCTGCTTTGAAATATTCAATTTGTTTTAATATAATAACATAATTTAGAAATAAAACAGCGGTTTCCTTTAATGTATTGTCAATGTAAATAAACTTCAGAGGTTAAAATTATTTTCTTCTTCCTTTTTTTATTGTTTATTTATTAATAAAAACAGTAATGCGTGAACCCGAATAATTGTTGTTCGCCGTGATAGTGAAACGTATGAACGAAAAGTAGTTCAAAATGTGTAAATACGGATAGAACAAAAACAGGTTCTGTTATACGTGTGCAGTGTTCCTGTACGCACAGGAAGATATCAAGGATATTTTAAACTGGTTACTATTCATGTAACCTAGATGTCTTGTGGGTATAGGCATTTAGGTCTAGGATTTACGTACATATTTTTTCCCATTTGACTTGACCCAAGTTGTAAAATAAAATCTTAAAAAAAAAAAATATACAATTTTATAAAATCAGTCTAAATATGTAGGTAATAATAGTCTCATTGTTTTATATTATACAAATAGTTAACATACAATGAAAAAAATCACTAGGTACATTTTTTTTTTAAAAAGTATAGATTATATTATAAACTCTAGACTATAGTACTTTTACAGCAATATTGAATATAGATTATTTTTAAACCACAATCAGCTGATTAAATTGGTAAGATAGTTATCGTCCTTGACTGGGACGCGTGTAGGACACCCCTGTACAGTAACCTAAGTTTTAATTTTATCGATTTCTTTTGTTTTTAACTAATAACATCAAAGGTTCATTCATGGAAACGAGTTTAAAAAAATATATGCGTATAACTCGTGATGGATCACCGTTGACTATAATATATTAATATAAATATGATAAATATACATACACGGATAAATTATTATGTTAAAACCACAGTTCTTTACACATTCGTTGAAAAATATATTTACCTACCCTTTAATGTCTTTATTTTGCATTAAATAATGTATTATAATAATTTATATCACGTTGGATTACTGAATAATTAAATCAAAATAAAACTTAGTTTTTTTTAAAGCTATTAAATATCAAATGTATCATTATATTTTAATATCTGTACAAATATATAACAGATATTTATTACACATTGGATTTATTCGCTGGTAATAAATTTATATTATTTATTACGAAAGCTTTAATATGATTTATAAAAAAATTAGTTTAAATTATAATAATTATTTATAAATTAGTTTTATCGTCTAAATTCTAACGTATAATTAAAAAAAACCTTATGAAAAATTACTAAATTGTGTAGAAAAAATATCATTTTGTTGTTATTATTATTCTATACAATATATTATACTATTATTTATTTGATTTATCGATTATTGCCAATAAATATTAATATTATAAATAACGTTAACTGTTGGATAGAAATGTATTCATTGATGTTTTTTCGTATTTACAAAGTTGATTTACTACAGATTTTTTGTATAATCCAATAAGACATAATATTATGCGTCATAAAAACTTATAATAATTTAATTTCCTGTAGTATGTTTGTAATTCAATTTTTTTAAATTGTTGTGTAATGATCGAAGAATATATTGGTTTTTACTATAGTTCTTAGTTATGTATATTTTTCTTTTTTACGTTTGTTAACAACTTTTCTACTGAAAATATTGCTCCAATCAAACAACTTATGGGAACTTTTTTATCAGTTGTTAACTAGTTGGTACATTGGGGAGGTCTTTTTTTCTTGTAGTTTTCTTAATAAATATATATGACTGGCAACTCGTTTTATAATTTGTGTTAATTTCTGTATTATCTCGGTAACTAAAGAAAAAAGGTGAATAACCCTCTGCTCAGAATCGTTTTTGGTTTTCAATAGTTTTAATTAGTTCAATACTTTTCATTACTTTAATTTATTTCCGAAGAATAAGTAATAAAAATAAGACTGAATTACGAAAACAAAAAAAAACTGTTTATTTGTATCTTATATCTATCTACAAACAGGTATTTCAAAATATAATAGTTGAACATAGTTAAAATTTCGTCAATAACAGATTTTTTGTAAATATTTAATTTCAACATACTATAACTTTGCCAATTTTGTAATTACAAAAAAACTTTTTATATAAAAATTGTTTTAAAAAAAATACTCTATCCGAATCTGTAGAAAAAAAATGGTAAGGTCAAGTTAGGTATGACTAAATATATGATCATTAATGAAATATTTAGTGGTACCTCTTAGCGTGAACGCACTATATTTATATATACCTCCTTTCCAACTTCCCTTCTAAAACAGTGGCATACTTATCAACATTATCATATTTTTTTAATAATTTATGTGTATTTTAATTTAATCAAAAATGTTTTTAAAAATTACTTTTTCTTACATTTATTTATGTAAATAGGTTTATACCTTTATTTTTTTTTTAACTATATTGACAATAGTGTTGTTCAATTTATTTAGTGGTTTGGACAAGAAACAAAGGGAAGTAGCTATGATCGCTGAAATGATTCATTCTGCATCTCTAATCCACGACGACGTCATTGATCAGTCCGACTTTCGCCGCGGAAAGCCCAGTGTAAATGCACTGTGGAGTCACAAAAAAGTATGTAATATACAAGAAATTATTATTATATTATTGTGTAATGCTGTCAGTCTGCAATTTTCGTGTGCGGCCTATTATCTATGTTGAACTTACAAAATATTATATTACGTATTTTAGGTATATATATATTATTATAATGTCAAATTTACGAGCAGTTAAACCGTTTAAATCTGGTAAAAAAAAAAATCGGTAGACTTGTCCCTAAGTCATCATAATTATTACCTTTCAAAATACGTTTTCGGTGTTTGCCGATTCGTGACAATGACCGAGCTGACCGACATCTATTCCTCCTCCACTCCCCGTATATACGTAATTATTTTTACAAAATCGTATATTATACTCGAAAATTAAAAAATAATAAATTCGGTCAATATGATAATTTAATACCTTATCAAATAATGTCAGGGTAATAATACTTATGTTATTGATACAATAGTAATAAGTTAGCCTATACTTAATTGATCTATAAATAATATATTACTTGTAATAATTTGTGTATATTCCAACTCATATTTTATTAAAATCTATTCTAATAAATTTTTATTTATTATACTTATAAATTCGATTCAGCAGCAATTTTTAACATATCGTGTCAAAGGTTAAGTATGTGCTTTTTGGTGTAAATTATATCATCGTTGTCTTTATGAATTGGAGAATGTTTACAAAAAACCTATTAAAACCGGTTTGTTTGTCGGCACTACTTGAGTGTCTGTAAGCTGCAGGGCATGAACCTTGTCGGTTTCGTTTGAGAATGAAAAATTCTCTATAAAATCTTTGTGAATATTATAGTTCAACGAAAACTTATACAAAATTCCATTTCGATTTCTAATTTTCGTTATAATACTGTAATGAACATAGTATATAAAATAACAAGAAAACACTTTATGTGCTTCAGTTTTGTTTTAGGTCTTTTCCATATAATAAAGGTATAACAAATAAAATATCAATTTTTACAAAAACCTTTTACCTATGCTTAAATCTCTGTAATATTATTGTTATTTGATTTTATGTATTTTTTTTTAACTTGTTAGTCATATACCATAATATTGCACTGCAACCTTGACCGTGTCCCGTTATACTTTTACCGCAAAATAACAAATACAAAAGTGCGCATGCATTATACGTGGTATACTACGAGTAGACAATTTCGAATACAATTGCTGATGCAGTAAGAAGAGGTCATACGTATTATATTAATATTAACATATTATTACGCCTTAAAAGAAATGCTACTCGCTAAAATGTAATGACGAAAAACTATATAATTTGTTTTGGTAAAATACTACATGAAAGTTTTAAATGGTGTAATAGACGTAAATATCATACAAAATAAAAAAGTAATAAAGTTATTGGTATAAACAATAATTATTATTGCATTTGACCACAAACTTATGCTGACTTTTATACGTTTGAACGTGATGCTGAGAAAAAGAAAGAAAACCGAAGATTTAGCTAATATGGCAAATTCAGAGAGGCAAGCAAAATAAAACTGAATCGAGATAATTATGCCGTTTGAATTACTATTTTAGTGACTAGTGATATGTATGACTTCCCCTATTCGGGATAAGAACTGCAAAGATGTTAATCTATACAAATTAATGAACTCATTTAATTTCAAAATTTTCTTGTAATTGATGCATACATCATTATTCGCTTTGTTATAAAAACTGTTTTTACATTTCGATAAAGACCCGAGTATATAATATAGGGGTATAATATTTTCGGTTTATACTTTTTAATATGAGACACGAGCAGAGACGTATTCACATATATTTGACACTCCGGGGTACTATGTTCCTTTAGCGTCTTTAACTAAAGACTATGAACTATTTTTTTATAACACACATGAATTTCGTGCTGCACACTTTATACATTTTGTCCATAACTTTGTTTGCTCTAAAACACACTATGTCGATAGCCACGATTCTTCGTCTATCCCTATTAGTTTTCATATGTCACTGTTGTTTTATTCATTTTAGTTTTTTTCTTTTTCTATACGGTCCGTTTCTTGCCGCCAAAACTACTATTATACTATCGCATGCGTCGTATAGCAAAATAAAAACAAACAAATGACGTGAATGTAAAAAAATTTTACTATAGTTATGCCCAGTGGCGGCTCGTGGGTTTTGAATGAAGTAGTGCACACCCCCCAAAAAAAAAAAATATAACCAATATTAAACATAATATATTATAAATTGTATTAAATAATTGTTTACAAACTTTAGTTATTTACCAATTACCTTTTATTCTTATTTCCATTCTTTACCCAAGCGACATCATTAAATTTTTGACCAAAAAGTAAACAGGGAAAACAATACAAACGATTAGTTTCTGAACAACCACAAATCCAGTCATAGGTTTTATATATATTATTATTAAATTTTCTTACATATTCTCTCGTTTTACATTTAGTAATTTGTTTAATATTTAAGTCTGGAGTAGGCCTACCTTTATTTTTTATTTCCATCTTTTTCTCCAACGAGATTGTTGAAAAATTGCATTGCAGTATTTTTTGTACTGAATTCATTTTAAAAATTGAAAACAAATACACGAATAATAATAAACGTAATGTCGGTCGTCGATAGAAAACAGAAACACGATTGTTGTTTTGAATTTCCGATAATGATTGACTAGCCAATATTATCAGCTGATAATCGGAATATAATAAATGAATGAGAGTCAAAATAAACTATAATGCTGATGCCGACGCGCAACGACACGGCGACGTCGAAAATAATTCGCTGATAACAATTTAATTGGTTTTGTGCACAGAAACAAATGTGCACACTAATTCCATTATAACGCGGATTGCGTGTTTCGGCTTGTTTTAATTTTTACACTGTACAAATGTGCACAACGATTGTGTGCACAACTCCCACCACTATAATGCACACCGATACTGTTCCGTCGCGGACAACAGTCCGGCTATTTGGCAATCGAAATAACGCAAACTAAATATTATATTATTTTCATAATATTCTGAATTTATAATTTTATATTTTGAAAAATAATCTTAATAATACTACAGGTACTTAGTAGTTAGTTGTATAATTATGATTTATGTTTTCAATTTTTCTTGAGTTTGGGTAGGTAGTGCACGTGCGCTTGTGCACATATAAACGAGCCGCCACTGGTTATGCCTATCTCAAAGAATGCTAATATATTGTATTAAATAACAGATATACATCATTACAATACAACGGAGGTTATCGTTTGCTAAAGTATTGTAAATCATTTACGCATCAATATATTGAACAATAGGTAAAAATAAGCTATTTAAAAATGTGTAAAAGTTGCAAAATGAATCAACAAAAACGTGTTTAAATTACAAATATAATTTTTCAAAACCCAGAGTCAAATTGTACCATTATCCGTGTAAATTAATATCTATTTACTTCACCCCGCGTGTTAAACTTTTCCAAATGTTTTTGGATATTGTGTCCAATGGCGTTCGGGTACTTATGAATATTTATCTATTCGTACGGCCCGAAGACAAATCGACATTACAGCAAGTCTAATATTAATCGATGAAACAAAATTGAAAAATTTAATTGATGACGTTTAAGGGAGGAAGTTGTGGGTAGCTCGCTCGCGGCCCTCCCCGCGTATACACTAATCGAGATTATATCCACGTGATTTAACAAGGATTCGCGTGTCTACCGTTCGGCGCCGATATCCTGCAGCAGTTCAAATCAACATCGTTAAAAGCCAGTAGGCATATTAATGAGTATTACAATACTCGTCATGGTGGTCGTCAGCCTTATACGATCCATAGTCGACGCGAAGTATGTGCGGACGGTACGCAAACGTCTTAGTCAAAGGTCGAAAAAAACGACGGTGCGCATGCGTAAACGATCCGGTATATCCCATTGATATCGTTGCGATATAATAATCATTTATAATGCCGCGCGCGCGCGAGAACGGTAAATCGACGACGTGAAAAAAACTACGGTGGAAATTCGACGTGGCGCCGCGGTGGTGACCGAACCGACGACCCGCCAAAGACGGACGATGAATGAAGAAGGTTTGGCACCGTGGGTTTACTTTCACTATATGTCATTATCATTATTATCATTATTATTATTATTATTATACTGTAATATAGCGGAGGAGACCCACTTATTACGCGCCGCGTGCTCTACGACCAAGATTGCCCTGTTGGCATACCGCGCGAGTATCGATCAATTTCACTCCAGGAAACGCGCGCGAACTCGCGCACACACAACATAGCATACACACATACACACACTGCCTATACGTATAATATTATTATTGATACAAACCGAGCTGTGTACGCGGTTCTCGAAAGCGGTCTTTTATATAAGAAAGTTGTTGATGGGTGGAATGTATTGTATACCTATAAATAGTATTTTTGTCGTCCGGTATATTCGTGCGTACGTCGAACTTTTCCCGCGTGTATAAACGGGGTGATGATACGGGAGGTACGGTTATTCGTAAACGATAAGGCCGAATAATGATGAGGTAATAGAATAACGGCCCGAAAGCGTGATTTCGATACCTGTACGGCCATATATTTAAATGTAAAATTGATTCGTCCGGGGACTTTGGTGAATCTGAGTCGGCAAACGGATGAAATTAATCGAAATCAAACCCCCATTCGTTATAAGCGAAATCGTGTCTGGTAGGCTTTTATTTCGTGTGCACATTACCCGCCCTAAAATCTTTCCGGACCACAGTCGACCTACCCTATATATTATTTCATAGTTGTACGTTTTTTTTAGATACTCAATTGATTTATATATTTATATTATTTTTTTTTTTTTTTATAATAGAATTGTAGGTTACTGTCTTAATTGGTAGATATATTATAGTCCTTTTCAGTAACGTATCGGAGAGGGAAGGTATTATTGAGGTTTTAAATATTGACTGTTATTTTTCTTGTTTTTTTTTTTTTTTTTTTTTTTTTTTTTTTTTTTCTGTTAACCCGTAGTCATAACCGTCTGGTAGGCGTTGATTGGGCGATTCTCGTTACGCCACTAGTCATCCATCTGCATAAATCAGTGGTCCTAGCTTGGCCCACTGGAATAAAATATATCCCGGCGCCGCTACTGTCTACGTGCGTGCAGTGTGCGACCGGGCCGCGTTACCGATAACGGTTCTTATCAAAAAAAAAAAAACCAAAAAGATATCAAAAATAACCGACGATGCGCGACAGTGGCGGCGGCGTCGACGGCGGTTCGAACGGTACGTATATGACGTCGCGATAAAGGGCAAGGTCGGCGACCACACGCTATTTTTTAACAGTCGCTCCCATATTGGCGCGTGAATGTAGGTAAATGGTACGTCGACTCGGCATTATTGCATCACACGGAATATTATACTATTATTGTTATTTCTCCGCGGAAAACGAATATTACACACACATACACACACACACACGTCGATCGATAAGGAATGTCTTCGAATCGGTTTTATATTGTTGTCGATTTCGTTTGTTATTGTTGTAAAATATTGGTCGCTAATCGACGGGTGGGAGAGAAGATTTAAAAAAAAATAATAATAATAGTAATATTTTTTTTTTTTATCTCGCCGGTTCTCTCGCTCCTCTTCCTCCGTATATACCCATCGCATGCCTCGCGACTCGAAAACGTCTCATAATATTCTCTTGTTATTATCATAATATACACACATATATATACTTTGTCCCTGTGTATAATATCTATGTGTCGGTGGCGACGCGTACCTATAGAGAAAGTTCACCGTGTGTGTGTATGCGTGTTCGTGCGCATGTGTAGGCAGCCTATAATAGTGTTTATTAGAAGTGTACGTCGTCGTCGTCGTCGTGTGTGTTTCACAATTATTAGACGCTTGTTCCGGAAGACCTTTCACGCAATGCTGCGCGCGCGTAAACAACGAATTTTTATCTTTATATTATTATTATACTGTGCGTATATTAATAAATAATTGGCCGCACTCGGACACCGTTTAGATTTTTAGAGAGCCATCGTTGTCTCTTTTTATTCTTTACACACGTCATCTTAATCCGCAGTGGTGACAAAACTCGCTATAAATTCGTACATAAATATATCTAACCCATTTGTGTAGGCTACCATTTTTCCGTATTATATAACTCAATACAAATTCCTTCCCACTTGGTGCAGACTATTAGAGCTTATACTCATAAGCAGTGTAGTTAAAAAATGCGTTTGTGTTTGAAAATAAATCTTTTTATTATATCGATAAGATCGATTATCAAAAATAGATATTATTATTTGTTTTTGTCATCGTACTGGAAATATCTAAGATTTCTTAATAATACCGTATTTTATCACGTTTATTTTTTACCCTCCATTTTCTATTTGATTTCTGCTGTTTCGGCATAAAATGTTTTTCGGATTCTATAAAACTAACTAAATAAAACATATATTTTCGTTTTTTCGTGTTTATTATACGCGACCATTTCGTTAGGTAATGTTGAAATATAATTGCTATTAAATGGAGGATTTTCAGCATTCTGTTAAACTGTATCCAAATACGGATCAACAATCAAAATTTATAACCAATATTTGTTTTAATGCTCGACCCATGCTGTTTTCTATCGAAATAACATTCCTCGCCATGCTAACGTCTTCTACGCGTCTGAATTTGTACCACAGAGATAGTACATATGTATATACCAATTTATAATACAAAAACCGTGTGCTCATATTCGTATGTTGTAATTGTTTTATCAATCGCGAAGCGAGCGGCTTTGAAGAAGACATAAATTGATATTACCTATGATTATCGGGCCAGTGGAGATTTTGGATTTGCTAAAATATAACGAAATTTCGCCAATGCTGATAAGTACTAAAATATAATTAATAATTATATTACTCGTATTATAATTTTAACTGTAAATTACTGTAAAAATGTATTACGTTTAGAAATTACTCGGAAATATTTTTTTCTCGGCGTAGGCCTAGAGCATCTGTTATGTCATGAAAATAAAACAACTCTATTAAACAAAAAAAAACACATTATTACATATTATTACAATATTAAATAATCGTATTACGAGTGTTTCCTAATAATATAATTATTATCATTCTTTCCGTCGTCACATTAGTTTCCGTTAACTTGAATACCTGTATTATAAACGCGGGATTTTTTTTTTTTTACGTAGTCATCAAACACAATAGAAATGACAAAATTTACACCGAGTAAACATCATCGTGTTTCGTCGACAAAAATCTTAAAGTACATTGTTTTAAAAAAAAAAAAAACAAGTTTCTATTTACATGTAACGACAGTGTTCACACGACCTTACGGGTGTTTTACATTTTTGTTTGTTTTTTGTTGTATTTGCAACAGACCGCGTTGTGTATTCATTACTCATTTCAAGGAATTACTGCAGTGATAATTGTGCATCCCGGTTATTGTAATAGCCAGTTCTCTATAACAAAACTATTTCTCAATTGTTATACAATTTCTGACGGAATTTTGGTGATGTCATTTTTTTAAAATAAAATTTCATTTTGTGATAAAAAAAAAAAAAAAAAAGTTAAAACGCATCCTATTATTAAAGAAAATAAACTCGATAAAAGGTTACTGAAAATACTTACGTACTCGTAGCTGATAGCATATTATATTCAGTGGATATACCGATAAAAGATTTTGATAAGTGGTGTTTTAATGTGCTTTAACTACTGTGTGTGCTTTAACATATGGTTTAATTTTATTTACAATTTCTCTGTTTTGATACAGTTATGTAAACATAAAATTCCTATTTTTGGTCATGAACATAAAGCCAGGTTTAAAAAAAATATCAACGTACGTTTACTTAATTATGCAAAAGTTTTTGGACCAAAAAATGTAATATATATATAATAGTCTATTCTGAATTTATGTAATTCATTAAATATAAATATATTTCATTTAAAAACTTAATTACTTTTAAGAAATATATTCGTATTATACATTTGAATTTAGATTATACTTAATTGTAGTTTTCTTTGTAAAATGTCACTTATAATATGGTTTAATTATTTTATCTAACATCTTAATATTGTCTCTTGGTACTATTTTAAAATTAATTTGTATTGTATCTTTATTTTTTATTATATTGTAAGTTTACTTTATAACTTTAAGAACTACTCCCCCAGCACAAACTTTTGCTTATCGGGGGTGCTGCAACATAAATGGAACTTCACCTTACAAACCTGCAATAAAACAAAGGAGTAAGGCCAATATAAGATAAAAAATAATAATGGTGAAGAGTAGTAAAGAGGCAATAAAGACTGAAATATCTAAAAAAGAAGAAAATATTAATTTATTATTTGTAAACGCTGATAAATAATTATCGCGTAATACATTATAATAACACGACTCGTCTACAATGACGTGGGTACAAACTGGGTTAACTTTTACACGGTCCAAAATTATGACCCATTCATTTTTACGAATATTTGCCAATCCGCGAATATTATAATAATAGTAGTAACATAATAATTGATATTTATCAGATATTATTATTATTTCACACGAATCAAAATTATTATAAACCGAAATCTGTTATTAACCCACAATAATGATCACGTGATGACCTTAAAAAGTGAAGAAAAAAATATATAGAGAAGGGCACCGACGGAATGCCATATCGGAACCCTCCGAAAGACACACCCGAGTTAAGACCCAAGGCGCACTGGTAGAAAAAAAAACAAATATTCCTACCACAAAATAACATGTATTAAACATAGATTGCTTTCACCTGTAATATAATTATTGTATTGGCACAAGATGAACCGACTTTCTAGTTAGGTAAGTATACTGATGCGTCCCCCTTCCCTCGTGTGTTAATACGGGTAAAAATTTAATCAAATATTCGGGTTCGAATGTCGGTGTGTACATTTTTTCGTCGATCATAGTGTAACAGTATTTTATTTTGCACGAATCTGTTTTCGCTAAATATAATATTGTGATGATGATGATGACTACGAAACGGAATGATATATTATTTGCAGACCGTCATTTTACACGTAAATGGGTGTATAAGTCATATGGTACGGATTGTATAATATAGAAAGATCCGATTGCGGTTGGCGTCGTTATGTCTGCGGTTCTAGTATCGTATTATGTTCACGCGTAAATTTGATATCCTCTAAAGATTTTCGTATGCCATCATGTACAGAACATGTACAAGGCAAAAAAAAAAATTAGAAATATTGAGAAATAAACTCATCGTGATGACGGTATTCTTATATCCACGGTATTTCGTCTCGTTACAATGTTACCTTACAATGTTTTCCTAGTCAGAGTGAAGTGTGTCCTGGCTATTTTTTGGGAGAAGGGGAGGAGACTATCGTATAAAACAGACGTCAACTGTATAGTCATGTGGGGTAGTTGCGTAAATATCGTGAAGAAAATAATATTTGAATAATGGCATTGTTATTACCTACCTGATATATTATTTCGAGTTACCTAATCGATGCTGAAGTTATAGAAATATAATATTATGTTTAAGTGCTCCGAAATGTTACCCAATTTTGATAATGTTTAGAAATTGACGACCTACGCACGTTTTGGTAATTATATGGGCAGGTACAACATAAGTTCCAATAAACACAAATTCGATTAGGAAAATCATTTAGAATTGTTTGTTTAGGTACATTATATGTTTTTGATTTGTTGAGGGTACTCACGACATTCCTAGATAATAATTTCGATATTACGTGAATAACATTAATAATATTTTTTTTTTTGATAATGTAACAATAATGTGTTCTCTCTTTTCCTACAAGAAAATGTTTTCGTTACACAATTATTGTCTTCGTATAGTTTAGTTTAATTTATATATATATATATTATAAGTCTGTATACCCTGTCAGTAAAACTACATAATATATTACGATAATTAAACGGTCATAAATCATTTTGTGGTCTTTATTGAGCTTTTTTATTTTTTTTTGTTTTTCATTAGGTCACGACTATACGGTGGTGAAAAAAATAATAATTTGGGGTAATGCAATTTAAAAAAAAAAAAAACGTTATGAAATTCAACGACGGTGATGGTGAAATAATACTACAATATATTTTATTGTCCGACTGTATAGTCAATGGTTAAACAATCGCGATGCCACCTAAATTAAAATTGAATGGGATTATAATAACGTTTTTTTTTTGGTTCGTCGAACCCTTGAAAATTTTTACTTTTAAAACTATATTGTTGTTGTTGCGTTTTGCGTTTCGTCGTACGCATCATACAATGCGCTTCTCCGTCGTCGTCGTGCGTTTACTGATTTATAGCCAAGTTTTCTATCGCATTGGCTTTCGGTATTGGAATAATTTTTATCATCTCGTAATCGAAAACGCATACAATATACATTTCGAAATAATTATTCTTCTTGGCGCAAATCGTGGTTTTTAATATGTAGGTAGCATTTTCGTTGAATTTCTAATAAGTAAATATTCGTTATTTTCTATAGATCGGATAGACCAGACTGCAGGTACTGCCGCTCCAATGAATATACGTTAATAAAATAATATAATTTCGGTTTATTTGCTTAACGCACAATTTAAATGTTTTTAATTTTATATGATATATCTAAACCTATTTCGTTACTCTGATCACTAGAGTTATAGGTTATAGGAGTTATAGGTTAATTTCTAGTCGATAATCGATTATTAATTACACTTCAAGCGTTTGATTTTATTTACTCGTATCGCATGAAACTTGTTATAATAATTTAAGCATTCTTATGAGTGAAAATTACATATAATATTGAATTTAAAAGCGAAAACTATAAATTCCAAAAATGTAATACTTCCCACAAACGACTTGTTAGTAAATTAATATTAATGTTGCGGCATATTTCTTTCTACCGATTGAATTGATTGTTAAGTTATAAATTCGTTACGTGTGGAATTATGAATTGAAATCTAAATATAAAAAAAAAAATGTTAGCACAACTTTTTGCAATACTTTTGGCATATTTTCAATTTTATTGCGAGTATTTTGCAATAATTTTAAAAAAATTCCAAGTAATTTTATATGGTTTTAATTATATTTTTGAAGACAATCATTGTGTTTTACACATTATTCATTAAATTAAATAAACTAAATATCTGTATACTGTTTCATTATGCGACATTTATAACGAAAATGTGTTATTTTTTAGTGCAAATTTGTTGGTCTTTTACATTTTTAACCAAATATTGTGCTGAAATCAATTTCACTTAAATTTTACTGCATCTATATTCGAACCCAATATCTATGCTTCATTCTATATCGAATAGGAAATAATATTATTTATTATAATCATAAATTCTCGATACAGGTATAACCCTCTAATATAGTATATTATATTTAAAAAGTACTTAACCAAAAAATAAAAAATAAAAAACGAAGCGATATAAGAATAAAAATATAATAACTATCTGGAATCCAACGTCCGTGTGTCCTAAAGTAATTTTATCACATCGCTCGGTCGGTTTCGTACATAGTTAATGAATATGCATCAAATTTCGGACCCGTTCTGTGTTATTTATTTTTTGGATAACTAAAATGAAAAAAAAAACCGGAGTCGTTAATGAAATCAATGCGCATCTACATATATATATATATATACAGGTATACTCGATTATTCGTATATATACTCCCGGTCGTTTCACGATAGATAATCTTGATGTAGCCGCGTATATAATTATATTACTAAACTCGCGAGACGGTTTTATTTACTTCTTGTTCTCGTAAAACGACACGTACGATGGTTCCCAACAAGAGTTCAACCCTATGATCGTGTGCCGGCCGGTCGTCGGGTGAACGATCGAACAAGTGTGTCCTACGGCCGCACGTGTTGTGTGTACGAGCGCGCCTATATTCTACAGGTAGGCACAACGCCACGCGACTGGAGCGGTCGCCGCCGTCCTTGACCGGTCGCGAGGCTGCGCCCGTCCACGTTTGCTATTGGTCATCGCGGCGCGTCATCTATAATATCCTTTTTGGCCAGTGTGGACACACCTTTATAATATACACGTACGTGTATTAACATTATAAGCGCGCCGAAGAAGTCGAATCCGTCGCCTCCTAGCTCCACTATCGCTAGCTGGAATGCGGTTTCTTTTCACCGAATAATAATTATTATGCAATCTCCGCTGCCGCCTCTTTCTCCTCCTCCTACTGTTCATCTGCAGTTAGTTTTCCCCACGTTCCCCGGCCCTCTGCCCCGGCGGTGACGTCCGTTTCTCCTCGTATAGTCGAAAAACTCCCGTGTCCGACCTTGGCCCGCACGACGGCGACTATAAGCAGTGCCAGTGATATTTCGACGTGACGCTACAAGACGACGAAGATCGCTGTTAAAGTCGTAAAATAATTATATTCGGATTAGTAGGGGGATTTGTATATTCTTTTTCATGGTTTTTTTTTTTTTACCAGACACGTTGCGCAATACAATTTATTGTGCTGCGTTTCGGTTTGCGCGGGATATTGGACGCGTTTGCGAAACTTAAATACATACCTATAGGTAAGATTATTAGGACGCACCAACAAACGTCGTCGCCCGATAGGCGAAAGTATATTATATATATATATATATATATATATATATATATATAGTAATAGCTGGTAACCGACATTATATGTATATATATAAAAAAAAAAATAACACTCGTATATTATGTGTACTGCGGCTTCGGATATTCAAGGTTTTTTTTTTATCCGCACTAACAAAACTATGTCAGACCACGTTGTTCTATTTAATAAAACTTTGATATAGACGGATAAATCAATTATATCTTCGAGTAAACGGTGGCGTATTCGACGATCGAACAACTGGCCGAAAACGCACGTGCTATACATTGCTGCTAACTGCTGCGATTTAGGTCACGATTTTGCGCGCGGTCGTTAGCCGTGAACGAAAATACCTACATACTGCAGCCTACCCTGGTGAACAAAAAAAGCTTTTGAACGATGTAACATTATAGCATTACTTGATTAGTCAGTTTTGTAAACAATATAGTAAAACAATAAGTATATGTACTTGTATTTTGTGAGTGTTTAAAATACGTATGCTGTATAAAGGTTTGCAAACAATTTTAATGAATCGTTGGTTGCTCCGTTGAATCATTCAATGTTTTAACAATTCATCAACCGTTAATTAAATTGAGGGATCTCCTAAACTGGAGCCATTATTTCATTCATAATTCCGAATTTTAAACCTGGTACTAAAAATGCTCTTTTCACTGATGTTAGTCAAACACTTGTGGGTGATGATTAGGGCTTATATTAAAATAATACTAACTTAAATCTGTCAAAAGTAATGGTTTTATTTTCAACCCGTTTCGTATTCACTAAAACTATTTTACAATTTCCAGGCGATTCGAGTGTAAGCTTTGCTTTTATTATATATTTTCGTAACTCAAATGTTAAAACTGCATTTTAAATTCTGATTGGAGTGAAGAAGCTTATGGTTTTACAAAGATGTTTTATTTTATTTTTTTTTCTGTAAACAATTTTTCTATCAGAGAACTTGTTCCGATTTTTACTTGTAGCATCTTTTTTGAAAGGAAGGTACTTTAGGGAGGTCATTTTTTGATTTTCTCAAGTTTTGTCATCAAATGCGAAAAATCGTAAAAAAAAATGAAAAAAAAAAATTCTTCTATGTAAGTAGTAGTTGTAAAGTCCATTTAAATATTTTCTCTTCTTTGCGTTTATTTATCAACTGCAATAAATATCTCAATTTTCCATTGTGGTTATCATTATTATATCTTAACCTTGGTACCATATATATAACCATATAATTTATTCAAACTAAATATTAAAAAATAATAATAACTTGTCAATATACGAGAAATGTCACAAAATCTAAAAATAGTAATGTTCGTTCGTTAAGTTTTTTATATTGCTTTTAGAAGTTTTTATATATTATATTTTTTTAACAAAATACAAAAACACAATATTTTAATATTATATGCGTTATTAGATTCCTTAAATTAAAATTCTCAATGACTTTGCTATAAACATAATATTTTGAGCCGAATAAACTGAATTTAAAAGCCAATAAAATATCACAAGTTAATATCAAGTATTATGTTAAAAGTAATAAATCACATAATAATTATTGTTAAAACATTTATTATTATTACTATTATTGGTCTTTAAATTAAGGTTTTTTTTTTTTTTACTTTGTAATTTAATAGTTTAACGAATTGATGAATTATTTATGATTCCAATTGATGGTATTATACCATGGATACCGTGGTTACCGTGGCCAGCAGAAATTAGTATCTACGAAATAATATATCGGACAGTTAAATTAAAAAAAAAAAAAAAAAAAATGAAAGTTTGTATCGGTCGATCAACGCATATATTAATATTTTGGATAGCTATACATTTATTTTCCCCGCGGGCCGATTTAGTCCCAAATAAAACTACAGTCATCAATGACGTAAAATATTAATTATTACTTTTTTGTGAATCGCTGTGACCTCAGAGCAGCAGTCGCGATAATATAGTTTCACAAAATATCAAATACACGTTGCACTATTTTGTACTATATAGTAATATTATATTTAAAACGAATAGTAAAATAACAATATATCATCTTCTTTTTTTCGTGGTCTTCAATTGGTTGGCCGCAGCTCTTCTTGATTTTATACTTATAATATCTGCCAAAACTTTTTGATTTTGGGTCCTTCTATTCCGGTCAGTTTACAAATTTGCAATATAATGTATTCAATGTCTAAATACGAACAAACGAATATTCACTTATTACTAGGAGTTCTAGTTTTTGTATACTATGTTTTTTTATTATAATGTGTTGATTTTACTGTAATGTGTCTTCCTTTTTTGTATCTGTTAACAGTTTTCTTTACCTGAAAATATGTTCCTATAAAAAAATTTTAAAGGAACACTCTTGTTACATTTTTAATCTAGTTGGAGAAATAATTTTTTTTATTTTCCTTGTAGATTTCCTAATAAATGGGAAAATTGACATGTATACGGTTTTTTGATTTCTGTATTACCTTTGGCAACTAGGGAAAAATACGACTAATAATACTCTGCTCATAATCATTTTCGTAAGCAATGTTTTATCGTTGCGTACAAATATAAATTAAATTACTGTAATATATATATATATATATATCTTTCCTTCTAAATAAACAATTACACGCCTTTCAACAGTATCGGTAATTTTTATTTTTTTAGAAAGATTTCTAATTACATAGATTGAGTATATTGGTGACCTCCGAGTACTTTTCATATTGATTTTGTTTTAAAGCGATGATCGATTATTTTTTTTATAAATACCCATAATAAATCTTGTATATTAATGTCGCTTCGCTATATGTGAACGTTCACGGACATTAGTAATCACGGTTTAGTAATATTTATTTATTTTGGTGTTTAAAAAGAAATATAACGTTAACACACTCGGATAGTTTCACTTGTATGTGTACGTAAATTATGTTAATTTTTCTGTCTCGAATATTCTGATGTCATTTACCTTCGCCCGGGAGTCACGAGATATTATATTTTTTGTACATATTTATAACAGGGCGCTCGAGTTAGGCAATTCCCGGTACCTCCGCGACGCAAGTCTGCAACCGACAACGGAATTCTATATTATTATCATAATTTTTCTTGTCCGTTCTCACTTAAAAACAATAACGTGTAGCGTATAGTGAAAGTATCTTCACTGTCGCATGATGCGTATTATACTTATAATATTATAAAGAATCGAATTGAACGTTAATAATCGATCCGTTTTGTTCATGACGGTATAGGTCCGTTAAAAATATTATTTTAGTGTTTGTTTACCACCGTATTTATACACTTTGCCACCTCTCTCCTCTGTCATCTGTCTTGAACTACCTCTCTCCAGTTTTCGACATTACTTTTTTAAGCTTTTTCCAAAAGTCAATTCGTCTTTTCTTGGGTTTTCCTCGGAATTTTCATTCCGAATTGCGGTCCAAACTTTATCGTTTTCTTCTCTCTTTATTACGTGACCTCACCACATGTTATCATATCATTTTTCCTTTAACGAAGCGTGTCATCTGGAACGTATTCAGTAGGTAGGCCCTGGCAGGCCTAGGCCTACCCAGATTTTCTATCATTAAAAAAAAAAAAAAAACTAACTATTATATATAAAATAAAAAGCTCGTAGATTTTTTTAGACTGTGAAAAATTATATAGTTTTGAAAAAACTTTTTCATTTTATCATTCTGATAAATTTTTTATCAATTTAAAATATCAATGAACATTGGGTAAAACATTATTTCCATCTTGTTCTGGTCTTTCTGAACTGTTTTACAAAGTTATCAAATTGGATTTGAAGAATAGTGTTTAGTGCTTCAGTGGAAAGTTCTAAACTAAATGGTTTAACGTTAAAATTCATAGCAAAAGAAATAAATGAACAATTTATTGATAATCCGTCGGCTGTTATGGACGAGTTTGCTGTCATAAAGAAAGAATGATTGGAATTTTTACTTTAAAAGCATTTTATAATTGGACAATATGTTTATTATTATAAATTACAAGTATATTAATTATAACTTTATTTTGTAAAACCCTCTGGTATTCAGATAAATACACATTTTATCTTCTAAAATTATCTACTTTTTTGTTGGTTAAATTTGTTTTAAGAATGAATTATTAATAAGAATAATCATTGATAACTTTGAAATTATAGAAGGCTAATATAAAAATTGGGATAAGTCTCCATTTCCATCTATGAGCAGAAGGTTTATAATGGGCCTACCTAAAAGAAAATTCCTAGCTATACCCCTACTTATCACCGGTACATCTCTATAGTCGAACCTTATTCGTCAGTTCCTTGTTGTTCCATCGATTTACTTGTTTTTCTTCATATTTCTATGTTCTCGAAATTTCTCAATCTTCTATCTGCCCAACCCTCAAAATTATAAGTGAGAGTTTATCATATTATAGCTATTACGTGTTTTATTGTTGAATAGTGACATGATATAAATTCAAAATTATTATATGTAACGGATATGCAAAACTGTCGTTTTGTCGTAAAAATATTATAAATTAATACCATTTTTATTACCTACCTACACGATTCGTTCTTACTAGACGTCTATTATTTTAAGAGTTAGACATAATCCCACTTTATGTTTGTCGTTAGTTTATGTGTGACATTTCGTTTATAGGAAGGTGTTATCTACTATTCAGAAATATTATACGAGTATTGTATAAGTATTGATTTTGTCGAATATCCGTGTCTGAGTTACACTGTACTGTGCATATTATTATTAATTAACTGTGACGAAACGTCACACTACACAGTAAACTTTCAAAGACAATATAATTATAAAACAAAATAATGTAGTTCTTTTAACAACGACGACGTTGTGGTTTTAATAATATAATATATTATTTGTTGTACGGAAAAACTTATAATATTGTTTGTTCAAGTGTTTGTGTGTCTGAACCTTTATTTACTGTAAAAATAATTTTTTGATCTTTGTACATTTTTTCGAATTTTATTTTTTACAGGTAGCCATGGCTGGTGATTACATATTGGCCGTGACGTCCATGATGATCGCCAGACTCAATCACAACGACGTCACGATCACGCTTAGCCAAGTATGTGTGTTTATAACTTACCTTGTTATCCTATCTACATAAATACGTATACACATTATCGAGAACGGCATAAATTTAAAACATTTACAGATCATCACTGACTTGGTTCAAGGGGAATTTATGCAGCTTGGCTCCAAAGAGACCGAGAACGAAAGATTTGCTCATTATTTAACGAAAACTTACAGAAAAACGGCCAGTCTCATTGCGAATTCAGTAAAAGCTGTAAGTATATATCTAGTAAATATATTTTTACTATAACAACAATTAAAAAACGTCATATTGTAAAATTATGACTTCAAGATTTTTTGATATTCTGACCCACCGAATAATTTTCTTATAATATATTATGCAGATGTCGAATTTAAATTTTGAATATCAATAAAAAAATAATAATAAGATTTTCGTGTTGATACTATTACTATCTTATTTTTGACATATTTAAATAAAAAAAAAAAGGACGGACATACTTCGTACGTGAGTGTAGCCACTCTTGTAGAAGGGAAGTTGGGAATGTAAGATATAAACGATAATTTAATGTATATCTGTAAGCAACCCTAAACTATTGATTAAAACGACTTTGAGCGGAGTTCAATTGATAGTGTTGCCTTGTCAACAATATATATGTCAAATTATAATAAAATGATTATAACAATGTGTGTTTCCATGATAACAATGATTGTTTAAAAAAAATGAAAATAATAAAAACTTAATAGGTAATAACAAAAAACCAAATGAAAACAGTTGCCTTATTTTTAATCTTTTTTAACCTAAAGAACCAGGTTTTTATCATTATCTCAAATATTAATGAGAATTTTAAAAAATGACCTCTCTAAAGTACCTCTCAGAGAACATTTTCTTTCAGAAAAGATGCTATACTTAATAATCGGAGTAAGCTTTCTGGTATAAAAAGTGTTCACATAAAAAAAAATAATAAAAATAAACATTATTGTAAAACCAATACATTCTTCACTAAACTCATAATATAAAAAAATAAAAAAACGAATTTAAATATCCATTATACCGTTCAATATAATTAAATAACATTTTTAAGGTTAACCCTCTCAGAAAGGAACTCGATTTTCTATTTTTGAATTTCTTTTGATACAATTATCGAATTATAAATGTGTTATTAGTACCTACTTATACATTTAATATTTAAATAAATAAATAATAAACTAAAGTGTAACGTAATTAATTGAGTGTCTAGTTTTTATAGGTTTTTAAGGTTTATTTCTATATTATTTGCATATTATTATCATCTATTGAAGAATATTTATCATTTTTTAAATTAAATACTAACATTAATTTAAGTAGAAATACAATTTTGATTAAATTGACATAATACATTTTTTGAAGTCTAGTCAAATGATTATAAAATACTTTTGTGAGTCAAAAATCTAACTTCAAGTTTTTTTATATCAATTTTCAGTTTCATTTTGAGTTCCTATTTACACGATCGAATATAAAATTAAATGGTTGAACATATTTTTTAATGAATTTGTGTTCTCGATGATTCCTGTCAGCCTTCGTTCCCGAGAATTACGTATCACCAATTACATTATACCTACGTATTTATTTTCACCCATGTCTTAAGTAAAATCTTATTTAACTTCCTTCAATTCAACATTTTGGCTTCGCCACTGGTTAAAATTAAAATGAGAGAAAAATTATAATTTGTTAGGTGCGTATTTTATTGAGCCGGATAAATTTTAATCTCACGTCCTAAATTTTATTCCCACTCCGTTCCTGGAAATGATTATGTACGAAAGTTATACTAAATTATACTGAAAGTGATATTGTGTTTCGAAATATGATAATGTCAAATAGGTTGTAATTATCAAAATAAAAATTGGCAATGTGCGTATTAAAATTCAGCATATTATCGAATGGTCTACAATGTAGTAATATCTCGTGCAAATACCTAACCTATAATCGATTTAGTTTTATTGTAAACTAACGTTTTTTTTTATTATTATTATTATTATTATTCATTAACCAATCGCTCACGTACTATAGGTAAGTACTTGTATATATATTATTACATATTTTACTTCGAATTATTATTAATAACGTTCCGGTTGCGCTTGGCCTTATTTCTTTAATAATCGTATCGTATTAATTGCTATACGGTGCGAGATTTACAACGTTTGTCCGAATTCCCGACGGAGAATATTTTCATATGCGATAAATCTTCAGAAGCGTGTCTTGCACACACCGTTCATTTTCCCCTAGATACAAGTATATTATCTACCTTCACGTGTGAAACAAAATAATTTCGGTACACATATTAATTTTCACTACTTTCTTGCGTTTTTAATGAACGTCTCGAATTTCCATTTTTTTTTTTTTTTAACGGATGGTTAAATCTCTAGGTTACAATGAAATACTTACCGATACATCCATGTATATAAAACGTGCGTATAAAACTGGTATGAATATGGTTTAGTTGTTGTATTTTTTTAAATTCGGAGTATAACGAGGAATGTATACGTTTTACAATGATGTTTATTTTTTATACGTATAGATTCTTTGAACAACTATTTTTGGACTACTAGAAATTTTGCTCCGGTGTATCAAGTGTAGGACCTTTTAGAAAGGAAATTTCATCTACTTGGTAAGTTAAGGAAAGTAATTTTTTGATTTTCTGAGTGGTTTCTATAATAATTGGAAAAAAAAAAACGTAAGAAAATCGGAAAAATTTAGGAAAATAATGTTTTTATAATTTTAAATTTTGATTTTTTTAAGCGTGGTAGCATTTTCAAAACATTTGTGCCATTTTTGAGCTATTTATAGACAATTTAATTTTGTTAGTTTTTTACGTAATTTGTATTCGGTAAGAATTCTGTAAATAAAATGAATACACTTAAAAGAAATGCATGACAATTTACAAACAGGAGGTTCATTGTAAGTACTACTTTATGGTAAAAAAAAAAATTAAGTTTAATGTAGTTCTTTTTTGTACATAAGAATTTTAATATCAAATGTTGACGAAAATCATAAATATTACGGCCTTTCGAAACATGTATAACTACTAACTATGTCTGATATTTATATATATATAATATATATTATAAATATATATTTGGACAAGTCAGTGATATTATTGTAATCCGGTTAAGCTATACAAACGCAATCGAAACACAATGTTATAATCAGTATTAACGACGGCGCTCTTTTCGTTAAGTGACGGTTTTAAAAAATTATAGAATCGACGACAAACGCATTGTCATCTATTCGATCGAAATCGATCGTAAATTATTTATATTACGAAAGAAAGTTGATATAAATTTCGCACGCCGACCGCAACAATTTCTTATCGTATAATATACATACTTATAATAAATTATTTCGATATTGTCGCGCAAACCATGGAGTCATCAATTTTAATGAAAAATTATTAACGCGTTTTAGACAAGGAGCTGAAGAAACTTACATAATTATTATATGATATGTTTTTGCGGTCAAAAACCAATAAAAATGATTAAAATATTCCCCCTCCCCTCCAAAAAAAAAAAAAAAAAGAAACGATTTCGTTAATGTAAAAATTTAATTTTTATTTTTAAAAAGCAGTAGTTACACATAATAACATAATAATTAAAACATCAAAAAATTTAAATCATTTGAAATTACAAATCACGAAAAAAAATATAATAATTATAATGTACATATAAAAAACACGATATGATTATTCATAATAAGTATAGATATTAAAAAATTTTAAAAAAACGTGAAAAATAGTTTAGTAAATTTGAATTATTAAAAGCAACATTGTAATCGATTATGATAATGATAGTAATATATCATCATAAACCACAAAATGTTGCGTTAAAAATGTGTTAGATTAAAACTAAGAACTTCATTTAATTAAAAACGTATAATACTCATATGAAATTACCGTGGGATTTTTATTTTAAACAAATATAATATATTGTTGCGTTCTAATAATATTTTCGGGAAAAAAACGGTTTAAACAACGCACTGAGATCGGGTGATGAAAATTTTCACGATTCGTTACACGATTTTTGCCTGCAGTGGTTGTACGAACGGGGTCGAGTACTCGTTTCGGTATAAACTTTGCCGATAAAATCATACACACACGGCATGTTATTATTTTTTTTTTTTTTTTGTCGGAGATTGTGATAATGAATTTTTAAAAAGAAAAAAAATATTGCGTATATTATATATATATAATATTTTAATAATACGCGCCGAACTAATATATACCTGACCAATAACCATTTTTTTTAAATTTTACTCGTATTTCTTTTAAATATAACAGTTTTAACCAGAAATAACAGAGCAAAACGTAACCGTATTTCTTTCATTTTTTTTTTTTTTTTTATTCATGGCAATAAAATATATAGACCTTCTTTATAATATATTGTTTAAACTATATAGGCCTATTAACTCTAATCCGGGGTATCCAGAAAGAAAAAAAGACATTTATCATGGTTTTATTTCCCCATAATAAGCATTGATTCATCGAAAATCATAAATATTATATATCATAATATACTGTATGAGGTCATCCGTGGTATATTTATGATAAATCAATATTTTTCACAAGGAAAACAAATAATATTTCGTTTTTCATCCCGGATATCTTTTTTTTACTTGTGTACAGATATATCTGCTTGAATTTTTTTTTCGGAACACAAATACGTCCACTGTCTACAGTTATTACTTAAGTTTACGATTTAAAATTTAGAAACGTGTTTATACATTATAGTTTATTTTTTTTTTTTAGGGATTATACATCTGTCTCGATTAGTGTCGATCACGATAATGATTAAAAGCAGCTATATATTATAAATATGATTATGGAAGACGTATTTTAGATATGAATTGCGCATTTGCAGTATACAGGGTAGTATCTGACGATTATATATATGATCATTGCGATATCTTGAAATGTATTAACTTTTTTCGATGTTTAACGAGGTAAGGAACAAGTAACTCTTAAATGTTACATTACCATTATTTTTGATCACCTTTATTTTAGAGGGTGAACTGATTTACCCACTTTTTACTTTTAAATGTCAACCTTTATTCCATAAGTAGACAAAACATTAGTTTAAATACATGTTGGTGTTGAAATGCTGTATTTGATTCCGAGGTATTCCTCTTTTGAGTTTGTAAGGTTATCGGTTCACTACCAAGAATAAGGGTAACAACAAATAACGGTATAATGCAACATTTTAGAGCTACTTATTTTTCAAAATGTCAAAAAAAAAAAGTTAACACTTTCCAAGATATCGCAATGATCTTGGAAAATATTTTCATGGGATACACCAATATAAATATTGGAAATTCCCGGAAAGAAAACTCAACTGGTAGTTATTTCTGTACTAGATATATGTACCTAAATAATAAAATCACTACTGCCTTGAGTAAAACGTCCTTGGCACATTCTTATGTTACCCCAAATATCTCAAATTTAAGTGTGTAAAAACTTATGTATGATTGTACCTAAATTTTTATCCATAATCATCGATGCGGGTTTTTTGTTTTGTTTATTATATCCTTTTATAAAATAATAATAATAAATTGACGGTCTGTTTTCCGCCGCACAGGAAGCAATGTTGGCCGGTGCCGACGACAAACTGGTAGACGTATCGTTTGAGTACGGCCGCAACATCGGGCTGGCGTTCCAGCTGGTCGACGACCTGTTGGATTTCGTGTCCAGCAAAGACGCCATGGGCAAACCGACGGCCGCCGATCTGAAACTGGGCTTGGCTACTGCTCCAGTACTGTTCGCCTGCGAAAAGGTAAATACATATAAATAATACCCATTTTAATGTATTGTGTTTTTTTTTTTTTTTTGCAAATAATATTATATTTCCAGTGTTGTAAACCACGACACCCATTCTCTTAAAAACGATTTAAATTTATACAAACTGTATGGCTGGATCGATGTGTATGCAGTTCTGTAAATATTTTACGAAGACGTAATATTTGTATTTTATTTCGTATTATATTTAACGTCGTTACACCAAAACTGCAGTATGAATTAAAAACGATTGTTTTTTATTTTACTTAAAATGTTCTATGCCAAAAAATTAAAATTAAAATAGTTTTTTTTTTTTTTTAATATTCTATAAATTGCTATTAGCCAAATTGACAAATTCGTGTGCCAAACCCGCTTGTTCTATTACAAACAAAAACATGTTCGAAGGTAAAACTAAAGTCGTATACGTTTTCAATTGCGTTTCATATTTAAATTGCAATTTACTTTGAATTTATTTTCTTGTTTTGTCCGCATTATTGAATTTGTAAGATTTTTTATTTTTTTAATAATAATCACCGATTTTAATCCTAAATTTTTGTATAAAACAAAAATTATTGTTTGAAAATCAAAAATGCGAAATATAATCTTCTATAGGTAGCTTTAATAAAAAAACATAAATATTAAATTTTTAGGCTTACCATTAAAAATAAAATATTACAAAACAAAAAGCCGGCTATTATAATATAAATGTACAATAAATTATCGCCCCAAATAAGATGGTACTTACAAAATTCCTTAACAATACATTTTTTTTTTTTTAGATTTATGCAACTGGTACCTATTTTCACATTTATTGCCGCCAGTTTTAAAGCGCATCGTGTATAAAAGTACCATATAAATTTCATCTCAATACACGATATTTAATAGCATAAAATTATACAAGTAATATTTACTGTCTTGCGAGTCGTTTTTCTTTTTTAGTAACTTTCAAATTTTCAATACACCGCAGTACCTGAACCGTTCGTCCTCGTCCCAGTGGCATATTTTTTATTTAGCACGAAAGGCCTTCGTAATTCTGTATATTAACCTATTCTGCCCGCAAGACTCCGCGATCGAAAATCATATAAAAAAATTTGGATAAATTAAATTGCTGCCATTCACAAAACAAATTTTGTTTTCATATCATGTCTATTCGATATTATATATTTTATTTTGTTACAGTATCAGTATATTAAAATATTACAATAATATACCATCAAATAATATAATATAATATAATAACTGACTCGAAACTGGGGGAAAAAACGGGTTTGCAGAAACTGCAGGCTAATCTGAAAATAGTCTTAATAGTCGAAATCGTTTTGAAACCCGTTTTTAGTGTCCTCTTAAAACTATCTATTTCGATATCAATCTCGTCGTCCTCCAAAACGCTGCACTATATCAAATATTGATAAACACCAAAATACATTTTCGTCAGCCCTAAACATTAGTGTGTGTAGTGTGAAGAAAGGAGTTCATTTCCGTTTACTAAACATAATTTTTAGTCGATTTAGGTACATCAATTTAAAATACGAGAAAAAGATAATGATGAATCCGTCTTTAATTTGCAGTAGGTTTAGATATGGGAAGTAAACGTGCAACAACCTAATCTGATTTTATATCGGATGTCTGCTATAAGTACCAAAAAAATTAATGAAAAAAAAAAAAAACATGGTTTATGAAATAATAATAATCGTAAACGTATATTTATTTGTTCATTTTCCCTCCTCCCTCAATTACAATTACATTTTTATTTACTTTTATTTTCGGTTGCAATGTGAAGAAAGGAGGAAGAGACGACAAAACGTCCAAGAAACGTTTTTTTTCTGGTGGAAATTTCAGGTTTTTTTTTTTTTAAATCCTGTCCTAACCGTGTAGAAATAATTATTATGAAGAGATGGAGGGGCACACCAATTAAAACGTCACATTTCAACCTATATCGTTTAAGGTAGAATGCTGACAATAGTGAACAGACCCAAAAAACCGTTGCGCTTTGTTGAAACTGGGGAATTTTATACGGCGACCATTCGCTGCGTTTCGAACCGCTTTCTTTAATACTATACGCAGATGCAAAATGTAGAAAATTCCTTCAAAAACCCGACGAATGCGCCTTTTCGTCTATGTAATAACCGGTCAGTCGGGTTATATAGAGAATTCGCTACTCTGTCATTATTATGAGTCGTTACTCATCATTAACCGTAGGTACTTATAATAATATTATTAATAATAATAATAATGACGATCGCTAGGAGGGTTTATAAACCTCACGAATTTCGCCCGTAACCAAGTGGTTTTTTTTTTTTTTTCATTAAGCACGTTCAAACTCTATTAGATCAAACGCCCAATGGTCTGGGTCAAAGGGAAGTATTGCAGACACTACTTCTCTCTGCACGGACATAAAAATGCAATATATGCAATTGAATGATGACTATCAGCATTTTTTTTTTTTTTGTATAAAATAACGAATTAAAATAAATTTATTTTGGTTCCCTTGGTTGAATTATTTGGTTTTGTCTCCCGAAAATTTAGTTCCGCCGTTGTTGTGACGAAAATTCGCCAGACTTGATATAACATATCAAGATATCCAGGTATAACATTTTTATTAACTTTGTCAATAGTCATTTATATCAATTCGTACATTTTATTATCAATATCATACCGGCACAAAGTTTCATGGAGCATCTTTTGTAAAGAACGTTTTATGTAATATTTAAAAGTAAAAAGCAGATGAATTCACATCATGCAAATTAACCAATACGAACCAATATGTATATATAATACCAGCTTTTCCGACTTTGCCCGTATAAGTATTGAACGAAAAAAAAATATTTAAAATAATAAAAGTGATTACGTTTTCACCCCCGTCCCTATCGTAGGTATAACAGTGTTGCCCTTTAATTTATTTGTAGAAGGATATTTTGTTATCCGTGACAACCAAATTACCAAATAATATCTTTTTTTTTTCTAATCCAATCAACAAAAAAAAAATAATTTTTCTTTTCGAAAACACCACTAACCCATTCAAATAAAATAATACATTGTCAATTATAAGACGTCAGTCTCTTCAGTCTTAGAACTCTAAAAAACTGCTGTGGTCTAAATTAATTAAACACATTGGACAGTTGGTTTCAAGAGTGTTTATTTCCGAATGACTGTCCATTCTAGAACCCAATAAATACATGAAATGCAACCTTATTTAATAAGCTGGTACCATCAACCTTACCCAGAACTAAATTGTTGACAAATTTTTGGTGTAATATTTTTCTTCTGATATTCAAATATAATAATAATAATAAGTCATGGAATGGTTGGGTAGTTTTTAAAACGTAATCTGCTAAAAAGTTTCAATTCTGGTTATTATTATTCTCTTTGGGCACACAATACCCCGTGTTCAATCTTGCTGTTATCTATATTGGTCGCCTATACTAACCCCTTTAATTTCTCTCATTATATTTAATATTATATATATATATATTCAGATTATTCGAATATTTAATCATCTGCATTTATCGCGTAAGTGGTTTAATAGGCGACCATTGATATTTTGGAACGCTATGCTACACACGAATATCCAAGAACTTGGCCCATTCATGTCGTGGTACAAAGTTAAAACCAATTTCAATGAGTAATCTTCAAGTACTCGCAAGTCCATTCACTCGGTTCGCCACTACGACAGCTTTCGAAGTTTTGAAGTTTGATATTGGTTTAAAATAAAAGCCAACATCCACATGACCACACGAAGTTGACCCATGCACTTGGGTTTTTTTTTTTTTACAAATCTCATGAAAGAACTATCTGCAAATTCTTGTAAATCATTTACAAAATGCTAATATTGGTTTGAACATTGTACCACATGGCATGGGTGGACCTCCCGTATTGCGATCAATACAATTTGAATACGGTATCGACTAGCCACTATCTCGGGTGTCTACGTCTTCTTAGTCCTGACATTAGCTCGGTTCTCTATCATCGATCGTCTTGCTTCCCGGTAGTACGTCTGCTGTTGGCGGTATTACGGCAACGTACGCCCATTGTCTTGGGATCCAGATACACCATGGTGCCGACAATCGAGCCATCACTGATACGTGCTCAGAGACCTCTTGATGTGTATGACCGCCTCGGTTTTTAACTTCCATTTGCTGTTGTTCTATGTTTATGATTATTGAAGACGTGCCAACGCCGTCGTCTTCTGTTATGGAGTCGACAATGACGATTTTGACCGCTGTCGTTGCCTTGTTGCGATTACGTTTTTTTGTCGTTTGAAGTAACTGGGCATTCGATCTTTCGGTAGTAAACTAGAAAAATACGAGTATAATAGGCGAATAAGTGTATAGACTTTTTAATCGTTCGATATGTTAAAAGATTCGACACAATACAATCGAATAAAAAAAATAAATACATAAATAATAAATAGCTATTCATTTTGCCGTATACGAATGGAATTTTTTTTATAAGTATTCGATTTCGTTTTCGCTCTCATTGCGTATACGCAAGTATTATAACGGAATATTCGTCTCAAAAAACGATGTTTCTATGGAATTTAAAAAATTCGACTCATTATATAATTTCGGTATATTAGTTGCTGGCGTATTACTATAACTGGTGCAGATAAAATTTAATTACATTTTGATTTTGCATCTATATTTATCAGTCAATCAAGAAAATCGACTTGTCTGCACAACGAAATATTTCTTGATTGTGCGTGTATTCTCCATCTCCCATATAAACAAATGCATGTATGCTTGCTCTCACAGTGGTTTTGATTTTTTTTTGGTACAAAAATGAATGTGTTGGTTGTTGAATAAAAAATGGTTGCAAAATAGAGAGACGAAGGGAGAGAGGAAAAATGTGCTCAACTACCTAGTTTTTTAACGTAGTTATGTACGTTTATGAAATTTAATGAAATTAGCTATTTAGAATATACTTTTTAAGTACAAATTCTCGTATTTAAACCTTCTTTTGACAAAGTTGTGTGTAACTCTTAATATATATTAAATCAGTAACGATTAGTCCATAATAATGGTGACTATTTTACCGCAATTCATGATCCGTTAGATACCATTATTATAATAAATTTATTCTAAAATCCAGACTAAAATGTAATAATTTCGTTTGACGGATATCAGTTTTGAAAACATATTACCATTTTTTAAGTTCTTTACTATAGGATACTAATCCACCCAACCGTAAAACCGACAGCGGTACGACACGACACGCCGCGCGGTCTGACGGTTATCACTTATTTTAAAGTTGATAAAAAAAAATATGTATTTATACTGTTTTTTTTTTTTTTCATAGTACCCCGAATTGAATGCCATGATAATGCGGCGGTTCCAAGAGCCGGGCGACGCGGAACGCGCCTTCGAACTGGTACATAAATCGCAGGGTCTCGAGCAGACGCGGTTCCTCGCTAAAAAACACTGTCTCGAAGCCACCCGGCTGGCGGGCAAAATCGCAGAGTCGCCGTACCAAAAGTCACTGTTGGTCGTGCCCGACCTCATAGTGAACCGCATGAAATAGCCAAAAAAAAGTTTTAAATCTCTTTCAATCCTCCTTCCCCTCTCCCAGATTATAGCGTGACAAAAGCGTCGTATACTCGCTAATAAACAGACATTATCGCACATACCATATACGCCCAACGGGTTGGAGAACCGGTTAAATTTTTTTTTTTTTTACAACTAGTCCCAATTTGATAATAATACATGCAATGAGCGTACAGTGTTTTCTTTATTATCATAAATAATAATAATTTATAATTATATTATTTATAATAATAATAATATAAAATATATAATTATATGTATTATCATTTGTGTGAGAGAATACCTCCTTGATCCTGACGATATGATAAGGTTCTTCACTTTATTTTCATTTTTTTCTTTCTGTTATATAATTATAATTATAATTTTTAATTTAATATTATTTTATTAGTATCAAGTATTTTTTTTATTATTATTATTATTATTATTATTTGTTTATTCCCCCCAGCATCATCCCTCTATTGTTTTTAACATCCTGCGGTACTTAACAAACCATTTTTGAAAAAAAAATAATTTATTGCCAACAAAATCACAAAATTTGTATTTATTTTTTTTTCTAAAACTCCTGCTCTATTCATCCCTGTTCCATAGATTCAATTATTTCTTTATGCTAGGTTCACATTTACATGCTTATACGCCACTAGATTCTATTTTCGGGAATTGAAATACTATTCATTCATATCACACCGTTCAGTTGACACATGCATTCCACTCTGACCAGTTCGCTGTTCATCACATAATTTTTTTTACAAAAATAGGGAAATTACATAGACAAGATAATCAACAAAATCGATAAAAAGCTTGTCATATGGAATATGTAAATGTATGAATACTCGAGCCGAACCACGAAGAGAAGTTGGGAAGAATTGGTGCCTATTTTTTGTGGCATAGAGGATTCAAAAGAGAATGAATTGGAATGTGATCTCAAAGTTTTAGACATAACGTGACATAAAGACTATAAGAAATCCTTGTTTTAAAAATTGGATAAACCCAATAATTTCTTTCCCTTTTTTGTCTTTGTCTAAAAACGATCTACTAAAAAACAGCATCTATCACATTCATTGTGGATGCAAGTCTGTACTGTACTAAAATATTTTTTAATTTACGTTGCTTTTACATTCGACACGCAGCTATTTGAGCAGTCATATATGTGTCTATGTGAACCTAGCTTTAGTTTCTTAATTTGTATTATTACACATTTGTTTTTAGGTGACACCCAAAAGATTTTCGTTCTCTATTTTGTTTTATCATTAATGAATAATCAATTTTATAATATTATAAAGTTAATCATATTTATAATTTTCTGTACACTGTAAATTGTAATGATTTTAATCTCGTTATATAAAGCGCACAATAAATTTAACATACTTAAATCATTTATACTTACCACGAAAATTCACTTTTATTACCTAATAATATAGCAATAATAATAATATTATTATTAGGATGTTAAATTATTAAGATTATGGTGTACAGTTCATATTCGTACATGTTATTATTCTTTACAAAGAACAAAATATATAATTTTATTGTGTTAAATGTCATATATTATATAAAATAAAACTGATCAGTTCAGCTTACTGATAACTAACCAAAAGCATCGTATTTTTTTCTTTGCAATTTATTTATTTATTGTTTTTTTTTTTTCTATAATGATAATAAATAATATAACTCAATAATAAAACAAAAAATATTATTGTAAATACCAAAGAAAATACATTATTTTGTTATCTATATAATTATTATTATAAAAAAAAAAAAAAAAAAAAAATAAATAAATAAATAAATAAACAATATTTTATTAGACTACAATTTATATTATTAATTTATTTTTTTAATTATTATTATTATTATTATTATTATAATTATAATTATTATTATTATTATTATTATTATTATTATTATTATTTTACTTTTTTTTACCATTTTAAAATTACCATTGTGTATAATAAAAAAAATGTTCAATTTTTTTTTTGTAAATGTGTTGTAAATCTGCATATATATATATAATATATATATATATAGATATATAGATAAATATTTTTATTTTTTGGGGTAATGGGGTCTTAATTAGCATATTAAAAATAATAATATTTTAAAAACAACAAATTTATTCATTTATTATTTTATTATAGATGTTTCTTAATATTAACAATTCACTACATGCTTTCTATGAGTTGAATGTTTTTTTTTTTTTTTGTGTTTATTGATGGTCCAGTTTGACTCAACATAAATAAATGGTTACATATAAAATAATATTTTCACCACCATAATGAAGGTATTTACAGAAGCCCTCCTCTTCACCATTATATAATTGCAAAACCACATTATAACTTTTTGTTAATTTTCGATTTAACTGTATTATAGTGTCGATAGGATGTAATTTTATGTGTTATACCTGCCAACAGACATAACTACTTGCCAATATTTTGAACAATAAAAAAGCATTATAACCATTTCTTCATGGTCATATTTTTACAAAAATCATACATAATATTAGTTTATATGGTTGAATGAATCAACTTCAAAACTTATATTTTCAGTTTTCATTAGTTATAACACTTGAATTGACTATGTTAATGTCCACAAACACAAATCGCAGAGAATACTAGTTCTAGTCCAATCTTATATTTTATTATGCATTGATATAAAATTGTATCAATATTGTATTAGATTAACATTAAACAAATACATTTAAAGGTTTCATGCATCCCAAGATGTGCTTTTATATAAAAATATAAATTTCTCAGCTAAATTTAATAGTAAATTTTAAAAATTTTAGATCTTCATCAGTCAGATTAACATATTAAACAAATTATTAACTATATTTTTCATTTAAGATTTTAAATATATAAAACCTTAAAATTATAAAAATTAAAAAATTGGAACTAATTAGATAAAAATCAACAAAACAATGATTCACGGCCTCAAAATTTAACACAATGCTTAACCTAATAACAGCCAATCTTATGGTAGATATATAATAAAAAAAACAATAACAAAAAAAAAAAAATAATAATAATAATATGTTTAAAAATATAAAACCAATAATAAATCACAGAAAATTTCAAATATTCTAAAAATGCTAGGTAATTAAATTTAGCAAAATGCTTAGTTGTATTTACCGTTTCATTTGTTTAAGTGGATTTTTAGTGGGCGCTCCTTGAATCTGAGCGTGAGTTGATCTTTCCGACTGACTGAAAACCTTCATCGTAATTGCAGAAGCAGGAGGAGGTAACAATGGCCCACCTTCTGGAGTATCTGGACTAATGGGTGTCTGAATAGGAGTTGTAAATCGCGCGACATCTTTACCCATTTCTATAACGCCCGGTCGATTATCGAGCATAGCATACAACTGTGTACACAAAAAATGTATACTATTATCGTTTCTGTATGTCTATATTATTTATTTATTAAATCACATAAATAACAATTTATAACTTAAATTATACATTATATTAAAGATATCGTAGTTAGGGGCTTTGGTAAATATAATATATAATAATATAATAATCATCTTTATTTGCTAGTAGTAAAAATGTTACAAAGTAGAATAGATCAATAATAAAATTACTAGCTTTATTTGACACTAAAGTAAAACTTCTTATAGTAGAGCAGGATTACTTATCATATCTTAAAGATATCTTTTAAGATCTTAAATAATTATAAAAAACAACAACAAAAAAATACAATTAACTAAGGAATATGATAACTATAAACTGAAAAAAAAAACTGTTTTGGAATATAGGGTAGGATAGAGAGAGTAGGGTACTCAATAAGAATAATAATAGTATAATAACCAATAAAAAGAATTTTTGAAATAAGACATATTTTTACAAATTATCATAGAACCAATTTTTTAGTTTCTATTTAAAATGTGGAAAATTAAAGCACTTTCTTATTTCATCTGGGATAACCTCTAGATACCTTAAAAAAACTTGTACGTGTTATTAATTTTTTTTTTTTATAACTAGAACACTAATGTTACATGTAGGTATATTTTTTACCTCAAGCATTCCTTTTAAAGCTTGCATTGCTTCTTTATTATGCGTGGGAACAGCATTACTTAAAACTGAATGATATTGCAGTATTCTATTTTTACATACATCTATTAATTCCTGAAATAATAAAAAATAATATAAAAATACAATCATGATACAGGTAAGAATTTAAGAATTTTAATTACATCTGTTGAATTATTATACATTCGTCTTGCGGAATAATTACTTGAACTACTAATAAATTTGGATGGCCTAAAATTGAAGAAATCAAATTATTATCTTTATAATAATAATAATATTATTAATTTTAATTAATAAATATAATTTAATTAATATATTTAAGTCGTAATATATCAATTAATTAAAAACATTTGAAGATTTATTAATTATCAAAACAATTTTTTAAGGAAATTTAATTTGTTTTTTTACTTTCTATAATTATTGTGAAATTGTTAATTTCATTATACACATTCAACCAAGTCAAAGACTTAGAGCATAACCACACTATGCAATTTGTTTCCCATTTGCAAAACAGGAAGCAAAACACATCCAAGCAATATATTACTTATCAGGGTCTTTTGGGCTGTTCTTACAGTATCTGGTATGCACTAACCGGCCACAAATCGTATTAATTAATTCACGGTTAACTCTAACCAACACTTTACATGTAAAAACTACACTTAGTGATGTATGAATGGTGTATGAAACAAAATCGTATATTTTAACTAACCGTTCTGGTTGGTTGACTATATTATTTGTTTTTAGATTGTCGTTGCCTGTCTGATACTTGAGAAATGTAGCAGCGGATGGTAATGCGTAAGTCTACAATAAAATATAATTTTAACATTATAAATCTTTTTGACATACTTAAAACGTTACCGTCGGAGCAAACATATGTAAAGCATACAGGATAATATCCATCACATCGATTGATGGATATCTCATTAAATAACCTAAACATGTTGTATTATCACTCTTGAGTACTGAAAACATAAAACACAATTCAACAAATTAAAACATTGAATTTCTATAAATGAGGTTAAGTACATTTTTATAATACCTTTGAATGTACAGTCAACAAAAATTAGTATGCAAATACTTACATTGAATGCGTAAAATCACTAACATTGCAACAAATATATAATTGACTAATGCAAAGTCTTGAGGTGATTTAGCAAAAATAGAATCCCATAATACTAAAACATCGACCAATGAAAATTCTCCTCCAAACAATAGTCTCAACCAACGACTGAAAGATAGATATTATATTGAATATTCCATTAGAAAAATAACAAATAAGTTTAAAATTTATTTACACTCCAAAAGTTGTGAATGAAATATCTAAATTTGATAAATGTTGATGTAGTTCTGGATCACATTTGGCCAATATTGTATCACGTATTTTGTAGAGTTTGCGTACAACTTGACTTTCCGTTGGATTACTCTAAAATTAATAAATAATATATACAAATATATTAATTATAAATAAAAACAACGTACAGCAGTTTTAACAGCTCCCAAATGATCCAATTGAGAAATTCCGTAATCATTAAAATTATAATCATCTTTTATTATTTCCATTATAGTACTAAACAACAAACTGAAACAAAAAAAAAATGTCAAGCCCTTAAAAACAGTATATTTTTTCACTATGAAATGCTTACTAAGTATCTTCTTCCAAATAAGCAGGGTTGAGAATATCTTTAATTAAATCACTAAAATCAACAATAAAATATGTCAAGTATAATATTTATAATTACCTAATAACTAATAAGTAATAACTATTAATATTTACCAAACATCAGGAGATAATTGTCCGCAAACCTGAAGTAATGCCTGATGGTCACAAAAGAGAACAAATATTAATGGTGCGAGTATCTCGTGCATACCCTGCATTTAAAATAAATTATAAGTAATAATTACTAGTTGACATTTAAAAAATAAATTTATAATACATTAAAATCTCATCATAAAATCTGAAAAAATATATAAAAAATAAAAACTCCTCAATAGGTGCACTAACATTGTGTATATTTGAAAAATACTCTCAGGATTTAGTACAAATTGTAGAACAACATTTATCTTAGATTAATAATCAACCAAAATTACTGAAATTAGCAAACTTAAAATTTAGCAAATGTATCAATATCTTGATTGCATCTCTTAATAAGCGAATAATAATTCATTGCAGTCTCCATGTATTAAACACATTAAGGTCAGTGTACAGATAATAAAATGATTATAATAATAATGCAATAGTGCATACATTATTAACATAATGTCATGTTTCAGATTGATACAAGCAATGTAATTACATAATATTTTAATACTTTTATATATTATAATATTATCTTGTACCTATGTGTGGATAAATAAATAATAATTATTTTTTTATTTAAGTGTGTGTGCAGGTGTCTATAGTATTTATCAAATCTGAATTTTACAAACAATGTTTTAAACAAAATTAATACTGAAATATGCCCTTGGGACCCCAAGTAGTTATATACTAAACTCGGTCATACATTAATTATAATAAAATAAATAATTGGTTATGACTTGTAAAGTTCAATTATAAAATGAACAACAATTATTAATACTTATTATTTACAAGTGTAAGTAATTTACAAGTATATTTAAATGATAATATGATCTATTATTATGAAATAATTTGCAATGTTTTATTTAAAATAACATACCTAGTCAAATAAAAATGTATAATTATTGATTTTTTTTACAATCCGAAATAGTTTAATTGGCAATTTTAGGTTAAGTATTTCTTATCAAATATTAAAACCAAAAATACAATAAAATATGTGTATACTTGTCTGTAACATAAATCCGGATGTTCCCTTGAATAACAAAATAGTATTTCAACCATTGTACGTTGAAGAGGTCCTGCTCTAAAAAATTGATTTTCAGGGAATGTTCGAACCACATCTTGTTCTATAATTTTCTTCAATCCTTCATCTTGAAAATATTGATTCCAAATACTCTAAAATATAAAATATATAAGTGAAACAATTAAAATAACCATCTTTTAGCAGTTGGGTAAAAGGAGGTATTAGGCATTAAGGAAAAAACTAACATTATCGTCCTGTGAAAGTGGGTCATCTGGTCCAGAATCCTCTTGATGAGGATCATTATGATGTTTCATTTTAATACGATTATAAGTGGATCGAGACTGTTGTATTATTGTTAACCAGTTAGACGAATCTGATGGCAGTATGTTCAATAAACGGCGCCAGCATATACTTCTAAACCTAGATGTTCGCAATTCGCCTTTGATAGCAAGTTCTTGTAGTTCATCAATGTCGGTATTAGAGAACAAACATTTCCATTCTTTCCTACACATTAACATAAAATAGACAGCTATAAATAATAAACTTGGTTTTAAAACATAACAAATGAAATAAAATTCTCACTCGTATATTTTGACGGAATTTTCACGGCTATCATCTAGCTCTGCATAAAACATCTAGCTGTGTACAAATAGTACTTGTTTTAGTTTAAAATAACACAACAATGCGAGATCGAATAGGAATATTACGCTATCTTTAGAGATTGTTGCATTTAATATTTAAATATCAAAACCCAACACAAAGCCAATAAAACTAAAGTGTATTAAGAGTGAAGTGATTAATCACAGTCCGCACAACAATATTTCTTTATCACACGTCCGATGTAGATAAAATATTGTATTATCAGTTGTTATCTCTACACGATTTATTAACATGGCACATTTTACGGGGTTCTATAGTTTATAATATAGTGCCTTAATTTTACCTTTAACATTTTACCATTTCAACAATGGTGATCGCTCGCCGTTCCATGATCAGTGACGATAAATTTTAACTGCAGAAAACCGCGAACAATAAGTTAAATTTCGAAAAAACTAATTTATCAGTTATTTTAATTTGTATGCTTATTGTGTTAATATAAAAACTTTAATTCGATTTTATTTAAAAATTTAAATAAATCTGTTGTTTAATAAAAGAAGCTTCAATAGAACGTGTATCACATTTCGAGGACATTGGAATTATTTGAGAAATGTATTTATTTTATGACAGAAACTTCTTTGTAGTATTTTTTGTTCTAGTTAGTACATTTGGGAGGTCATATTTTGATTTCCCTTGTAGTTTTTTTAATAAATAGGAAAACTGTCATTTTAGAGTACTTACCAATAATTTTTGTTGATTTTTGGGTTATTTAAAAAAAAAAAAAAAGGAAAGCATATAACTAACAATACTCTGCGAATAATCGTTTTTCGTTAGCAATGTACAATTTTGATTTGAAGGCTAATTCCTTAATTAATTAAGAACTATCGAAAATGCAGTGTCTGTTGAATCTTGTCAAAAAAAAAGGCATAAACCATAAATATTTGATTTGGGAAAAATAAAATAATCATCCAGAACGATTTGTGAATTAAAGAACTACAAATAATGATCAAAACATTATTGAATAATATTGTTGACAAACGAAAAAAGAAGGAAAAACCCGGTTTCCCGATATATGCATTTTTGTAGACACTGCCTTTTACAGCTACAGGGCAGCGTAAGTATCACTATCGCAGTATCGCACAAAAATATATTGTATTATGGTAGTGGTACAAAAATAAACCATCGAGCGGTCAAGTATCATTTTATCCAGATTAATAAATACCGTGACAATATATATACGCATTATCACATGCGTATAAACATTTATTGCACTAATTGGTGATTATGATAAATACAATTTTTCTTTTTTGTGGAGGAAAAGGGGGGGGGGGTAATAGATAAAATGTAAAACATTTCCCCCCCACCCACAAACATTACCAAATTACGCCACTGTAAACTCGGACATTATTCGTTTGAATTTTCGATCGTCAACATTTTCAAACAAATCACCTGATCGACAATTTGTATTAAAACATGTAGGTTCTCATTAGTAAAACTAAACTTGGTATTGTCACAGGATTGTTACAGATGTGAAAAATAGTGTTTGAAAATAAGCGCCTTTCACTGCGCTTAAAAATTCCAAATACCCGAATTTGAATCTACGCATAATTTAACCAAAATTCGAGGCGAGTATACTGCGAGCATCCTTAAAAAATCACTCTGTATAAATATAAATATAACCGCCCGTTTGACCGCCCCTGAACTATAGTGTATTGACAACGTATATTTGATCAAAATGAAACGAAATAATTCAAATATATTCAATTCTTTTAAAAAAAAAAAAGTTTGCGCCTCCTATACTCATATGGAGAGTATAAAAGTTGAAATAAATATAAATTATGCAAAAAAAACATATATTGAACGACGGGAATTACGAGTTCTGAATCCATTTTTCATTCGCGACTTATCATCATGATAATTATTTTTTGTTTATTTGCATTAGGTATTAACTGTTCGCGACCCAACTGATAAGCGGTTGTCGGAGTCATACATAATAGACATTAGTGATGGGAATAATCGAATGATTTTGACAATCGAGAGATTAGTAATCGAGATATTATCATAATCGAGTGATTCACTGGATTAAAATAATCGAAATATTGTACCTAATCGAATAGATTAAAATCGTTAACTAATCGATAAACATTTTGATTTTCATAATCGAGTGATTTATTCGATGTACCTAATCGAGTAGATAAGAATCACTCAATATATCGTGAAAATTCATACGATTTTAGATTCTGAGCAATAACACTCGTTATTCATTACATCTACAACATGAACCTATAACATTCTTACCTTTTAAATTAGTTGTATTTCCGTAAAACTTTAATTCTTTTTTACAGATTTGACAATTAACTACACTTTTATCGGCATTTTTTTTTTAAATGCTCTCACACTACAGTACGTTTTTGACTGCCTGGTCGCATTTTAAAATTTAAAAATTTATTTTGAATATTTTACGATACGCGTTAATTTCGTACACGATGTTTTACGATACGCGGACGGTTTCAATAAATGAAACAAACGATACAATACAATGTACCTAAATAAGGATCATTCAATTATTTATACAATAGTTAAATATTATATGGTATGTGTGTGATCAAAATTAGAATAGGAACAATAGAAAATTAGCAACTACCCATTTCATTTATGATTCTAGAAATGATTAGAATGATCTACTTAGCATTTACGCATAATACGAGTAGTAAACTATGGGTTATTTTATTTTGATTCATATTGTATATTATTATACTTTGCGCGAGATAACGTCATTGTGCAGGCATGCCGATGTTTTGAATGTTTTGATAAACCGTCCGCGATAAGAAAATAGTAATATAGGTAATATTAGTTATTAGTAGTCAATAAAATATTAGAGAGAAATAAGAATTATTACTGATAGTGTTTCGAGTAATCACCAACTACTAAATTACTAAACTAGTAAATATAAGAATAGTAACAACTAATTAGTAATTACTAATTTTTCATTCGATTATTCCCATCACTATTAGACATAATGAACACGGAATGTTTTACAGTGGCATTGGCATAGGGCGTTTACTCACATTTTATAATTTTATTATGATAGATATTATATATTAAAAAAATGATTAAAACTATTACAATGAGTATAATTTAAAATTAGAAATTATTAATTAACTCGACGAGCAAAAAGTTCGGCCGTGCAATTTAAAATGCCTATGAATGGATTATCGTGCTTTTAACGCCACATAAGAATTCAACCAAATGACTTGCTATTTAGATGTTGACCAGCCGAAAGAAATGCCCACACTAATACTAATAATAACCACCACTCAAAATCTTTATCGTCTCGTTACTACGGTAGCCCCGACAACCGAATTGTTTATTTATTAACGAACAGTTATTTGGTTGGGTAATCGGAATAACGGATAAGTACCTACCCAATTTTTTATTTTTTTATTAAAAGTAAACAAGGACGAAGAGGCCTCGGTGAATTTCTCCCACTCCAGCCCGCCAACGGGACAATCCTACATTTCAAAGTTTAAGGTTATGAAATAATACCTTTTAAAAGTTCATTATTATTATATATTTCGATTTTATACAGTTTAACTTCATAAATTATCTAACAAATCTAATAAAGAATGTTAGCTGAATTAGTAAAATGACTAAATAGAAATTAGATGAAAAAAAGTCATTGATAAATTGTAGAAGATTATTTGTTAAAGTCATAACATGTAATATTCTACTGATAACATTTTTTTTCCTTTAACTACCTATGATAATATTAAAATATAAAACATGAAAACAATTTTCCCACATCTCACAATTTGAAAGTTGGTCACCCTGTAAAAGGGTACAAGCTAATATTTGCACAGTCGTGTTAAAGATGGACGAAAATAGATGGCTAATAGATGGCGCAACGGGGGTCGTTGTACCGCGAAGTGTCGCTCAATCGGCCAATACCATGCACTCCGCCAATACATTCGTTTCCAGTCTTGTCCGAAACAACCGAAACCTTTATTATCTATACAAAAAACCGGGAAATTTCGAGAATATTTTTACATGTGAACACGTTTAGATCATTCAGTGCAATATTTTGAGAAGATGATTTTTTTTTTTTAACGACGCGATTATAGGCAACAGCTGACGAGGAGCTGATCTGATAAGTCTAAAAATATTCTCCGTAGCTCCGGCGTTTCTGTTTTAATAACCGTTGCGGACAAACGGTTTTCTCTATGGGCTCTCTCACTTTCTCAGTTTCTTTTTGACGCCCGCCTGTTCTCGTTATTTTCCGCGGTTGGCTGTTGGCGTTCGCTCCACACATCGATACAAGTCGGTTTTTTTCTCCGGTCTCATTCGACCGTGCGCACAGTTTTCAATATTTTATCGTTACGCGATTATACCGAATTTGAAATACTCAACACGATGGCGAAATCGAACCTCCGGGCCGACATGTCAATGTCGTCGATCGCCGACGCAATGTCTAAAATCTCCGCGAGTCCTGAAATCACGGACTACGTGGACGGATACGAAAACCCGGTGGCGTGGTACAGGAGGTACAAAGTGCCCCGCGATAAGATGACCAACGACGTATTGTTCGACAACATCGACATGAGAGATATCACTCTGGCCCAGTATGATTCCGGCGACAAGCCGGAGTCCGTTAAATGGAAATTGTGAGTAGTTTTTATTTATTTTTTTTGCTACCTTTGCGACGACCTCGCCGCGAATCCGGCTAACAAAACCACTCATTGCCATATGATCGTTTTACTTTGACTGTTGTAACCCCTACCTATTCAAAAATAAGTTTTTTCATATACAATTAGATTTGCAATTAGGTATACAAGTGAATAAGAGGAGTGGGTGGTAGAGGTTCAAACCTTTTCTGAAAAATAAATTCCTGTAAATGGTTTTTTAATTTGTATTTTAATTTAAATAAAAAAACTGTTGTTGGTGGGAAGTTGAGAAGGTAGGATGTAGAGGGGAATTTAATGTTTTTATGTATGCAACGATTAATCATTGCCAACGAAAATCTATTCTAAGCGAAGTCCGGTTATACATGTTTTAAAAGGCCTGTTTGGTGGACGGTCCAACGATTTTATCCACAGAGTACCAACTTATCGAATAAATATTACGTATAGAACTATCAAAATTATAATTGTCTATTAATAGCTCAAATGTTTTGAAAATTGTACTAAAATATATAACATGTAATAAATTATTATTTATCTATAGGTACTTAGTTTTGTTAATTAATTGTTACAATTAAATTGGAAAATATAAATTAGAAAATTGATAAGAAACTGCACCATTTTGCCACAATTTTTTTTTCTACTATCAAAAATTATCAACTTGTTTGGTCTTACCGACCATGGTTGGGCTTATACACACAGCGAATAAAAAATCAAATTTGATTTTTATAACCTTCTCCCCTCCCTCCATTCGAAACAAAAAATATCTAGTCTTCGTTTTTCATGAATAATCGTAGTTGACAAAGACTTGTGACTATTGATTACTTAACTATGCTCAGAATGCTTGATGCATGGAAAATACTAAAATGAACCAATTATTAAAAATCAGGCAATGCCAAATGCTACAAGACAAAACTGTAGGATTTTTTTTAATATATAGGTAAAACAAAAATCAACCCATTTACTACATCTGATTATATATTTTCTATTACCTTATGTTACCTTTGAGTTTGTCATTTTCATTAATCCATAATATGGTTTTTTAGTATTGTTTTTTCTTCCAATACTTTTCTTCGCAAAAATTGTTTTTCCCAATGATGTTTTTTCTGACATTTGTAGAAAAATTTTGAAAACAATTTAAAGAAATTCAAAAACTATTTCATAAGTAAATACAAATTATTGTTCTCAATTAAAACAGAAAATATTATTGTATATTAATTAATTTACATGGGAAAAGATAATTAAATGTATTATCATTAAATTTGTTATATTTGGAAACAATGTTTTTATATTTTTTCTTCTAATTTCAGTAGTACCTACCATATTACACTTCCTTAATTTTTCTCCTAGATTCAGTTCCTGTAGTTTGTATATAGTATCAGCTTGTTCTTTTCCAAGTTCTGCTAAAAATGTATAGATGCTGGGATTGTGATCTCCTACAACCACATAAAATGATTATGCTGTCCTTCTGATGAATAATTATTCCTTACCAATTTTTGTTCAGTAAAAATCTTAATTGGGAAAACTATAAATTGGGAATAAAAGATTTGGAAAAAGAAAATTTTGATTGTAAACATTTTTATTTTAATAAATATCTTGATTGGGAAAACTATTGTTTAAGAACGAGTTTGCTATTTATATTATTTAGTTTAAGGTCCCCGAGGAAAAGTTAGCGTTTTATTATATAAGATTATGTAGGTTTACCTACTATTCAGTTTGTTGGGGTTTTTAATTGTTTTTTATTATCTAGTTAAATAGGTACCTATTTCTTTGACTTTTTTTTTAAATGAATGTTTTAAATTAAGATTTCATATTGAAAGTTATTTAATAAATAATCAATATACCTATGCACCCTACCAATTATTTATATTATGTTGTATTTTATTAATACAATTTTTCTTGGCTTTATTATTATTATTATTTTTTTTTTTTTTAGATTTGGTCACAACACAGTTATATGCCATGAATATATTACCCAAGGAATAATGGATCAAGCTATAAAATCAATTGGTTATATGGAAGAAATTGTATTGTCCATTACAGATAATGATGAGTTTTTAAAATCCATTAGAATAGCTCTTAATCACATCACATTTTCATTGAAAGGTCATGTGATGAAGTTATGTTCACTTGATACTGAGGTACATATGTGTATATAGGTAGTAGGTACCTAATTCTTAGACATAATATTATTCTAATGGCCAACATAAATATTTTGGCTAGTATTTTATCATCACTCAGACAAATATTGTGTTTGATTTATGAATCATAAATGCTCCCCTAAAAGTTAACTGAATTTCTAATTTTAACGCAATATTATATTATTGTTACCTATTTTATTTCACGTCATTATTTTTAGTTTTTTTTTCTTCATAGAATTTAGATCGTTTTATTATGCTCAATAATATGAATATTGTAAATAAATCTGGATTGTTTGGTGTTCAAACATTTTTCTTTTATGAATACGGTTTACCTTGTGCACATATTACAAAAGATTGTGCCTTAAAAGCAATATCGATAAATGAGGCTGAACCAGAATGGTACTACTTATTAGCAAGAGTATTGACCCATTGGCAAAGGGTTTGTGGCAGTTCAAATGAATGTTCCGAACAGGAATTTGAGGCAGCTAAAATGGCTGTTAAACTTGGTAACAAGGATCACCATAAGCTGCATTTAATTCACATATATGTAAGAATGAGTAAGAATGTAAGAACAAATAATAATGACAAAGCCAATTATATAAAAGAAGGATTAAAATTACTCAAGTTTGTTTAATAAATAACATTTGTGTTGCTATGTATGGGAAATGTTGATTTCATTTAATTTGATTTTACATTTTCCAGAGAGGTAATGAGTTCCAATAACGACCTGCTACTATTGAAAAGTTGTTTAATCAGTTTATCAAAAATGTCTTGTGATAAATATAATAATTTGAATTCTTTTGAAGATGTTCCTTCAATCATAAAAACACTTATTAATAAATTAGAAAAAAGTAATAATGGTTATGTTCACGGAGCTATTGGAAACTACTATTTATTTAATAAAAAAGTAATTTGAACAATGTAAAATTAATATTTTAAAATATATAATAATTAATAAATAGAGGTATTCAATAAATAATTGTGATTTGTTTAATTTGTATTTCTAGGACTATAAAAAGGCAAATTATCATCTTAAAAAAGCATTTGATGCTAAAAACTTTGGTTCTTCAATTGATTACATCTATACATTTTTTAAAATGAATCCTGAAACACCAATAGTTGAACCAATGTTAGTAGATTTGTTAAAAGTATTTCCTCATCCTGTTCATAGAGAGAAAATTTTGAGCCTAATTGTATCTTATCTTATTTTAACCAAAGATGATATTATTCAAGCTCTTAAGTACATCCCAGCATTATTGAATATTAAAAACCCTACATGTGTATATAGTCTAATGGTAAATTGAATCTACGAAAAAAAAAAAATAACACAGTAAATTATGATATAAAAAGAACGTCTCAAGTAAAAAACGACGCGGTATTAACCAGCAAGGTAATAAATGTCAAACTTAAAAATCACAAACATTAGGTTTAAGTCAATAAAATTATCTAACATATAAATAGGTAAATAATAATAATAATAATATAGATGGTTAAAAGGTAAAAGAGCATAAGCATCACTTTTTTCAAATACCTTTTTTTTGTAAACAGTGAAATTCTACATTGATTAATCCAAACTAAACATTGATATCACTTATTTACTATTAACATGTAGTCGTAAACATAAACATTATTAAGTAAATTGTTACAGGACATAAGCATCATTGTTGGCGATTATATTCAATAGAACATCTTTGGTCTGTAAATGTCAGGTATAGAAACAAAATTGGCTCTTAAGCCCCCTTTTTTTATAGGTGTTGGCTATAATTATATTATAATTATGAATAATTAATCTACACTAAACGGATAAAAATCCATTATGTCTCTTATTATCCCGGAACGGTTTGTTATTTGATGTTCTAAGGTTGTAATACAATTTATTTGAAATATTATGTTTTTCTGCTTTCCTGAAAAATTTGGTTTTTGGCGCTTACACCCTTTTACCTTCTAACCATCGTTATAAGTATAGTGTACGCTATAGCTATTAAAAAAATTGTGTATTTATTTTTATCTACTTAAATATACATCACATACCTAATGTTTTAAGTTTATTCTATAATTCTGCATGAGTGCTTTCGGATTTCTGTACATATTTAATAATATTATATTTACCACCCTCCTCTTAAAATTAAAAAAAAAATCCTGGGCTTGTCCTTGGAATATTTAACCATATGACGGAATTTATTTGATCGGGGGTCAATAGCTTGCAATTAACTACTAATATTTGTGATTTTTAATTAAAATACATTTGAGATTTTTTACCTGTCATTTATTTCTGTGTTATTTTTCACCAATTATCTTGTTAATTAATACTTATATTGATTTATTTTAAGGTTTAATTTTTATTTATTGTTTATTTAGACGCACTCTGTAAAATTTTCTGATCATTATTATAAGAATATAAATTTATTAGATCTTCTGTCAGAAGAATTAAAAAAAGCTTTAAATGATACAACATTGACTTCAATTAATCAGAAAAGGGTTATAGAAGTTCAGAACAAATTAGAAATGTTCAATAAACACGTCGGGCAGTTGATGAAAGAAAAAGAACACATTTTTGGAAGTGGTTTTAGGAAGGTTACTAAAAAAAATAATACTATAATAAATAAGCACCACACAAATTTGCGAAATGAAAAGTGGGCCCGCAATAATAATCAAAAGGATATAACTCATGTAAAAAATTATATAAAAAAAGAAGATAATTGGAGGACTTTAAAGCCTGATACAGATCCTAAATCTAATATTTTTTCACGTGTTGTCAATAAACAGATATCAAAAAATGAAATGGAAGTAAAACCACATATTAATGACACTAAATGAACTTCCAAATCAAATTTAAAAAAATATTTATTTGTTGCATTTCATCTTTATGCTTATATTTTATATAAGTACCAAAAATATTTATTTTAATTGTTAACATAAACTTTGTTAACATATTGCAAACAAAATTTAAGTAGAATTGTTCAATTTTTTTAAATTTTGAGTCATTAATTTAAAATATTATTTTTTATTGCCTTGTTACTGTAATATATTGTGTGATTTTGTTATAGCATTTTACACAAATTTAATGAAGTATATACAATTTTTTTTTTTGTTCAAATATAGTTTACTGTTTTGTTAAAAATGAATATCTACCTATTTAGATACCTTATAAGAAAAAATTATATTTAAAATTGCCATGTACCCGATTATAAATGTGGTTTACAAAGTTTTTAAATAAATGTTTTAGTATTTTTATTTTATTTTGTAATTTAAATCTATGAAATATTTTGTGTGTTTCCTATTATATGACTGGAATTTTAAGTAAATTATTATGACCTTCAAAGATTAAAGGATGTACAATGATAGTTTACAGTGATATATTTTTGAAAATGTCTAAATTATTCTAGTAAAATTAATTTAAAATGTTAGAATTATTTAGTTAAATGAAGAACTTGCTCTGTATTCTATAGTAATATACTGAGAAAATTGTGAAAATTAAAATTTTATTGGACTGAATTTGTTTTAAAATGGTAAATTTTATAAGAACAAAACATTACCTATTTACTGCATTTTGACTCCTTTGATGTCTAAGGTGAAATTTATACATCCACTTGGATAATAATATTAAGTTAAGTTAATGTGGAGATGGACTTATTAGTTTTACTTTGATGTTTTAGATTCTGAGCACAGCAACAAATGTATTGGTTTTTTTTTAGATTTGAAGGTATCAAGGGATCTATTGATAGGGGATAGTAGCTAACCTTACATTTATTAAAACATGAATACTTTTTCTATAAAATTTATACATATTTAATTATGTATGAATATTTAAGCGTTTATTTTTACATATATTTCTGTTAAACTAGAAACACCTGAATAAAAAATAGTAAATAAATAAAACAATAATGTTTCAGCTATCGACATATAAATTAATTAATACAAATTATATTTATCCTACTAAATTTATTTAAATTTAAAAAAATAAATGCAATTAATAGTAATTAATAAAAATAAACTTAATAACAATTAATGTAACAAATTAAACTAGTTCCTATTTAATGTGGTCATAATAAAAAAGACTGACATACAGGTGACATATTGCATGCAGTCACTGTTGTAGGTAGGAAGTTGGGAAGGTAGGATACAGAAGAAAATTTAATGTATATCTGTAAGTAACGGTAAACCATTGATAACGAAAAAAATATTCTATGAGGAGTTTAGTTGATAGTGACGCTTAAGTATATAATGAAGAAATATAATACAAAGAATTATAGTTAAAAGAATGTATTGAAATCATAATTTATTTTATTTTAATAGAGTTCTATATAGTATTACTTTTTCAACAATGTGCGTTTCCATGATAATGATTGTTTAAAATAATAAAAACTTGATAACAACAAAAAAATAAATAAAAACGATTTCCAATGGCAATCTTATTTTTAATATTTCAATATTTTTTTAAAGAACCCCATTTTCCTCATTATCTCGAATATTAATGAGAATTTCCTTTCAGAAAATGTGCTATACTTGATGATTAAAGTAAACGTTCTGGTTAAAAGTGTTCACATAAAAAAATAAACATTGTAAAACCAATACATTGCTTGCTCTGTTTAGAATCTAAAATGAGTAATAAATAGAACTTATAATGAATCTCGTTTTAAATTTTCAAGCATTTCTGGTTGGTTAAATAAAATAGACAGCTCAACAATTTTAGGAAAGGCAAATATAAGTCCTGTAAAAATGCACTCGAATTTAAGGATATACCAAGTCCGTCCCATGCAATGGCGCATTTAAGGGAGTGGGGTGTCCTGGGGGTTTAGGCCCCCCAATTATTTTTTAGTTCTATTCATTACTGAAGTATCGCATAATATTGTTGACGAATGGCAAAATATTTTCAAACTGCTTTGAAAATTTCTATCATTGATTAATAATAATTGGAGATTACCAAACGATTATAATATTAGGTTTATGTGTATTACACGAATACATTGTGAATATACAAACATACAAAATTAATTAAACTGAATTAAATTGGTTTTAATTTATTCCTGTCGTAATATTAAGATTGTACAGATCATATATTTGTGCTCTTTAGGCTAGTCGCTGACAGGCAATTTTCAGTCGCGCGACAGTGGGATCGTACCCGCGCACACAAATGCAACTAAACTATCGTGTCGCAGTAGGCGCGCGCACACGACACAACAATTGTTTAGTCGCATCATGGATTCTGTCGGGGTAGCTGCGGTATGTGCTCTCGAGTTAAAAGGACGCAAGCAAATAAAAAAAATAAGAAGAAATATTGCGTGAATTACGGTCGTACCCAGATAAATCCTTTAATTTTTACCGTACGAGTGTTTAAAAGTTTTGACGATCATTTAAATTCGATACGGCCATTCATCACTAATCAAGGTACAATGTGGAGAAAGGCAATCGCTCCTGCAGAAAGGCTTTCGGTTACCTTAAGGTGAGGAAATAATGTTTAATTATAAAGAATAACAATGAATTAAAATTTGTATCGATTAGTACGATTAAATTCTCACTTTCAATAGTTTCAACAGTACTTTTAAGAAAAACTCAATACTCAAAGACTAAATTCGCGGACTGCTGAAATTATAATGCGGACATATCTTCAAAATCAAACCGGGGCGCAGTGGATTCGTAGCGCAATCGTAGTATTTATCGACCGGGTCGCCGAAACTTGTTCATACCGCGTCCGGCGGCGGTTTTGTCAATAACCCCCCCCCCAGAGACCAACAGTCTTGTACGACACACGAGACGTTTACTATAATTCCGTATCGTTACCTAGTCAAATTTTGTTAAATATTAATAATCTACGCGCCCACAGCTCTCCGCGTTCGCAATTATCGGCGTGTGGCCACTACTGAACCGGCAATTTTCGACAATGCGCAGCGCAATACCGTAATACACGGTAATAATGACAACGGCGGTTATCGATGTCGGTCCGGGTGGCGCCTCTATACCGACACCGACGTAACACTGTGCCGTCGCCGATATCCTGCGAAATGATCGTGTCGATAACCGTGCGCAATCCGGCGGTATACCTGTACCGTTGTTGTTTGACAGGCATTCGGGAAAAACTGTACGACGCAATTGATCCGCGCCGTTAACGGCGTTAACGATTCATTATCCGTTTGTTCGTGTTATCGCTGTTAACGAAACGCCGAACAGTCGCGCGCCCGACGGAACAGTTCCCGTAACAGGCCACCGCGTTGCCGTCGCGCGTCGTGGAAAATACCCCGTGGCGATTACGACTTTCGGCCGTTCGCGCAATGCGATTGTCGCGCCGTGGCTCTACACGCTTCGCTCTCGTCGGCCGTTTGTTGCGCGCGGTCTCGTTTGTTTCTTCTTTTTTTTCCCTTCCGAAACCCGCCCGCACGCACACACGATCGCGTCCGGCAAACGTCTTGTGAATTACCGTGCCCGTTGTCATTTTGGCCGACCGGAGTTACGCGACGGCCGGGCCCCGCGATTCCGACTGCTATTACTCGTCGGACGAATGCGGCGATCCCGTTTCGTGGCACCGTCGGCTTCCCGACCCGGCCCAACGGCACGGGGCCACGTGCGCGAGAACGGCGGCCAACGGCCCGTAAACCTTTTGGGAAAATGCGCGGGGACGGTATCGCGTGCGCGCGTATTTTCGGGGGTTCGGTGTCGAATGGCGAGCTGGGCACCGCGGCCCGTGTATTTTGTTTTTAACGTAACGGCGCGCGTCATTATTCGTTGTCCCGAACGACAAGCAATCGTCTCGCGGACGTTATCATACGGTCGAACCGCGCATAAAACCGTAATTGTAAAACCAATGCATAAAATGTATTACGAATGGGATGCGTTGTTATGTTTTTAGGTTCATGTACAATACTCACGTGACCTTCAATTACATAATGGACGACCGCCCGGACAAGGCGTTGGATATGGTCGAAGAGACCGAACGAATGTTATCGGCACGGTCGAATGATTTTTCGGACTCCCGTAAAATCAGCGTCGGTCCACATCACGTTGACCACCAAAGGATACATATTGATCAATTTCGATTTGAGTACTGTAGTACGTGTTTTACATGCGATATTATATTACTATTGTTTATTGAATGTATTATTTATCTGAATAAATTGCGTAGACGATTTTCACGACATTTTTGAATGCTAATCGATTACAAAAAAAAAAAATTCACTTTCGAATGCATTTAAAAATGACCGGCCTGTGTCATTAACACCGGTGTATTCATTGTGAAATTCGAACAGAGCTCACACGAAATGCTCAAATTATATTGGAGTAGCAGGAGTACAAGTGAGAAGGGAGAAAGAGGGCAGAATAAATCGTCGAGAAAACGGAAGGAAGGAAAGATTTTTGGTTTTCGGGAAAAGCGTTGAAATTACGGGCGGGGAGAAAGAAGGGCGGTGAGAACTCGGAGGAATAAGACGATATTTTAAAAATTGAAGCGGGTCGTTTGATTCAGCCCGAAAACATATTTTATGATTCTATATTTTTTAGGGAAAATTTCATTTTTTAGACAGGGTTTTTTTTTTTTTTTTTAATTTAAACCGTTGAATAACCTTATGCTTATATAATATTTATTTATTTTTATACATTTATTATCTGTTCAGACTTTTAGACTACTATAATTTTTAAAATAAATATTATACAACTATAAGCGGCCGAGTAATTCATAATAACATTGATTTTAATAATAATTCGTTTAAAGTTCAATGTGTTCTGACGCATCAGCAATACGAACATTATAATACTATACAATTATACTGCACGTTTGCACAGTCGTTTACAATAATGTATTACGAATTCAATATCTTTTGTAATATAAATAATCAACGTTAAATTTTGTCTTTTAAATATTTACCGTGTTTAGTCCGAATTGTAATGACGCAATAAATGTTGATCGGTATTAATACCTAATCATTGTTTACTGAATTTTAATAGCGATTTATTAATTGAACTCGTATTATAAAAAAAAAAAAAAACCGGACATACTTTGCACGATGGATGCAGCCGTTGTTGTTGGTGAGAAGTTGGTTCACAGTCCGACTTCCTTTCAGAAAAGGTGCTACTTACCTCTTTAAAAATCCAAATGTATCGGTTTTACTACGATATCGTCGCCTTCGTGTCAAAAATGACGAAGTATTTTTTTTTAAAGTTTTGAGTAATGTCAGCCTTAAAGTTAAACACTTTTAAAAATTGAGAATTTAACCAATGTTTATGAACTTGATACCGATAAAATCGCAATAGTATACTTAACACTACAGTACACTAGTTTTACTCAATAATTACTTCTTTGATAATTACATTATAAATTACTAACTTAATTTTATGGCAAAAAGTGACCGAGTGAAAACGGTTTTACTTGGTCATTTAAAAAGTGACAGTCACATGTATAATATACTTGGTCATTAGTTTTTTATCATGTTTTAAATGAAAATAATTGTATTAATATTACAATAATTTTTATACATAAACATAATTCAAACAACAAACTTTTATTTTTACTTAATATAGTTAACATAAGAAACATAACATAACTTATTTATTTTATGTGAAGACATCATATAATTATTTTTATTGCATGTATCGGAATACAAGGATATTTCCGTTATACATTCAGAGAGCTACTGAATCCATTTATATACAGCGGTATCAATTTCAGTTTCCTTTTTGTCCATTAAGTTCTGTCCACTAAAAACAAAAAGCATGGTTTGGGGGCGCAGCCTCGTATAATGTTAAATTATAGGTGTATATTTTTCTACTATAATACATACTGGACGCATCAGAACTTGGGATTTGTAAAACACTTTGTAGATCAAAGGTTGCACTACAAAAATTATTATTATTAGAAGCTTTTTCCTTGTCCAATTGTTTAACTGAAAAAGAGTCATCTCGGCGGAGTATATGATTTTTATAGATAATGATTATATTTTGTTCTTCTTATGGTTTGCCCAACTTCTTAAAATGTGTTTCACATTGTATGTATTGATCTTTCTTGTGCTTATAAAAGTCTAAATTATAATATTATTATATATAATTACTTACATTTTAAATTAACTTGCTATAATTTTCGTTTCAATGATTACCGCTGATAATGTGATATGACAGTATGACCATGTAGAAAATATAATAGTTTTATAATTATACATAAAGTGATCAACTCGTCAATTGGTCGAAAACGTTACTTTAACGAATTTGTAACAAATGACTAAGTTACATAGCCAATTTTTACACGTAAGAATTATAGGTTTATTTTGAAATGTCGGTTGGTCAAAATAAAGTATTCAGTGGTTCCTAAATTAATAAAGATATCACTTTGACACTTTTTTTTGTATATTATTCGTTTAGGGACAAAATAAGACATTTTAACACATTATTTTACTTGGTCACTTTTGGCACGAGGGCAGCGATATGTGATTTTTTTTTTTGTCTGTAAATAACTTTACTACAAGAAAATTTATTTTAATCAAAATATGTCGATAGACTTTTTAATTTCATTTTGATCCTAGTTAGTGCAATGATGTCGTTTTTGATTTTGAGAGGTTTTACAATGATGTTTATTATTTTTTTCTGTTAACAACTTTGTTATCAAAAATTTTGCACCAATTTTTTAATGTAACACCTTTTCTAAAAGGGAATTTTCCTGAGGAGGTATTTTAGGGGACTTTCCTAGAGTTTTTTGACTTTTCCAGAGGTTTTCATAATCATTGGAAAAACCTAGGAAAAACGGGAAAATTTACGAAATGTATTATTTTTAAATTATAAATATTACGGCCTTTCATATCATATATAACAGAATGAACTTTTGTTATACAAGCAATGATTAATCATTGCTTGTAAATGCGTTACATTTTTGCTCTACCTTTCTAACTTTTCACCTGCAATAGTGATCCATCCATTGTGTGATATACGTGTTTTTATGCTTGGTATTGTCAATAAATAATGTTGCTCCAAAAATTGAGTTTTTAGAAAAAAATAGTGTTATGTTTGTTAGAAATCCTGACCAATTCTAATAAGTATTTTTCTTTTTAACAAAATATGCAGAGTGAATAAAAATTGTTAATAAATAATATTGACATTACTTACAACAGGATTACTTTGCAAAAAAAAATATTGGAATGATAGGTAAGTAGGTACATAATGTTATTTTATTTTTACGAACAATATACCATATTATTGTATAATATATAAACTACTTTACATTGATAGAAACGATACACAATTAATAAACACCTAAGTTAAGAGTATTTCACATAAATAGATAAGAATCTAAAAAAAACTATATCTTGTCAATAATAAAAAAAAATGAAATACTAATTAATAACACAGAGTTAATTTAAAATATAAATAAAACACTAAAAATTATAATATTTTAATTATACTGATAATTCTATCTAAATAATTAATTCGTTTTAATATTAAAACTATTTACATAATTTGTAATTTACGATGAAGATCATACTAATCTAAATATTGTAATAAAATAATTATTATTTATGAAGTTAAAACAACAAGTTCGATTTACTATTTTTTAAAGATTATTATCACATATCAATATAAAATAGGGTTTATTGGCCTTTCAAACGATTTTGTAAAGTCAAGAAACTAGTTATTACAATGCCTAGAAGAATGCAGACCATCACTGATACGTCTGTCCAATATCTGCCGTCTATCATACCGATTTCTTGGAATATTTTTTCGGGTAAACGATAATGACAATAACCATCTTCGTTATGACAGGAAAGAGGTTCGCGACCATAACCGTACATGGATACAACCAACCCTTCGAGTGCATACCTCATGTAACTGATGTAAGATACGTAGTACATGACAATATGCATATGATTAAAAAGCACCAAAAAGCCGGCAAACAGAATACACAAACAAGTGATGATTGAACCAATGAACACTCCATTCTAAAATCAATAATTTAGGTATATAAAGTAAACGGTAATAATTATTTTCACGGGATTTTATATAATAATGTTAACTTACGACTGGGGCCATTACTGTGCCAAGAATAAGACCGATACCTTCGGATATCAATGTCATTAATTGACAAACAAACAAAAACATAGAAAATCTTGTCCACGTTAACATTTGCGCTGATAAGTAGTAAGAAATTGATGTGTAAATAAAACAAAACATCATCTGTGGAAAAGTATATATTATTAAGAAATAATTTTAAAAATTGTACTAAATTGATTTTTTGCTTACCTGTAAAGGCATATTTGTAATGAGAAATGCAAAGAAATATGTAGACAGTTTGTACCAGTTATTAAATAATTCTTTTTTCAGTATATGTAATTCTGATGGGACTACATAAAAAATAAATGTATGTATTGTAAAGCTATTAATTTAATGTTTTCATTATTTTTTCTTTAAATGTGCAAATGTTCTTACATTTTAAAATAGCTGGCATAATAGACGTATAACTTAAGTAGACGAGCGTTACTATGAAGAATCCAATATTGTTAAAAGCTTTACCACCGTCAGTTCCAGCATTTTCGAATAAAAGTCCCAATAATATTCCAACTAGGAAGTGCATACATAATTTTACATGAGTGACCGTCTAAAAAACAAAACAAACAAACAAATCAATTATTTAATAATAATAATATACTATTGGTTATTTATTAGATTTTGATTGCTTAAAAAATTAAACTGTAAAATTTCATTAAAGACTATATCGATTATAATGTTTTGTTCTAAATATGTATTGTTCAAAAAAGGATTAATTTATTTTATTTTATTAATTCAATAATCCTTTAAACATTGTTTTTTTTTTCTAAATATTATAATTAGTTTTTATATTTAATTTGTATTCAAAGGTACCTATAGCTTATGTGACAAAAAAAAGTTCTTTATCCAATATTCCAACAGTTTAACACTGATGCATAGGTTATTGTTATTAGGGTATGTTTTTTACAACAAAAATATTGTTTATGCAGTCCAGCATTTGAGAATAAAACATATTGAACTTTAAATTCTAGGCCATAGTGTAACTATTATTACTGAATAACTAATTATTATTTACCACATTATGTAAAACTACAAAAGCATGTAAGTACTTATTTTATTTTATCTGTGATATAGGTAATAACAAATATTTTAATTAAATAGAACATACCTACCATATTATACAGTTTTTTTTTTTTTTTTGTACTATGAATGTAATTAATGTCTTGATTAGTTTTAAAATAATTACATAGCTAAGTAATTTAATTAATATTATGTTGAAATAGGTACTATGCAAGTAATAATAATTATTAAGAATAAAGTACTTAGGTACATTCTAATACATTCGACTAAAATTATAACAAAAATGGTTTGAGCTATATTTTATTAATTATTTGACATTCATTGCCTTATATTAATGTTCAAATTAATAATTTGAAACATAAAAACAAAAATGAAGAAATGATGGGTCCAATTATTATATAGTTATAAAATTATGGAAAACAACATTAATAATTGACTGACCCAATCTCTGTAGACTTGCATTAAAGATCTGTGAATGAGTACTAATAGTTTGTTGAATTCCGAAGGCTGGTTGACCAAGACAAGTGAAGTTAAACCGGGGATTTTCGATTTTCTTTTTACTAATTCACCTGTAATTATGTATATAAAAAAATTAGTTAATAATTGATTAAAATTTGTTTTACATAATGGTGTATCAAATTAGATATTATTTACAATATGTAAAAATATCTAATATTAGATTATCACAATATATAAATGAAAAATATATTTAACAATTTATATTTTATGTTAATATTTTACGTGTATCAGAAATTTGAGGTGGTGTTCGCCACGAATTATCGATTGCTGCAGTTTTAAGTTGAGAAGTAAAATTTCCATATTCTCCAGTCACTACTTCCATTACTAATAAAACAAAAACAAAGGTGGTGATACATTAATAACAATTATTCAACAAGGGAAAATTATGAATTTATTGTTTTTATAATGTTGGATCAATCAGATAAAATTTTGAAACTATTTAAAATCTTGTTAATTGTCGCAAATTTTTATTGTATAATTAATTAATTAGGTAATTTGTATTTATTAAAAAAAAAAAAATGTATTTATTAAACACATATTAATGGGGTTTCTTTCTTTCCATTTCTATAATAAAATTTAATTTTTTTTATACAGCTAAACATTTTACCACAATTTATTATAATTTATAAGTGGTTTATACCTATATTATGTATAATTACATAAACAAGAAACGTGTTTTTAAATAAGTAATGTTATGACTAGATAAATGACAACTCATATAATAGGTAAGTACATCTAAACATTCTTGAATTCTATTTGTATTTCTTAATGCCAGGGACTAATTGACCTAGTGGGCAAGTACGTTGAGAAAATGGGGCAATGTAAAAGAAAAAAGTTATATAAATATTAATAAAATTGTAAAATGTTCCGCGGATGCCGTGGTTTTTAATTTTTGTCAGTTTTAAATTCTAATCAAAGTTCGGTTAAACATGTTTTGATCAACTTAAATTGAAAACTTTTATATTAAATTGTACCTACAGAATAAATTAAAATTTATCGTTTGTGTTTATAATGAATTTTATTTTAAATTTTAACTTCAAACTCTGATTAAATTAAATTTGAAACTAAATTACAATATTTTTTTTTATCTAATAATTTAAAAAAACTTCGAAAAATGCACCACGTCTAAAAAATGCTAATATGTACAAGTAATCGATGAAATTCATCTACAGTTGAATTTAACTAAATTACAACGAAAAATCAAAATTTAAAAAAATGTCAAGTGGCATTACAAAAGTAATCCCGTTTTTCTCCAGTGTTAAAAAAACAATAACAAAGAAAATTAAAAAAATACCTCTTCGATGCATTTACTAAGATACCTAAAAGTTTCAATATTAATAGATTTTAATTGGAGTTTACTCGATTTGTTTTCAAAAATTAATTGAACATTGGGCTATCACTCATTTTTCTCACTGGGCCATTCAAATACTGCGAATTTACATTAGTTAACAATTTAAAATATTTAAAATCCCCCTTGCCAAAATGTAAAGAACATTCATAGCAAAATCGATGAATATCACTAGATAAATGTTGCCGATTGCTATCATGTTATTACTGTGTACTTGTTACAAACTTTACGTTTCAACATTTGTACAGATTCCTACCTAATAATTTATAATTAAGTATAATAATAATGTGCACCTATTGACATTGAGCGTACACAAGTCTATCAGCTATATAGGTAATTTATTTTGTGACCACTTCGACTCCGGCTGCCTATACTGTAAATAATAATTATAACGCTGCTATTATAATAATTAATTATTACAATCATAAAATGTAATTTTTTTTCCCTGAAGGATGGTCGTCGTTTTTGGATTACCTACTCCTGTGTGACCCGTTACCCGGTGGCTACGTCTATAGGTCAAAAAACGTATACCAACTACATTCGATATAAATATCATATTATAGTTAAAGTGAAATCGTAAACGATTTAACGGTTTTTCATGAACGCATTAACGATATTATTAGATACAAGAAATATTGTAATTCGTTAAAGACTATCGGCTGATATACTGTCCCGGCGGTGTATTTTAGTTTTCTTGTACGTTCACCGGCCTTGTGGTCATATGTTTACGACAAATAAACTGCAGTGAAAATAACCATTGTATTATAAGTATTGTGGTGTATGCTTTGTACACGACGAAAAACGATCACGCTTAAGAGCGTATGATTGTTGATTTCAAATAGAAAATCTGAACTTTAAATGCTAGGAAGTTTGTTGGCAATTTAAAAAACACGCTCTAAAAATAAAGAATGATGATATAAATAATAATCGAACGACAAACGTTTGATTGAATTTTCGTGGTGGTTTTGGTCATATTTTATATAAATAAGTATATCCTAGAATATTAATATATAATTTTTTTAAATTTAGTTTACATTTGGTTTTTTTTTTAACCCTGCTTCAGAAATACATCGATTGGACTGATTGAAGGAAAATTGGTCCAAATTACTATTAATACTTGTTATGATTTTATTTTTATTTTTTATCTGTGAACAACTTTTATATCAGAAATTTTCCTCCGATTTTCAAGTGTAGTACTTTGTTTGATAGGAGATTTTATCTGGGTGATACTGGGAGATTATTTTTTTTGATTTTTTCAAGCGGTTTTCATTAATATTGGGGAAAACCGGAAAAAAGGTCGGAAAAACGGGAATATTTATGTAAAATGTATAAAAGTCACTTCGTTCCGAATCGTTTTTCATTATCAATAGTTTATCGTTGCGTATAATAATAAATTAAATTCCCCCTTTATTCTTCCTTTTCAATTTCTCACTTACAACAGTGTGTGGGCCACTTTTTTAGGTGAGAAATTCGTGCGAAGTATGTCTGTCATTTTAATTTTATTAACGTCACCGATTTGTGTTCTATTCGAACATTAGAAATGTATTATAATATTCTTATGCGTACATTTTCGTTTGAATTAATCAAATATACGAAGAGAATATTTTTATGTTATTTTTTTATGCAAACGTACGCTGCATACGTCAATACTGACACTCGAAAACCACTCGATGGGCATTATTGTAACGTACAAAATATCGCATCGTCGTATTTATTACCGGTGACGTTTGTCTTACCTTGCAACGGTAAACGACATTTTGTCCATCGTGCGTCCTATTGACCAGTGGTCAGTAACCACTGAAGACCGACTGCACTATTACTGCTCGAGTGGCATATGGGAAGAAAATCGCGAAGATCTCGGGCGACGACGACGACGACAACGCGAAGGGGTTTATCACGAACCTGACATTACGCGAAGGTTAGGTATAGATGTATTGCAGTATCTTACATAGGAAAGAAGAGGTGACTTGAGCCATGGTTCGTATAGGGAAATAAATTGCAGGTTCAATTGAAACATTTCATGCATATTACTGAAGATATATGTACATAATCTGTCAATTATATTAGACGAATATGGAGACAGCGGATTAAGTAGTAAAGAGAAACTATTTTGTTTAAATTCTTCTCATAATATTTCAAAAAAATGAGTCTTTAAAAAGTGTTATAAAGATGAATTTTCAATAATTATAAATATTATTCTATTATTTATTTTGAAATATTACGTAATATATATTTACTATAAGTAGCTGCAGGCAGCAGTTACGACTACAACCGTTGAAAGACATTTTTCAACAATATGTCGAAATTAAAAACCGTTCTCGAGGAGTCGAGACAAAGACATTTTAGTAAATCTATTCAAATTATAAATAAAGTAATACAATCCTACTAATATTACAAATACGAAACTTTGCATAGATGTAGTTCTAGACTAGGAATAGTATATTATATTCTTCTTTTTTCCGAATTCAACCTCTAAAGATGGGCTGGCACAGGGTAATTGGTATTTTTGGTACGAAAATTTAATTTTTTTTCTTTTTTTTTTAACGGGTTACCTTAATGTCAAGGATAAAGTAAAATAAAAAAAAGTTAAAACGAACCAATCAAAAAATGAATATTATTTCTTTTAGAACGGACAATGCCGAACGGGGCAGCTATAGTTACGATATATTTATAAAAATCGGCTCCCCATAACAAAAGTTGTGGCTAATTGGGTAATGATAAATTGGCTCGGTCTAGTGGACATAATTTTTATGCACGGTTGTTGTATTAGTACTTACTGAAATCTGCCGGGTTGTGGTATTGCGGACAGTTCAGACCTATCGTTTGCATGTAAGGAATGGTGTTAAGACTGGAACCCTGGTACACGCAGTATCCTTCGGCCATGATGTACACGTGGTCGAACATCTCAAACGTGCTGGCGCTCGGCTGGTGTATGGTGCAAACCACCGTTCGGCCGCCCCTGGCCAAAGCTTTCAGGATCGAAACGCACTGGTGTGAACTCGTACTGTCCAAACCGCTGCAGAAAAACAGTACGAAAAAAAGGAAGTGTAGACAATTCAGTCAACAGCGGTTTAAGAATTGAAAAACAAAGTCATCTTCACAGTTCTTTATACAATATTTTATGGCTTTTTTTTATGTTCAACCAGTAGGTTGGCCTCAGTGGAAGACATTAGCGCCAAAACGAGATAAGAAAAAAAAAAAATCGTATCGTAAAAAAAAGCGCCAAAATTCTAGGTAGTACCTACTACCTGTGTACTTCAGATATTACATTTTGAACTATATTGTTCAAGTTTGGGTCTTCGAAATGAATACACGAAGAACTCTAAATTAGAGATATATTTGAAGTCTTTTTTTGGTCTAACTTTTATTACGTGCATAGAAGTTTTTGATGCTTTTTGAAAATTTAATGTTAATCGCACCTGAAGATCAAACAATTTACAAATTTACTGATTACATTTTAGAGACGTACATCTATTTTTGTTTATTTTATTCAGAAATTCGGGCAGCAATTCTGGATAATGATATTATACGAACTACAAATGCAACTGAATCATATCATCGGTATTTAAAAGAACAATTTTATTTACTTTGAAAAACCGAAGACAATTTGAGTTAAAAATTCAGTTATTATTATTTATTTGTTCACATATTATTATTTTAATTATTATTGATTATTGATGATATTAAATATATAAAATATTATAACTGGTGTAAATAATATTTCTTTTTTATATCTTGAGCGTTTTTGTCATATTATATTGGGTATATTTTTTTATTTTATATTAATAGTTCGTAAAGTATACTGTTAATATTAATTGTGTACCTCATGATTACCTACACCCCTGTCTTCCGTTTTCTAAATTTCACTACCTTAGCCGATCGTCGTCACCATCTTAATAATTAAATCTTTTCTCCAAAACATTTTTTCTGGTTCAGTTGAATCTCCTTTCCTTCCTCCTTGCAGTTTTAAATTTTAAGGTATCAACTCGAAATTACAATTTTTTTGTTACTCTACGTTAACCAACCAACTATTTGAGAAACGAGTCTCACACCAGGATGATGCGTGTAGCCATTATTCCTTCTTTAGGTTAATTTTGTTATTTCTGGTTTTAAATTTTTGTTGTAGCATACCTTACATTATTTTTTGAGCTTGCCCTAGCTACTAATTAACCTTACTGTAACTTAGTCTTAAACTAATACTGAACGTTTTTGTTGTTCTTAATTTAATTGTACTCTATCTATGTATCATAATTGTGATCATTTTGTTATGACATTTTTGTAAATTGGGCTCCAGCCCGTTATCTCAATAAATAGATAAATACATATTGGCACCTATATTCTATTAATTTTGGCGCAGATAATATGTAATGTTTACACCTTTGGCGCTTATGTCATATAATCGTCGACCTACAATTCTAATTCTCCATTATAATTTATTAGTTATTACTCGTATTTTCTTTTAGTTACTAAAAACGTTTAACTCTAGCATTATTTTTAATTTATCCTATACGAGTATATAAGATTTACGGAATCGCCCTGCAATATTTTAACGAAATCACTTCAGAGATCATTTCATATGATCTATAGTAAATTGAATTTTATTATAATCTTCTTAAAACAATATATTCTCATGATAAAAATGATTAAAAAACTTGTCTAATACCACGGGAAGAAAATGCGACGAATCTAGGTATATAATTTTTTTTGTAAAAAATGTTAAAAATTATTTTTCCTCCTAATTATTAATTTGTAGAAAAAAAAACATATGTTTATAAAATAATTGTTATTGGACAATATAATAAATTGAACAATGAAATAATGATTTTTTTCAGTTCAATAGTATTATTGGTAGGTAGAAATTATATAATAGTAATTATAAACTGCATATAGTACTGTCGTTTCTTATTTTTGGATGAATTGTAACCTATAACTTAACCCAACCCCTTAACGTTACTAACGTTTCTTGGTATAAAGCATTTTTTGATGTAGAACTAGACAATTTAAGACTGTAGATCATTACAGACGTTACTACAGAATGTTTAATTGGGGTATTTTTCGAATTTCTTTTAAAATTACAAAAATCTAAGAAAGTAAAGACGTATAATAGCAAGACTACCGGTTATTATGCGATAGTATACGATAGTAATAATTAACGACTATTAATAACTGCACATGACTGTAGCAGATTTGCAACGACTTGAGCGTAACCGAGATGAACGTTCGAAACAAGGTCTTATTGTACATTGTGTTGCGTATTTTTTCTGTTTAATTAAAATTTACTAATTTAAAATATCTATCCTGTGATTTTTGCAGATAATCAAGTTGAAAAACGAGTATTGATATTCCTACCTATACATGGATACGCTCGTAATTATTAATAATATTATGCCGTGGTAGTAATCAAAACTGCGAGTCATTATGTTATCATATTTTATAATTATATATAATTTACATTGTTTCGAACTTGTAAAAATCTATTTACATTATTCATTACAATGTGTAGGCTTGGGAAAGATAAATATAATGTTTTTTCAAGATATTACGTTAAATTATGCTAAAGTCATATTTTTCATGTAGTGTAGCATGTGGAACGTAATGTCCAAATAACATAAACAATATTAATACAACCGGTTTCAGTTTTATAGTAATTGGTATAAGAGGTAACGAAACGTCTTTGAAAATATTATATTTTTGTAAAATAAATGTGATAATGTCTGTAAAGTCTAAAGGCAACTATTCAGTTATTTGACTAATGCGAATTATATCGTATTATATATATCGTATATCATATTAAATATTATAACAATATTAAATTATATTTATTTTCAAAGTTGGGCAGGTTAACAAATTTGTTTACCTAACTAGTTAAAATTAATTTGACATAAAAAAAAAAATAATAATAATAATATTTTTTTTTTACACAACAAATTCGTAAACAACTTAAATTTTAGAAAAATAATTGTGTTATTTTTTAACGATCTAATTTTTGTTAACTAGGTCAATTTAAAATTTAACCAAACATTAAATTATAACGTACATTTTAACTCTTCAACTATTTCCTGACAAGTTTTTATCGTTTTAGGCATTTTGTGTAAAATGTATAACTCACGTGGTGGGTTCGTCGAGAAACATGATCGGAGGATTGTCAATGAGTTCCAGGGCGATGGACAATCGTTTCTTCTGTCCACCGGACAGTCTACCACATCTGGTGTGAAGGCTGCCGGAGAGTCCGATGCTGTCAAGAATGTCCTCGATCTAGACATAACCCAAGGAGAACAATAATGTCAGTTAAAATACGTGATAATAATTATATTGAATTGTGTACGTATACAATATAATATAATAAATATTTGGTGCATATTTATAATGTTCGCGTGTGTGTAGGGAAATCAAATTATTAAGGGCCCATATACGTATAATAAAATAATAGACAAATTTAAAACTGAAACAAATATAATGACGTGTTTGTTTTCCATGGCGCGGACGCGGACATGTTTCGTGATTGACGCTTGTGCGTAGACAAAAAAAATTCAAAACCCGAAAGAAACAAGGTAGTTAAAAATCATTTTAGCGTATTGGTACGAACGGTGTCTCGCTATAAATAAATGTTATTGTATGTTATGATAAATTACGTAGTCTCGGTGACAAAACTATGAATAAAGATTGTTGTAATTATATTGTAATTATTTGAACTTGGGGAGTTCGACCTGATATTCAAAAGGATATACGATATAGTATAAAAAAAGACGATAACCGAATTCAGCGGATACTTAAAGAATATATATAAGAAATTATGTATATTGTACATATACATAAGCAATCACTACATATAATTTGCAATACAATAAGAATATAATGGCATTATTGATCGTAATACAATTTTTTTTTTTTAATAAAACTAATAATATCTAATGTCTTCTTCCCGTTTTGTCTTTATCCCTGCAAGCAAGCACACGAGGTCATCTACTCTCAAAATATACAACTAACATTAATTGTTTCAAAATATTTAGATATACTTATTAATTTTCTGATTCTTTTTTGTTCTCGTGTATTACCGTATATATATTCTATTTAGCAGGAATAATCGATTTTCAGTAATATACATTTATAATTATTATAGATACATTATAGATAATAGAAGATAATTATTATCGAGTTGTTTATAAAATAATAAAAAACCGAATATTTTATTTTACACTAAGATTATTATGTTTATAAAAAAATAATGTATAAACATGTAATGAACTTGTATAATATCAAGGTAGCCTCGACATATGTAAGTGTCTATAATATAACCTTGTTAGACAATAAGAACCCATAACATGTGTACCATTTTGTTGGTGAATTTTTATTTGATTTATTTTTATAGGTTACGTAGATACATTAAAAGTTAAACCGGTACTGGCGATTCAATAAGATAGTACCAACTGATACATATTTTTATTTATGTTGTTTATTTATTGTCAGAAGATTACCATAGTGAGTATTATGTATTTTATTTTACCCAGTTTTAGATTGAATGTATAAGCATTATATAACATGAACCGTGCCCGAATTAACCAATGGAGTTCGGTAATTTTTGAAAAAAATCTCGGCGGAAGGAAACAGTATAATAATAATAATATTTTCTTCCACAGCGACGGCGTTTAAAAACTAACTGAAAAAAATATTCCATGTTTGTACATCAAGTGAGCAAATTATAATTGCGTGTGAGTTTGCGTTTATAATGTGTTTTTTTTTTTTTTTGTACCTATAGGTACCTAATGGTAGTATTCATTATAATATTACAATACCTAGGTACTTTAGTACGCGCTCGTATAATTTGTTTGTTTGTCATAGTTTTATTATTGGCCGCGAGGAACACGAAAGAATGGTGGAGGGGAGGGGTGAGCGTATTTTTCTGAAACTAATATTCTTTGCATATAAAATAATATAACACGATGACGAACATGTTTTTAGTTTATTATACTATAATATTCCTGTTTAAAATTTGCCTCGATCGATTTATTTGCTAAAATTATAAAATACCTTACTGTACATTATTGTGCTTATATAATATATAATATGTATAAGTAAGTTTTCCACAGAGTACCTAAGTTTTAAATTACAAATTTGTTAACTTACTACGAGTAATTTAGATTTGTACGAAAGTGTGTATCCAAGTTTTAGATCGGCCGCCATCATCATTATTTCGATTACGGTGAAAAGCGGACACAGTTGGTCGTCTTGCATTATGTAACAGGATTCCTTTTGGCTCATGGTGTGACAGCTGTTTTTTTTTTTTAAATCGTTATTTAACAGCAAATCGTTGTCGACTCGGCTCGTTCTCACTTCGCCGTTCATTCCTTTGCGTCTACAATATAGACAATAAACCACATTTATTAAGATTAATCAATTCAATATGTGTAAATAAGTATACAAATATATTATTATGTAGGCATCTATACAATAATACAAATAATAATTAACGTAAACAACAACTGTAGCTGAAAATTTGTATACTAATATCATGTAATGTATTGTATTTTTGATGTTTACAACTAAACAATTAAAAAATGTACAATAATAAGGTAATGATTTCAGTAATTAAGACGTATATTAACTGTCCATAACTTATTATACAAATGAAATGTGACATGGAAATGTTAAATTTATAACAATAATGTATAATACTATTGTATAATTAGAATTTAAAGTCAACTTTGAATGTAATTGAACAGTATAAAACACCTATATTTTCGTCTAGACGTTGGTATATAATAACTAAGTTAATATATAACTTCAATCATTTTTATAAATTATTTCAATCGTATTTCGAAATCTTGCCTTTAGGCAAATTCAATGCAAACTTCGCATTGAATATCAATAATAAGAAATAATTATCGACCAATTCGTTAACCATGAAACATAATTATTATATAGTAGGTATTCCTTGATATTGAAATATATAATATATTCAGCAAGCAATGGAAATTGAATGCTGCATAATATTATTATAATATGCATTAATGACTATCTAATATGATAGAAAATATTAATTAAAAGACTAATAATCTAGTAAGCGCTTGTAAAACAGTAAAATATATTATGAATATAACACAGCATGTTTTTTTCGTACCGTGAGCTCCCTTCCCCCAGATTATTTACGATTATTTTAAGTAAATTTGAATCTGGATTTTTGTATTTTAGTTTTCGGACGTCGTTTCATTAAAAAAAAAAACTTTTAAAATTTGTCATTAGTATATAGAAAAAAAAAGAAAGTATCTACCAATACTCGTAAATAGTAAATACAGTCGTAGTAATAAATTAATACTTTTCATTACAGAGTTTGACAGTATAAGTATAGTTTGGAACTCTTGTACATTTTGACTGCGGTATTTTCTGATAAATAATAATAATAATAATACTGTAATTATTGGGTTGATATTTTTTATAAACATTTTAATTTTAATTTTTACGTAATTTGTATTCGGTAAGTACTCAATGGATAAAATTGTTAGACCAAACAGAAATGTTTAAAAATTTAACAGAAGGTTCATTATAAGTTGTACTTAGTGATCAATAAGAAAAAGTTGAGTTTGATGTAGTGTTTTTTTTTTCAAAATCAAATTTTGACAAAATCATAAATATTACGGCCTTTTAAAATTTGTATAACCGAACTCCATTTAGAATCGTTTTTAATTATTAATGAATTGTTGCATACAGATAAACATCAAATAGTTCTACTACAACCCTAATAAAAAGTTACATAAATACAGATCCAGAAGAGACGGTCGTCCCTATTGCCCCTGCAATTTTAAATTGGTGAAAAAAATAGTGTACTGGCCGAAAACGGTTATTGTGGAATGGCCGAAAATGGTCTCGCTCGAAAATTCAACGATAGTTGCTATAACAATATAACAAATTACCGTTGTGAAGGGATGTATGCAAGAAAATAAAAAACGATAGTTTTCCTAGTAATGTATTATTATGGATTTCGTGAGGTGAAAGCTATAACGGAATGATATGAACCCAAATATACATTCGATGTTGAACATTTACAAACAGAAAATTATACTACGTACTTATTGAATAATAAAATATTATACTTAAAATTACTTATTGATATAAATAAATAAACTTCAAGATCAAGAAATATTAATGTATTTTACGTTTTTTTTTTTTCAAAAGGAAGATTTTTATAATTAGAGATTATTTTATAATTATTATTATTATGTTGTTCGTAGTTATTATAATATTCATTTAAAATATTCCACGTAAATCTGATAAATAAAATCACCCTTTAGGCTGTACTTATAAAAAATTATTAAAATATATACACATTTAAAACTTGTTGATGTGTTTAACCTTCGGAAGTTCAAAAAAAAAAAAACTGGGTGTATCTATGAATATTTAAACAAATTGATATTTTGTTACGATTAAAAATATGTAAATATCGAATGTATTGATATTGACCGTAAAGTCAACTACTTTTTAAGATGTATAGTAATAATAACAATTATAATGTCAAGGGCTTTAATCAATATATAATTTACAATATTTTATATTATATAGTTTGTATAATTGAATAAAATAACGGTCATAACGGATTATATTCGTCAGATTTCGCTGAAAAAAACTTTAAAGCACAGAAGTAGCAGCAGGATAGAACTGGTGGAATTATTATGAAATCAGATCGCCCACTACTGTCGGTTAAATAGAGAACAAAACACCACGGAAGTAGGTACCTATATTATTTACCTAACCTTTATTCATTATTATATTTTCAGTCTGCAGGCCATCGAAATTATTTTGTACACATTATTTTCACAGGCCGATACACAAAAATTAGTAATCATATCAATTGTCTATAGTAAAAAAATCATAATTTTATTAATGAAACGGTTTTTAATTAGGTATTATAGTAATATACCTGGTATTTAATTCGGTAGAGAAAAATAATAAAATAATATTATGAACTCGTATAATATGATTGTAATAAAATGTGAATAAATTGCTGTCATAACTGAATTAAATATTATAAGATATCGAAATATTGAAAAATATAAGTTAATAATGATTAATAATAAACAGATAAACAGCCTTATTAAATGAGGCTATCAAAATAATACTATTCAACTTTATAGTGTTAACTGCGATACATAATGATAATAATAATGCGGTTAAAAGTTAAAACATTTTGTAATTTCGTTACTAAACATTTTGAAAATTCGTACATTTCGCAACAAATAATTGTTATACATTTGTGGGTTGTAAAACAATATGTTTTTCAAAACACGGAATAATTGCATACACACACTGCAATTAAATATAATATTATATTATATGCAATATGCATATTTCATAATATAATATAATAGATAACTATAATCATATTTTAATGATGACGTTTTTTTTTTTTTTAAATAATATTGAAGAAGTAATTTATCGTAAAAGAAACCGAACAAATGCTTGATTATAAAGAAAAACGAAAAAAACAACATGTAAATGTAAGTATAGATTTTTTCCTATGTTAATTATATATACTTATAGGTATAGTTGATAGAATCAACTATACATACATATTCGATTAATCCAAATTCATTGGTAGGTTCGAGTAATTCTACATAAACACGATTATTATTATACGCACTATAGGTACTTTAGGTTATTATTCTGTAATTTTAAAAATTGCAAAGATCTATTGTCTGATTATTAGGTATATACCTAATGGTATAAATCTTTGGTTGTCGTAGAAATTATATACTTATAAGTTCTAATATACCTACGTTATTTCGTCATTCCGAATCGTTTCAAATATCGTGTTTATACGTTTACTGACTATTGTAATACCTATAATAGTTGCCGAGTTCGGATTTGTATACGTAGGAATTTTAGAGAGACGAAAATCACAGCGAAATCGAAATGAGCGAATTCACCAATCCGAAACCGAAAATCCAGAACATCGAAAATAGAGGTAGTTTATAATTAATTAATTGAATTAGGAAAATAATGTCTTTAAAATATTTAAAAGAATAAAAAAAATGTTCGTCGTGTTACAAATTTTACTATGAATATTATTCGCCCTGGTCACCGTCCAGATAACGCGAAAACCGAAACGAATACAAAAATAATATTGCACCTATATTAATCCAAATATACAATTTATATATTTTTATTTTTATTTTATTTACATTGTATACTAATAGGTCAGTAAAAATATTACTATGAGTAGGTAATAAAGTATATGTATGTATAGGTAAAAGGTGAAATTAGGATAGGTCATAATTCGTATTGTGTAGAGTTCCGTTTTAATGGTTTTCCTTTTAAACACGTCTTACACAGAAAAGCCATTATGAAATTATAATAAAAACAATTTTTGGTAGAAAAGTTGTTAACGGAAAACAAAAATAAATAATAAGCTTTCCTGTAAAACCGATACATTCCACGCTCCACTTAGAATTTAAAAATAATATCATTAATATGTATGATGCGCAGATTGTGGCTGTCGTAGAGCGATTTATACCACGAAACGGCTTATCAATTAAACATATTTAATACATTAGTCACGGTTTTATACATAATAATAATATATCATGTATAGAGGAGTTCAGGTCAGAGAGCTTGGTCGAGGATAGATCTTGTTACTGCAGGTTTCTTTAATAGAATAACTAGAGTAATAAAACACTAATAGCTGTATATTAGTGATTTATGCCTATAAATAATGTGTACGACAATTTATAAAACGAAATATATTTTAGACATTAAGATTATCGTTGCTTTAATATGGTATGTTAAACACGATATTTTATTTTATTCGTATGCATAAAAAAATGTTTTAAAAAAAAATCGAAATCTGTACAATAATATGCATAATTTTAATTTAGGACAAGGCAAAAATATTATAGTAACCACAAGTCATAATCTATACTGGTGATAATATTAAAAATTAAAATGTAGGTTATCTATATAATATTATTATGAATACCACCGCAAGACACTAATATTATATTATATTTTGTCGGTATTTTCCAATCCTGCAGCAATAATACTGAGTTACGTATTTTTTATGTTCATTTTTGTGTTCAGTGTATTATTATTAGATATTACCTATATTTTACGGTCTTATATTATTTTTAGGTCAATATCATATAATGATAATATTATTATTATGAGTTATCAAGTACATACGTATAAGTAGAAGGTTAAGTTAGGATAGGTTATAATTCGTATTATATGTATAATTCCGTTTTAATGGGTTTTCTTTTAAACATACCGTATAAATAAAAAGCTATTACGAAATAAAAATTTAAAAAATAATATAAATATGTATGATGCGCGGTCTGTGGCTTTAGCAGAGCGTTTTATATCTGCGAAACGGCGTGGTATAATGCAAGAATTAATTTTTATTTACGTATTTGTATTAATTAAAAATGTTAATAAATGTAGATTATAATTATAAATCATATTATATTACAATGTTGTACTGATTAAATTTAATTCGTCTTCATATTATTACTCAGATCATGAGAATTACGTTTTTATGTCTAATTAAAATACAAATCTATCGGCAAGTACAGCGTAGAAAATGTAAATTATTCTATCGGTATTTTTGTTTCATATAATTAGTCAATAAAGTTTACCGAAGCTATAACAATATATGAGTCAAATATGGTCATTTTTACAACCTTAAATTTTACAACCTTGATTATTAAGTGAACAAATTATTCAAAGGTAATATAATTTATTGTTTTGTGTATTCTCCGCAATTTACAATGGTACTCTGAAGTTTAAAAACTCGAGATGGTGCGTGCAAGACATTCAGGAAGTCGATAAATTCGCATACAAAAACTCGAGACTTGATATGACACGCGTTTTTAATGATGAACTATGAACTATGAAGTGATGAATAAATAAAGAAATAATAAGTAAATAAATACAGCTATATGTACTATTATGTATAGTACCTAAATCGTTAAAATAAACATAAGAACTGACAGAGTGTAAAACCGTGCGTCACTGAAATCGGCTAAAAACGTGTTCAAAGTTAAGTCGTTATATTATATATAGACGGAAAACAGTCACCTGACATAATGGAATTTGCAATTAGAACTATTCGAAATGTTCTTTGAAATATTCGATAGGTTTTCCGAATAAAAGTATTTGATTGTGGAAAAAATATTTAATAGTTCATCTGAACAATTTTAAACCTCCGATAATATAAACTATTCAGAAGTACTAATTATAAATAATAATAAATACCATTTAATTGAATAAAGTATAATACGTGTATACAGGTTGTCCCACGAAGATATACCCCTTGAATATCTCCGGAGATAATAAAAATAGTCAAATTCTGTTTTTTTGTTTTTTTATATTACTCACAGGGAGAGGATTACAAATATTTATATTTGAATTAATTTTTTTTTTTTTTTTATTAACAAAAATTAAAAAATTAACTTTATTTTATTATTTTCGAAAAATTTTAATGTATCACACATTTATAAATAATTTCTAAGTAACAGCCATTTTAAATACTACTAATCCGTGTGAAAATCGATGTTATTGTGATTTATTCTCTAGATAACATAGTGGGACAGCCTGTTTATGTGTATTATATAATATGAGTTCAAAATACACGAGTACATTATACATGTTCGTAAAAATGTATAACGTTTGGCGTATAAAGAAATATGTACTTACTGAAATCCGGTAAGAATATTGAGGAGTGTTGATTTTCCGGCACCGGATGGGCCCATAATTGCAGTTAATTCACCGCAGTTGAAGCGTCCGGAAACGCCTTTAAGTACCTTTTTTTCCTCTGAAATAATCGAAATAAAATACAATTATTATTTAATTTTAATTTGTATCATATATACGTGTGTAGGTATAAGATACTAATATAATTATTAATTTACGGCACCAAAGAAGTTTAAATTTATTGTGTGTTAAAATGTTATGTTGACTAAGAAAAGGAACTAGATTAATATTTCTCTTAATGCAGAATTTCATCTAAAGTTAATGATACATCGTAACAACTGATTAGCATAATATCCTCTAGCTTTTAACTACGACATGATCTACAAAGGTACCCATGAGCTATCACTCCACACGTGTGGAAATGCTTGAATACCTTCTTGACTCTAGGGTAGCCGCCACTGCTACAACTAATTAAGATAACGATATAACTATACAAGTTTACTATTCATTATTTATAATAAGGACTTCTAAGTTTGTACTCTAAAAAACCCGAATAAATAAGCAAGCACTTATGTACTAAAATCTGGCAAAACATACAGTTACAAATTCGAAAATACGAATATATTATATGCACTGCAGTTCTAAAACTAAACGTTTGAAATATGGGCAATAAAAAAAATAATTTCACTCGAAATTCAGTTTGTTAAAAATGTGAAAACTGTAGAAATTACGGTATTCAGAACATGTATAACCGAACTTGGCTCAGAATCGTTTTTCGATAGCAATATCGTTGTTTGTATCCAATATCTTTCCGATTTCTCAACTACAGAGGCACATCCGTCCCCAGTATTGGCTTATTTTGTTTGTTTTGTATATTACGTTATGTTCGGTATACTATTATATATTTATACCTACCCACTATAAAATCGTATATTATCCTCAATAAAAATGTATATTTGGTTTTACTTCCAATAGTATTTAAGTATCCAATAACTAAATATTATTGATTTCGATTTAATCTTTATTACGTTTCAAAGTTGTATCAACGTCAAAAATAATGCATTTGTGTACAAACGTACAACATTGTGTTGTGTATAAATTATGTAGAATGCAGAGTTGCATAATATTCAGAATAATATGCAATTACGAGCAATTATGAAACTATCCGATCGATCTATTATTATTTTAAACAGGTAGGTAGGTTACCTATAATACGCATACATTTTATAATTGTATTAGTTAAAAAAAAGTTAATGGGTACATACACTATACAGGTATATTATACTGGTGTTTATAATATAATTTTTAGATTAGATCGATATTTTGAACGTTTACAAATAAGTTGATGTCATTAAGTATATATGTATTAAAAACGTTTCCTTGGATAACGACTACCTAGATAATAATATCTGTGTGTGTGTGTGTGTGAGAATATTAGTTCTCATACACCAGTTATATTGTACGCTTCAGTAATGGTATAGTCGATTAATAATAATATAATTAGGTACCCGATTTCATAATCGTTACAGTAGTAGTATAATAATTATTTTTGCAAACCAGCAAACGAATTCGCTAAACGAAAGGTGTTCAAATATATATAAAAATGTATTAAAATTAATATCTATTGCATAGATACACCTAAGCGTGTAGGTATGTAGCCAGTATAGAGTACCTAACTAACCAGAAATACGCATTATTATTTGATTGTAGCGGTTTTTTTTTTTTTTTTATTATTATTAATTAAGTGGGTCATCTATTAAAAAAAAATATATATACATATATATAGTTCGTTCACATTTAACATTTAAGTAAGCATATGAACGGTGATCATGTAATAATCGTGTACAGACTTTATACTATATGTATATACATATATATATATGTATACAATAATTATTATATATTTATTATTATGTTGCTACCTCATATGTACAGGGTGATCGATAAAACTTTAAGACACGAATTATTTCGTAAAGATTTTTTTTTTTTTTTTCCGGGAATTTTTTTTCAAGAACATTTAAGAAATAAGTGTTCTTTTGAATTTTTATCAATCGGTTGACGAGATATTCTACTTTTAAGTCAAAGTAGAAGTAGTGTGACATAATTTGTGTGGTAGCGCATTGCGTGACGTTTGAATAGTGTTCCACTATTATCCCCCCCCCACTCATAAACCGGTTAATTTAAAAGTGGAATGTCCCGTAAACGGGTCGACGAAAATTAAACATATCAACACCAAAATGAATTTAAATTAAAACTTTTTGTGGAATTTTTAATATAGATTGCTGTTTTAAAATCAAAGTGATGATGGATAGTAATATTTTTACCTCTGAATTTAAGGGCGACAGAAACTAACGCTTATATAATATTTTAGAGCTGTTTGTTTCTTAAATTTTCTAAACAACAAATTAAAAAAAAAAAAATCATTCTTTTTGAGATTGTGAGTGATACACGTTATGTTAATCATCCTGTATATAGTACCGTGAATCAGGTATACATTTGATATAATATATAAATAGTAAGATACCTGTTTGAATACGTAACAGTTCCAAATATTTATTTCGTTTCTAAACGAAATAAAAAACAGCTTTAAGCACTAAAGTTGAATTTTTTCTCACCTATATCTTGTATTATAGAAATATTCTTTGTAACACAATAAATAATATTACTATAATAGTAGGATACTATATTACACTATAAACCAAAACTACTCAAGAAAAAAATGGCAAAATTTGAGCATAGAGATGGTAGGAGCTAGGCCGCTGGAGTTAGGCACATCTTTTATATTAACTTCGTGAACACTACAAAATTTCATCCTTCCGCAACATGCTAATTCGTCAGTGTGACATATCGAGTAAAACAAAATCATTGTAATAATAAATATAATATTATTATTATTTATATTACATGAATATATTTAGTTGAAGATTCGGATTAATATAGTATAATATATTATCATTTATCATGATATAATTAATATTATAATTTTGAGAAAAGTAAAATATTGATAATTTTAGATTCTGAGTGGAGTGAAGAAGCTTATGGTTTTACAAAGGTGTTTTTTTTTTTTTGTCATTTTTCGATTTTCTCAGGAGATTTCCAGGCAAATGTGAAAACCTGAGATAAAACATGGAAAAACCGGAAAAAACGTAGAAAAACTGGAAAAATCGGTACAACATTAAACAAATATTATTAAATATAGAGAGCCTATTCAATTATTTTACTATAATATTGTTGACAAAGCATCAACTGAACTCCGCTCAGAATTGTTTTTTCGTAAGCAATGGTTTATCTTTGCTTACAGGTATACATTAAATTATCTATAACGGTGGCTGCACACGTCCCCATTATATAAAAAGTAGAACTGTGCAATCGTAATATTTATAACATTACTACCTATAGGTAGATATATACAATATATTAAGTACTTGAAATGAGTAAAATATATTTTTCAAACATGTTTTTGAAATGTTTATGAATTTATATGAATTTAGAGTGCGTTCAAAAATATTATGTATAATAAAGTGTGAATGGCATAGTATTATGAAATATATCTCTATTTTTGTGTTTATATAAAAATGGGAATCGAATAAAACCATTTATCTATGCGATGACGAAGGTTAATACCTTAAAACAGGTTTGGGAGAAAAAAAACCTACATCCAAATTATCACTGTACAAATTGATTAACGACATTATGTGATTTTTGGACTGATGATAATTAATATTCAAAAAAAGTAGTTTTAAATTATTTCACAGGTATAGGTAATTTTTTTGTTCATTAATACTACAAGTAATTGCTGATAGAAAAAAAAAAATTACGCGGAAGTAATTGTAAGTACGTCAAGGGTCACAAAAATGATTTTTAAAATTACTGTAATATGTACAGTCGGTATCCCGCCAAAATAACAAAAAATAACCGTGAGTGAAAATCTCACAGTAATAATACCGAATTTTAAAAAAGAGCGAAAATATAGTATATTTTTTAAAATTATAATCATAATATCGTTAGGTTCATTATAGGTATTTTATTATTTAGGTATTAATATTTTCGATACTTAGTGACAAATTATTTGCTACATCTTTTACAAAGTTCTCATTATCATATTAGTATTCAAATTTGTAATTTATATATAATAGTTTCACTGTTATGTATGATCGATTATTTTAAAATTCGCTATTTTAGCCAAGACCCATGTACTCATATTTAATCTGATTTATTGAAAAAAAAATTCTATTGGCTGAAATAATTGATATCAATAAACAAATATTGAGCATAAAAATATTGTAGGTGTTATTTGCGAGACATTAAAATTACGGTAAACTTGGTAAATAATATATGTATTTTAAGAACGATTTGTTTTTTTCAGTAAGTAGATATAGGCCATAATTATTATAGTTTACCCTGTTTATTTAAAACAGATTGGTGAAAATTACAATAGTTTAATTACCTTTTTTTTTTTATTTTGATTTATTTCAATATTATAATATGATATGTGTTTATACAATATTGTAAAAAAGTGTGTAAAATATATAATTATTATAGGAATAATTATATATTATAATCCAGTTGTCAATACCTAGTCAATAAATATTTATCGATCAATAACAATCGTTTGAAAAATATAAAATATTTTGCGTTCAATATCTTAATGAGCAGTGATTACTGTATTGCAGTTATATATAGTGATATCACCTGGTGAGAAGAAATTATGCAATTAGAGCATTTACCTCAATCTAATGTTTAGTCTTGTCTTAATTCAGTATTTCTATTAATCTATGTGACCTTTGAGTGTGGAAAAAAATGTTAAACTACGAAAAAAAATATGTTTCAAATATCTTTTGTTCATATTATACGCCCAGAAAATAAATAATACGAGAGTAATATTAAAGGTAGATTTTTTCGATTTCTTTACTTTCCTTTCGATTTTCACGACTTTTATCTTTTAAAATGAAATGTATAATTATTTTCATTACAATAAGAAAATAAATAATCTATACAATTAATGAACAATAATTATGTGCGATTGGGGGGGGGGATGCAAATTGGGGTTACATGATTACGAATATATTTAAATCAAAATGTTACGACACCATTTTAGTTTAAGTCTACACCGAAGATTGTAGAGTATGAAAGGCATGTATGAGTGGTTTTTAAAGGCTTTCAAGTTTTTTTTTTTTTTTAAAAAAAACAATCTTTTATAACACATAAAAGTTTCTTCTTAATTTGTTTTTGTACTAAGGTTTTTGCGAAGGGTTAAGTAAGAGACAAAAGGTTAGTGATTTTTATCACATGCATATCCGACAACAAAAGTTATGTTATGTTAATTTATGTTGTGGGCTGATCAGATGCATACAAGTTGAACAGTATAGGTAATATAAGTCAAAGGTGTTAATTTTTATCCCTTCTTTTGAAATTTTATTTATGGGCCTATGATAGTAGTATCTTCTCGAGGTACTAAAATTAAGTATATAATTCAAACACCACGAAAATATGTAAACCTATTTTTGGTGAGCGCATTAAGCTGAAATACATAAAGTATATTTAAATGGAGGGAGAACATTTTTTTTTCGGTAAATGACCACTATTTCTTTCTCCAACAGTTAACGGATTTTGCCTAGGTGTACCGAATATTGACATGACTACTACGTTACTGCGTACCTATAAATACTTAATATTTATACATAAGTATACAGGCAGTGGCGAAACGAACCTGAAACAACTCTCTGAAGAAACCTATACAAATTAGTATAGTAAACGGGTAGATACTATAATTTCAGATATGGTCATATATTTAACACGTCCACTCATCAATAAATCTTAAAAGTTTTCGAGAAGCAACCGCTTCTATTCAGAGATTGCGTTCGTTTCGCCACAGCTGTGCCTACGTATAGATATACGTGCATAATATATTATTATTTTGTTATACCAGATGACCGCCAACATAAAAACGACCGAAAGAAATGAAATAAATAATATTATACTATTATTATTATATTGGTGCTGTACAGCGAACACGCCGGGCAGGCACGTATAACGTTTAGTAGGTCAATGCTAATCAAGGTTGTATACGACAAAATATTAGGTATATTATTGTGTTTATGTAATACGCATTCAGACACGAAAAATTCAATAAATTTAGTATCGTATTATTGTGTTTTTGGTATTATTTTGATAGTTATTTGAGTATTCTTCATTTTTTTTTCTTACCTCTGCGCAGTGTGCCGACGGTCACTGTGAACTCAATGTCCGTAAACATTATGTCGATCGGATTGTTTTTGGGCAGGTGCATGAGCACCATTCGTGGGGCGGACGTCATTTTGAACTAACTCCTCGTGCAGTTGTAGACTTTCGTAGCTGCAGTTGATGGTCTGATAATTCTTATCGCTCGCGTTTTTACGCGGCCCGGTGGTTTCTGCGACAGCTGGTGGCAGTTCAACAATGTCTGGGTATAGAAGATGCCAGTAATAGTAACGAAGATGTATCATTCATCATATATTAGGTGTCTACGAGGATTATATTATGCCATACACAAGAATATTGTATCAATTCCGTCGTGATCAAGTCATTTAAATTATATTCGTCCCCCTTTTTTTTTTTTAAAAATTCGTTGTCCAACGAGCCTGTAAAAAAAAAAAAAAAAACAAAAACGTTAAGTAGGTAAAGGTACAGAGTTAGATCGGATCGGGGAAGGTTAAATTTTGTAAACCAATCCGTTCATAAGTAAAAAATCTCTTATCAAACGAAACGACGACGTTGCATTTAATAAAACGAATTTTGAGGATATAGGTAGGTATATACAAAATCGAACACATATATATAATACTAAAGTTATCACCTTCAACGTCGTTACAAAAGGTTTCTATTATTATGTATTTATTTATTGACCACATGAAGATTATAGTACGAGTTTAATTAATTAACTAATAAGGTAAGTGTATAATTATTTTTTTACCGATATTAATCAGAAAAACAACATCACAATAAGTCTGAAATAATTAATTTTGAATTCTTATATGTTATATTACGAGAATGTATGTAAGAATATTTTATATGAATATTTTATAGTTTGTATTTATGTTTATGAATTTTATTACTATGACACATACTACTTCAAAACTAACTTATAAATTGTGTGTAGGTAGTAAAAATGCACTGTTTTCGTTCAGAAATTGAGACATAATATGAATTTCTAAAAATAGTGTGAACTGTTGAGAAATTGAGTGTTTTTCGTGCTGAAAATATGTAGTAAGCTGTTGAATTTATCCAGAAGGCCAAACGATTTTGCACATGAGAAAAATAATATTTTATCTCAAGATTACGATACGTCTGTGGGAAAGACCGTCATGAGAAGTTGGTCACCTTTCCAGGAGTTCGTGTACAATGTTCTACAACAGGTGGCACAATTACATAATTTGTGCGTATTTGTACGATAATCTGATGCAAATACTGGTGAAGTTCCAACAAATCATAGGTGCGTACAGATATTGACGGTAAAGTAATCAAATGGTTTTGTGCCTTCAAAAAAGCACATAAATTGAAAACTCCTAAATAGCCAACCAGAAATAACTCAAAAGAGGGCCAAAATGCTTGTATATTGAAACACAACAGAATATGCTTATTATATTAAAAAAAAAAACGTGTTAGTGATATAAAACCCGCAAAGTTCCGTCAGTCGATAATAATAATTATCGGACAAATGTTCACACACACACGTTCCCAATTAATTATTGCATCACGGCGATAGTGCGACAGAACACGGACGACATTGTGTAACAGTTTATTATTATTGTTTATTATATTAGGATTTTTAGAACAGTCCGCGTTTTCATACTATTAGGTATACCAGTATGTATACAGGTATATATAAAACGGTCTATAAAATAATATGTTGTCGACCTAAAAAATGCGAAGTGATAGTGATGCAGGTATTGTGCGTGCGCACAAACGTTGCAGCAGCGCGTTTTTGTACACCGTCGTTTTTAATTCTTTTGACGGCGACGAGTCGTGTAAATGTATATAGGTATAATACCTCCGTCCAGGCGTAATAAGATTTCAGATATCATATAGGTATTCGCGCGGTTACTCCTCGAAACGTGTGTATAGCCAAACGTGATACACATAAAATATTATCGTGAGTAAGTACAGGTCTGATTATTGGTGTATATTTTGTAGTAAAAAATACTATTATTGTTATACGGTGTGCGTGTGTGTGTGTGTGCTGCGGTTCGGTGCGCGGGCGTGCGGCTTCGGATGTGACTATGGCGGAATTTCAACGCATCGCGGCCGGTTCTGTATAAATAATAACACCGATGACGTCGAGCTACAGTGTCAAGGTTTTAACAAGTTTTTAAGCGGCACACACTGTATATTTTATTGTCGTGGACACTCAGTGTCCTATTCATATATATAAATGTCTATATATTATGTACACATAGCGTACCCGGTATCACTAGGCGGACCACTTTTTAACCTCCTGTATCGCGATATTTCGACGATTGTTCAGGAATACGAAAAAAAAAAAAACGTTTTAAATATTCGATGTTACGATGAGGACGTATTACCTTCCGTATTTTAATGAGTTGCTTTATCCATTAGCGGAAAAATGGTCCGAGTCATTATCACAAGTATTTATTGTGTAATTTTAAAATTAACAAAAATGTTTATGTTTCACACGGCCAAAAACTTCTCGGGCTTTAGGGCTATCAGTAAAAAAACAAATTTTCACCAAAAAATAAACAGAATTTGCAAACATTGGTTTCAGTTCATCAATATCACTATTACAAAATAAACTATTAGAATTTGAAAAACTTAAAATGATCGTAGATGAGAAGTTGGGAAGGTAGCTGGGAAATTTAATGTGTATCTGCACGCAACGATTAGCCATTGCTAATTAAAAAACAATTCTAAGCGGAGTTCAGTTGATAATATTGCTTTGTCAACAATATATATTATATATATGATATTATAGTAAAATAATTACATATTATGCATTATATTTTTTCTTTAATAATATTTGTTTAATTTTGTACCTATTTTCCCCTTTTTTATGTTTTTTCCTGGTTTCCCAAATGTATTGGGAAAACTCTTGGGAAAATCAAAACAACGACTTTTTTAAGTACCACTCCAGTCAGATTTTCTTTTAGAAAAAGTGCTATCATTGGATATCGGATCAATATCTATGGTAGAAAATTTGTTCACAGATAAAAATTAATAATAAAAAAAATTATTGCGTTTTCGCTCCATTCAGAATCTAAAATTTAACAATGTCGCTAAAAATTGTAATACATTTTATTATTTTGGATATCTGACAATCGGAGACTACATCATACAGAAGCTTTGAGTTCAGTGTATAGTATATACATTATATCACAGTATTCTCGTTGGTAAAATTTGACAACTGTATAGATACCATTGCTGGACTCCTACGGTTTCAACACTGATATTATTGCTATTCACACCACTCAAACATCATCACTAAAAACTTTACGCTGTCAACAATTTCAATACCTATCGTTCACGAAAACGGCATTTATGGAAAAATAACCGTAAATTTCTGATGAATTGTAGATCGCTACAGTGGTCGCTTACACATTATTATCGTTGATAAAGCCGATTTTTCTTCATTTTTTTTTTTTGCCATAAAAAAGTTATTTTTGGCAAAAATTTTGCTTTACCCTATTAATAGATCCAAATTATTATAGGTGATATTTACACGAAACGGTTGGGTTTTATATACGTACGAAGCCCTTATATTAAGTCAAAAGGCGAAATTATGATCGTATAAATGGCAATTGATGTAGGTGTTTGTAGAATTTATAAAATCGAAAAAACTACTCGGCCATTTAAGCTTAGTATTTCGCGGTTTGACCTTATTAGTTCCCGGAATGTTGGTTCGAACGGGATATTCAATCGTTAACAAAGGGCTTACACGAGAAGTTCGTCCTTAGAACACGAAAATTATACTTCTTTGTTTGTTTATTTCTAGTAGGCCTTTCATAGGCCGCACGCCGAGTTAGTGCCAACCGCGTGGGAACGGGGTTAATATCAAAAGAAAAAAAAATAAACCCGACTATACTATTTTACCGCGTTTCGAACGATTATAACGTCACCTTGAAACGCGTCTCCCGCGTAAAAATGCGTCTCTGTTTCCGCGGAGAAACGCGTTGAAATTATTTTCAAACGTTTTTCCCGTGTGGTTCTTCGTTGTGCAGTGTGCACGGGGTTAAAGTCGGGTGTAATACAACTATATAGTATACACCTATATATTTTTGTGTACTATATAGGCACCGATTAAGTAATACCGAGGCGGCGGCGGCGGCGCGTGTCTGCGGTTTTCGACATGAGGCCGGCCCGTTTAATAACAATAATAAAAAAAAAAAAAAAAAAATAAAAAAAAATAATGTGTATATAATACAGCAGGTTATTTAACGCGCGCAGAGAGGCTGTGTGTCGTTCGCGTATATACACGCGCCAAGCCTGCACCGGACTGTTTCGACACGGCCGACGCCCGCCGCCGCGACGACAATCTCTACTATTTTTTTTTTTTTTTTTTTATTATTATTCATTTTTTTTTTCTTCAAGTATTCGCAAATACACACACACACACACACTATAGAGAGATGAAAAAAGTTGCTCAACGACGACGACCGGCCGACCCGACACACATCATCCACGCGCACGCACATACGCGGACCGGGCGCGCGCACGTTATTATTATATCACTGCCGATAGGTAGGTGGTTCACACCGATTAGCATTTGCGAAAGATATTCGCGCGAGAGATTCATTACACCCGGTCTCGAATATTGCGGTATGTGCGTATATACGACCGCTTTTTTCGTAAATAAAAATAATAATAATAATAATCCGTCTCTCCGTGACGTCCGCGCTGCGGCGACGGCGAAATAAATAGCCGGGTGTACCGAATCGTCTTCGAATATCGATTTATACATGAAAAAAAAAAAAAAAAAAATTACTCAATCCGTCGCCGAAAGATGGCCACGGTCGATTTTGGTTTGACCGTAATAATATACATGTACGTATATTATTATTATGCCGAATGCTCTGAGCCAAAATATTATGCTTTTGTACGGCCTTCGCGTATTTGGATTCCTGCGCGTGAAGTATAACAATCACAATATTATATTATTATCATCTGTAGCTATATATATATAATATGTATTTCAAATCGAATCGATATTATAATATTATACTAGTTGAATCGCCCGATATTTTCCCGGCTCGATCCTCTCGAAAACAATAATCAATAAGGAAATGAACGATTTAACGAGTCTCCCAGTTTCCATCTCTTAATAACAAATGGTAAATATTCCTCTTTGTTTGTGGCAGCCAAATTAAATAATAATAAATCTCAGATATTTTCATCCGTATCGCCAAAATAACTTATAAATAACAAAAAAAAAAAGAATACAATTTTCGTTCCGCAAATAACCAATTACTCTGGGATAGGTTAACCACCTTTTAGGGGTTGAATTTAGAGATGAACATTAGACAGCGACTTTGTTTCGTTTTAAATACCAAGTGTGTAAAATTTTATCAAGGTCGGAAAAAAATTTAGATTCGTATAGCGGACAAACGGGCAGACATATACGGATTTTCAATTTTATATGAGAATTTAAATATGCACGACTTGAACTATGTAAATAGGTAGTATTTAAAAATTAATCTTTTCTATATAGGTTAGAAGTTGATTATAAGATAACGATTTCAATAAATTACCAAACTTTTTTAAATGTCTTTAAATCAACATGTGTTTATATGTATTTTAAAATACCATTTGCAACGGTGTATTTCGAAATTCAATCAAAACAATAATATTATACAGTACAAAACTCAATGGTTTTGAAAATATCATACTGTTGGATTTCGTTCCGAAAATCAGTGATGTCAACTAAATTTCCATCTATTTGATCTGGCGGCATTCAATTTTCCTATCGATATTTCGTATCAATTTCATTTTAAATTTATACCAGATAAGGTAACAAAATCGTAATTTAAAATAATTGTAAATATTCATATTTCGTTGTTCAATGCAATCTAAACGTGTTGGTATTCAACAATCTTTCATACAGAGCCGTAGTTTTAGTTGAATTTCGGAACGCAAGTTCAGTTAGTATTTAAAATATACTTATGAAGACAATTCGATTTTTTTTTCAGGCGTGTATTTTCCGTTGAATTTATGTAATATTATTGAATTACTTTCTTGTTTTACGAAAATATTAATTTGTATTACAGTTATAGTCTAAGGGATTAAAAAGACTAAAATGCGCATTTTTTTTTTTTACTCGTTCTGACCAACGTTACTACACAGATAGTTTTATACGTAAAATCAACCTAAATATGATATTATAATACCGATATAAAAAGAAAAAAAATGAATAAACAAGTTGCCTCGCGCTATGCGATACCTTATTATATATATGTAAATAAAAAAAAAAATTAACCGGTTTCAGGGAAATAATATTATCACATATATTTACACCTAGGTATATTGCATGGGTTCACGAATATTACCTATGTAATAATATCTATACATATATAGATACTGAAGCAGGCGAACAGTGGTTTTAAAAATAAAAATATTTTGCCACGACCGTTATTATAGGTTAGTTTAGGTGCCTACACTATACAAAATTTGCCAACAAAATTGTATTACACACGCAAACCGAAAACTCTAAACAATAATTACTATTATCGGCATCTTCTCATAATTACCGCTATAATTATAGTTTACGGTTTAACACGATACAAAAAAAAAAAAAAAAATTATTATTATTATAATAAACCAAAAGGTTGCGGGTTATAGACACAATAAACCGTCAATATAAGTATAGGACGGTTTATACTCGTATGTAGGTATACCTAGTCACTATATCTGCCTGCAGACGAACAACTTAAGTTTATCGTAATATGCAATATACCCAGTGTCGTGCCCGAGAATATTCAATTGGAGGGGATGTATATAGTCAATAATAAAATCACGTATAAATCGTAAAATCTTCTATAACAACTTATAACTTCTATATCGACAAAGGAAATTTAAAAATCGAATCCAATAAAGCCAATAATTCTTATCCAACGAACCGAGCTTATAGCTCGATTGCAATGTATATAGTTTTAAGATTAAATTATCAAATATTGTTGTTGTATTTTTAAGCCAATTAGGAGAGGGGAAACCCTGAACGCCGTCCTCTTGCGCACGCCTCTCTGAACACATCTACATTAATTTTTGAACTGTATTTAAATAGTGTGCAAATATTATACACATACGAGTATTTTGTTGCTGATTTCTGTGCGTGCATAATATATACAGGGCGATCAATCTTTGATAAGACCTTATTATTTCAGAGAATATTTTTATGAAACAAGTAACTCTAAAAATATGTTATATACATTTATTTGTCGTCATCCTTAGTATTGGAGATGAAACTACTACCCACTTTTGGTTTTCGAACAACAACCTATATTAAAAATTTCAAAAATGGATGAAGTTTTAGTTTAAAGACATCTTTGTGTTTAAGTTTTCAATTTCCAAGGTACCTATTCTTTTTTTAATTTTGGGTAAGGAGACAGTTTAGTGAAGCACTATTAAAACGTCGCGCGCCGCGCCGTCACACAAATGTGAGATGATACTCCACTACTCTCCTTCTAACTATACTTAAAAGTGAGGAATTGATGGAAATTCTAATTTTCAACATCAAAGTTAATTTAAATTAAATCTTCATCTTAATTTTATTATGGAATTTTTAATACATGTTGCCATTTGTAAATCATAAATTAATAGTCGTTTCATCCCTAAAAATTAGGGTAACAACAAATAAAAGTAATGTAACATTTTAGAGCTGCTTGTTTAATACTTTATTGAGATAATGCGAATAAGAATGAGTGTCTAGTCGAAGATTGGTCACTCTGTATACTGAAATATTATTGTTATTAAACCGTAAATTACTTTGATAATAATACAACGTTTATATTTAATTTTTTTTTTTTTTTTGTGTTAAGAACAACCGGACATTATAAATCAAAATCATCGTTAATCTTGTCTATAGCTAATCCGTGTATTCGTATAAAATATTAAATTATTATGACAGTTTCTTGAATAAACTAACTTCAGTTTTACCGACTGAATAATACATTGAAATCTTTAAAAAGTTATTGACCCTACATTATTTTTAATGGCTATGATGGCGTGTTTATGCAAATAAAAAATTAAATGGACACTCATATCACATCGAATGACGATGAAGATTACTATGGTTATAAATATTATATTAATATGCACTTATATTAAAAAAAAAAAAATAAATAAAAAAACGAAAAAAAGTTCCAGTGATTAAATATTTATTTGTGTAATACAATTCAGTATGATGTACAAGTTATAATTATTATTAAACAATTTATATTTTTTGGGGGGTTTCGGCGAAATGTATTTAACTAAAATTAATATTATTATTAGTTTGGTTTATGAATTCAAATCTGTCAATAAGTTATTTTACAGTTTTTGATAATATTATCTGCCTCGGATTAACAAAAATATACGTATATACTGTATAGTTTATAAATAGTATTTATTAAATACTTTAGTTTTTTACATTACTACTTTATCGGTAACAAGTGATTTAACGGTAGAATTCGATAATTTTCAAGAAAAAAAAAACTAGCTAAAATAAATAATCAATCTCATGTAACTAAGGAGGGGTTAATTCTTTAGAAAAAACCGTTGATTTCACACAATTATTATACGGACATTAATACACTGTTAACCATTCGTTAATATTTACGGACAAAAATAAAATTAAAACTACATTTTTGTTATACTCGGAGAATAGTTGGAAGAAATCAACAATAGACTTAGATAATAACAGAATCTTTAAACATTTATTTACCTATACTGTCAATACGATTTTATGAAATGAAAAATTTGAACCGGAAATTTCCACATAAAAAATAACACAAAATATATGACAACAATTTTATTATTTACGCATTGGCCACTAGATTAGGGTAATGTTAGTATAAATCAACTTAATGGACCTATAAAAAAAATTAAAAACCGCAGGATATGCGACTGATAGGAATCCAAAAAAAATGATATAAGACTTGAGAGCCTTGGACGTTTAATTTAAGTATAATTGAAGTCACGAACATTCAATTTTTACTGCAGATTACACACGATACGTATACATAAACAGTAAATACATACACACCTATACGCACGTTGATCACGAATAATTGTCTGTCAACAAACATACATAAATGCAAAATTAAATTATATACCGGTAAATATATTCATAAAATAATAATAAAAAAAAGTCTTTTACTTAAAATAAATGGACGTGTTTAGGTTTTTAATAATGTAATGATAAAAATAAAAATTATGATTTATTTAGCACAGGTCATAATTCAATTTAACCAAGGTGTTTTTTCTATTCAATTTTACGGTTAAAAAATATTACGAAAAACGTAACAAATAATGACAATATATATATTTTTTGATTTTTTGTATAGCAAACAAGATATTATTTTTTCTAATATGTGTGTGTATGTGTTTTGTGTTTTTTTCTTTTTTCGGTTATTGAAAATGCTCCGATTTTTCAATGGCATACTTGCGAAATAAAAACATATTTTTCGCCTGATGTCATCTGCTCTATTTGAAACTTTATTTTAGTTTATTTATCAACATCTTTAGCAGTTTACATCCAGGTGGTTTTATATATATATCTGGATTCTTTTGGCAACAAGAGAAAAACACTACTATAGTAGTACTATACTATTCTGATCAAAATCGTTCATTATTTTTAATGATTAATCGTTCGTTGCGTACTAAAACTATATAACAATGTATATTATACCTTTTTTACTACCCACCTACAACAGTGGTCTACCTGTGAGCAGTATCAACATTTTTTTACCTACATTTCAATTTATCTGAAATAATATATATTTTTTTTTAATTGTAACGATATTATTTTTAAAGCGATCTTTTGCCATTAAAATATTTAAATCAACTGAAACAATATAGGCTATTTAACAATTATGTATTCAGTTTTTTTTTTGTTTTCCTCAATAAAATGATTTTTCAAATTTAATTTTAATTCAATATAATTGATAGGTAGATAAAAATAATTAATGTATATTTGAGGAAGTATAGATACTTAAATAAATCTACTATTTTTGAAGGGTTTTGTTTTATTTTTATAATACATAATTATAGTAATATTTTCCTATTAGCGTGTTCATAAAACTGCACCTACTATTTAAGGAGTTTAGGAATACTTTTTTGTTATTGCAATAGAACTTCCTGATTCTTACACGTAACTACCATTAACCGCTAAAATATTATCATAAAATCAGTTAATATAAGCTTATGGTTTTATAAAGATTTGTTTTTTTCTGTGGACAACTTTTCTACTATAGAACTTGCTCCGATTTCATTTCTACTCATTTCGTACTCATTCTTTATATATTTCTTCTCGTCGCTTCTTCACTCATCCATTTGTTAAATGAAAACTACCAACTAAGTCCGTGATGAAAACTATGACGAATTGACCCAAAAAATAACTTGTTTTCTTATAAAACAATCCCTTCCAGGGAATTGATCAGCAGTTGAATTTAGGAACGATAAAATCCAGCGACTGACCAATCTGTTAAATTGAGAAACACACATATTACATAATATACATGATTTATAATCTCGGATAAAATACGATTTTATTTGTTAGTCTATGGAGAGATAGTTAGGTTTTATAGATAATATTCAATCGTAGAAGATTATAGCTTTGAAATGTAAGCTAGGCGTATAAAAAAAAAAAAACTCTGAATATTAGAACTTGGTGAACTTTGGTCAAAATTTTAAATTCCTTTTACTTTTGTCACCTAGTGCACAGACGAATCTTCACCTATATAAACATTAAATATTAATAATACTCGTAGATACGTGAACAATTAAATAAATTATGTTACTTTGATTATTACTTATGATAATACGCAATTAAATAAATATAATTGTATTGATTGTAATCATAGGTAACATCATTTTATCGAATTATTTTAACTCATTTATCAAAACATTATAATATCGGGTATTATAGTATTTATTATAATCGTTATTCGCGAGTTATTTAGTTTTTCGCATAGGTATAGTGTTGAAATAATAAGGTTAACGTTTGACCTCAAACTTCCACTACTCAATCGTCCGGTTTAGTCGCAGCACAGTGGAACAGTAATGACCTCATTTTTCTTTTTTCTTTTTTCCATCTCCGTTATATTATACGAATAATCATATGCATTGTTTCGCGTGCAAATATATTTATAAGCAAATACTAAATCTCCCAAAATTGCATCACTGCCGCGTTTAATCGTCAAAGAATATTTTTCTGATTATTGTACTGGCCGTACGATTATCACATATAATAATAATATAAATTATAATGATCCTTTCTCCATAGTGTAATTTCCAATAGATGTAAGTAATTAATACGTATATAGGTATTACTCTCTTGCATCACGCGTTTATTTACGTATCTATATATATTATACTGTCTCCGACCGCGTATTTATAGATATTATCCCAGTTCGACTCAAACGATCTGTAAATACGTAATCTGTGGTGGTGGTTTTTCATCGAGCACTTTAGGTATTATTTTGGTTTGCGCTCAGGAAACTAACTTCCTTGGAGCAATATCAGGTTCGGAACAACAAGTATGGTGTTTTGTATAACTCCTAAAACCAATTTCAATTTTCAAAAGTTACAAAATATCAAAAAAGTTAACAAACTACTAGTGTGGTGTAAAATAGATGTACATAGTCGAACATCATCCGGACCCCCCTCCATGGCTATGGCGTTTCACTGCGCCTATTACATTATGCCGTTGGCACCATGGGAAAAGGGCATACGTCATTTTTCGAAAGTGAACGAGGTCGAGACTTCAATTGGGAATTTAAAATATCCACCGAGTCATTTTTGATCATCTTGTATAGATGATTCTTTGATCAGTCTTATTGTATGATTTATATACCAGTAATACAGAAAAATAAAAACAATTTTTCAAAAACATTTGATTGGAATTTTTTTTCCCAGATGCCAATGATTGATTAATAATATGTTTTTTTACTTAGGGTCATTGCTAGATTGGAAAATATCGAGGCCCTGTGCAGTTATTTTTGCGGGGCTTATTTTTTTCAAATATCAAACGCTGATATAGATCTTTACAATACAACTGTTTCCAGTTCATTTGTTTTAAATGGTATTTTTCTAAATAATCATGTGCGAATTATTATCTAGCTATGATAGCGACTAGACGCGGTGCCTCTAATAGCGCGAGGCCCTGTGCGCGTGCACAGCTTACACCTGCTTCAAGCCGGCCCCGCATGTCGTTACATTAGTCTTAAACGAATAACTTATGTATTATTACACCGGGAGTTTTCCATGTTCAACGATTATTATAAACTATATTAGGTGCGGGGCAATATCTGACAAATTATTATAATTAATAATATATTATATTATAGGTAGACGGTATCTACTGTAGAGTTTTTTTTTTGTTACATAATAAATGAGTAGGTAGATGCAAATCAAGAAATCTCGGAATCTGTTATAATTATTACGAATTTTCTTCGGACAACCTTCGTTATTTTTATAATTTATGTACACATACTGTTGAATGGGTAATAATATATTAGGTAGGTACCTACTATACATATAAACATGATAATAATATTGATACATGTAATTCAGTATACGTTTAAACGACTATAATAACAAATTAGATGTATCAAATTATAAAATACGACGAATAAAATATCGGTACCTATATAATGTTTCTAAAATTGTCTTATTGCAACGAGGGTCACAACACATAAAGGAACGTATACCTAACCTAACCTAGGAACCAAACCTTTCGTTATAACAGAATCCACTAGGTAGGTGGTTGGAAATATTTCAGATTACCTAACAGTATTGATTGTTACACACTTACACACCATCCTTGTAAAATGTTGATTGGGAGTGATAAAATTAAAATATGGTTTGCTTATTATGATTAGCGCCACTAAGTAGGTGCAAATATCAATAAAGAGTACCTCGACTTAGATATCTAAATAATTTGTCGACGACTTTGCGTGTCGATTCTGTATTTAAGACACCAGTCTATGAACTTTCATTGAAATTGATAGCAAAATGACTAAGTTATAGACCAAATAGTTAATGATAAAATTCGTTTTTTTTTTGTGGGGGGGGGGGGGGGGTATGTAAAGCTCCAATGATTTATAGTAACTAAAGCAAAACAGACTTTTCCGTGTAAATTTTACGGAACAAGTTTTTTAGGATAATATTAAAAAATATTATTGATAAATATTTTCAGTATATCTATACATTATTTAGTAGATAGGTTTCTATTTTGTAAATATCGTTTTACACCTATAGTCTTACATTAACACTGTTATAATAAGTTCGAATTCTATTATTGTTATTCGAGTTGTTTGTATTAAATTTCTCGACGGCTAGTTACTTCGAAATTTTAAGAATGAAAATGTAAATTAGTATATTAGTGACCACGATTATTAGAGTATGTGATACCCGTATGTGTTGTCTCCGTCTTACAAACGAATAAGGCATAGCAAATTTGCGTTCAACAGGGATACAATTGTGTTGTTGATTTTTATACATAGTGAACTGACAAAGTTATTATCAAACTTTAAGATAAGAACATTATTTGTGCAACGTTGACGATATTTTTTTTCTCGATAGTATATATTTCACTTAGATAGGTAATATGTTACATATTATAATTTAATAACGTTTATATCTCGCTTGAAAATTGAAATATCGAAAAAATAGGACTAAAGTTGTACACTTGCACAGATAATGTACTGAAATTTAATTATGATAATTGGTCAATTCACTCTTATATTAATAATAACAGCATAATGTTGTCACTGAAGTTGTTGACTTGTGAACGTAAATTTGCTATGACGTACGGTTATAACGATGGAAGATATAAGTGCCAAAACGAGATGAAAAAAAAATTTAAATGTATCGTATAAAAGCGCCAAAATCCTAGGTAGTGTAGGTACCTGCTACCCGTGTGCTTCATTCAAGATATTAAATTCAGAACTATATTGTTCAAGCTTGGCTTTTCGGAATGAACGCACGAAGAACTCTGAAAAAGAGATTTGGTAGAAGTCTTTGTTTGGTCTAACTTTTATTACGCGCATTGAAGTTTCTGATGCTTTTTGTAGATTTAATGTCAATCGCGCCGGAAGATCAAACGACTTCCAAATTGGCCGATTACATTTTAGAGACATTTAATATTGATTCAGGTTGATTTTAGTAAATTTCTTTCAGAAATTTGGGTTGCATTTCTGGATAAGGATGTAATATAAACTAAAAATGTAGCTGAATCATATTATCGGCATTTAAATGAACAATTTCAATTATTTTGAAAAATTGAAAAGAATTGGGTTAAAAATCAATTATTATTATTTATTTATTTGTATACATATTATTAATTTAATATTACAATTAACGATTATTGATTATTGGCGATTTTAAATACATAAAATATTATTATTGGCGAAACTAAATTTTTATATATATATATATATATATATATATACACATCTTTGGCGCTTATGTCTTACTAATTATGACAAAAATGACATGTAATTTTTATACATTTGGCGCTTATATCATGTAGCCGTTTGTAAAATGGACACAGTACGAGCGGATATCAAATATTCTTACAATATCGACAGGAATACATTTTAATTTAAACCGTATTTTACCTTTCCGATTTTTAGATTTTAACTTATTTTAGTAGTTATATTCAGAGTTAGGTATATTCATATAATATGTTTATATTACTTTTTTTTTTTTTTAAAAAAAAATAGAATATCTGCTATTAACCTATCTTATCTATAGGTCATAGGTAGGTATCAATTATTGAACTAGGTACAGGCAATCTAATTGTTTAATATTTTTAAAACCATAATAACAAATGTTACATATTGTTATTATTTTGATTTGCAAAATAGTTATAAAATATTCTTTTATTTATTATTTTTTTTTTTTATTATCTATAATTTAAACTGAAAAGACGAACAGAGTTTTTTTTTTTGTAATTGCAGGCTAAATATTTGATAACAGGCAAAGACTTTTAGCTTTTCATATTTGAGAGGAAAAATCCAGAAAATCCAAAATACGGTAATATTGAGAAGTACGCGCCGTATTTAATAAAAGTAGAAAACAAAAAGCTGTATTGACTATAAGTGATTTATAGGTTCGCGGGTCGGGTATACAATGCTTTTTCAGTTTACGCTTACAATAAATTATCGAAAGTGTTTCTGCGTTAATGGTAATACCCTTTTTTTCTTTCTATGATACTTATACTACTTAATTATTAGATTAGGTTAGGCTGATTAAAAAATTCGCGGAGGATTCGGGCACTTGATCGTAAATCGTGTATGTTTTTCATATTACATAGATTAACTACTAATATTATTTGGTTAGATTTTCTTGTTTTATGGTTTTATTTAAAAAGGAAATTAATTAATTCTAACAGAAAATACCTTCTGATTGTAAACAAAGGATTTTTGCATAATTTTCAAAAAGACTGTTGTAATTTTATTCGTTGGAGGTGTTCAAAAAACAGCTCTATGAAGGCTCCGTGTTTTTAAAAACCGATTTCAACATAATTAATTCAATTTTTATTTATGTGAATAACGAACACCGACGAAGACGTGCAAAGTACATTATTTCTGCGAAAAAAATAGAAAAATCTAATTGCGGAAAAAGTTCAAATAACAAACGATTGGCCTGCTCTAATTTTTGGGAAAGAGATATCTAACATTCCCTGAAATGTACTCATTGAATTGCCAAGAGAAGAATATCTAAAAAGAAGGGGATTTAATTATTCGCTAAAACCTACTTGTGCAAACGAAATATATTTATCACTTATGTGTTAATCAACACATAGAAAAGATCAGAAACTTGATTGTCAGCAATATACAAAAAACGTCGGAAAAAAAAAGATAGTAACGGATAGTAATTTACGAAAATATTGCGGCACGGTTGATAAGTTAGCACTTTTACCACTGGATAAAGTACCAGACGGAACGGAGTGTCTAAAATAAATAATGCAACAAGATGCAAAAGATCTTTTAACGTGTTTTCAATTCTTATTATGGTACCTTGCATTCTACCCTGGGAACATCGTCTGACATACAATATTGTTATAAAAATAGCCTATCCATTTTTTTGTTTGGCACTACCTATATTATAGTTTGTTAATTTCATCGCGCGATCGAGAAAACCGAGTAATTTAAAAGGACGTCGAGCAAACACATATTAGTTTGTCGTCTATTTAACGGGCGATAAGGCGAAAATTTGTTTTTGTAGATTCGTCCAATAATATAGGGAAGTACTCGTTCAGGTCTCGTTAGTCGTATAAATTTTATTTCGACGCCTGTATAGTTTATATTATTAATCTAATAATATAACTCTGAATGTAACCGTTATAAATGTCCACGGAACAGGTAGTTTTTTCAAATCGATTTTATTTGGTTTTTTTAAATTTTTGCGACAGATTTAACGAAAATTTTTCTAAAAACATATTTCCAGACATATATCAGTGTACTTGTTTTGTCATCATAATCACGTTTTTATTGTGTTTTTATGATCAACGAGGCCTAAGTAAGTATTAATAGGGAGTACGTAAAAAAACCAAAATCTATCGGATAGGTAGTGGGAGGTGGGACGTTTGTACGAATGTATCGATTGCAATTTCTCCCCTGATTTGTCTTTACCCGTCACCGGAACCACCGTCAAATCGCCAACGGCCAACTTCTCCGATCGGGCTCTACAGGAACGGTATTCCGGCGACGTCGTGTCCACCTAAGTATATAATGCTGATAACACACGAAAAAAAAAAAAAACTAAACAAAACAAAATCAACCGACTACCTATAACGCTGTGACCCCAACGAGAAAATGAGATGAAAAATCAACTCGACTCTGGCCATTTCCCGGCAAGTCTGGGTTACCAATCGAACGTTATACCTATACCCCCAGATTACAACGGCTATTCGGAATACGAGAAAACACAAAAAAAAAAAAAAAACAAACAACTCGCGACGTCGTTGGAATACCGTCTTGATAGTATAGCCGGTAATAAGGTTAGGTAACCGACCGACACCCGTTCAAAGGTATGGGTATATCGGTGGTATTCAACGTATAGGTATGATAATAATATTATACTAGGTCGACGGATTGCACATTTGAGAGCAGTATGCATAAATATAGGTACCTATATTAAACCGAAAGAGAAAGTAAACGCATCGCGCACATACTCGTATAATATTATCTGCCGATAATAATAATAATAGTGACTACTACAACTTCAGCTACTACGATTATTATATGGTCGCAAAGAGAAACGGACGAATGAAAATGTGTTATAGGTACCGGCGTACCTAGATAGATCGCGTTTGTGTCACAACGGGAACTCGCGTATTATGCAACCGGAAACGCGCGCCGATAATAATACCCAACCGATATTCGAAAATAACCGTCACACGCACGCGTGCTTAAAATACCTATTTATAAATCCACCACCGTACGTTGACAAAAAAAAAAAAAAATAAATATATAAATCGCATTACCTATGTCCTTAGCCGGCGTGTAATGTTAATACGGACGAGCGGTTATCCTCGGGCAGGACGTGCGGCGGCGGATCGGTCCTCGGCTCGGGGAACGGTATCTACGGTCGGTAGGTATCGGAGGGGAAAAAAATGCAACAACTGTAAAAATCGCACTGCCGATAACGTGGGCACGGAATAAAGCGAAAAACGTAAAAACCGTGTCGAGTGTCGAGGGATAGCGTGGACAACCAACTGTAACGCCGACGAAAATATTATAATAAGCGCGAAAAGGGTGAAACAAAAAAAAAAAAAAATAATAATAATAATATTATTACTGTTGTTATACGATAAACTTTGAAACGTTCGTTTACACCGGTGAAATGTCCGATAATGTCACACCCGCGCACCGGAACGTAGATCAACAAAATGCGATTCTATTTCGCGTGTGTGTTTATTAAATGAATGCGATTATTTTACGTTGCGCTAGTTGCGAACGACGGACCAAAGTCGATACGTCGGCGAACGCGACTGGCCCCCGAAACGACCGATTTGTTTACCTTCGACAATATAATAGTACAATAATAATGTAATCACTTATCGTACGGGTACGGTATATTATTACGGGAGTGTGTACCTACGACTACTACACTGCCGCACGAACCGCGCGCGGTATATTATGGCGAAAGAAACGACTTACAGCTGATCGGTTGCCGCTGTCGTCGTCGCCGCCGCCGCCACGGAGTATCGCCTCGACCGAACGCCATCTGTGGTCGAGCGTGCGCGTTAAAGTGGCGCGCGCGTGGTCGAACTGGTCATCGAGGACAACATATTTTTTTATTCTTTCTTTCTTTCTTTCTTTCTTTCATTCCGTTTTTCGTAACACAGTCGGCACCAATAATAATAATCAAATAGTCGCGGCGGTCGAATGTAGCATTATGGCCGTCGCGACGTTACGCTATAAATAATTTCGCATGGCTAAATTTTAGCCATGTATAATTTCGTTTGTCAAAATACCACATAAAAACGGTCGCGTGTACGAATCGTGCAGGTATAAACGACAAAAAAAGGCGAACGTACTTCGCGCAATGGCGGCCACTGTAAGTTGTATGCGTGAAGTTTGTATCTACGGTATAATCGATTATGTCGAGCAATTTAGTTTAAAATCAACGGAAGTAATCGAGAAACGATTCTGAGCGGACCTTGGTAAATTGATAATATTTGTATTAGCATTGATTTATAATCAATGGTATTAGTCACGGCTTTTACTTTGTAGTATTACCCAGAATCCAGCGTAAACGAAACCAAAATGTTTCGACATTTGTTGTAGGTTTATTTTTTATTTTTCAAAAAAACTGTTGGGAATCTAGGCGTTTTTTTGTTTGGATAAAGTACTACCGAACGGTAAGTACGGCGTGAACAAATCGAAGATTTTGACTTAACGAAAAAATGTTTTCCGATAAAAACACATCATATTAGGAAAGCTATAATATGTTTTTGCGCTACTTAGCGGAGAAGAATATATGAGGGGACCGACATTTTTTTTAACCAGTGAAAATCTAATACCAACTTTTAAAGAATTTGTAAATTATCCTACATTCAGGTAAATATGAGTTAATAAATATAAATCTATATAAAAAAAGACGGACATATTTCGCACGGGGGTGCAGCCACTGTGGTAGTTGGGAAGTTGAGGAGGTAGGTAGGGAATTTAATGTATATCTGTAAGCAATGATAAACCATTGCTAATGAAAAGACGAGTTCAATTGATATTGATGCTTAATTATAGATTAATGAAACATAATATAAAGGTTGAAATAATGTATTATAAAAAAATAGTTAAAAGAATGTATCGCAATCGAAATTTGTTTAATTTTAATATAGCTCGGTCTATAGTATTGCCTTTCAACAATGTGCGTTTCCATGAAAATATTAGTTGTTTAAAAAAAGTAATAAAAACTTAATAATAACAAAAAATGTATAAAAGCGGTTGCCAATGACAGCCTTATTTTAAATTCTGAGTAGAGCGAGGAATGTATAGGTTTTACAATGATGTTTATTTATTATTATTATTTTTTTTTATATGAACACTTTTTCAACTAGAAAATTTAATCCGATTATCAAGTATAACATCTTTTTTGAAAGGATATGTTCTTTAAGTGATATTTTAAAAATGCCATTTTTTGAAATACTCATTTATATTCGAGATAACGAGGGAAACCTAGTTTTTCAGGTTAAAAAAGATTGACAGATTAAAAATAGGGTTGCCATTGGCAACCGTTTTTATTTATTTTTTGTTATTATTAAGTTTGTATTATTTTAATCTTTTTTAAACAATCATTGTTCTCTTGGAAACGTACATTATTGTAATCGTTTTACTATAATATGACATATATATCGTTCAAAAAGCACCACTATCAACTGAACTCCGCTCAGAATCGTTTTTTCGTTAGCAATGGTTTATCGTTACTTACAGATATACATTAAATTCCTGTCTGTATTCAACATTTTTAACTTCCCATTTACAAAAATGGCTGCACCCACGCGCGAAGTATATCTGTCCTTTTTTAATCTTTCAATCTTTTTTAACTTAAATAATCAGGTTTTTCTTGTTGTCCCGAATATAAATGTGAATTTCAAAAAATTGACCTTTTTAAATTATCATCCAGAGAACGTTTCCTTTCAAAAAACGTGTTATAATTGATAGTTTGAGTCAACTTTCTGATAGAAAAACTGTCCATATAAAAAAAAAAAAAATAAAAAAAAAAACATCATTGTAAAACCAATACATTCCTCGCTCCACTCAGAATCTAAAAAAGTAGATAATTTAGTTAGAAAAGCACCTAACATCTTACCTTAATTTTAAAATAGTTAAGCTTTCTTTTATTTCTGTCATTTCCAGTATTAAGTAACTAAGCAGCTCGTCTAATAGGGAACTTTTTAGCTCAGCCTTTAATAGGGTTTTTAACCTTAAAATTCTTGATTTTAAATTTCTTCATTTTACTATTAGAATAGTTTATTAATTATTTTTGAAAATATATTATGTAACACAAAAGACAAAATGAAAATAAATTACAGAATGCTACATATATTGTGAATTACCTATTAATAGTTGGTATTATTATTATAGCGTGCAGAAAGTTTAGTCTCAGAAAATATTAAATTTATTAAACCAGCTCAAATTATTAATAATCCTACCGATCCAGTCCGCACCTGTAGGTACAACTATCTGCGGGAATTTCGGTTGGCATAAAGATATACGAGTAAGTTTAGTATACGAGAAAAAATTAACGGTGTATAAAATATTAGTCTGTAATAGTAGTCTGTAGGTATTTAATTTATATTACCGATAGTAAAAATACGGATGATTTGGCACTAACTATAAAATATTATATTATTAGGTATGCTAAAAACCGACAAATAATACTGCAGGTTTTCCGAGCCGGTATACATGCGTGCACCAGCGTACGCGTAACCAATTATAACTGTAAGTACCGCGTAGTTTAATTGCAATAAATTATATTATTTTAATTTTATTTAGTGTTTCAAAACTTCAGGTCGATGCGCTGTAGTACACAATAATCATAATAATATTAAACCTTTAAAAATCAGCGTTTGGGTAGTATCTATCCACAGTATTTATAATGTCGTTGACTCGTCGCGCAGTATATTCAGCACTAGAATAATATTTAACTCGCAAAAACATTACACTTGAAAGTAAGAGAAGGAGGTTGATTTGAAAACAAAACTAGTCGGCTCCCGGGAAATCTAAACCGCTTCCGGATAAATATTGATTGCAAGGTACTAAACGGCGAGTTCCTGTGGTTTCTAGTTAGTTAATCTAACCCTTTTTTCGGAAAAACAAAAAAAAAAAAAAAAATAGAATATTTTAAGTAAAGTACGTAAAGGGCTATTTTTTTTAGACTTTCCGTAGTGTGTATACATATATTCAAGTCTTATACATACAGTTGATAAAAATAAAAAAAAAAAATGTTAATATCCAAATTTATTTTAACTAACGTCATCTTTTTATGGAACTTTGAATAAACATTGTTATTATGTTAATAAAAATGGAAAAGTTGGGATTGCATTATTGCAATCATAAACTGTGGTAATTTAATAGTAACTGACAAAGTGATACTAACACTAAATAATTTCTAGACATTATTATCATTAAAATAACGAGCGTTTTATAACAATTACTATTTTTTTTAATAGAAGGTAAGGAAATTTTTGTTATCGTTTCTTATAAATAGGAACCAACTCTTTTCCGGTTCTCATTCCTATATTTGAAACGGACTGCATTCCTTTCGTAGGAATGCGTTCTAGGAACTCGCTCCTTCCCTAAAATTTCACCCACACAAATAATAACGTAACATTTTAAGTTGGTAAATAAGAAAAAAAAATCCGAAAAAGTAAATACATACCGAGATAATGAGTGTCCTATTGAGGATTGATTACACTGCAAATATAATACATGAGAACAAAATTATCCTTACATCTGCGAAAAATTGGAGTTTGTCTATAATAAAAATACAGGTGATAGGTAGATATTTTAATTTACTGTACACACAAATAGCCACCGGCGTACTTAATACAGGTATGTAAAGATAGAGAATTGTAATGGTAAACAGCGTATGTATACAATGTTTTGCAATTTATAACCACGCATTTTAATTGATAATCTGAAATAACATTATAATATAATTATAAGGTATATCTTCGTGTTCATGACGATAAACGAAACATTACATTTTTCTCTCTGATATTATACTGCAATATCTATTTTAAATTTCTTAACGCAGACCAAAAGAATGATATCTTCAGCAAAAACCTAACCACGAAAAAAGGGCCAAGTCCCAGAAACCCTCCCAAAATAATCAGTCTATCAAAGTAGTGATAACTAAATTGTGGTCAAGTCTGTTTTATGACTCATTCATAATTTTTTCTAGTAAATATTATAGATTAAATAAATTAGGTATAGTATTTTCAAAACAATTTTTATAACGCTTTATGACTTTTAGGTCTGGGAAATAATGTTAAAACACTATTGAAAAACGCTTCATAATATGAAATTTCGTACTCATTTTCCGACAAATTTCTACGTGGATTATTATATCTAGTGGTATTCTCAAAGGTTATATTAAACATAAACGCTGTATAATCTCTGCATTTTGTTAATCACGGGTATGAATCAAATTAATTACATAAAATACCCCATGTAAGGCCCATAATGTGATAGTGTAATCATAAAAAAACTGTATGGGAACATACATAACTAATACTCGTATTTTAATAAATTGGTTGGAATAAAATGGAAAAATACAATAATCTTATTATTTTAATTAAATCCATACTATACAATACCTATACTAGCAAGAGTCCTACGAAATATTTTATTTTGACATTTTTTTTTTCCCCAGATCCAAAACGCTAGATTAATCAACTATTAGTATTTTTCGTAGCTAGACATTATTATATTATTACACTAAATATTATACCGAACAGCATAATACAATATAATTACAGCTATTTTAAAAGTAAATATTTAAAATTAAGTTCAACGTACATATTATAATGTGATGACACAGTAAATAATATATGCGAGGGTGGCCTTCTATTAATACGATTATTAAGTGAGTTTGGTTGAGCAACATATTATAGTTTCGATTGACGTCAATCGACGTCATCGTTATAATATAATTTAGCGTTTAGCTTATTCGAGGACTCGAGGTTGAATCGAAAATATTATTGATACAATGAAAAACAACACAATAATGTTATTGAAGTAGATTTTTCAAAGAGGAAAATATTTAACTCACGAACAAACAAATCGTTATGTGACACTTTTGGATTATTTATATATTGAGTATAGTCTTAATAAAATATAAATAAAATAATAAATATATTATTATTGTCTTGAATGAGTTATACGAGTACGTATCTGTCATATTCTTTTTGTCGAGTTTTTGACTTGTTGTAATCTTCAGTATCAGTCGTGGTTACAGAAATGTTGTTTAGATGGTGCATTGAGAAATTATTATTTTTACTGAACTTTTTTTAATTAATCGGTTGGCAGAGATGTAGGTACACATGGTTCGTCAATAGGAGGGAAGCGTATCATTCTATACGATTCATTAAAGAAAATTCTATGTAATTAAACAATTTAAAGCCTTTTCTTTAGGTTATTTTGTAAAATACATCGTTGTGTAATTGTGTAGTTATCTGCACTTGTAACTGAGTAAGTAGTGTACAATTTGTGCAACCATTATTATTTTAGTAGTGATAAGCTTTAAACGGTTTTTGTTTTAACACGGCCAATGGTGGGAGGCTAATGCCCATTAGCTACCCCTAGGATATGTCATTTCAAATGTGAGAAACCGGAAAAACCCGAAATGGTTCTGTAAAAACAGATTCTGCTGGTGTATCGAGTTTTTTTTTTGTAACTTAGTGACAAATAAACATAGAGAACTTATATTTTTCTAATTTTTATTTTTATTTTTTAGATGCTTTTAATAAAATTATTTCTTACTTTCAACCAGATATCATCCAAAGAAGTACTTTTTTATGATTCCAAATGGAAAACGAAAATCACCTGTGTCTGTCTAATTGCAATAGCTCGTTGCAATTTACCGATAGTGTGTGAGCTGCACGTCAACGGACGAGGGAAAACCGAAGATGTTGTGTCGGCGAACTTATTCGGCACCCGGTTCTTACATAAAAATGTGAAATCTACGATTAGAGTCGGAATCGGTTTGGCGTACGTGTCGCTATCGGAAAAATATTGACGAGTCACTGAACCTTAAAATGACATAATGCCATTAAATTTGTCTTTATTTACGGTTTCAAACAAAACTTCTATTTTTAAACAAATATTATATTATTTTGTAATCGAAGTACAGCTTTGTATTTGTTGTAGGGAGGTACATAAAATACTAATCAGAACGATGTGAATATACTGTTTATATACTATTGCCTCGAAATAACCTGTACCTCCACAATACTTGATAATTATTATATACAACTGCACTGCTTAATTATTTGCATATAATTCCATTGTTAACCTGATTATAGAAAAACCAAATTTAACGCGAGAATTGCATAATATTATTATGGTTTTTTTTGTTGTTATTAAATTAACGTTAAATAAACAAACCGAAGTTCGTGTGAATAACACGTTTGAATTTCCTACAATTTCAACGCGTAGCTAAATTATGTAAAATTTAACGTATTCTTTCCAAACATTGAATATATTATTCGAACAGCAATGATGCGTAGAACTTGTTGGAAAATAATTAGTTAGAATATTCAGAAAATACAGTCACAAGTTTTTAAGAGCCAGCGAATTTTTCTCATTGTAATCGATAGCTTGTCAGTTGTTATACCAGTTGATCCATTTAAGGCGATACATTCATTATCTCAGAAAGTATTGAATTTTTAATTATATAGGTATTATAACATTATTAAATAAAAATATATTTTTTTTATACCTGTAGTGGGTATTGGTTATTTACTATGGCGAGTGTTTGTTTTTCCTGTCTTTTAAAAACTTTTATACCAAATATCTTGCTTTGATTATCGACTTCAGAGGTGGTTTCTGGTAAACAATTTTGTCTTTTAAATGTACTATTAAAACGATCGTTTCATTTTTTTATTGATTTGCCATGTAGTTTTCTTTATAGTTGAACAAAAACAGAGAAAAACCGAAATATTTAGGCGATAACGTTTCTAGTCTGGTGTTTTTTTCCATTTTGTTTATTTATTGTAATTCAGATAGAAATATTCTCGAGACCTGCAATTTTTATCAAATATTTATATTAAAACTTTCTAGACGTGGTACAATTTGACAATATACGAATGAGTTATTTAAAAACAATTGAAATTCAAATTTGGAGGAAAATCGTAAAAATTACGGAATGTTGAGTACGAAGAAGCGAATTATATTAATACGATTTGTTTGACCAAGCAAAATATTCAAAAATTTCAGACGAAAAAACACGGAGAAACATTTTGTAGTTATAAATCAATACAATTTTCAATTAAAGTTTATTAAGGCATATTTAATTAAATTTCGCAGATGCTGCAGTCGAAATTTCCTAGTAGTTGTAAATAAAAGTAAGGTGCCTTTGATCAGTATTTATGAAAGAAAATTGCCAGCACCCTTGGAAAAAATATCTGTATATGTTCCTGAGTCTTGAATAAACTATAACAGATTTTAAATTATAAGTTTAATATATAGTTGGTAAATTTTTTAAAATATTACGAAAATTCTATATCGGTCAAAACAATATTTAATCAACATAACGTAAATATACAAATATGCATTTTAAAATAATATACACCTATGAGTTATGGTTTGGATTGAAGCAAAATAACATTGTTGAAGTGATTGTATTATGATTTTAGTATCTATACGACCGCCATAATAAACTTTCACTCCATTGGAAACATCTAGTTTACTGTCAACCTTCCTCTTTTGTAAATCTTCTTCATTTGCTTTTTTGAACCTGGATAGACACGTTTTTTTTTTACTCTAGAACTGATAATTAAATTTTAATCCGAATTGCAGTTCAGACTTGGTTCTCAAGTTAAAATCATGAATTCAATTTTACAGATTTATCTATGTAATCATTTGTGACGTATTTGTTTTGGATTTCAGTATTAAGTGTTTTTCCTATTATCATCAAACTTGTAAAATATACTTTCAAACACTTCTTTACACATATTTATTACTAACGCTGGTAATTTTGTCCATGTGAATATTGAACAACAGTTCTTATATAATATTATAATTCATATACTTATTTAATTTATGACACAATGTTTTTCGTATTAAAAATAATTTTTTAAAAAGTATTAGATTTCAAATATCTTTGAAAAATATTTATATAAAATACTAAGTCATTTATGTAGAAGTATATGGAATACGAAATAAATGTTTAAATACTATGTTTATAAAATTAGTTTAAAATTAAATAACAATTAAAAAAAAAAAAAAGGTTGTTTTTCGATTTTACCAAGAGTTTTCTCAGAAAATACAAAATACCGGGAAAAAACACAAGAAAACGTAGGAAAAACGGGAATTCAGATTAATATTAAACAATTTGTATTAAAGCAAATACATAATGCAAATGTAATTATTTTATCATAATGTGACATACATATTGTTGAAAAAGCAACACTATTAACCGAACTCCGCTCAAAATCGTTTTTCGTTAGCAACGGTTTATTGTTGCTTACAGATATACATTAAATTTCCCTTCTACTACCTTCTCAACTACTTACCTACAACAGGGGTTGTACCCACGTGTGAATTCGCGGGCTTTTTTTTTATACTTATTACATATTATTTCGCCGAGAACGCTCGATGCTTATATGTATCCGATGTATGTTATTATTTAATATTATTTTATTCAATTTTCGACGGCGATATCGTGATATATACGTGAGAAAATATTTGTATAAACATTTTCCATTTTTATTTACTTTTTAGTTCATTTTATATGCATGGAATTTAAAAATGCCCATTGGCACACACACGGGACGCGATATCAGTATGTCATGCCAGCATCCGAAATTTAAAAATGAATGCATCGAGTTTGAAGTGTTGTATAGATTTTTTAGTTAATAATCTGTACAAATGATATAATAATCGCTAACATGGGTTTTAGGTGGAATTTCTAATAGGTATACGGGTGCTACCGTATACGGATCTGTTCATTCATCCTTAAAAAATTGTTATTAACTATAAATGTGTAAAGCTACCGACTTCAAAGCGAATCTGCTAGGTACGTTTAACAAATCTGTAAATATCATAGAAAGTGCCATATTGTCTTTTAAAAATTAATGTCCCGATGATGTATTCTGTATTCTGGACTGAGTAAAAGATTTTTGTGATGATCATGATGTACTATTCACAATGCTATCTGCAGAAGGAGGTTAGTTACACTTTCAACCAGTGGCGTAGCCAGCGGGTAAGCCCGGAAGGCTCGGGCCTATCCACGTTTCTCCGAAAATTAGCACAATTTTAATATCAAAAATTTTTATTAGTGGTCTTTCCTATTCAAATATTGATATTATTTTACCTGGCTTACCCAGGAAAATATTTTTAGCTACGCCTCTGCTTTCAGCATATTATTCAATGAATATCACTTTTTTTTAAAAATCTTATCTATAATAGGTATTCAATTTATTATTTTTAAATTTTGAGTGGAGCGAGGAATGTATTGGTTTAACAGTGATGTTTATTTATTTTTTTTTTGTGAACAACTTTTCTACCAAAAATTTTGCTTCAATTTACAATGATAGCACTTTTTTTTGAAAGGGAAATCTGACATCCCAGTCAGATTTCCCTTACTTGTTAATGTCATTTTTTGATTTTCCCAGGAGGAATCATCCCAATGACGTGTAGCAACTGATATACTCGAAGTATAGTTTGGGTGCCATTGCTTCTCGCCTTAGCAATGAACTTTTGTGCACTGCACTACGAATCTAAACAAAAAGTTTGTGAATTGATATCAATATTATTAAAAAATCAATTTCAGCTACAAAAATCGCATTACTTTGGAATTTTACATTTAAAATTTATTTTCTTAAAAACAATTTTTTTTTTTAAATCTGTATATTAAAACTCATTATGTATAATCATATTTACATATACTATAGCGCTGATATAAATTGATAATATAGTTTAAGTAGTAAAAATGAAATTTGATGTTTTATAAATGTGACCTTGAGAAATAAGAAGAAAAAAAATACAACCCGCATAATTAATAAGATTGCCGAGCCGGTCTATGTATTTTAAATATTTTTTTTTTTCCGAAATTTTAAGACGGGAAATATTTAAAATGACCTGACGACGTGCAGTCTTTGAAAACTTGTTTCAGATTCAGCAATCATTTCCCATTGAAAATAGGGAGGGGTTAATAACATTCTAGAGGCATAATTTCCGGGTGTTTAATCGACAATTTTTACTATACAGTATTTATACCGGGAGAATTATAAATTAGAAGTTCATATACACGTGCGGTATTCAGGGCTACCCCGATGGGGGTTATAGGGGGTAGGCCACCCCATGACTTAACTAGTTGGGCTCAGTCGGTACATAGATTCATCGATCTATTGAGCCGGCAATTTATATCATTCAATAATAATTTAACAATGTTTCAAGTAATTAATTATTTAATCATAAATAGTTTATATTAAGTATACAATAAATATAAGAGTTAAAATATTTTCCTATGTCATCATAGAAGATTATGTCCTAAATGAATCGGCTTAACACCATCAACAGAGGTTGAATTAACAATACATTTATTTTGCCAAAGAGAATTTAAGTTAGTTCTCGATACACCGATCACATTATTAAATAGCAACTTAAAAAAGTGCATTTCTTCTGTTCAGCTATTGTTAAAATTATTTTCACAGCTTTTAGATAAATTAAATATTACTTTTGAAAACATTAAAAATAGGTCCTAAGATAATGCCGTAGAATACAAATTTAAATATTCATTTTTTTTAAGTAATTGTTATTTTAATATAATTATTTATTACTATGAATTTTTTTTTACAAGTTAAATTTTTAATAAAAAAAAACAATTTATATTTATGTTTTATATTATGTATTAAAATATTTGTATTTAAATACCAGCCCATTTTTTGTACTTATCTTGTCTTATAATACAAATTTTGTTTAAATGTAGACTTATTATATTATATAATATTATATAATAATTATAATATCAATATAATTAAAAATAATTAACTAAAAATTAGTGCGTGATTTGTGTGAATTTGTGTGACCCAAATGGAAATTTGTGCGCCATCCCTTTACCCTTAATTATCCGTTCAACAATGTTTGCCATTTCCTAAGCTTTCTCCTCTTTTCGAGGTTGAAAAACTGACATTTCCGTATTTTTCTTTTGCCAAAAAATGAGTGTGCGATTAGTTTGAATTTATGTGACCTATATGAACATGTGTGCGCAATCGTGCAGTATTATACATAAATTAATTATATATTAAAATTGGTTGAACAAATAAAAAGTGCGATTTTATTTTGAAATAGAACTTAAAAATATCCCTTATAATAATTTTTAACGCAAAACCAACACTATACATATATTCTATCAAGTTCATAAAAATTTTGTTCGTCAAGTCGTCGGAAAAATTAAAATAAAATCACTTCAATGTTTTCACCAATTGTTGTGAAGGTTTTCATAAGGTTGAAAATCAGAAAAATCAGTTTTCGCCCTCGAGGGGAACTGAGAAAACAGCAAAAAGCGTTTAACGAAAAATTGTAAATAAAAGGGTTGCACATACATATCAATTTGGTTACATAAATTCATACAAATCGCGTAATAATTTTTGTAAAAAAAGATAACTGAAATGTCCTGTTTTTACTCTTAGGGGGGAGGGAGCAGAAAATATATATATTTTAATACTATTTATCATTGAACGCGCTATTCAATTTTTATTTTTTATCAGCGGAATAATAATATATATAAGTTAAACGGGTAGGTTATAATAATAATAAATTATATTAATAAACAATACAAAAATTACACAGTATAAATTATAAAGAAACTATTTATGTTTTATGATTTATGATAAGTGATCGCAGATTTGATTTAAATCTATTGCGTTGAAAATACCCTCAGAGTTTACAACTATGATAGAGCCTTTGAGCCCCTTTGAGCCTCGGGGCCTCGATGTTAGGCATCGTCATCTACTTCGGTTATTGCGCCACTGAAAATAAGTAGTTTAATGTTTTATATGGAAGTCGACTTCTTTCCTTTGATTTAATATGCTTCATATTAGAAAATGTACATTCACAAAAAATGTGCGTCGTTCCAATCATAGATACCATTTTCATTGCAAAATCTAGTAAAAATGGATACTTTCAACTGGCAATATTTTCCAAAAAGACCAATCAATTGCTTTTGTAGAAAAAATGGATTTATTTGCAAATCACATATTTTTAATTGAAGAAAAACATCTTGCTTTTCAATTTAAATTGCTACAGAATTATTAAATAAATTTATTTGAGGACGAGGATTTATTTACAATTAACGTAATAACATAAAATACAGATAAACGCTAACAATTGTATAAAGCAATTTACAACTGCAGCACGGGCCAGATATAAAAGGTCGGATGAGTCCTGTGGGCCGCCAGTTGTACATCCCTGGTATGGGTAACAATACGAGTATATTATTCTGAAAAAAAAACTGTTATTATTACTATACGTTTATCACAAAAAAATAGTTGGAAGTAAAAAAAAAATAAATAAAACTATATTAGTTTATTGTTGTCAGCGCACGTTTACCTATATGTATATTGTAATTATTCACTTGCCTTTAATTGGCTCCATGACATTATGTTTTCGGTGGTACATGGATGATTTTTCAGATTTTGTTGCAGTTTACAATTTATGTGAGTACATATTATACGCAATAATAAATTCAGAAGTCTGTACGCCATATATAGAGTTGATTGTTGAACAGCTGACACAGAGAGACATGCAGAGACCTTCGTGCAGAATTTCGGTCGGAAATCCTTGAACAACGAGTTCCCGGCCGATTGTTTATTTTATTAGAATAATCAAATACGACCTAGGAGTTTTTTTTTTCTTTCTTTAATTATGTTCGTGACTTATCGAGTGAGAAACGCAGAGTATAAATTAATAAAATATAGGTTCCTAAAAGAAAAATCGAATAATTACAAAATGTTTAACCGTAAAGGTCTTAGTCGCTGACTCCGTGTGTACTATACAATACTCGTCGTAAATGTTGTCGGTTTTTTAAAATTGCGTAACATAATTCAGGTTATTTTTCACCCGGATTGTTTTTGTCGACGCTTCAATAAGCCGTCATTATAAATTCATAATAACACGCGCGCATTCGACCCGTGGAAATAATAATCGTATCATATCAAATTATAGAACTATATGTATATGTAATACAAATGAAGGCGATTTTCCAGTTGGTCGACACGCAATTCGCCGATAGTCAGTATTCACCAAGTTTTAATAAAATTAATGAAATAATTGTATTTATATTATACATATACATAATACAATAAATACATATATCTGATATTATAAAAAAAAGTAAAAATAAATACAATTCCATCAATCAATATGAATTATACTTCGTTTCATTTTAATCTGAAACATAATTTAAAAAAAAAAACGGCGAAAAAATGAAATAAAAAAATGTGTGTATAATAACACGCATAATGTTGTAGGTATGTTTTACCGTGTTATACTATACTACTAAACAAATTAAAATTATTTTTATCTAAAAACCGCAGTGGTCAATGAACTTTTCGATTATTTATATTCTGTATATGGAATATAGATAACTATAAAATATAATAATATTGTACTGATCGATGTGAATAATCGTGTGTTTGGTATAACGATAGATAGATAGTAGTCTAGATAGTAGATAGTACGAGTATATACCTTAAAGTTGTGTTAATTACTTTTAGGAAATTACCATCGTTGGAGGCGAATTAGGTTTTTTTTAAAAACTATTAAAAACTGGTTTTTTGCTTGAAAAACCGGATTTCGGCAAATCGAGAATAAACCTAAATAAATAGCATGTTTTTATTGTATAAGATAAGTTAAGATAAACCATAGGTTTATTATAGTTTTTAATTAGTAAATGGAGAAAATATCACGTTCGATAATATGAAATGTAAAAATATTATAAAAAATACATAAGATTATTGAAGATATAAAATATTGTATTTTTGGAGATTTGTCACTTTTTAATCGGGGATGTGATGTTTTATTATTAATTCACGAGCCACAATTATTATAAATACGTATGTTACAACATTTATTAGGCCCAGTAAGATACAATTTCACTCTATTGTACGGATAGTAATCTCCAAGACGACCAGTGTAACATTATATTTTTACCCCTTTCAGTAAAAATATCCAAGGATATATTTACTACTATTACAGTTATATAAGGAAGTAAAAATACAGTAGTAAATTAAATTACTCCGGTAAAAATAAATATACTAGGATATATTTACCTCCACAACACAAATTTGATTCCAGGGAGTAAATATATATTATCAATGACCTGGAGTAGCCTCATCATAGTGGTCCTATTTCCGCATTTAATTATTTAATTACATATAGTAGTAATGGATTTTATCTAGATAAATTATTTAGATAGGCAGATATATTATGATATTTTAACTTATCTAGATAAATGTGGACTAAGTTATCTGAGATAAATAATGGAATTATTTATATAGATGTATCTATAGTTACATATTTTTAAACCATAATCTATATATTTGTTAGAAGTATTAATAGGTAATATAATTAATTTTAATTAATTTACATTAATATGGTTTAATAAATAAATAATTAATTTACATCAATAACACATATAAATTAACCTTCATGAAATCAAGTCTGGTATACGTATTTTAACTATTTTACTTTTTAGCACTTAGTTTTATGATAGATAATGCACAAAATAATAATAAATAATAATAATTTTTTTATCTATATAATTAAATAATTTTTATGTAGATATCTTTTGTTTTCATCTAGATAATTATTTCAGAAATTATATTATATCTTTATATAGATATTTTAAAATGTAATTTTCACGATGCTAACAAATACCTGCAATATGATGCACTTTTCAAATACTTGAAAAGTAATTTTCGCAGACATTTTGGTGGTGGTAGGAAACGGGTTATTAGTAACTTAACACCCTCTCCCGGCTTTGACGTCGCTGGTTAATACAACAAAAGTCCACAGTATATATGTTGTTAGATTCTAATTTTCTCGAAATTATTACTTTAAATCTAAAACTGTTATTATTTAGTTATTATCAGGCATTTTGTTTTTAAAAGGTGTTACAATTGTGTATACTTAATATAATATATAATATTAGGTAGTTAATAAGAATAACATGCATCAGGTTTCATAGCGAATTAAGGCTTATAAAACTACAAATCATAATATTCGTTACACGTTAAGTACGATATCATACAAGTTTATATAGTTATCTTCATTATCAACAATTATTAATCTAATAATAGATGTTATAACAACGTCACTAATAACTGATTTTGTAAAGCGTAGAACCACCATTATTATTTGGACATTTTTAACGTAGTTATAGCTAAATTAGGTCAATCACCCTTTTCTTTTATGTAATGACTGAGGAGTTACTTTAGAGAGGTGTTTTTTTTGATTTTCCTAGGAGTTTTCCCAATAAATGGGAAAAACCGGTGGAAAAAAACGCAGAAAAAACGGAAAAATAGATTTTGTATAAACTCGTTAAAAAAAATATTTAACTCAAATGTATTTATTTCACCATAATGTGACATAATATATATTGTTGACAAAGCAACACTATTAACCGAACTCCGCTCAGAACAAAATAAATAATAATAATAATTAATAATAAATAATAATTATAATATAAAGAGAAAAAAAAATAATGATAATGATTTAAACTTATTAACTAATAATTTGGTAACTCATGATTTCAGTGTTTTGTTTTAGTGTATTGATTAATTTGGTCACAAGTTCGGTTACTTATTTCTATAAAATTGGAAAAATTCAAAACTGAGTGTTTACAACTGTTTCCATGCGATTTTTTATTAGTTCAGCATCCGAAAATGGTTTCATGCTTTTGGCTAACAAATGTCTTACTTCATACGATACTTTTGTTGCAATTTCATTTTTATTAGTGAACCGTAACATGGTTGTTTTCAGAAAAAATTCCTTTTTTTTCATTCAACTAGTTTTTCTTCTCTTATTTTATCTAAAATAAGATCTCCCCCTATCTGGGAGGGGATAATTTTTAGAAAATTCAATATTATGAGTTGTATAGTGACGATTAATATTATAACGTTTTAGAATACTAAATACTTATGGTTTTACGACAAATTAAACATAAAGCATCGTGTTTCTTACCAAAAATACAGAAAAATTCAATTTCCCAACTATTTTGAAATATTCTGTGTTCATTATCGATTTTACGTTTTGAACAGCTTACTCACAGAATTAACTATTACAACTACAATACGTAGTATAAATATCAAACGATAAAATACAAACGGACAATAAACGATGACAGATAAATTTTTCATATAAGACTACACGATGGAAATTAACAAACTCATAACCGTATCATTTATCTGTTCAACTGGTAATTCAATATAAGTTTAAAATAGAAAGATAAAATAAATAAAAATAATAAGATAAGTAAAAAAGCGTTGTTTATTTTATTCACTGTTTATAGAATTTTGGATTTTAGAATAGATAATTTAATTTTAGTACGGGTCGCACTAAATTTGTTAAAGGGCCGCGTGGTGGGGACCGCTGAATTTTAGTTGAACGTATATTTTGTTACAGTGAGCACTCCTTGTCCGTACGGGAGCTCAATATTCAGCTACACTGTATATTAAGGATAGTATTGAGGTCCTCGGGGGGCTTGCGATACAACCCCAGCTAGTCCCAGCTAGTTTCGATATGATGTTGTTTCACGATTTTATTTTGTTTTTAGTTGTTTCTAGGTATATTCTAAAAGTTAGGGTCCCGTTGAGTTTAATACCAAGGTACCTAAAGCATACTTCAATTGCAATATTGACTTTACCAATTTTTAGTCATAGCTCTCTATTTGCCTCACGGTTGTTCAGATGCAAGGCCACTGCTGTTGTTTTATTAGCTTTGTTCAACGTTTACACCGCTGAAATCGTAGAAACCGAATCGAGGAAATTCACTTATGGCAAACGACATAGGCCTAGTAGTCCAAAGAAAGTTTTTTGAACAACTAGAAGACATCTTGAACAATGATCTAGTCGTTTTACAAAATTATTTCACAAATTGGTATCTCAACCTATATAGGTTATTTTCGCGTACAGTTATTTTCTTCATTATTCAAGGGTGCGTGAAAAATTGACTACCTAATCAATATAAAATTATTATTTAGCGAAATATAATATAACAATATATTGTAGGTACGAACAATAAATAGTGTATTATGACTTTGCCCAAAAACTTGGTAATATCTATAGTACCTACCTACTAATGATAAACGATATCACTTTGGCCGAAGATGGGCAAGTTTTGGTAAAAATCTGAGATTTTAGGTTGATTTAATGTTTTAGATTCCTAATGGAGAGAGAGATGTATTGGTTTTACTATGATAATATGTGCTTATTTTTTTTTCAATTAATAACTTTTCCACCAGACATCTCGGCTCTATAAAAAAAATAAAATGAGAGTTTTTGCGTAGAATATTTGACCTAGTTGGTGATCTAGAACAGTGGTTCCCAACCTTATTGCTATGGTGACCCACATATTTACTATTTTTTGAAATGCAACTCACAACAAAAAAAGCTGCCTTATAATTTTGGAGTACTGCCACTGTTGTTGGTGGGAAGTTGGGAGTGTAGGATACAGAAAAGAATTTAATGTATATCTGTAAGCAATGATGAACCATTGCTAGCAAAAAAATGATTCTGAGAGGAGTTCAGTTGATAGTGATGCTTTTTTAACGATATATATATATGTCATATTATGGTAAAATAATTAAATTGGTATTGTATATTTTTTTAGTAATATTTGTTTAGTATTGTACCGATTTTCCCATTTTTCCCAGTTTATCACATTTCCTTGGAAAAATCGAAAAATGACCTTAAAGCACCTTCCCAGTCGGATTTCCTTTCAGAAAAAATGCTATCATTATAAATCGGAGCAAAAATTCTGATAAAAAAGTTGTCCATAAGAAAAATGAAGGCCGTAATATTTTTTAAATAGTATTTATATTTCGTACATTTTCAGTTTTTCTTTCATTTTTTTCGGTTTTTCACATTTTTTTATTTTCTTATTATTTTTACTAATAAATTTTTTATTTTTTCTATTTTATTATATTATAATCATAATATTTTTCTTTCATCACAACTCATCAAAAATATTTCGTGACCCAATGACCTTCTGGACCTATTAGGTCCAGAAGGTCATTTCCTAATTTTCTAATTAGTTTTCATAAAATGAAAAACCAAAAACTTTACGGTAATAATGCAGTTTCAGTTTCATAATCATAGAGATCTGAAATTTTTACAGAATACTTTTATTTATTCATAGTATTCGGGTTTAAAATCCCCTTTACTAATGTAATATAATAATTATAATAAGTAATATAATAATCAATGCCGTCTAATACACTATAGATGAAAAATACACAGGCCATGCAAATAAATCAATGCGATATTGAGCCGGAAGTCGATGTCATTAGTCGATAATATTTCTAAGAGTAATAATGAATTCACACCGACACGCATGAATATATGTACAATATACATGATATATTGACAAAAGTGATTTTTAGTGACATTTCCGTTTTCAGTAATGTATGTGCAAATTTACTCGTTCACGCGATAATTAATAAAACATTTTATTTTACTATATTACTGCAATGCGCAATAGTCAGCCAAAGTCTAAACAATACTGTATACCTACATATGTTTAAAATCTGCACAAAAGTCATTCAGTAGTTAAATGACGATATTTTATAAATCTTGGGTCCTGAGGGGCCCCCTGCAGACACAACAAGGACCACTCGCAGCTGGCGGCCGAGGCCGGATCGATACTGACAAATGGAAATAATAATTATGAACGCATATTGCCTTTTCTAAACGTGGTCAATTTTCAAAATCATTCTTGCGACCTATACTTTTATAGGAATTTTAAATTGTCTAGGTTTTATGCGGATAAAATTGTTTGTCTGAGCAAGATTACGTAACAATTTTGCACGAGTTTCATTATAAGGTGTACTTAGAGTTGGTTATAGCAAAGTTGAGAAAATTGTAGTAGCTTTTATTTATAAGCTCCGTTTAAGTATACATTTTTACAAAAATCATTAAAAACATGATATTTTAAAACGCCGCCAGAATTGTATTTCATTAATAATGTTTATCGTTATTTGGTGAAATAAATATATTTCACAAAGGTGAACTAAATAACGATCTATATAATATCCTTACCCCTGGTTCACACAATTAAAAAAAATGTTAACAATACAAAAATATTTTAATGGTGTAGTAATTTGAAACACAATTTAGATCCATTTAAAGATTTAAACAAAGAAATATACCTATTGGTAATTTAAAATAATAAACACTTTTTTTTTAATTTATGTTTTTATGCGGGTAACTAACCAGTATAATTAACTGGGAATTTTCATAATTTTTATGTAACCTTATTAAGTGTGTACACACAATACATCTGTATAGTTATATCGAAGATAATAAGAATTTAATTTAAGCATCTTTTTTTTTTTTTTTATTTTCAATTTCAAATTCAATGATAAGTAATTTTATTTAAACGAAGGCCGTCTTCGAGATTACTGATTGTTTTTCAAAACAAATTGTTTAAAACGTTAAGCCATTTTAAGAGTATTATTAGATACGTGCTTGGCTCTATTTTAAATTGTATAAAGAAAAAACTAAAAGTGAAAATATTATTTGGCGTCAAAGAAAATGGTCATGTTTTAAAAAATAAAAGGTAATCTATTAACTTACCGGTTATTGTATGATTTTATATAAATAATTCAGATTAAAAAAATTATACATAAACTAAATATTATTACATACAGAGCAATGGACATAATTATCTCGGAAAGTATTAACTTTTTTCGACATTTGTTTTTTTTAGAGCATTTAAGAAATTGTCCTAAGATATTATATTTCGGTTATTGTTTGTCACTTTTATTTTATTGGTTAAAACCACTACTTACTTTTGATAGGATAATAAACAGATGGAGCATTAGTTCAAATAAATTTTGGTGTTGACATTATTGATTTCCGTTCAAGTTTAGGTATCGGGGGAGAATGGCAGAACACTATTACAACGCCGCGTGCCATGTGGCTACACAAATGATGCACCACTATACATTAGAGTAATTAGAGTAACTCTCCCCCCGCCGAATCTTAAAAGCGAAATATCTCGTCAACGGAAGTTAAAAATAGTTTAAAAATTTTGTTAGAAATCTGTATTATAATGTAGGCAGTTTATAATTAATGAATTAAATGCGAATTTAGATGTAACCGACCTTGAATTATACGAATAATAATGTTTCTTTGCAAATTAGTATTATTTTTACCTAACGTCTACAATGTTGTTAATGCTTGTTTTCGTGTAAAATATTTATATATTATTGTTTCTACGGGCGATGATGACGCGAGTTATTCAAATTTAAAATATTAACAATATGTTATTATTATAATACGCATTACAACACATCTAACGAATCTTAATAATTAATTACTAACGAATGAATAGGCTTAAAAAATAGAATAATATTAATGCCTCGGGGTACTGATTATGTTATTATGGGATCATTATTATGAACGAGTAAAAAAAAAAATTGTTAATCTAATAATAATGTATACGTAATTTTATGTATCATTATAATACCTATAGGTGTATAATATATAAAATAACATGTCCTGACTGACTTACTGATTTACCAGTATGGCGTAGGCATCCACTAAGAGAGAAATTTTGAAAATTCAACCTATAAAGGGGTGAATAGGGGTTTTCAGGTATTTTCGGTACGAATATTAAATCGTTTATTAATTTCTTTTTGTTTATTCAAGGGTTACCTTTGAAATACGAATGATAATCTGGTCGTCATGGACTATAAAACTATCACTATTATTATTATTCCTATTATTTATACAATTATTCAGCTATAGTAAAGCATAGCCGTGTAAGCTATAGTATGTTTAATATATTGGTAGTCATCAAATATTGGGTGTATAAAATATATAAACGAAAATTCGTAAATAGTGTGGAATTTCTCATTTTGCAGCGATTTTTTGTATTTTTTTTTTTTTGAAAATAAATATTTTCATTAATAATAGTACATTTACAGGTATATATGAATACGCGTGATTGGCGTAATCGTCGAATGTTTTTTAATAATTTCATACAAAACTATAATAATATTATAGTGTTCTATATTCATATATTTTCATTCTATGAGGAAAGTCTAGAGTATAATCAAATAATTGCCACGATTCGTAAAGAGGCCCGGTGTCGTTTTTCCGATTTGGTAAAATTTCAAAACGATTTTTAACATTTAAATGACCACTATAGGCGTAACTTTTAAATTGGAAGGCTTCAGCATTTACAATTTTATAACAATAAGTAAATTAAGTGGAAGGTTTATCACTCCACACTCCATCGTCGGTCGTCACACCACCTGCACATTACATTAATTGTTAAAAGCACTAAAACTATGGTTATTTATTTCATGGTCGTCATAATGTGTTGTGTGTGACATTTTGGTTAGGTTAGGTCAGGTAAGGATTACAATTTTCTTTTTATTTAGGACATTTGATAGATTTCTTTCAATAGCTAAAACAGACATCTTAAAAAATCGTTTAGGTAACACAATTTAGGATTTTACAAATCATTATATGATAAAAAACGAAAATGTTACCACGGGCCAATGAACTTATTATAGGTATATCTATAATATTTTAATGAAGACTTTTAATCATTTTTATAAGTAAAAAAATATGTAATAAATTATAAATACAATGTTGTGATCATAATGAAATATTATTATTCATACTTTTAATAATCCTCGCTGTTCTATAATATTATTCAACATTCTGTTAATTGTTATTATACCTGTTCGGGACGTAGGTATGTATGACGTAAATACTTATTATGATAGCTTTAATAATATAGATACAAATATTTAAAAAATATTTCAATTACCAAATATTTATGTTATTATATATTTATTTTAACAAATAATAACGTGAGTCAGATGCCCCCATTCCGACATTTTTGTTGTTCGGCGTTTTAAAACGTGTATAGACGAACTCTGTTCAGAATTGGTTTTCGTTAACAATGATTTTAATGCGTACAAATAAACATTAAATTCTCATTTATATCAAATATGCTATAAACAAAAAAAAAAAAAAAAAAAAATGCTTTTTATTAAAATTGTACACTAAAATCCTGATTTATAACTAATTCAATTCAATGAATTTGTTTTAAAATTAATATTAATGGTATTTGCCCACCAGTGTTACAAACGGTATCTCATGAGGAATCTGCATGTGCTGTCTCCATCATATTATAAGTTATAACCCCGTAACATAACAAATTTTCATTTAGCAAGGACAACTCTGTGTTAGTTTTATTGTTAAAGTGAATTGGCATAATATACAATTGATAATATTATTATTAAACTTAAAGATAAAAACATTATCTTTGTTGTGTAGACATTTTTTTTTTTTTTCCGTAATTTTAATTTTTAAGGAAGACATTGCAGGGTTCTATCATTGGATAGCCTCCCTCATCAAGCTACCATGTTATTGTTATTATTTTATGTACTAAGTCATTATATTTACTTATTGTATTTTTTTTTTTGTGAATACAGATTGTAAGTTTTAAATAAAAAAAAAGGCATAAGTGGGTGAAATATCACGATTTAAAAATGCTTAAATCTCCCTTAACAATTTAAATAACGAAAAAAAACCAATGATACAATTTGTCAATTTGCTCTAATATTTAAACTAACAGCATAGTTTTCCCTGTTGAACGAAAAATTTGCTGTGTCACGAGGTTGTCACGAGATTCATTTAAGTGGGTACACTCGATATCTCGGAAATTATTTACTTTTTAAAATATTTTCTCTCTTTGAAAATTTAAGAAATAAACTGCTCTAAAATTTAACATTTATATTATTTTTTATCACCCAAATTTTTAGGGGTGAAACGACTACCTACTTTTGATTTTCAAAAGGCAACCTATATTAAAAATTCCATAAATAGATGGAGTTTTAATTAATATAAATTTTGATGTTTAAATTTTTAATTTCCGTCAATCCGCTGGCGAATTATAACTTCTTAAAGTCTCAATACCTATTGGATTTAATTTTGAAATACATTTTTTTGTAAACACCAGTAGCTATAAGTGATAAATTCGCTATCATTTAAACTAAGGTAGGTAACAATATTGATGATTATTATTTTACTTTGTATCCCAATGATTTATTTTATCTGTGAAATTATTATAGCATTTATTATTAAACAGTTTTTCGTTAATGATAAGATCTCGGTATCGTGATTTGCGATCCGGTAACATATTAATATCATACTAACTGCATACAATTCTACCCAACGTCGTGTCTTGGCAGTTATTTCGAATATAATAGCTTTTTATCACGACTATAGATAGTATTTAGTCCTAACCTCGTCCGACAACGGCAAAACGTCGCGGTGAAGATGGGAATAGCCATAGAAAAGGTACATGCAAGCGTGCGCGCGGTAAACGTCACATTACCTCCCCCTTGGGAAAAATAAATTCACTCGTCTCTGATAATATGACCGAGAAAGATCAGCTGATTCGCGTTTGCTTAGGTTAATCGCTATGCCAGAATACTGCAACCGACCGAGAACAGCACACAAGTGTGCTCCAGGCTCGGGCACGGTTCGTAACGCGATAAGTACGTCGTCGATATAAGCGAACGCGAAATCGAAACCACGGAGAAAGTTATTAACGAAACGTTGAAAAATCTGTGCGGCGTTTTTTAGACCGAAACGCATCACGGGGAACTCAAATAAACCGAAAGGTGTCGTCACAGCGGTTTTCGGCACGTCACATAGTGCGACAGGAATCTGGAGGTATGCGCATACCGAATTAAGTTTTGAAAATAAAGTTTTACCGTAGAGATTACCTGTGAAATCATGCGGAAGATGCTACACGTCCGGCCTGGTAACGGTATTCAATCATCAGTAGTCGCCACACGGGCGAAATGAACCGTCCTTCCTTTCTACCAGCAAAATGGGACTAGCCTACGGATTCCTTCCGAGCGGCGGCGAGGCGATCCAGATCGAGGTGACGAGGACGAGCGAATAACGGAGGGCCGGTCGTTGGCAAAACGCGCTCGACACTATGTGCTATTTACGTGCAATTCCCGGAAAACCGGCGACTGAATCAGTCCACATACGTTGCTGTGACTACACACACACAGGCGTCGCGACGACGATTTTCGACGTGATCTCGGAATTCGAATCGATAAGGCGATTACGACGAATGCCGATTAAAAGGCCAAAACAGTGGAGAAAATCCGCGCCGATAATACTTCTAGAAACGCCGGCGATCTCAAAGGTCTCCAGCTAAACGGCCTCAAAAGTCCCAATTCGAGTTGGAGGAGCCTTCGACCGTAAGTGCGGATATGGGTGCCATTAGCGACGGTAAGGGCCACATTCGAAAAAGATAGCCGTCCGGCGGATGGCGGGATAATCGAAATATCGGCCCCAGAGTCGATCAGGAACCGCCGGCTGGAGCGCGTGTGCGACACGAAAACGCGAGGACGTCCGGGCCGATTAGGTCGGACACGGACCTGACTCCTTCTTCGTCAAGTGCGGCGACTACGTGGTTCGCTTTGAAAACGTTTGACCGTAAGCGTAGGTTCGAGAAAACAGCCTCGGTATGGATAAACCATACTCGCGACGAGTGTTGCCATAGAACGCTTTTCAGAACGCTACTGAAATACCTTCATTTGACATTGGACCTTCGGGAAGTAGCACCTTAAACGAGGAATAAACGTTAATCAAAGAAGGTGGCGATTCGTTATCGGGCGTGAAAAGATCGCGACACGGAGTCCCACTGGCCATGGCGATACGTATCGGCTAGTCGAGAAATCGAGAGTTTGAGCGAGAATAAGAAAGAAAAATCATCACGTCGAGATCACTGACTTTGGTGGTCGGGTGTACGTGGGTCGGTTTACCCAAAGCCACCAGCTAACCCGGTTCAAGGAACTCGGGTGATATAAACCAATATGCTTAATTAATTTTTGTTTCTTTAAAACGATAAATATTATTTATTGCTCCATAAATACAAATGAAAATAGTAAAAATAAATTTTAAGACTAATTATAAAATACAAAATATAAAAGATTTTCACGTAGAAAAACTGTGGTTAGTATCGGAGGCGATGGGTCAGCGAACTGTGCCGAATGACGGCAGCGATGAGAGTGTGAAATGAAAAAGGCAGGTGCTTCGGCCGCGTCCGATGACGGCAAAAGGTCGTGGTGAAGGTCGCAGCGTTGAATATGGCAATTGTCATAGAAATGATTGTACACGTGAGCGTGCGTGGGGAAACGCGACAATATTATTGTTTAAGTTTTTAATTTATGATAATGTTAATAATAGGTATCTATGCTTGTTAACAAAACTACCACTATTATTACGTCTTTATGACCACGTGTAATTTGACCTGGGAAAATACCTACGTATTTACTTCTTATTTAAAATCGTTCCCTATTAGTACCTATGTAAGTATAATCATTTGTATTAAGTAAAAATCTATTTTCAAATTTTCAGTCTATAGTTTTCTGTTAATGACAACATGATTTTTCTTTCATCATTATTAATTTGGGATAGACTTAACATATTATTGTATTATTGCTTTTATTAATCGTGTTTTTTGTTTTAGCACACGTTCCATTCAAGAACAGTGATAGTAAATACTTGATTTGAAGAAAATGATGTATACATTGTACATAAATAATACATTTCCATATATTTGAAAGTCATCCAAAAGTTAGTAGAAATACACCAAAACACTGTTTATAATTGGAATACAACCAAGACGATAAATCGATTTTTAAAAGAAAACATTTTAAAAAGACAAGGGTACATTTTAAGTTTTTATTTTTTAATATATTTTCAAATTAATGTCCATTTTGTGACGAATAAAATGTCATACGTTTTAAAATATTTTCATTTGAAAATTGTTCAAAATGTTAGACGGAATATTTGAATAGACTTCTTTTATTTTATTTTTTAGCTCATTTTTACTGGATGGCATTTTTTTCATAAACTGCATTTTTAATATATCCCCAGAGAAAAAAGATCTTACGGTATCATATCTGGACTTCGTGCTGGCCATTGGATTTTTGGACTTCGAGTACCCATCCAATTATCTTTAAAATACAATTTATATTAGATTTTCAATATATTTAGTTGTTTGAGAAAAAATATGATGATAATTACTTCCAAATGTGTACTTTAAATAGTTCTGAACCTGCTGGTAATTATGGGCTGTAGCACCTTCTGTTGCCAGAATATTTTTTTCTTTTAGAAAGAAGCAAATTTTCTAATAAAATTGGTAATTCATTTTTTGAAAAATGTAAGTACATAAAGACCTACTAAATATTCATCAATAATGCCACATCAAACATTAACTAACCAGCGAGATTGAATATGAATTTTAGAAGTCCAGTAAAGATTAGTTTCACTCCAAAAATGTTGATTGTGGTGATTAACTTGGCCATTATTATAAAATTTAGCTTTGTCGGTCCATAACATATTTGAAAGTATTGCTGAATCATCATCCAACTTAATGATCATTTGAGCAACTAAATTTAATCGTCATTCAGAATAATTGGCCAGTAATTGTTGAACCTTTATATTTTTTTAAGGATGATACTTGTATCGTTTCTGCTACACATTGTATAGATGTATACAATATATTCAAATTTTTTAAACTATTTATTTTACATTTTAGTTCTGAATTTGATATTTTTTTTATTTTATTATTTAAAATTTTGTAAAGGTCTCTAATGAAGAATAATTAGAAACGCATTTTCAAGTTAAACTATAGACTCATGTATTATATTAATGTATGTAAATATTATGTGTATGTAAAATGTTAAAATGTATAAATTTATGATTATTGAAAAAAATTGTTATTGTAAGTTTCTATACAAAACATGTTGTTTATATTCTGTAATTTTAAATCTAAACGTCAATCTAAATCAGATGATACAGAATATTTTTTTTAAGTATTCATACATTTTATAAATAATTGTTTAGACCAATTGAACGAAATTTTTATATAAAACATGATTGTTTTGAATAATTTTGTATTTACTTAAGATCGGAATGAAAATATCTGAAGATATTAAAGATAAATTCAAACAATTAGAAACATATTAATATATAATTGATTAATGTAACGATTCAAATTTAAATGATTATATATGAAACGGAGAATCAGATTTGTGGTATACTAAATATTAAAATTTAACATCTTTCAAACTCAAGAACAAAAATACTATTGAATTATACTTCCAAACTAGTCCAGATGTTTATCCAGTAATATCTAAACTTCTTCAAATATTTATAACACTTTCAGTGTCTACTGCCACGGGAGAACAATCGTTTTCAACACTCCGTCGTTTGAAAACATATGTGAGAAATTCTTCGGGACAAATACGTTTAAATGGTTTATTCTTACTAAAATATATTTATCTCGGTATCAACGTGGATATCTCTGATGTCATATATGAACTTGCTAAAACATCAATACGAAAAATGAATACATATTTATTATTTTTAAAAAATATAAATATTTCAATTTTTATATAATTAGCAATGTAAAATAGCAATAAAATGTTTTATGTATCATTATAATACACACAAAATTCAAAACAATTTCATTTGTTATATTTTTTTAACCCCCCCCCCCCCGCCACAAAAAAAAAAAATTCTAAATACGCCACTGTGTATAATATTAATATGATTATACGAATTGGGTATACGTATTTATTATTATAATACAAATAGTACAAATTGTTTCAAAATGAATGGTTTAGGTTTTCGGTTTCTCACAAATTATACACTTACCTATACTTAACGGATAAATAAGTATATTAGTAAATTCACATAGTTATTAGTTTATTACCCTCGTATTACCGTTGTCACAGTCAATATCCTTTAGTACAGTCAATGACCGTGGTCCGTAATTATTTTTACAAGATAATATTATTATTATAATAATTATTCTATTCGTTTGATTTTTGTTCGTTTGACGAACGTTAAAACAGGTAAATAGGCACCTGGATTGAAAACAAAGAATTATTATAAATACCTATATTATATAGTCTATTTTATAGCATCTACTTATGAAAATAAACCGTAAATTATGTATATTATATAAGATATGTAAGCGAGAACAGTTGCTCAACCCATTGTTACGGTTTAATTTTGCATGAATTGAAATTCGAATTTTCGGAATTTTTAAGTGTAGTTAAAATTGTTCACAACATTTAAGGACTATCCTGTGTTGATACCAATTTTGGTTTTTCAAATTAGAACCTGTACGGTATTAAAAATTCAATAGATGGAGTATTATTTCAAATACATTTTGGTATCAACGTTTTTGATTCCCGTCAACCCGTTAACGAGATATTTCACTTTTAAGATTATGTAGGAGAGTATTGAAGTATTATTTGTTTGTATCCAAAATAGTGATTAAAATAACTTTTTGTCGAAGCGGGGCGCGCAGCTCTTTTTGTAATATTAACAACCGTCCATGTACCTATACGTTATTTTAGTTTTGGTATCGGAAATTATCTTGCAGCGAGACGCTTTGTAATTTTTTCAGAGTTATTCAACTGATAGAATGAATATTAGATTTGTATTGGAATAAAATAAAATCCAATTGAAATTGATTTAATTTATCATTGTTATTATTAATTTTCTTATTCTATTGTTACGGAAGGCATAATGGGGTTATGATAACTGAAATAGCCGTGACACTTTTATTTACGCTGAGTGTGTGCAGTACTGTTAGTCGTAAAAAAAGCAGAGGGTATACTATAATCTAGTAATCTACAATACATTATCGTCCGGATAGGTGTGTGTGTGTGTGTGTGTGCATGTAAGTGTTAGTGGTGGGAAAAATCCGGATTTCGGATATTTCGAAAATCCGAATTCTTGGATTTTAATCTAATTGCATTCACTTACAATGTCACTAATGTGTGTGAGTGTGTAACAACTTATGACATAATTTTAATCCTGACAGAATTAATTTGCTCAGGATACGTAATTATTTGTATTCACATAAGTAATGTATTTATTTTCGTAATCAAGGGAGTGACATTGATAACATATTAAAAGTCAACATTTTGAATGACTAGAATAGATCGAGGATTGCATTCAGAAATATAAATATAAAAAAATACAAAAAAAAATCACACATGGTAAAACCAATAAACCACTCACTACGCATCGAATCGAAAATCACCGGGTAAAACATTTTACATGTTCTGCATTCGCCGGTCGGGAACGGATCACTAAATCTACTTTAGGCTGAGACCAAATTTAAGGTATAAATTCTTAAGTAGCCGAGCATAGGTTCACTAAGAAACTACGATGCAATAAATATGATGTGACCACTTTTCTCAAAACTTCTTATCAAATGCAAAAAACTGAAAAAATAACGGGATGTACGAAATATATTACTACAATATTACGATTTTTTTTTCCTGTACACAACTTTTCTACCAGCAATTTCGCTCCAACTTAAATTGATAGCGATGTCCCTAAAAGGAAATTTTACTGGGAAGGTACTTTAGAGAGGTAATTTTTCAATTTTCTTAGGGATTTTCTCATCAAATTTGAAAAACCGAAAAAAACAGAGAAAGAACAGGAAAACGTAGGAAAACTGAGAAAATCAGTAAAACATTAAACAAATTTTATTAAAGAAAATATATAAAACCTATATTTTAATTATTTTACTATAAAAAGACATATTTTGTTGACAAAGCATCATTATCAACTGAACTCCGCTCAGAATCGTTTTTTTTATGTAAGCAATGGTTTATCGTTTTTAATAAACCGGATTTGAGAGTTCATTAAAATTAGTAAAATAATGTTGTTGACAAAAAGCCTGTAGTGTAAGCAGATCTAATCGAGGGGTCCAGAGTATATATTATACTGGCCGCATTTAGGCGCAGTCGGTAGTTTCCTTAACAAACGGAATTCTGCATATAAATAAATACATAGGCAAATTTTTAATACTTTTTTTGAAAATTTTCCTAATTCGTTTGTTGTAGGAATCCACGTCAACGGAGGCAATCCATCGAGGTCCATCGTCGAGTTATCCAACCAAGTGCAGCACACCGAATTAAAAAATTTCAGTTAGCAGAGCAGCATTATGTCTGCACAGTATTTAACATGGGAGACATTATAATATTTTACAGAACTGCGCTTACGACTTTCAAATGGAAATACTATTGCGAATTATTTATTGAAGATTATTTTTGCGCGCATAAATTCTGAATTAAATGAATTATTATAATTGAAAGTAATATTGAGTATTATTTTTGTGCTTATTGTTTTGTTGAGAATTATATTGATGATTAAATTAATTATTATTGAAGATAATTATATTTTTTATGTACATCTCAATTTTGTGTTAATTTAATGTTAATATAATTATAATAACTGTTTAGCAAACACGGTATTATAGATTTGACTTGTGTGTCAATGCGATTCCAAATCAACTTTTATATATACACGTGACATATTCGTATACGTATCAGTCATTATTATTCATCAGATTCAAAACAATGCATACGCCAATAATTCATTATTGAATGAAGACCATCAAAATACAAATCGAATTCATTACGTATATATATACTCGTATATTATATTTATTGTGAAACTATAAGTAACACAGTTTTAAATTAGAATTTCAAATATTAAATGCTAATAGGTACGAATAATTATTATTACTGGATACCTATTTACATTTCAGCGAAACGTTTTGTCGTTTTGGTCGGTCATTTTTTATATTTTTTTTTTTATACGGCATATCTTCAGTTACATACTGTTTAACACAACTATTCTGATCGACAATATTTTGCGTTTCCAAAAATAAAACGAAACTATACTATTTTATGTAGTTAACGGTATTTACCAACTTATATTTATTCGTCTTATTTTTAACCTATAATTTAAATTTAAAAAAAAAAAAACTTATACGTATATATATTGTGCTTACGAATCAGAAAGCTAATAAAATGATTGGAGATTTTATACTAAACGACCACGGAAATAAGTGAGTATTTATTGGTTTTTTTTAGATTCCGAGCGTAGCGAGAGAGCTTTTGGTTTTACAATGATGTCTATAATTTTTTTCTTCTTTCTTCTTTGATCTAACCTGTGGACACGTTTTTTCCTAGTAAACTTGCTCCGATGTATAAGTGTATCAATTTTTCTGAAAGCTCAAGTTGTCTAGATAGTACTTTAAAGAGGTCATTTTTTGATTTTCGATTCCATTTTTTAAATAGAAGCACCTAAGTGGGAAAAAAACGCAAGAAAACTTTCAATTTCACGATTTCAATAGTTTATAAAAACATGGACGACGTTTTCTATCAGAAAAAATGATTTGATCGAAAAATCACCAGATACCTTTTTAGCTGCCTTTTCGATTTACTTTCTTACGATATCATTGCCAAAACTTTTGAGCTTTTAAGGAATCTTAATCTTTGGTAGATTTTTGCTGTCATTCGGTTATAAATACACGTAGAGATTTGAAACTTGGTAATAATACTTATAATGGACGTATCTAGACGTGGTAATATTTCCAAAATCATCAGACGACTTTTTTTTCCTTTTATATATTTTTTTACATTGGTACTTTATTTTTTTTTTATATATACTGTACACCACTTTTATCCTAGAAAACTTGCTCCAAAGTATAAGAGTAGCACCTTTTTTTAAAGTCAATTTTATCTACTTGGGAAATTAATAAATAATTTTTTTGATTTCCGAAACGATATTTAAAACAAACATGATTAACTGGGCTAAAAAAATACGATTTTTTTACGATTCCATTATTTTAAATAAGTACCTACCACGTTTTGTAGTACAAATATGGCTCAAATTAAAAAACAACAAGAGACCTTTTTTATCGATTTTTTTTATTAATGATCGTTTTGAAATCAAATTTAAACGAAAATCGCAAATTAAAATTATGTATTGACGAACTGCGCTCGGAATCGTCTTTCGTCAAGCAATGGTTTATCGTTGCTTACAAATATAAATTAAATAACCTATTCTATATTCTGTATTCTGTATTCTACCTTCCCAAATTTCCACTTACAACAGTGGTTGCACCCGTCCCCAGTATCAACTCATTTTTTTTTGCTGGTTGGAATAGGAAATTTTTTCATTGGTCACTTTTTAAATTATTAATACGATAAGTTAACTGATAAATCGTGACCTTCAATATTATATTATTTATTATAAATCACGTGGATAATAACTATTAATAATATTATAGCAGGTATATATTTTTAGTTAATGGTTATATAGCGTATAAATTAATATATATTTAATATTATATTATAGTGTGTAATTATTGAATACAAGAGTTGGGTCTTAGCTTCGGGTGTTCCGAGTCGAACTGTGTGGGTTTTAATAAGATATAACCAGTTATTATATCATATAAAAAAACCCACCGGACAAATATATATATTAGCATAATTTCAAACGAAATTTAGCAATACAATCAAATATAATAGATCACGGAAAATACATTTTGTTTGACTTTTGTCTCTATGTTCATATTTTAAAAAAAAATGTCAAGTGAAAATATAATTGACTTGACTGACCCTAAATAGTTGGGATGAAGGCGTAAGAAAAGAAAACGAAATAGAATGGATTTACAATAAATACAAATTATTATTACACCTTGTTATAGACATACAAGTACATTATTATAATACTATTCAGTGTTACTTTATCAGTTTTGTCAAATAACGTATATATTTGAATATTAGGTATATAATTCTGCCTGTTTAAAATGAACACCAATGTTAATAAATATTTAAAATAATAATTCTATGTTACAATTTTGTTTGAACCCTTTTATTAAAATATGGGTATTCAAAAATATGATCAGATAGTACAATATCAAATATTATTACGTAGGTACCTACAAATTTTGCAGTTTTAATAGTTTTTGACATTTGATATATGATAGAACCGTAAAGAGGACCTATACAATTAGTCTTTTTGATTGGACAAATAAAAAATATTTTTGGAAAAGTATACAAATTATCGAAATACTTTTAACACAAATCATAAACTTCCAAGGTTAATAAAGAACAAATTATTAATTTTAATATCTATACTATGCTCATCCTTTTTGCTAACTTTCAGATAAAAACAAGTAATAAATAAATAGTCTGTATAATTATATATTCAATACATTCATCTATACAAATTTTACAATTAAAAATATTTAATCTTTCACTTCGTTTAACTCACAAAGATCTGCAGTTACTTCATTCATGCATTTATTGAATATTCTTGTATTACTCACGGTCACGTATTTATGCGTATCATTTTCTTTGGAATTTCTTTTTAGGGATATAATTACAATCATTTCAGCGTTATAATCATTTACAATTTTAAGAAATCATATTCTCTGTAAAAATAGGTTATAGGTAGGTGCATACAATTTTATTTGTCGTATAAGTCTATTATAAAATGTTTTAAAAGTTGATTAAATATTTCACTGTTCGGTAGGGAACAGAGAGACAGAACGAGGAAGTTAAAATATATGAAGCTTTAATTCAATACAAAATTATGATACACTATAGGATTTGATTATTAATATGTTAATATGTTTTAGATATTCAGTGAAGTCGCATAAAGTTCAAGGTTAAAATATGTTTGAGTATAATTTTCCCCATACTTGGAGCAAAATAGAGAGTGCCATAAATACGACTTAAATAATAGGAATAATAATATATTTTAATTGAGTGCGATTAAATGAATTACTGTGCATACTAATAAAAAAAAGTAAATGCTTGGAATCACTAGGAAAATTATTACTTCCAAAGACCTAACCTAATATTAAAATACATGTGCTCTGTAATTAATAATGAAAATATGAAAATGTTGGTTGAATGTAATAGTACCATTGGTAATGTAATAAATTCGCTGTTATTTAATGTCCCCGTAGCTACAGAGCTAGTAGAATGTTAATCATTATTTGTAGTTCTACATCTAAGAGATTTGATAAGTATTCGACTCTCCTAATAAACAAAAAAAGAACAAATAACAGAACTTCAGTAATTTTTAAACGAAAGAACTCAAATTGAATTAATTAATTGTAGTCAAAATTGTAATGGTGTTATTGATCATACAATTCTTTCCGAAATACATCTATTTAATATTTATTGATATTTTATACTGTCAACTTAAATCATTATTTTAACATAAATTATAACTAAAAATTTGAAATGCATATAGTTTCTCTACGCCAACTCTAATATTTCATTTTAAGACAAAAACTAGGAAATTAAAGCAGTGGTGATGTTGCTACTATAGCGAATATTAATGTTATGTATGGGACATCCCTGAGATCCTAGTATACAAATCCAAAACTTATGAACTTCAGGGTGTTTATACTACTACAAAACGAGAATCAAATTTGAGAAATTCGATTGGCCATTACAATGCATACTAAAGAAAAGTTAAAAAAAAATGAGCCCATGTGAATTTTTTTACAATGTGAATTTAATTTTTTTAAACCTATATTTTTATAACATAAAATAAGAGTTTTAAAATGACTTTGGCACATTTAAGCTCAATCTTTTCGTTTTCTACACAAGTGCAATTAAATGTACACATATCATACGTACAATTTAAAAAATGTTTGATATAGGTGGTATTTTTATGCACCACCTAGGTACATGTGTAAAATACATATGTGTATTGTGTAGGTGCATCATAAGTAAGAATATACATCGCACGGCGCAATAATAACCGAGTTTCTAAATAATAAGACATAAACATTAAATTGTTTCTATTTCGCCCCACGACTCCCACATTCCGCCGAAATTAGTTATAAAAAATATTTTTTCCCACGGTTTTTTTTTCATTTTATTTTTAAGTATCAGTGAATATATTTATATTATGTCACATATTATAATAAATATTAAATATTAATTGAATCAATAGATCGTGAATTCTAAATTTGTATTAATCGTTTGAATCTATATAATAGGGGTTAGATTTCGAAAATATTTCTTTCGAATATATTTTAGCTATACGGTTACAATGGTTGAAGTTTATTGGTAAAAAAATTGTATTATTTGACGTTACATATTTGGTAATATAATTTTTATAAAATATCTTATACTCAGTACTGGATTCAGGGTGGAGAAAAATGTCATAGAGGAGCACAAATTATACCAAAGTATCTAGTTGGGGATAAAAAGGTTTATTAATTGTTTTTTACACATAAGAATGTACATATTGTTTTTTTCCCCTCGATGCCATAATTTTTAGATGCGGTACTGGTTATACCTGGCCTATATATTTGTGCTTAAATTTTGCAACATGTGAAAATGAAATGGCCTCTAAAAATGTTCTGCTTGGTAATAAGATATTTCTGGTTAGTCTATTATTCACATTATAATAATCATAATGATTTATAATTTTATTTTATTTAATATTTTGATGGTTTAGTGTCACGTACGTACTTAGGTGCATACTATTGTTTTTGACTACCTAATATACTGCATGCGATGATGACATTTTATTACAGCAATTATAGCAATTATTTATCAAAATAACGAACAAAATTCATTACACAATCTACATGATATTTGTTGACAAATCCATTAAAATATTACCTATGTAATATAATGCGTGTCACTTGACTCCTTGAAATAGACGATAATATTATTATAATATACCGTATGTCATCAATCAAGGCCGTAGCTGGACCAAATTTTCAAGAGGGGGTTTCAATTGAATCATCTATTATCTTTATTACAAAAACATAATGAGCATTTAATATTGAAAAAAATATGTAATACATTTAGAAACCATTTTGGGTTGAGTTTGACTCCCTAAAACACCACCCCCTCAAATACGACCACGTCATTAATTATATTATTTGAATACAATATAATGCTTAATTTTATTATACATTTTTCTCCAACGCTATTATCACGATTGTGTTTTGTAACGTTATATTATTTTAACAATAAAGATACATAACGAAGTGATAATCCATTAAAATCGAATACATATATTATATTTTATGTATTATTTTGTAATTCTTTTATTTTACAGGTTTTTAATAAAGTTTTTTTTTACTTTTATGTCGTTTTTAAAACCGAACGCCAACATTCTATAATACATTAAACTCTGCAGAGTGCAGTGGTCCTTGTATTTGTTGAAGGCCGATTAAACTTAAAAATCCATTTAGTTTTAAATGCAGACTTAATTTAAATCATTATCATTTTATTATAACAGTAAAAAAATTTAGCTGATATTAATATTGCCATTAGTATGTGAAATAATAAAATACTTCCCTATGCCTGTGTTTATTTATGAAATTATATAGTATAATATTTTAATAGTAGTTTGAAGTTACTGATTGCGATTAACGCGCTTTAAAAAAAAAAAAAAAAAACGAATGATTTTCAGACCACCAGCTTCAATTATACCCAAAGCTAGTTACTATAAAGGTCCTGAAAATGAATCGTTGATATATATGACCGTTGGAAATCTAATCGATCAAATAGCGGAAAAATACCCGAACAGAGAAGCTATAGTGTCTGTACATCAACATAAAACAGTTACATTCTCGGATCTTAAACATCAAGTATGTTTGATGTAAACATAATATGATCGATGAGCTCTAGGTTTAACTAAAAATGCGTTCTACATTTAAACAAAGAAAATACATAAATTTAGGTTGACGAGTTGGCGTCCGGTCTTTTAGAGTTGGGAATAAAACCGGGCGATCGATTATGTCTAATGGGTTCCAATTCAGTTGAATGGGAAATCACATTATTGGCCGCGATGAAAGCCGGCCTGATCGTGGTGAGAATATTACAATTTCTTTAATATTATTTGTCAAAACAAAAAATTAAATTTGTATTCAAATTCTCACAGGTGAACATAAATCCATTGTATAAGAAACAAGAACTGCACCATTGTCTCAGTAAAGTCGACGCGAAAATGCTCATCGCTCTTGAATTTCCCCCTCATACAGACTACTACGAAATACTTAAAAGTATAATTCCGGAAATCGTTCAGCAACCGTATGGTAAACCGGTCACCACCAGGCATTTGCCCAATTTAGAATTCATAGTGATGAACACGGACGAAGATCTTCCGTAAGTCTGTTGGAAATATACAGTTAGATTTATTTCCAACGTACTTACGCATGATATATTTTTGTTTTTTTGTTATTTTTTTGTATATTCCAGCGGAATCATTAAGTATTGGGATGTTTGCCAATCGGGAACGATAAAATCAACAGCGTACCTGAAAAAAGTGAACCTTGAACTGAGTCCGCATGCGATTTGTAACATACAATTTACTTCAGTAAGAAAACCAGTTATAGTCTTGTTTTGTTCTCTCTCTGTCTCTCTCTCAAATTTGTATTATTATCATTATTGTTGTTATTTAAATTATATCCTAAATCACAACAAACGTAGCCGGTATCATAATATCATTCGAGTAAACGCAATGTTTAGAAATAGCAATAATATATTTGTATTATACTGTACAGGGTACGACTGATGTACCGAAGGGAGCATGTTTGACTCATTATAATATTGTCAATAATTCGTATTTCTACTGCAAAAGGACGTTGCTATTGGAAAAGGTAAGCCCAATTTTTGAACAATTATATTATAATTATTTAAAGGGTGTTTATATATTTGCTGTTTCCCAGCCTTTTTGTTGTTGATGACCCAACGTAAAAAAAAAAAAAAATATAACAATAAAAGTTAAGTACTTATGTCATAATAAAGCATTTTCCGAAAATAAAAAAGTAAATTTCTTATTCTCGATTTAAAATTATTATTAAAACCAAATAGTTACTATAGAATAATTATAGTTAATGTTAGTATTACACTTATAAGTATGTACATTTTACAGTGGCGCAACCTGCGAGGGTGGGGTTATGGGTTTTTCCCCTCCTTTGAAATTGTACGAATTCTAAGTAATATGTATATATAGCCGCATAATTTGTATTTCGATTTCAGATATATCTTTGTAATTTTAAATACGTATATAAAAAATACCAATTTAAAAAAATATCTTTGTCTATTACCGTTAATTTCCATAAATATATTTAAATTTCTAAAAATACAGTGTGTCTCCCTCGCGGTTACTCCACTGCCTAGCTACTTTATTAGAAAATCTATGTAACACCAAATTTCTATACCTATTATTTCATTAATAAGTAAGAAATTAATAATTATTTTTACCTAATATAATTATATACGAAACAGGAACATCGAATACTATTGCAAGTTCCGTTCTTTCACACTTTCGGGACTGTAATCGGTATAATGGCAAGTCTGAACAGTGGCAGTACTCTGGTACTGCCGACATTAGGTTATAAGCCGATCGAATCGGTCAAAGCGATTATAAACGAAAAGCGAGTACCTATTTTGTTTTTGTTTTTTTCTTTCGTAATTATGATTACGAATATAACTATTTTTACAGCTGCACGGTTTTATACGGGACGCCGACAATGTACATCGATCTGATAATGACTGCTAAAGAACATTTTGATCAAGGGCACACTATCACTACAGTGGAGTTCATTTTATGTGCCGGTGCGCTGTGCTCGCCGAATTTATTCAAACAAATCAAAACGACGTTCAACCCCAAACGACTAGTGGTAATAATAATGTATATATTGGTACAAAAATATATTTTCTGTAATAACGCCGTATAGTGGGAAAACGATATCTGAACTCAGATATTACCTATACATTTGAATAGTATATCCCTGTGGCGTACCAAACTAATGCACCCGGTTTTGGATTCCAATCGTTCGTTATGATTCTCAAGATAAACAAATACGTTATCATTAAATTCGTAATATCGTAATCGGCCGTTTTGGCTTTCGGCCACCTGCATTCGCTAGTTCATATCGGAATTTCAATCGAAAAATAATTCGAAAACAAATCCTGATTTGTTATGCGAATCCACGTTGGATAGGTCACCGGAGAAAAAACTAGAAAAATGTGTGTCTCAATCGCCGGAATCGAACTCAGTATCGTAGAACAAACAGCCGCCGCATTACCCACTGAGGCACCGTCAACACATTTGTAGTATAAGTATAGGTACCTATTTGAAATACAATTACATATAGGGTGAAGCATAACAAGCGACCGGGTCTGAAACCGGGTGCAGTATGTTAATACACATCCCGGTGTGTTGCTACGTAACGTAAAATAATGCAGGTTTTTCGTCGTTAATGTCGAATAACCGTCGTGTAATCGGCTGCAAGACGCTTATTATATTATCGCTCGTTTGCGGTATATCAAACTCCTCGTGTTAAGACGTAAAATTATAAAATTACGTACAGGTCGCATTTCACGTGCATGTAAAAAGTTCAATACGCGGTTTCGTAACGCGTATTATAATATACGTATACAAAAACACAATAATAGGATTATTATTAACTAGACGAACTAGATGAAATATTTTACGTCACATTCGTATAGTTACACGTATTTCTACTTGATCCTGCACGCCTATAATTATAAACTATTCGTAAACAATTTCAGAGCGTGCCGTTGAGGAATGTTTTATTATGATGTGTGTTTTGTCTATTACCAATTTTTCTTCCAGTTTTTCTTTTATTTAGATCATTAAGTGCTTAGTATCCTTTGAGAACCCATTTTTATTTAGTTGGTGTAGTTTTTTTTTTTTTTTAATTTTCCTTGTAGTTTTCTGAACAATTTGGAAATACTGGGAAAAACGCAAAAATGATCGCGTAATATTCGATTTTATTGTTATTTTTTTCTTGAAATTCGGTTAAATGTAAAATATAATTCTTAAATTGTATTCCGTGAAAATTATATTATATTAATTTTACTATTTGGCATTTGCTGATAGTAAACAACTTTTCTACCAGAAATCTTGCGTAAATCGATGAACATTGGATCTATTTGGACGAAATAGGGGGAACTTGTAGAAAGAAAAAATAAAAGAAAGAACAGGAAATAACATTTTATACTTTTGTTTTTAGTTTTTTATTTGGTTAAAGCTTTTTTAGATGTGATCAAATTTTCAAAACGTAGGCAATTTACATTTTCAAATTTTTATTAAGTAGTTACGATTTGGTTGATTGTACGGATAAATATTATTACGAGATATGTTATAAATTGTATTTATTTTTTTTATTGCCGTTTTAAGATTAAAATTTTAACCAAAATCGTACAAATTACGGTATTTATTTAGTTTTTATTTTGTAGCTGCAAGGTGGATCAAAATTGTTTGACTAAACAGAAATGTTTAAAAATTCAAAATGAGATTCATTTCAAGTTATACTAAAGTAGTATGAAAAAAATAGTTGAATGTAATGTAAAAGTTTTTTTTATAAGTGCTTTAGGTCAAATTTCGATCAAATCGTAAAAACTATTTCATTTAAAAAATGTGTGAAACTAAATGTTGCAAAGAATCGTGTTTTTCACAATAGATAATCATTTCATATAAAAATTAATATAAATGTTTTTAAATTAAGTTGATGCATCCCATGTTATTAGAAAATCCAAATCAGAGTAAGGGATATATTAGTTTAACTGTGATAATTTTATTATTTTTTGTTTGTGAACAACTTTTTGACAATTAAATTTGCTCCTATCGAAAAATAAATGGAGACCCTTTTTTTTTAGATTTATTGTTTAGTTGGTCAAAAATAAGTTTGTTTTTTAATTTTTAATGTAGTTTTTATAATAACTGAGCAAATACAATAAAAAAAAGTTGAAAAAACGGGAAAGTTCACGGAAATAATGGTTTTGTTATAATTATGTTAAAAATATTTGTAAGAGACTTAATATTTTGACGAAAAACTTATATTTGTGTTTTCTAGACGTGGTGAAATTGTCAAAACAATTTAATAATTAATATTTGCTAAGCACTCTGTGGATAAAATTGTTTGACAAACAGAAATGTCTGAATATTTAACAGAACCTCGATTATAAGTTGTACTTAGTGGTATAACAAAAGTATACGTGTGTTTTATAATGGTTTAAAAATTAAATTTTCACAAAAATCGTAAATATTAAAGCCTTTTAAAATATGAACTTCGGTCCAAAATCGTTTTTCGTTAGCAATAGTTTATCGTTGCTTACAAATGTTAGTAAAATAACATTATGTATTCTACCTGCCAAACTTCCCACTTACTACAGACTACAGTGGCACACCCGTCCTCAGTATTAGTACATTTTTTTTCTTTAAATCTCATTGGAAATATTATACTTATAATATTATCACTAATATCTGGGTTTCGGTAAATTATAATATAGGTACTATAATAGGTAGGTATGCCTACCTATTTACTATTCTATAGTCTCGCATAGTCCATGTATTATTATTTCGTTTTTAGTGTACATGGTATGTAATTAGCTATTATAGCTATTAGTTTTATCTAAAATAGACCGTGCTCATTATGTGGTCAGAAATGTACATTCCTGAAGAAATTATAGACATAAGGACAACTACTTGGTAATTTCTCTAAACAATGTCATATTTTTATCCTCATGAACCCCGTGATTGCATGGTTTTGGTTCGAACGAAATAAAATATAGGTACTAAAAACTAGAGATGGACATAATCAAATAGTCACTATTCGGTAATTGATTGCATTTGAACTAGTCGATAGATTATAACTTAATAAACTATTCGAAAGTTACTTATAATTTTTATTCGGTTATGAGATTAACTATTCGCAGTTTTTCGAAATACTCGATTGTTTTTTGGTCATGCTTTTTGGTTTAGCTTATGCACGTTATTTAAAACTATCGATAGTAGATATCAGCTATTTGGAAGTGTCCAACACTTAATAAAAACAAAAACTTTAAACTCAAACATTTCCTAGTCAGCACGTCCCTATATTGTTAGGTAAGTAATATTTAACAATGTGACTAGGATGTGTAATAAATTACGCTATCATAAATGTTAAAATAAAATGATTGAACGAGGGGAGGGTTCAGGAGAATATATAGTTTTACATCAAGTTTTTCATAATAGTATTTGGAAAACTATGATGTTTAAAATACGTTCCTTGCGGGAGGGAAATATTTTTCCTAATAATTGAGAAAAAACCAAAAAAAAAACGATTTTTTTCAAAAGGCGCAATTAATTTAAATGTTTACGGCTTAAGCTTTTTACTATAAATATTACTCTAATAAAAAAACAACAAGACACCGTTTTTGTTGCATGTTTAATTTAATCCATGAGTAAGTAATTCCTATTTTGATTTCAACTCAAAAATGTGTACATTTTATCATTGTAATATTCGATAATGAAGCATAAATTAATATTATAATTATCTCATTAATATTGAAACACTAGAAAAAACCATAACAAAATATAACATACCTAATTAATAAAAAGGTATGTGCACGAAATAAATTTTAAAAAATACACCCAAGGACAAGAGTTAATTCAGCTGTAAAAAAACAAAAAATGATGTTTTATTTCGTTATTAAAGGAATTGTTAACATTAGTGCGCTACACGCGAGGAACATAAAATATTATTATAATGCAAAATGTTTAGCCATACAGATAATAAACGATATCCATTACACATTGTAATTATGTTTATGAGCAGCTATTTGGAAGATTTAGGTAGTAATATTCCTAGGTTTAAAAATGACTTCAATAATTAAAATACCTAACCGTAATGGTAAGGTTTCAACAATCAATTATGTGCTGTTTGATTCTGATGTTATTCCTGCGGCGACTTTTGCTTTTCTGCCAAATAAAACTCAAATTACTTACCTACGGTAGACTTTTTCACTTATAATTATAAAATATCATATTCCGAAATTTAGATTCCGAGCGTAGTGAGGGAGCTACTGGTTTTATTAAGATGTTTATTTCTAGTCTGTGGACACGTTTTTTCCTAGTATACGTGCTCTGATATTTACGTGTAGCAACTGTTCTGAAAGTTCACGTTATCTAGATGATAAATTAAACAAGTTAATTTTTTAAATAAAAGCACTTAAATGGGAAAAAAACGTAGAAAAACTCTTTTTTTATAAAAATTTTATAAAACCACGGACGACATTTTCTACTAGAAAAAATGATGTAATCCGAAATTCACAAAATACCTTTTTGTTGTCTTTTTGATTTACTTTCTTTCGGTTTCTTTCTTCATTTCCAAAACGTTTAAGCCACTTTTGAGCTAATAAGGAATTTTAATATTGAGGAATTTTATTGCTGTATTCGGTTACAAATACACGTAGAGACCTGAAACTTGGTAATAATACTTATATTGGACTTACCTAGACGTGGTAAAATTACCACTAATTCGACAATCATATTTCCCGCCATTCAACCATATTTCTTGTCAATGTTTGCCATTCTGTATCTGGTTCCGTAAGCTTCACGTCTAACTTCATTTTGTCTTCCCATCTCGGCCTAGGGCGTCCAAGTGGTCTTTTCCTTGTTGGATTATTGATGTATAAACGAATCTTCTTTTATGCCAGCTATGGCTGGCCCATCTTAAACTTCTTTCATTTTGTTCATTACATTAGGACATCTAAAGAGTTCTTTGATTTCATCATTTTTTCGGATTCTCTAATCTCTAATGCTAATAATCAGATATGGGCCAAATATATTTCTTAAGACCTTTCTTTGAAATACTTGTAGGTTATTTATTTTAGTTTTATGTATCGTCCAGGTTTCACTTATATACATCACTACAGGTCTTATTAGTGTTTGGTAAAATTGAAACTTTGGGTCTTTGGATAGCATTTTTTACTTATGTATGTTGATTTAGTACTAAAAGCAATAAAATACTTAAAAAAAAAAAAACAAAACAAAATTAAAAATATTACCAAAAAAGAGCTGATATTAGGAACGGATAGGATACTGCAATAGTTGGAAAGTTGAAAAGTACATAAAGTTATTTAATTTATAATCGTAATTATATAACAATAAATCATTATGAAAAAAAAACGATTCGGAGCGAAGCTCAGTTATAATTTTTTTTTAAAAGGCTATAATATTTAATATTTTCATCAAAGTTGTATATTAAAACTCTTATAAAAAAAAAAAAAATATATGGTTAAACATGGCTCTGAGTTTACCTACGTAACAAGATTGTAATATAATTATTTGTATATTACCTGTTAGTATAATATTATGATACATGGATTCCAAACATGGCCTCTCAGTAAAACGAAAGAAATAAGGCTGGGTGTTTTTGAAAGGAAAATTCTAAGAAGGATTATCTGGCAAAGATAGACAAACTGGTGATTGGAGGAAAAGACATAATGAAGAACTTCAAGCCCTTTTTCAACACCCTAACTTTATGAAAGAAATTTCAGTTAGAATACTGAATAATAAATAGGGCATGCTTTGAGAAAATAGGGTTTAATAATAAGGGTCGTAACAAAAAACAACCCTGTAGGGAATCGACCGCTGGTTAGTCCCGTCTGAGATGGAATGACTGTGTCACTAGATGTAAGAGCAATGGAACCTGAAGAACAATGGAGGAAAGCAGTAGAGGGCACGAACAGTCGGAGGAATATATGCTTAGAGGGCTGATCTGATAGGTCGTAACTCTTCAAAAAATAAAAAGAATAATGATATTAACTATTCTGTTAATATAAATTGAATAATCTGAAACCTAAATTAAAATACTTACATTCTTAGGCGGGTCGCACTCCAGAGAAATATGTAACATGAAACTTTTGTATGCAATCGGTTTCAGAAACTAGTTTCCCGTTGATCTGTATATTGAAGAAACTTGAAACCTATGAAACTATAGAATATGATCAACATAAATGAACAACATAATTATATATAATATTAAATATGTAAATAAGTATATGAGTAAAGTATATATAAATATGTTAAGTATAATTTTGTTTTATTGATTAACTAAAAAAAAAATGTACCTACCTACTCACTATAAATACTTCAATACGTTGAAAAATACGAAAAAAAATATTATAAGTAAAACTAGTACTAATAATAATGTATTTTAATTGAATAATAATAAATAGGTTAATAAATTATAAATCGAATTATACGATAGACTATACTCAGTAAAAACTAAAAACCTGCATGCCTGTGTGAAAATATTAATGAAACTGAAACAATGAAACCAGAATGACAAATTTCGTGTAATCAATTTCGTAAACTATAAATAAAAATGGTTGCATGAAACTCGGTGTGTGTTATCCTGTACAAATATATCGGCCGGTTTTATGCAATTATAGTTTCGCGTTTCGTGTTACAAGTTTCGTGTTTATAATTTCTTTGGTACGCGGCCCGTCTTATGTATACCAATTTAAAATGTTGTATTTATAATGCAGTATTAACATTATGTGTATTAAAAACTGCAGCTATGATGATGAATGTAATATGTATTGTACATTTTTTTTTTTTTTTGATTTTAGTCTATTTACGGAATGACAGAAGCGAGTCCAATTGTGTTCCTTTCCAATCCGGACGAACCCGAGCACAAATCGTTAACCACCGTCGGTCAAGTACTCGATCATTCTGAAGTAAGCGGTGTACCTAATTAGTGCAGATAATAATAAATATCGGTCGTTTAGTTGCGATCAAGAATTTCGCTGTCGCTGACACCGGAATCGATTATTCCATAAAGGAAATCATACACACGAACATAAAGAATACGTGTATTAATAATTTTTTTTATCACGCTAACGACTTTTTTTGTTTTCGTCAATGTATAATTCCACATGTAGTCCTGTTACGGTTTATGCGATTGATAACACTTTCACCAATAAACAGCTAAAAAGTTGTCTTAATTCATCTACACGATATCTTCAATATACTATTGTAATATGACCGAGTTGTAGAATCGAGAACAAGACCGTAGCTAGAGGTTTTACTTCCCGGTCCTTCCAAACTTTGTTCGAAAATTTTTTTTATTATTTTCAAGGTCAATTTGTTGTAATAGGTAACAGTGTAACGTAGAATATACGATTTAATTTAACCCCCACCCGACCCCCGAAAATGTAGTGTAACTACGGTATCGGTCTAGATCATTTTAAAATTCCAAAACTTTGTTTATATTTCAACAATAGGTTTTTATTTTAATTTGGAAATAAATTTACGAATCGCGACAAACCCTATAGAATAATCTAGACCGTTCGACACCATGCGAAGCACAACCGACATTCCGGAAGCTATATAGATATAATATCGTACGGCTATAATACCCACAAAACTAGTATTCATGCGATAAATTAATAATTCAATTTTCAAAAATCTTTTTTCTTTTTTTTTTCTTCAGTAACGTCGTTACCTAACCTATGACCTATTTTATATAAATTTCGTGCGGCGTTCTAAAATGATTGGTTATTAAATAACCGCAAACAACCGGGTAATATTTCGAACAGTACGTACACCGCGGATAGTACATATAGCGAGTAATAACGAATTTTTTAATAATTGTTATTATGAATGTACCTAAATATAGGTAATAGATACACGTGCAATGTGCATGCATTAACAAACAGCAATATAATATCAGAGTTATATAATATTGTTTATGAAATACAATTATAAATAAACACCTACATCTGTAAAATATAATAATTTGCATTCTAAAAAAAAAAAAGAAGACAAAATTAAAAATCACCCATTGATTACAATGTGCTTTAGATTCTGAGTGTAGTGAGAGGAATGTATTGATTTATGAGAACGTTACATATGAATTTGTTGTATTTATCTTACAAACAAAATATATAGCAAAAACATGCTTACGTAGACTACACAGAACTCGCTTAGTTTCGGTTTCAGTGTAAAAGCATCTATTATGAAATTAACAGAGAACAATATTTCGGATGAATAGGCGTCGGGAATTTTGAAAAAGTTATTTTTTTAAAAGTTTAAGCTAATTAAAAAAAGGTTGACAAAGTCGTTATTTATAAACGGTAAATTGACTGTTATATTCGGATAAAATGGAATATGGTTTATTGAGGATGGAATTGTTTGATTTTCAAAAGATTATCATAATAATTGGAAAAAACCATTAATAAAAAAGCTATCCTAAGATAATGGAGACGGGTGCAGCCACTGTTATACTTAATTTAGCGTGCACCTGTAAGCAACGATAAATCATTGCTTAAAAAATTAAAAAACATAAAAAGAACGGAAAAGTTTACAAAAATCGTAAAACTACGGCATTTCAAAACATGTATAAAAGAACTTCGCTCAGAATAGTACCTTGTTATCAATGGTTTATCTTGTATTTTTAGTTTTATAATTTTATGTATTCTACTTTCCCAACTTCACACCTACAAACAACCGCGATACACCCGTCTCGAGTGTAAGATATATTTTTCTAATGTATCGTGAAAATTTGTATAAGTTTTCTTATACATAAAAAATACTCCTTAAAAAATTGAGTTACGGCTATTTGTATGCATTCGTGTAATACGATGTATTACTTGTCACGCCGTTTAACATTTGGTTTTTTGAAACGTTATTTTTATGTTATAATTACTTAACCTAAATGTCTAATTGAAACATTTGAAACGAACGGATATTTACCTGCTTATATTTTACAGGTTAAAGTCGTGGACAGAAACGGAGTCACCGTGCCGTTCGGCACGCCCGGAGAAGTGTGGTTTAAAGGTTACAACATCATGCCCGGGTATTGGAACGACGAGGAAATAACAAAAAAGGCAATTGTAGATAACGAATGGCTTAAATCGGGGTAGGTGCATATAATGGGGCATTTTTAGTGCTCCGGTAACTCTCCTTTTCTCTACAAAAAATTTCCACGAGCAGATAGATCAAACTGTTCCCTTAATTTTTGGATTTTTTTCAGTTAACCTCCCCCCCCTGCCAGTGAGAGTATTACCTAAAATTCTACTGGATAATGTCCATTTGGATATAGGGACTACTTTAAAAACTACCCCGGCATGTACCATAAATATTGAACTCTGACAAAACAAAAAAAAAAAAAAAAAGGTGTTTGGAATACCCGATAACCGACTCGGTGAAGTGGTCTGCGCCGCTATAAAAACGACGAAATCATCCGTACTCGACCAAGAGGCTGTTCAAAATTATTGCAACGGCAACGTAAGTAATGTCCTACCTCGATTGTATATTATGACGCGCCAATTTAATGTATCAAAAAAAAAAAAAAAAATTGATTTATCGTGTAAACAGATCGCGAGATTTAAAGTACCGAAACATGTGCTGGTCGTGGACGATTTCCCGAAAACAGTTTCTGGGAAAATACAAAAATTTAAACTCCGCGAAATCATGCAAGACTTTTTGAAAAACTCGAAAACTAGTCATCAGTGCTAAAGAAATGTATTAATAATAATATTGAATGTCTATATTTTTACAAAATATTATGTTAGAGAAAAAAAAAATACACAGTATGTTTTACTGTATACAGATATGAAGATGATAAATCGGAATACCTACAATAATATTTACACGTATGCGGGGCGATCAATCTATCGTAAGACACTCATTATCGCGGAGAGTGTTAACTTTTTTCGACATTTGTTTTATAGAACATTTTAGATACAAGCAGCTCTGTAATTTAAACATCACGATTTATTTTAACTAATACTCCATTTATTTATGGAATTTGTAATATAGGTTGCCATTTAAAAATCAAAAGTAGATAGTTGTTTTACCCTCAAAAATGAGAGTGACAAAAAATAACATAAATTTAAAATTATAGAGCTGCTTGTTTCTAAAATTTTAAGTAAAACAAATGCCGAAAAAAGTTAGTACTTTCCGAGATAATAAGTGTCTTATAGTGGATTGATCACTCTGTAGTTACATGTATATAAATATAGTTAAATATATAGTTGCGAGTCATGCATAGTTTTTTCTAGTTTTTGTTTTATTTTTTTAATTATAATTTAATTGACCAACATTTCATTACGAACACATGCAACTTAATGATACCAAATTGCACAATATTAATTTATTATTATGTTCCAGCCATGTATGCATAAATCAATGTGCAAATCAGTACACTAATTAGTATAAATGTTTAATGTTTAATTATATTTTTGTTACATATTATACAGTAATAATTCTTAATGATATTATATTTTATACAGTGTAAATTGTACATTATTATTATCTCGTCTACTCGACCTAGTGGATAAAAATGTATCTACTAATTTAACCTACTATATAGATACTTATTCCATTAATACCTACTAAAATCATAATTACTAATGTTTGTTTGTATTGCAGATACTGGCAAATAAATTAAAAAATAATTTTGGGTTATTCGAAAATGTTCATAATATAATGTTATCCATAACGTTCATAGCAGAGACTGGTACCTTTTGGTTTTTACGGTTCCGGTACTTAATTATTTTATTAAGAGGTTCCGGTTCTGGAAAATTAATTTATGAGTTTAAGTCAGGGTTCTAGTTAATACCAGTATTAAAAGATTCAAAAAATGTATATATTTTTATTTATTCGTGCACAGCCTCTTGGTGGTTAAATGTCGTTGCTCTTTATTCCCTATGTCGGGGAAAAAAGCCTGCGGATGGTGATTCCGTGCTTACTGTGGGCAACTTTCCCTCATAGAGTCTACTGTCTATGACCCCACAACTTGAAAACCTGATACAACTTATGTTGGTGTATGTTGATACATGTTGATGTATTACAGAACCCTAATTCGCTGACGAAACAGTCTGCGTTTGTTATTTATTGACAAAAGCCGATAAAATAATAATATACCATTGTAACTTATTAGTACCTATAGATTATTTTAATTTTAATTTTATTATACAAAAATAGAGTTTATAAGTCACAGCATTACTTATCATAGTTTTACATGAAATAAACAGCTCTAAACAAAAATAAAAATAGAGTATCAAAGCAGTCGTATTTTAATCTGTGGTTTAAGCATTATAGCCGATAAATTGAGCATAAGCCACTAAAGGAAAAAAAAAATAATTTATCAATGTAAAACCCGTTGTTTTAATTTGAAAATATGGGTTCCGATTCCGGTTTCGGTTATTTGAAAATATTTAAATTCGGTTCCGGTTGCTAATATTTTAAGGTTTCTGGGTTCCAGAACCGGCTTTTTTCGGTTTGGTTCCAGTCCCTGGTTCAGAGTTTGCGTACAAAACTCTGTCTCGGAGAACTACTTCATAATTATAGATTTGTCTCTAAATAATTATCTACATAATATGAATCTTACAGAACGTATACTCGTATGTTGATTTATTTATGTGTAATTTCAAAAACCAATTGAGAATAACGAAGAAGACGACTATTTGAAGTAATTGTATAGTCTAATTTGCAGTTATTTGACATTTAAAAATAACGATCCTACTCTATTAAATTCATAAATAAAAAAGAATTATATTACGAGTTAGTGGACAATTTTAAATATTTAGGAACTAATGTCAACAATTATAATAATAACAGAGATATTAATAAAGGGCATACACTTTGCCATTAATAAAATGATGAATTTTTCGTCCGAAAACATCGAATGAAAAACTCTACATCTGATATACCTCGATTAAAGAAAAAAATTCGTCAATGCCATTAAAGATTGTTGTACTGTACCAATATATTGCTTAGTATTACTACCAAGAAGTATCTTGTAAAGCGAATATGAGCATGATTAAGGATCACACACTATAATTTTTTTAAAACATGAAAACAATAAATTCCGGTTAGAATAGAAGAAACAATGAACCATTCCGTGTTATCCTATGAAACAACCACGTTCCAAGCTATGATTTTCAGTTGAATTCAGTTGGATCAATATTAATTTATATCATTGTATTATTATTTATTTATTTATCTATATATTACCAAATTTACTAAAATTGATCAATAAATTACCTGGGTATGTTCTTCAGATATAATATTATTAACACTCAAAAACAAATTATATTGTTATATTAAAAAAAAACAAAAAGATAAAAAATTCGAGATACCTATCGATATTTCTTAGATAACTTTTCTCCTTGAATCGATAAGTTTTATTTAAAAGCATCATTCGTTTTTGCACTTAAATAATCGATGTCCTGCCTATATGGCAAGAAATTATGGTGAAGATGGATATATGCGTGAAAAGACCTTAAAGCGCCGTTAAACACATAAAAAAAAATGATTCCCATACTGTCTAAGAACTCATAAGTTATAACAGAATGTTGTTAAAAGCAAAACGAAGGAGTTACGATGTTTGACTGGATAACGGAAGTCTCATATGAAAAAATAAAATTGGCCGAGGAAAAGACCCCGTCAGTTGTCATTGGACAGAGTAAGAGACGATAAGCGGTAAAAAAACCGATTAAATGTAATGCAATATTTTTTTTTACAAGCGTTTAAAGTTTAAAATTTAATAAAAATGCAATAATATCTAGTGAGGTACGGGATATAACAGTTGAGGTACGAAGTTCACCTACTCCATCCTAACCTCCATATAAGTACTAAACTTTAGAAAATGCAGTGTGACATTTACTCGCATGATTCCAAAAATGATGAAAATTCTATCGTAATGTGTAATTTACAAAAAATTCAAGTTCATAATATTCTCGATAATCAATTTTAAAGTATGGAGGCCGCTGCTGACGTAGTGATAATTAGTACAAATATTACAAATTTCATTAGCATAATAATTGTATTGTAAGCTTGAAACAGCCTTGGAAATATGCATAAAAAAAATAAAATACTATTTATAAAACTATTTTCATACTTATAAACTTATCGTAGGCGGATCTACGAAGTGTGCAGTGTGTGCCGTGGCATGTCCTAATGTAAAAATAAAACTAATATATAACAAATAATAATAAAAATTATGTATTTACATTAAATGAATTTGCTTAGTGTTCAAAATAAGTTTCCGAAATAATTATTACATATATTTTAGATTCTGAGTGTAGCGAAGAATGTATTGGTTTTATTAAGATTTTAATTTTTTTTTTTCCTGTATACAAAAATTCGATCATAAATCTTGCTCAGATAAATACTCGCGGCACCATTTCTGAAAGAAAATGTCGTCTAGACGGTACTTTTGAAGGGTCGTTTTTTGATTTTCCAAGCGGTTTTCATAATATCTGGGAAAAACCAGGAGATAAAACGTAAGAAAAACGAGACATTTACGAAAATAGTGCTCTTATTATTTTTCAATTATTTTATTTATTGTAATTCAGTGAAAAATATTCGTAGAAACTTGAAATTTGGGCAGAAAACTTATTTTTGACTTTTTAACTTTGGTAAAATTTTCAGAACATTTGAGCCATTTTTGAGCTATTTATAGACATTTTAATTTTGCGAGTTTTGTGCGTAATTTTTATTCGCTAGGTACTCTGTGGTAAAATTGTTAGACTTTACAGTAATGCTTGGACATTTAATAGGAGGTTCATTAAGAGTCTTATTTTGTGATCAAAATTAGAAAAAATTAGTTGAATGTAGTATTTTTTTTTAAGGTATTTTAATATCAAATACCGACGAAAATCGTTTTGAGTAAAAAATTCTAATTATTAATTTCAATTTTTTTTAACACATATATTTCCGATTTCAAAACGACGGTGAAATCAGAATTGAGCGGACTGACTAAGTTTCAAAATTATAGATTTTTGAAGTTCTGATATTAGCGGATATTGTAGTATGTTATGTTAAATGATTATATATTATACATGTTTGTTATAGCCGAATGGTTAAACATATCTGTTATCATCCTTGGGATTTCGCGTTTAAACCCGTGTCTCGAAAAAATAACTGTTTTCACTTATTTTTCCCTTTTACCTGAACAGTGGAAAAAAAGACATTTTTTGTGTATCTAGAGACTCAGCTATTCCTCGCTCGGACTATTTTAATCGCAAAATACCCCTTGATTTGTTGTGCAATTTATTCTGAGAATCTGAAATCTGAGTGATAAGGTACTTTAGGATGGTCGATTTTCCTAAGAGTTTTCCCAAAAAAGTGAAAAACTGGAAAAAAAAACATGAAAAAACCAAGAAAATCGGTACAATATAAAACAAATGTTATAGAAAATATATAATGCCTGTTTAATTATTTTACTTTAATATGACTTATATATGATATAATGTTGACAAAGCACCACTAACCAATGAACAACGCTCAGAATCGTTTTTTCGTTAGTAATGGTTTATCGTTGCTTACAGTTAGACATTAAATTACTTATAACAGTGGCGGCACCCGTGTTTATTATCCTAGGACGTCTTTTTTACCAATCGTTAATTTATATTATTTACGAAGTATGGATTTTTAGATTTTAAATCACTACATCGTACTTTTTTAGGCCTGTTTCATGTGGACGCGTATCTTATACGCGCACATCATACACTACATTTTGAATTGACATGACTGGAGTCATACAAGATATTGTAGGCTACAACACGATTGAGCAAAATTTCCGGAACCGTGTATATTTTATTAGCCATCGAAATACATACACGATCGCACGAATTTCGCATGTATATCTATATATATATATATACACGATTGCACAAGATTTTAAATGTCATGTTGCCATAACGTATTGGTTATACGTTACCAGTGTACGACATAACAACAGTTAATGAAACAAATGATTGTTTTTACACATTTTAAGATGACCATGGTTATGATCTATAATTGTATAACTGCGTAAATCGACTAATGCTAATTCCTCGTCTCGTTCTGAATTAATTATTTCTATACGCGACCTGATAATATTGATTACGTTTACGAATCGCGTTTACGGAACGCGGTTTGTGATATATGATGTTATGGTAATATATTTATTTATTACATGGCATCGTTGCATTTAAAATCTTGCGCAATCGTATATATATACGAGAAATTTGCACGATCGTGTGTGTGTGTGTATTACGGTGGCTATTAAAATGTACGCGATCGCGCGAATTTCGCTCAATCGTTCTACACCGGTATTGGAATTATTCAATCGGAGTCTCTTCCGTCGCGAAATTCGAAAATATCGGATTATAGTAAAAAGTTTGAAATTACGTCGGGCCTAAATTGTATATTCTGTGACACGTGTACCGCAGACTGTGCCGCGGACACTGGCACAATACTGTTCTGCCCCGGCCTTGTCTCCCAATGTGCGCTAGTACGCTCTGACTAATAGATTACAGAAAACCACGTTGCGTTGCCCTGCGTCGCTGCGTCTCGATGTGCGCCCGGCCTGAAACACGATCGATTGGAATCGCTCGTGTTATTACACGTCGAACAGGAATTAACGGTCAATGTCGAACTCTTCTGAAGCTATAGAAGAATTTGAAAATATCGTGTCATTTCAAAAACGTAAATAGTGAATGGTATACAATAATAGGTATGGTGTTGGTTACCAGACAAGTGTTGAACACGCAAGGTATTTTAACTTTTGTGTATTCTATATACCGGCTAATGGAAAAAAAAAAAAAAAAATGTATAAAGCGAGTGAATTTGCTTATAGTCTCTCCTCTATATGATAGAAAAATAACTACTTATTAGGCTGGACACACTCAAATGTAAAACTCTGTGTCCGCCTATGATAACTGTAATTGATTTTATCAACTATGTTTACTCTCTACCTTTTTTTTTTTTATTCTGAGCCAGTAGGTATTACGGACTTACTAATGACGCGCTAGTGACTGTTATTATTCAAAGTATATTCTTAATCGCAGGATAAAACTCACATTATTAACGATATAAATGGCTAAAAATTAAATGACGTACACCGGTAAGAATGCGTTTACCTATTAATTGTTGTAGAAGATGGGCGAGTGACCTAACAAGGTTCAAACCGGAGTTAAAGACACGAACTATAAAACACGTAGTCCACATTACCATCAAAAAAAAAAAAACTATTTATTATTTTCCATGTGGATTTTGATAAAATAACATTTTCCTAAGTAACTGTTAATTTTATGGTGCGATGAGATTTGATAGTGTTCAGGTTAAAAACAGTGGTTACTCAATATTTAAAATAGAGCTTATGATGCAGGACCTAAAATAAATGAAATTTCGTACTGCAATATTTTATAAATGCATGTCCATTTCAACATCCTAGGATAATATAGGGACGAGTGCAGCCACTAGTATATATAATTTAATGTATATCTGTAAGCAACGATTAACCATTGCTTACGAAAAAACGATTTTGAGTAGAATTCAGTTAATAATGATGTTTTTTCAATAAATTATGTCATTTTATAGTAAAATAATTAAATAGGATTTATATATATTTTTTTAATAATATTTGTTTAACGTTGTACCGATTTTTACAGTTTTTTTTACGCTTTTCCTGTTTCTTTCGGTTTTTCGCATTTGATGAGAAAATTCTTGAGAAAATCGAAAAATGCCCTCCATAAAGTACTTCCCCACGTCGATTTCCTTTCAGAAAAGGTAGTACATTGAGAAATCCAAGCAAGCCTTCTGCTATACTCGTAATTTTAAATGTAAATTCAAATTTTGAAAATATTTATAGCTTATTTATTTTATCACAAGCTTGCTTAAAAAGATAAATCAATTGTGTTGCATTGTATTTTAGATTCTGAGTAGAGCGAAAAATGTATAGGTTTACAGTAATTTTTATTTTTTTTTCTGTGAACAACTTTTATACCAGAAACTTTTATCCAATTTTCAAGTGTAGCACTTTTTTTGATTAGGGTGGTATTTAAGGGAGTTAAATTTTTAATTTTCCCTAATAAACGGCAAAAACCGGAAAAAAACGTAGGATATATTAGTTGGCGTCTAAGATTTTTTATTTTTTTTGGTTTTCTTTGATGAACAAAAGACACAGAAGATGGTTATGCGACCTAAACTTTTAACCCAAATCTAAATTAAAAAATAATATGTTACTACTAACTTGAATAACTAATTTCATAGTTATAATATTGAAAAACTAAAGCCATCGATGCAAAGTGCAGATTCTTTTTTTTTATGGAGAACATTTAGTTTTTTTATAAAGCTCGAGTAACTTTTGTCGACGCTAAACGGTTTCTCTGTAACTATTTTTGTTTATTTCAACGTAATCGTTTTTTGCGTGATTACGCAAAAAATACTTATAATAATGACAAGTGAATTTGAATAAATGTAATATATTATATTGAATTATTTTTTAATACAGTTTTTATTGTTTTTTATGTATGTCAAAAAATTACCTATACGTAAGTTATGTAAAGGTTAGCACGTCCTTGTGTATATTTTATATTTTGAATTAATATACGTAACAAAAAATGCCTATACAATATCCCTTAAGAAATTAAGTATTTTTCTGTATCCATACAATTTTTCTAATTTTCCCTTACTTAAATATAATACAATATTTTCCTGAATAATTCAGGATTGTTAAGGTTTTATATACAAGTTCGGCAACTCACCTTTATCATAATGTAAAAATACCACCAGCGCCATCTATTATAATAATTTCATAGTACGTTTGTTGGAGCAGAGTGCGTATGAACTCGACTATGGAGTGTTACATGTTTTGTATGTATATTACCACGTAGACCCTTAACAAATAACACGGTTTTAACAAAAAGGTGTCTATAAATTCGATAGAATTGTTCAAATGTTACACACTAGTTTTAGATGCGGAGCATAGCCGAAGAAAACAGAATAATACGTAGACAAAATTGGAAAATTTACGAAAATAATATTTTACATTTTTTAAATCTAATAGAGTTAAAAATATTCAATAGACTTGACAATTTGACAGAAAACTTAAATTTTATTTTTCTAGACATGGTAAAATTTCAAAATTTTCATTAATTTTTTAATTAAGTATTTATAGACATTTTAATTTTGCGATTTTTTTTACATAATTTTTATTTGGTTAGCACTCTATGGATAAAACTGTTAGACTAAACAGAAATGCTTGAACATTAAAAGGGAAATTAATTATAATTCGTACTGTCTTTTTTAACCAGTACATCTGATATTTTACCTTAAATATTTTTTAACTGAAAACTTAACTTTAACTGTAACCCATTATTTTTATTTTTTATAAGAGTTTTAAAATATTATAAACACGTCTTTTTAAACATGTATAATCAAACTTGTTTTTCGTTAAGATTATAAACAAAATAACAGACTTTTCACAGTCTTTTACAATACACTTTTTTTTTTTCGGCATAATAGAGAATTATATCTTGAAAACAACGGACCATACTATTATAGTTGAGTTAAATGTAAAAAGTACTGTATACCATTGAAACGTACACAAAAAAATAAAGTAATAATATTAATAACGAGCACGCGTGTACTGTGAAATATAGTATTCTATCATAGACCTAATAGTTATTTACAATCTGTGCATTCTATACATTGCAAGTTAAACTAGATGGCGCACTAAGTCTTTCCGACTGTTATTAAATATGCTTCTGATCAATGGATCAATGATAATGGTTGTGGCGTATAATTAGTTATTTTTTTAATTTCTCAATACAAATTGGGAAAATCTAAATTAGAAAAATAGCTAATACAGGGAACGCGTGTGCCACTGTTTGAAAGTCGGAAGTCGAGAAGGTATAGGATACATAAAGTAATTTGATTTATATCTGCAAGCAACGATAAACCATTGCTTGACGAAAAATCATTCGGAGCGAAGTTCGGTTATATGTGTTTTGAAAGGATATAATATTTACAAATTTAACAAAATGATTTAAATACCAACTCGAAAAGTATTTTAATCAAATACTTTTACTCGAGTACTGTTTTACCGATTGTGACGAAACTTATGAAACAGGTATATTATTATAGTACTATATTATTTTCGGTATGTTTATTTTATTTATTAAAAATAATAATATTGACGATGAATATATAAATTTGAAGTCTCATTAAATCATACAATATATATATATATATATATATATATATATATATATATTAATGTCGAGTTATAATAAAATACGTCTAATAATTGTACGCACTATAGTATAATATTTTGGTAATATTGCATTTAGTATAATATATTTTATACAATATAAAATCATATTAAATATTATATATTGTACATATAGTAATAATAGTAAAAATGAAAAAATAATTCTTAACTCGTACAGTTTAATGAGCATATTATTATTATTATATAAAAACGTAATGTAAAAAATTACATCTAGTATTTGATTATAGTAATAATTAATATTAAATAATATTATGATAATATTATCGATGCGCTGATAAATATTATAACGATCGTGCGGGGCCGATCGACAAATATAAATTCGTTTGTTTGACTTATATTTTACTTTTTGGGAACAACTTAAATAGGTCACGGTGACAATATTTTACGAGTATAAAAAATAATAATATATATATGATGATATTATAATATAATATACGCATTGTGATTATAGCTGCTGTTTGGACGTACTCACCATATTTGATATATATATATATATATATATATATATTGTATAGGTGGCGCACAAACGACGTAATAACTACTGCAGCACAATATAATGCGACAGAAACGGTTAACTTATGGTTTATAAACTATTCGATTTTCTAAAAACACATTGTCATTTGTCCGTAATAATTATCGTTGTAGTGCCACTCGTATATTATCGGATTTTTAGTCGGTTGAACTAACGTAATGCCCCCCGAGCGACGCGCGTTTTATTGCGATTTGGCCTGCATGAGCTTGTTCTTCTTGTACGCCTGTTGGTAGAAATCGAAAAACAGGGCGAAGAAAATGGTCGAGTGCACCAACAGTAGAGCGGCGACAATTTTCGGGTATCCGCAGTCGAAAAACAGTACTTGAGCGGAATGGAAGAACACCAGCGTGAACTGGACCTGCGCGCATAACAGTACAATACGTTTCAATAAAACCGACGTAATACATTGTCATAATTTTCCGTTTATAAAGAATTAGTGTATTTTGATTACATAATACAAATTTAATATCATCATAATACTATACGGACCAGTTGCAGAGTGGTCAGATGCTTTTTCCACCAGAGGTACTTTTGATATTGAGGTCCCATCGCGGACATCATGTAATAAAAGTACATGATCACGTGCACCAAGTTGTTCACCAAGTTTGAAAACGTTCCGTGACCGCCTGAAATAAACAAAAAAAATAATATTGTCATATTTTAATCTATTATTATTATAGTACTGACGAATCATTTTTGTTCCGGAGCGGTTTTTATATTTTTACAAACGGTTTTAAACGGGGAATAAAGCTGGACATATTTCGCACCGTATGTGTAGGCCACTGTTGTAAGAATATTCTATACAGAGCAAAAGATAGACGGAAGATCGACAGAGTGATTATTAGTTTATATAACGTACCGTATGCAACGATAAATAATGGGAAACGAAAATCGATTCTGAGTGGAGTAAGATGAGTCGTGGTTTTTCTCTTGTTGGTAAGGAACCCGGAAATCAACGAAAATCAAATTGGACCTTGAGATGAAATGTTAAACGTTTCGATAAATTGTTTCAAATTACTACTACCGCTAGGAAATTCAACGTCTTTTAGGTATCTACTGCGTGGACAAATCTGAAAATGTTTAGTTGCAAGTAGAAGTCAGACAATTTGTTTACGAAAACGGATTGACGCGAGTCCGTGTGCACCTCAATGTCGGTTTTCTAAAAATCAACCACTAAATTATGGTTCGCACAGAATTACGTAACGAATACTGATTTTTGTTTTTTTGTTGATTTCTGGATCGTCTTGGTGACGCGAATGAAATTAAAAGACAGACAGGAGAGACACTCAGAGACAGCGGGGGAGACTAAATATATTGAATTTATGTTATTGATTTCGATTATTTTACGGGTTTTCGAAAATTCCGCTTTAAAATGGTCAAAAAAAAAAAAAGAAGGGGAATTAAATGGAAACTGCCGAGATAGCTATAGCAATAGTTGATATAAGTTAAATTCAAAATAATATTATCGCGGTTTTTTAATACACTCTTTGCGATTAAAATTAAAATTCAAAATTAAATAAGCGTGCACATATCATGTACACAGTAACACACCGCAACGTACATACATATTATAATAAAGTCAAGTATAATGGTGAAATTATATTTTGACTCCACGACAAGAATTTTGTAAGTGATGATCGAACGCAACGTAATCATGTATGGGTGCACCTACAACAACGGGTATGGTTAGTCGGTATTTGTAGGTAGGTAAACGCGTTAAAAACGCTATAAACCCAATTCCTTAGGGTATTTAAAAATGATTAAATTTCGAGATTTCCTCGCAGGCCGCGGTGTTTACACTCCAACTGGGTCAGCGACTTCGCGGTCCTATAATAATATGACTTTCGCGTATATAGTAGTCGTATAATAATAATAATAATAATAATGTGACTTTCAAATGTTCAAAATATAACATAATACATATTATAGCAATAATTTTGGCGTTTAATAACGTTATAATATTGCGGATAACAACAATTGTTATCGTTGTTACGGATGGCATAATAAAGGTATCATCATAACTGCAGCAATGCTATTAATTTACCTGCGATGAATTTAACGCAAATCCATGTCTCGAGGGGTGTGAGCGAATGATGGTACAAGTGCAACAGACTGATTTGATTGTCTTTTTTCCTCAACACGAAGAACACCTGAAAAACGAACGCGGCGTGTAAAGTGTGGGTAAGTTTAATATGAGTAATGTAATTTGAATTTTTTTATTATCATTATTATTACCGTGTCGACGAATTCGGTCAGTTTGGATATATAGTACCACCAACACAAATTGGCCATCTGTAAAATAAAACGAACGAACAATAACCGGATTTTCAATATTATATCAGATAATAATACACACGCAATGATAGAAACAACAAAAAAAAAAAATAAAAATAAGCTCACCCTCAACGCGGTAGGATTGTGCGAATAATCGACCGGTTGACATTTATAGCTGTAGTCCAGTAACCAACCGCTCATCAAGTGCTGAAAAATTAGTAAAAGAAACAACAAAATTTAATACTGTATAAGTAATATTATGCAATACTATATACGCGAATATCGATATATTATATTATGTTCAAATGTATTATCTGGTCCCAGAGAAGAGAATGTCAATTTCCGTACAGTTTTCAACACGAGCGAGTCAAATGTTGAGAATCGGAATTATAGCATGGCGTTGTTAATTACGGCTAAATTTGTAGGCAATGAATGCGGCATTACAGAGTGACGTATAATATTTTAATTTTCGGTGTAAAATCCGTTAAAATAATAGACATACACTCATGCCATTTAGATTTCTAAATAAAAAGGAACAAATTACATTATTGGTTGGTCGAACTTAAGTACAAAAAAAAAAAACAAAAATTGCCCGAAATCGACTTAGTCCTTGTTTCCCCGGGGACCAAAAAGATACACGTTATAGATACCGAAGACCCCGATTTTTCGGTGAGAAATTCCACGACACTTTGTCACATAACTCTACTAACAATATAATATAATACACCTATGTAGCTCTATAGTTTTGCACCATAGCTCGAGGCGTTCCAGTGGTCGACCGGGTGACATAATAATTATTATTTTATTCATTTTTATTATTATTATTATTATAATTAACGGGTTCTCGGTAATTTTTTTTTTTCTTTTTAATGTTTCGCAATACGTCAAACATTGGCAAAGAACAGCAGTCACTATGTACGTATGTACGTATTTTGCTGCGGTTTGTCAGCGGTAAATTAATGAAACGTACCTATATAATATTCTGCGTGTACTGCCGGTACGCCTAAGTAAACCCATCGCAAAAAAGGGAACGGTTGTGTTATTATTACTATTATTATTATTATATCCTTACACCACGGTGCATGGGCCGAAAAAGTTACAAAATTTCGCAAAAAAACGAAACGTACCGTTACGAAAATTGCTCAAGTCTTATACTGTGTACCTACAATTGTATTATATTTTTAACGATCGATTTAGGTATATAATTTGGCAAACGATTGATTTCACGTAGGCACACGAAAAAAAACTTTTAGCATTTTGAGATGTGTGCGACGAAGCCATAAGTATAGTTTTAATTAAGATATGTTTTTTTTTTTTTTTAATCTCGGAAAACAACTTTTTGGTTATTAAAAAAATTCTCCAAATTTTTCGGTCGGTGTTGGTACTCTAATTGAAAACAATTTTTAGACTCTCGACAGTTTTTCTATAGAATTTAAAATACAAATGTCGATCGATCGATTTTATTTCCGTTGACTTCTAGGCGAAATATTCAGTTTTGGAAAATTAGACAATTGTATGTCCCAATAATTAATTAATGTTATCAGCTAATCTATCTAATCAATTATATATACCGGAAATATTACGCATTTTGAAATATTTCGATTACATCGTTTTTCAAAATAATTGTTCGGTGTACGAAAATCCACGAAAATAAAGAAAATCGTAATTTTTAATAATTATTGTTCGCTACGGACACTTCAAAATAGTTTACACGGTAGATCGTTTTCGATAGGTTTGATGAACCGACGAATATTCCGAAAAACTATTCGAATACATTTCGTTACCATAACCAAATAGTTGAACTATTCGGATATTTTTCGTCTATCAGTAGTACGAACACGCTTAACTATCGAATAGTTAGATAGAAACTATTCGGTTGTGTCCATCGCGAATCATCATTATGCGCCCAAGTACGGGTGCTATGGGCGAATTCGGTCCTAAAGGTTTTTAGGTCATTCCGTGTGATAATATTATTGTTTATTATATACTGAAGTACATAGCATTATATTATAGACAGTCAAAAGATGTATTGTTATCAAATATCAAGGTACATACAAACATATACATATTTTGTTGTGATGGATGGTACAGGAATGTTTTTCTTTTGTCGTTGATTTCGTGTGTTCATATTTTATCGGCAAGGCTATTATAACTATGCAATTATACTGGCAAACAGACGGTAACCGCGGTTATTCGTCGACAAGGACGAAAAAAGGAAAACCGAATTGTGTGTACATTATTAGTGCGTAGAGGTGTGTAATACTATATCTCCTTAAATTTAAAATTATTTTAACGAGGAGAACGACGAACGATGGTCGGGAGCACATCTTAATTGGAATCGAAATAATTTCGTCCCTATTTATTATGATTGTTTTTAAAAGAACCGAAAAACAACGAATTAGGAAATTTGGTAAAAAAAACAAGTCTGAAATTAATATGTATATTTATTTATTAGTAATAATCTATAAAACGAAATTGTCATCTCGTTAAAGAATAGTTTTCTAAAAATAAAATAAAAACCATAATATTATTGTCATATCGTTCAAAAATTTGGTAAGACATCAAAATTTGTGTATTTTATATGATTCGGCATACGATTTAGAATCGGAACCGATACACAGTCGACTATACAATGACGTTTTTTCAAAATTAAAAGAAAACCCTCTACCGATTATTTAGTGTAGTAAAGACGTTCAAAACTCAATAATAGATTGTAATGTTGCGAAAACACATAGAAAAAGAGGCTAGAAACTGTTTGCGCATAAGCCATCCGATATAAGTCGACCCCTACAAAGGTAAAGGGCACTGTATTTCAAATAGTTGTCGGATTCGGAAAATGATAAATTCTGAGTGCAGAGTTTAGAGAAGTAACATTTTCGTTGAAAACCCGCTATAAGTATACAGTCCGTCCTATATTAACTCAGTTGGTACGTATTTTTTTAAGTCGTTGAGCTATTACCGAGAAAAGCGTTCTAAGGATTCCCGATGAGAAAAACCACACAATAAATTATTGTTGTTCATTATTTGAGTAAATATCTAAAAAATGTTCGGGACCATCCGTAATACTGATCGTGTATACTTATGTGTACTGTATTTACTTGACGAGAATTTGATTTTGGAGAACTTTGACTGAGTTTCGGGCACCTCTCTATTTGCACTAATGTTGTTGTTGTAAAAATAGATAAATACTCGCATATTATCGGTTTCGGGGAAGAAGGGTTTGATTAGGTGGTCACAGAGAGGGGGGGGCGAGGAAGGAATCTTTTTTAAAGTTGAAATGAATAGTCTCCTTTAGTTTAAATCTTCAATGTCCGGATGGACGATTTAGTTACTGTTAACGAGACGTTTTTAATGTAGTTTTAAAAACTCAAATAAATTTTATTAAAAATAAATTCCATTAGATTATATATAATCAGACGCCGTTTTACTTTGTTTTAACAGAACGTGCATTTGCGTGAGATATTATTTTAATGGGAGGAGGGGGTGGTTGAAGTTTTTTTTTAACTCTTATTAGTATAACATTTTTATTAATAAACGTGTGTAAAAGAAAAACATTTTGGAAACTTTGTCTCCATTATTTACTGAAAGTTTGGTTAGGTTTAGTTAGTTCACAGGAACGCCCCTCAATTTTCGGATTATACAGGCCCTTAAAAGTTTTTACCACTTTGACCACTGACATAATTTTGTCTATTTGTTTTCTTTATTTTTCTCTCTGAATTTCCATATTCGAATAAACGTTAAACTGATGAATTTAAAATCCCCGAATCTCTACGACATAATATCTTTTGTTTGGTCAAACGCATAAGTCGTATAATTACGTGACACGAACGATTATTTAGAAAACCGTATTTAGGTTGGGCCATTTAGGAATCGCGGCGTCGTTCGTTAGTTTTCGAAATTTCATTCGCTCGTATCGAAAACGATATCACGCGAAGTCGACTCGGGGCCCGTTTTCTCCGGGGGGGGGGAGGGGTGAGCAAAGATGCACGTAGAGCATCGCCGAACCGTAGTAATCCGCCGGTCCGGTAGGTACTCGCGGTGTTACAGCGGCGGCGCAATATTTAGTTTTAGCCGTCGTACACAGCATCGGACGTTCGAAAAATTACCGGATTATCGTTATCTAACAATAATAGGTAGGCGGGCGGGTCGGGCGCGGTGTACGGGCAATAAGAGAGGCGGTCGAAACTGCACGTGGTGGCGCGATTCGAGCCCGTAGGTATACGCCGGCACCAGCTCGATACGTCGTCGTGATCATGACCCCGATGCGGTGACCCGGCGTGGCGTTCGAGTGAAAGTACGCGAGGTGTACACGAGCGCGTTAAAAACGACAAGAAGAAGAAGACGGCGGCGGCGGCGGCGGCGGCGGCGGAGAAGAAGGAAAAAAAAAAAAAAAATGTGATATTATAAAAGGAACGCGGCGAGTCTCGGCGCGGACCGGGCCGGGGTTGGGTCGTGGCGACGGCGGCGGCGGTTGCATCACGCCGAGGACTCGCGTGCGGCGGCGGTCCGGCGGACGGTCGGAGAGGGCCGTTTGTTGCCCGGCCGCGTCGTCGGGTTACGTCACAGCCGGTGGACATGGACGCGGATTTTTGTCGAACGCCGCGCGCGGTGCCGCGCTCGCCGAAAGCGAAACGCACGCGGACGGACGTCGGAGACCGTAACGCGACACGATAACGAGTTTTTCGCTTTTTGTTTTTTTGTTCTTTTTTTTTTTTTGTCCATAATATTCGGGAGTGCCGACACCGCGAAACCGCCACACGCTGCGGCGGGCCGGAGGGGGGGGGGGATTTCTCGTTGTTTTTTTTTCGCCTTTTTTTCCCCCTCTGTCCGAAATTCACACGGAAAAGACAAATAAATAACGCACGCTATCGACGTTTAAACGGAATAACGGTTGATCTCGTAACGGTTTCGCGTGCGAGCCCGCTCTTCAATGTCGACGACGGCGGGGTTCGGAAAGACAAAAAAAAATTTAAAAATTAAAAAACACCCGAATATTCGTACGGACGTCTTCGGGGAAATGGGTCAAGGTCAGATACGTCCACGAACTCCTTGTGCAACCCCGACAATCGCGACCCGGCTTCCCGTAGTCGGTTCAGAATTTCTTCGAGAAAAAACGACGATAATCGGCCGCGTATCAAACGGCACGTCACTATATAGTGGTAATGTCTTACGGTCCCGGGGAAGAAGGGCTCAAGTCGATTTTGAACAGTTCTCGATAAGAGCGAGTTCTTGAATTGTCGACATTGCTGAACGGTTAAATTATTGTTAAATGGACTAAACGCAGGCATTCCGAAAGGTTTTGGTCATCGCATTATTATGCTTTTTTCTCAAACGTGACGCGATAATTCATAGGCGCAACTAAGATAAAAATCCTGGGGGTAGGGGGCTATAGCTTCAAACAAATTTATTTGCTTAGTTTTGAAAATATAATATTGTATTACATTATTGTAATCATAAAAACAAATACAAATAATTATTATAAAACATCAATACATCCAGCTCTATGTATTCGTCGTAACTGGGAGGAGGCTGTTTGGAAAACTAGAGGCACTTATTTCCCCAGGCCCCTCCCCCTCCCCTAGTTGCGCCTATGGTGAGCATTCGTCATCATATACCGGCTTAAGATATTATTACTTTCAATATTCGAAGCGCGTCAGGTAAAATATACACACGGTGGCCGTTTTACCTAAACGCAAACGGGCAGAAGAAAAAAAAAATGCCGACTTAACCGCTGCTTCCCGGGGACCGAAGAAATACGACTGGCGCGCGGTCGGGTCGGACGATTTATTTTCGAAACTTCGTTTACGTATTTGCGTTGTACGCTATACCGTCATTAGTCTCGAGACGGTAAAAGGGGTGGTTACCATGCGAATTCCGGTTTTCGAGACGGACCCGCGCAGCGTTGCGGCGCATAAATAAAGTGTCATTGCGGCGTACCTGTACGACGGCGGATATTTATTATTATTTACTCGTTATAGACATTTATCGAATAGGTCACCGCTTGCACAACCCAATGAGCTATTATTTACGTCAACGGTGTTATTGCAGCGCGTCGGGTATATACGGGCGTTTCGCACACGCTCGCATCTCGGAAATTTCGTTATAACACGCATCACCCGAAGAGGATCCGCTGACCCACTGACGTTTCCAAAACCGTACGGTATACCGTTATTATTATTATCTACCTGTACGGCTGTTCGACTTTCGCGTTGTTTAGCTGATAAAACTTGTTTTGTATTATTATGTTATCGCGCGTGACGCAATGGGATATTCAATATTAACGGCGACGCGCGTTATTTCGCGATTCGACGGTAAACGAAAACCACGCGTACCGGTGCCCGTGCAATACCCGTCAGTAGCCGCGATATCGGAAGGATTGCATTCAGAAGCCGGGGTCTTTTCGACGAGGCCGTCAAAAACGATATTTGTCGAAAACTACTATCCGATATGTCGTTTTGACCACAAAAGACAAACGACAAAATATAGAGATACATAATGCAGATAATACACGGTAGAGATCCACGCGGTTCAAAAGCTTAGCGTATATTTTATAATTGGAAGCATTAACAGGTAACGGAATAATGTATCAGTGCACAACCGAATCGTTTAAATCTGAATTGTTTTTCGAAATATTTAAACAGTTTTTCCGAATAAAACTATTCGGTTAAGTTTGACGCGGCCGTTCTGATCCGGATCGCAGTGCTACAGACCAGGCGACTGGACCGGGAACCGTACCCGAGTCTCCCGCTTGCCGGGTGATCATTCTACCACTGAGCTACTCGTACCTGGCTTCTAACGCTATTACCGCTGGACTTGAACTGTCAAACGTCTCGGGTTATTGGTGGAGTGACCGTGGGCACGGTTGAGAGGACGACGCGACATATGGGGGCCATATCAAATTAGGTGTTCGAATGCAAATTCAGAAGTGTCCTATCACTAAACAAAAATATTAAACGTGTGAAATTATCAAAATTCAAAGTCAACGGTTAAACGAAGAAAATTTTATACTGCTGTGATACCTAGCTGAGGCCCTTGGAGTATTGTGGCCCGCGGTCCAATGCTATTGCTTGGTTCTCCCCTCCCCCCTTAACCCAGGGTTGCTAATAGATATCGTGCTTAAAAGTTGAGATGTACAAGTTATTTTATCAATATTATTATTATTATTATTATGTTGTATTTCTGTAATTGTATTATTTTGTCGTCCTACCTCCCACAGCATGACGAGACTGAAGATGACTTGACCAGCGTTGTACCACACCAGAACATTGTTGAGTTTGAAGGGTTTTCGGTTTGCCATTACTTTAGGCCCTAGGTATGTGACAATGTACAAGTACGTGATCACCATGATGAGTGTCGGGAACGGACTGTCCATCAACGGCCAGTCGTTCACTCGCGGGTCTGTGTCGAAAACGAGAAAAAATATGTTTTTGTTTAATTACAATACCTATATACGAGAGCAAAAATTTGTAATAAGTCTCTCGATAATAAAACGAAAATATAACAATAATTAACATCAATAAATGTATTACCGCTTATAGAGTCCACGAGGTTTATGTATCTGTCGATGGCCATATTCACCAGACCTGACGCCGACGCCATGTTTCATTCGACTCCTGTAAAAAATAATAGTAAAACATCGTGATGTTAAAAAAAAAAAGTTATTTTTATTTTTTTGGTAATTAAAATATATTATAATTTATAATAATAATGAATCGTATGTAATTATTTAGGCTAGGATATCTCAAGCGTAGTCGAATCTCTGCAGCATCAAGGCTCACTAAAGGAAATAATATCGGCTTAGCCGCAAGGTCTTGGTCAGTTTTGTGGTGAGAAGACGAAATATATTGTGTTCTCATTATCTGTACTGTTTCTAGTTAACATTGACCGCAAAACGTTCGAAAGTCGCTACCTGCTTTGTTGAATCCATAATATTATATTAGATAATAGTTATTTTCGCTAATTTTAATTGTTATGCACCAAAAGTTTAGTTTTAATTATACAGGATTTCAGATTTGGTAAGTAAAGTAACCTTCTGATTTATATCGAAATAGATACTACTGATACGAGTGAGGTTAGGTAAATGAAGTAATGCGCAATATTTATAGATATTGTTGTAGAGATTAAGTGCAAATTTCGCACAAAAAATGGTACCAGAAATCAGCAATTTACATTTCAGCAATCAGCAGCGTGGCAACCAAATATTGCGCCCGGTGCGAAGCTTTAAAACGCGCCCTTATGAACTTTGATTTATAAAGAAAATTCAAAACTGATATATTTTTGCAAACTACAATCAAATGGGTGTTTTCATTATCTCATATCTCACTATATCTCACAACTGGTTTTTTTAAATTTCAAATTCGATGTGTATTAATTGATTTTTAACGTAATATTTATTGGTTTATGGGATATCCTTGAGTCCTCTCAGGTATTGCGTTCGGTTTTAGGCACCGCTCATACCCCTTTTATATGACACTACCAACAGTGTTTTGGTAACAAAAAAATGGATACAATTTAAGTACCCATCCTGTTACTTAAATTGGAAATTTTAATAAAACTACGTAGATGAATTTTTAAATAATTTATAGTATAAAAAACGAGTAAAAATAACCGAAATATTATTTATTTATAGATCGGATATCAAAACTGATGTCGTTCGTCTTCCTAAATGAGTATTTTTTTTTTTTTTTTTCATTACGACGACGACCGGCGTTGTTTTTAATTGTGCATTTAAATGCGGTGAAAACGTATCGAAACGTTGTTTTTTTTTTTCATTTTTTTCATCTACGACGCAAAATCATAAGCGCATTGCGTGTTTAAAAACGTGAGGAAAACACGTGAATTAATCATGGAAAAATCCAAAGTCTCATTAAAAACCAAGCTCAGCGTTGCGTTAAGGTCGTCGTTATTATTAAAACAAAGACAAATTATATCATAGTGATAAGGCCATTCTCTCGAAGATGATAATATTTGTTTTTACATAGCTGACCCACACTGCAACAGCATTCAGCAGACCGCCATATGTTATAATACTACCTACTGTCTGTATGATATACCTCATGGTAATAACATTATTATAAACCGTAATACGAAAATTTATATAATTTCATAACGATTATTATTAGGTGCCTCGTACCTAATTCACGGTGCTCACATGTAGGTCGAGGTGCGCGTGTGTATCGATAGAATATTAGGTAGAAACCTATAATTATCGAACATCATTGACGGTTAATATTAATACAACAGTGTTAACAGTCCCGTATAATGTTTATATACATATATAGGCAAGTTTGGACAAATTAACGAACACAATTAACTCGATTAATAGTTCAGTTAAATTAAATGAAATTAACGAATCAACAAATATCAAAAATTGTATTTTCTTATAGATTAATTAACAGTTAGGTTAAAAGTTAATTTGCATTATCAATATTTCGAATACCAGTAAACGGTTTTGTGTACATAAGTGTAATCTAGAATCTGTCCCTCCCAAAAAAAAAAAAAAACAAAAAAGAAACATAAAAACCATGTAAAAATAAATCTACTGGCCGGTACCCATTTAGGGGAAGGAATATAGCCGTTTCACTGACGAAAATGACAACATGGAAAACTTGCACGTCCTGTAAAACGCTATAGTTTAAAAATATTTTTTAAATTTAAAAGAGCAAAACAAGTGGCATTGAATTCCGATTTTTGATTAGTCTGTATGAATATTAAAAAACTATCAAAATTTAAACTTTTTAAATGTTTATTACAATTTATAGAAATTTGCAGTCTGAGTTCGACGTGACTTACGAAAAGTATTTTTCTTTCAAAAAAAATATCGATTTCTAACCATTCTTCGAAAGGTGAGCGTTTTTTCCGCGAGGCAAACTTTTGAACAAAATATATATATGATGGCAAACAGACAGCTTTACAAATTTTAAAAACTTTACTATTTAACTCGTTAAATGGCTTAATTTAAATTAATGACTATACTAGAGTATACAGGTAATGGAACTACTATCGAAACAGTGTAAAGTAACTAAACTAACAATTAAAAAGAAAAATGCACACATCAAATAATGTTTAGTATCTAGTTCGTTGTTCCTGTTCCCGTTCCCTTTTGTGTTTTCTTGCGGAAAATGGGCAATCAGAAATTTCCCGAATCTTTTAGTCATACAAATATTAACCGAGAAAAAATATTATTCCTCCCGACGGGTGCAAATATCTTAAGACCGGCCTACATGGAAGCTAATAAAATAAGGTTAGATCGAAAGTAAGAAGAACCCATCTATGTTTAATCTATACATAGATGGAGCAAACGAAAACTTCGAATATGACACTCGCAGGCATTGGACGAAATGGGCAGACATCGAAACATTTACTGGAATACCTATGCCGCCAATACCAATGAGAGGACAAAATGAGATATGTTGGTGAATAGAATACCCGACTATCGGGAACGAAAATGGATACGAACAAATTTAGATGATACGCAAAAAAGAAAAAAGATTATGTACCCGAGAATTATTACGTAGAGATTCGATTTGAAGCATACTTGAGACCTGTAATTTTCTTTTTAGCTGAAAAACATGTATACGACTCGGCGGTATAATAATCATTGTTTAAGACGTTTTTACTTTTTGAGTAACCCGGCGGGTACAATAATAATATATAGTAATATTATAAAATATTCGCCCTCTAAACGTCACATGGATCGATCGGTACAATAACAAAAAACGTCCTATTACAATAATAATAATAATAATGTTGTTACGACGCGATTTCGATTTGATAGAAATTGCCGGGTATATTGAACCGTTAATCGTTTTTGAATGTTTTTGCAACTCGACGTGTATAATGACATTAGCATTATTAGACTTTCACAATTATTAGGCAATCTAAACCGATTGAATCAAAGAAATAATAGTAATAATAATAATATAAAATAAATGATCGCTGGTACACATGCTCGAGTGCTACCTGTCTGAGATTAGCTCAATATGGATATTATATGAATTCAAATGCATGCCCATACCGCATGCTGCAACGAAAAAGGTCGTACCTTTTATTAGTTTTATTTATTATATTACTTTTTCCCACTTCTAATCTAGTTGTTTTCAAAGCTTTTTTGAAACACGGCACATGAAATTTCCACGAAATAAAAAACTTTATAAGACTTTTTTTATGTAATTTTTTAATTTTTTACCAATTAGATAAGTAAAATCTAAAAAAAAAACAAAGTTAAACGCATATTTTCCATGTAAATTGGTCACAAAAAGGTCACGGCACTAAGGTTAAAAAACACTGTTCTAATCCAATTTCTTTGAACATGTAACGACCTATATTGTGAGCAACGTTGAAAAAGATACGACCTTTTTCGTTGCACGTATACTATTTTAGCCTAAAAGTTTAAAATTTAAAATAAACTTTGTACGAAAACGTCGAAAATATATGTTACGTATTATATGCAACATTTCGAAATTTAATTGGTTTTATGTGGATATATTATATTATTTTTTTTTTTTTAAAGTTCATTGCAAATACCTACTATGGAATTTTTATTAAAAGCACCTAAACGTCTGACAAAAATTGAGGTACTTTCTGTGGTTCGATTTTAAAAATCTATTATTAATTGGTTGAAGCATATTTTTAAATTAACACGTTTTATTTAATTATTTAACATTGAAATTGACAAATCTTTATAATTTGGAAACGTTTAATTCTCGTAAAAGATTTGATAAAATCAATTAAGTGCTTCAATCGATGCAGTCTGTAAGCTTGTCTATGAGTTAAAATATATTTCAAATTTTATAATCGAACTTCTGTAAGTACCAATATTTTTGTCAGTCGTATATAGTTACTTTATGTTCATAAATAATATAAATACTCAATCGTGTAAACCCCCTCTCCTAAATCTTCCTTCTCCTGCGCGTACTACTAGTTGAAATGATGTAAACAAAAATGTACATTTTATATAATGAAATTGTAAACAGGACAGACAATTGCGGAAAACAGGACGTAATTTTTTAAAAATAATCAAATGGTTTTCAGTAAAATTTTTGATTTTTTTTTTAATTAAAAACAAATCATAATTTATCACGTTTGCCGAACAACCAAAAATAATTTTAAAAAAAACCCCCGGTGTGGATCAGTGGATAAAATCCGCCGAACCCTTTGCTTATTATGATTCTTTTCGTTCGATTTTTCTTCGGTTTATGTGTTTTATAAATATTAACGTTTATTTTATAATTATATTTGAACACGGAAGGCGAAACACGGACCACGTAGATGACGCATTTTTAGACCGTACTTCCGCATGTTCCATTGCAGCTAGGTTCAGTTAATCGACTAATGGTCAACTAAATCTCTAAGGTATCGATAAAGGTTATTTGATTAATAACTCAAATAAAAATATGTATTTTATACATTATTATAATTTCTGTTATTAAATATAGTTAAGGTACCTACGCGTTGAGAATTTGTTTTAATAAAAAAAATATAAACTGAAATTAAATTATATGTAGGTAATATATTTACCTTGATACACGATGCTATATCATAATATATACATCGTTAATTATACACTTAGAGTACAGCGCACCGTACCCATTATAAAGATATTGATAGTAAATTATGTCCATTACGAATTTATAATACTATAGATGCGTATAAATCGTTCGTAATTTTAAATTCGCATTTAAAACAAATTACCTCGGGACCGGATCGGATCTGCAATGTCGATAAACTTTAACGACCGAGTTATACAAAATATATAACAAAGTAAATACTATGTAATTATATATTTTTCAAAATATATAGTGCACATAGGAACGATCAGACCATTAATTTTGGGTTCGGCTCATTAATTATGAAATACATGGTTAAAATATTTAGTCATTATTATGAAAAATCTTATTGGGTTTTTTTTTTGGGAGGGGAGGGTGTTAATTTTATCCTGGAGAGATGTTCTATTGAACCTCTAGCACCCCTCTAGTTGCGCTTAAGCTCGAGATGTTATTGTGATTATATTATGCAGTTTCCTCGTGTCTATCATAATATTATTTTATAGAGATTAGAACTGTTGATTAGGTACCGACCAAAAGTAACGACGAACCCGATTGGCGTTTTAACACAATTTTCACCGAAGATTACAATATTGAAATTACTTACCTACATATTTGTACGCAAAATAGCCTCGGGAATTTTTATTGACCGCCGTAAAAATCGATAAACCAATATTTAACGGGTATACAGACTTAAATCCGCGCGGAGAAACTTTTAATTTTTTTTTTTTCTGAGTTTATATTCGCTTAAAATAAAGAATATCTTCAAGGTTCTCGTGTGATGTGCTGCAGATACGAGGTTCCAGGGTTATTTAAGGTTCTCTGGAATCACCGTCGGCATTTACGATTTTTTTTTTTTTTTTTGTGGTTTTCGCGTGTACATAATACAAGTAATATGAATATAATACCTTCGCACTGCAAAATAAACAATTACCTACGCTCCTTCCTCATCCTCATCCTATAGTCTCCCTCGCCCTCAGCCGGAGTCTGCTCGAAACCTTTCACCGTCGGACGATATACCTATACGGTTCGCAACGGCAACAATAATATTATTATCATTATCTTCGGCAGAATGTCATAATAGAAAAAAAAAAAATGTAGGTTTACAGCATTATCGTCCGACGGTGACAATATTATCGTTTTCGTATATTTATAATATGATTCATCGGCGGCATTTCTATGGCCGCGAATACCACTTTTAATTCGTAATTTTTTTTTTTTTTTTTTTTTGCCACGTTTTATGCGATAATTGCGCGGGACGAAATATCGACAGTTACCGTACGACGACGAATTTTTTCTCTCGAAACACGTAACGCTGGACGAAATCCGTATAGGTACACGCGTGGATTATAATAACATTATAATATATTCGAAATCCGCATAAACGGCTAGTTAAATAATAATATTATTACACTTGCGGGTACCCACTTAAAGTTGAATAACATGACACGCGAGACTCGGTAAACTAGTTTAAAAAATAATATATTGTACGCGCGTATAATATATTGACCCAGTGCGCGAGTTTTATGTATTAAAAAAAAAAAAAAAAACATACATAAAACGATTATGTAATTTTTAATGTATACAACTCGTTGTATACTTTTTATCGTAACATTCTCTTATATCTACACAGACATCGCGGCATACAGTCGCCGAGACTTATGTTCCGTTCTGATCCGGTGCGTACGCCGTGTTATTGTGTATTGTACAGCCACGTAAACGGAACTCAAAACACGAAACCCGTAGGTATATGGGTTATACTCGAGATACGAAATTCGCAAGATTATTATTATTATTTTTTTTTTTCAACTATAAATCGTCCGTTTTATTCGTTACCGCGTTTGTGCGTATTAATAATGGGTATATTAGATATGTAAATGACAGAAAAAATAAAAAAAACGAATTCGTCAACTCGACTGAGCCAGGATTTATGTATTATAAATAATATGACGTACAGATCGGACGAAAATCGGGAATAATTTTCTCATTTAGAAATATTATGGTGATAATTTATCACGACAATAACTGATAAATAACACGGACAAATTATATTTTTATTTACCTGCTGTCTCGTTGATGATGATGCGGGCGGGCAGACGAGGGTTCGAAGTTCTTGGCGCGGACGGTCGTTGCAGGTGTTCGCGCCGGTCTCGCACCCGATGATATTGTAAATATAGGAGGTATATAGTCGAGACGATCAAAGTTTTTTTTGCGTAGTACACCACTCGTCTTCACCGATCACGATAATAATTGCAGCCGCGGAAACATACGACACACGCATAATAATAATAATAATAATGTATATAATATTCGATTTAAACACACTCGTATATAGTGGACTTAATATATATATATATATATATATATATACAAAAAAAAAAAAAAAAAAAAAAAAAAAAAAAACAATGATAAAGTAACGAAGCGAGGAATAAATAATAAAATAAGAACAAAAATGCAGAAAGATGATGAGGGGTAAAATGTACGATGCGATGAGCCCGCAGCGTCAGACTGGATCGGGTTTTGTGAATTCGAGCTGCTCGCGGACTGTCGACGGCAGAAATGAAAGTGAAAAAAAAATAAAAATAATGTAAAATAAATATATACGGTTATTGCAACATAATAAGAGGCATGTGTCCGTCCATTCGCCGGTTATATACTCGCGTAGTCCGCACAAGCTTCCCCACCAAAGATAAAATATCTGCAGGTATGCGTAAGCTCGCGCCTGCTTACATAGGTACCGCTGGCATAATTTGTTTTGAGGGTCAAAACTATAGGATGAGTTGAAATCGATCCCCTCTTTCTCTTTCGTTTCTCTCTCTTTCTCTCATCTCTCTCTCTCTTTCTTTCTCCAAATCGACGGCATAGTATTCGCGGTTTACACACACACACATCAAATAATAGTAATTATTGACCTTTACTTTGCACTTGACTTCTTTTTCGTGTCGTAGTATTGCTGTCCAAAAAAAATCACCTTGGTTATAATATGATGTTACAGAGTGGTAGTGTGATGAAAATAACACTAACCCAATCGTGGATCGTTCTTTAAGAAATATTCTAGATTTTATGAGTATATTATATGAGGTAACTGCAAAGGGTTTAGATCATTTCGCATCATTTCTTTACAAAAAAAAAAAAAAAAAAAAAAAAAACAACAAAGAACTGAATGCTTATTGGTGTAACTCCAGTATAAGTATGTAGCCTAATTATAGAGTTTCGGAGCCTATTGTATTGTTTAGATTTTCAAATTCTATGATTCACTAATAGGTTTTTTTTTTCTGTCCAAAACACTTACTCCAATCATTAACTTCAAGTCCTTCAAGGGTGATTTCTGGTAATAAATTTTGTCTTATCAGTACTAATTGTATGATTTTCCTTGTATTTTGCTTAATGCTGTTTTACGGTTAGGATTTTGTACTTTTAACTTGTATATGATATATAACTCTTAATTACCATAGATACCTTCCCAACTTTCCATCTATACAGCAGTGATCTACATCATAGTCAGGAAAGTTCTAAATCAGTGTGTAACTTGTTGTTTAGAAAATAAATATACTCGATATTAGTATGATTTTCGATAGTATTGTATAATTCATCCGTTATACACAAGCTTTGAAAAAAAACTATTTTGTTTACTAAATATGTAAAATTAAGCTAAATCTATTTTGGATACCTACTTGTTTTTATCTGAATTTCTTATAATTTTTTGCAGTATTATTTTCTTGCGTCAATTAGTTAAACGAGACCGGTCACTAATGCAAAGGTCGAGAAACGGTAAATTTTGTTCGTCGAAAAGCATTTAATTAATATAATAAATTTTGTCGTTTGCGTATACCCGTAGAACGTAAATACATGCAGTATACAAGTATCAGGCGCCGTATAAAAACACAACACTTAATATGTCATTTTTTTTAATTTTTTTTTTTTTGATTGGCACGTACCTATTGAAATAATAATCATTCAATTCGAAGGTGTCGTGAGCCGTGACGTGTTGAAAATTTAAAACTATACGCCTACCTATTGAAAACAAATTAAATGTTAAGTGCAAATATTATATTCGTTGTTGTAGTGTACGATAATAATTATATCATTTATCCCATCTTATTTATATAATTCGACGGCGGAAATGAAAAAGGGCGTAAGCGACATTTTGACGAAAATCGGTTTTAACATTAAGGCGTAAGCATGTACGTGAAGTTGGCTCTCCCGACTTTGTCATAGGGACCTCAAAACTGAACCAATATTTAGCAATAATTTTGCAACCTTTAGCAACTAGCATTAAAAAATGTGCGATCTAATTCTTTGCCGCCAAAATAGATATTTTAAAACCAGGGGGCCAAACTAACCTAGCCCCCCGACTTTGTCCTAAATCCTTATCTCAAATTAGGTTTCATGTTCTTGTATCTAACTCCAGAAATAAATCATATGTTTAAGTCCCCTAAAAATTACTTTAACGACAGTCTAATATGTCGTTTACCTACTTCTTGTAATGATATGATTTAAAGAATTTTCAAATTTAAAGTGTTTTTATTGGATAAAACCAATTTTATTTTTTGTATCAATGTGAAAATATGTAAACAATTATTGAATCTTTATTCCTTGCAGGTGTTAAAATATTAAATAAATACAATCTACGAGCAATTTTGAGCATTTGCTTATCAAAATATAAAACGTAAAATTATTTCGATAATAAATTATATATTAAATTTTTTTCACACGGGCCACTTTGGACATGTCACTAATGAAAACTGATAATATCGCATTGTTTTATATTGATGATTTCACACGATATGGCTCCATGAAAATGTAGTAACACAGACGCGTTTAATGGTCGGTCACCGCTAAAAGTATCTCTGCATTATATGTCACCACGGACAGAGATAGTGAGATACATAGGAAATAATAAGTACGCGCTTTCATATGGAACACGAAACAAACAACCAAGTGCACCTTAAACCAGGACATACTTAAACCAATGGAATTATTTTTTAGCACTCATTAACCGAAATGCTAGTACGGCGGACATTCGTCTTCTGCTGTTATCATTAATCTATAATTACTAATCATATCGCCATTTTATCATATTACCGATAGGAAATTATTTTGTCCGAGTATTTAATTTATTTTGTAATTTATGTAGGTACTACATAGTTATAATAGTTTAAAAACTATTCATTGTCATTTTTGAGAACATTAAAAGTGGTATACTGGTATAACTTACCTGATGGTATCTAACGAACGGTGTTAAGTGAGTGAACCCAAAAAATAGTTTATTTTTTTTTTGCGTAAGCGTAACACTGGGCGCTATTGACATACCATTTCCAATGTCCATCGTGATACTAACCTTTTTTCCATCAGACTCCGCACCACAAAGGGAGCGATATCATTTCAATGATAATTTCAGATAAAAACTAATTGGCACCATGTCTAGTAAAATAAAGTTTATGTTATTTGTGGCGACTGTATGAAAAGTGGAAACCATACGGATTTCGTTGCGCCGTGGTGTCTTTTCTGCGGTGACACGTAAAGTGGCCCGTGTGAGACGAGTCTTAATCGAATGTTTTCCGATTCAAACATATTGACAAACCGGACGTGTGTATAGAAAAATATTAATGTAACGCCGCAATATAAGCGTATTTATTTGATTTCAAAACAGTTTTTTTTTTCTTTTTTTTTACAAATATTTATCAATATTAATTTATGTAGCTATTACATGATAGATTTTATGACACAGTATACAAATTCTCCGGAATATTTCGAAGATATTAATTTCATTTTGAATAGAAATAAAGATAAAGTCATTACTATATAATAATATAATCGTATAGGCATCATACAAAACGGATTCGATTAAAACAGCAATAATATTAATATATATATTATATATTATATTGTATTATTATATCGCGTTGGTCTATTGATTATACGCGTTTTGTCATTGAAATATTGTAATATAACAAATAATTATTATTAGTATTACATTGTTCATATAATATACACATTTAATGAAATACATATTTCAATACGATCAATAGATCGCTAATAATGTAGCCAATTATTATTTGAAGTAACGCGGCGTTGACGTTAAGTATTTTTGTACAGTAGGCCCTCGGAGACGATCGCCACGTCAAGCTGTTTTACACGGGTACCCTGCAGTGGGCGAGCAGCGATATTATCTCAGTGTAGATTAGCCAACTTTATACAATTTTTTTTTTTTTTGTCACGGTCAACTATCGCCGATTAAAACCGACGACGAAAACACATAATAATAATAATTTCCGATCGAACAGTTGCCTAGAATATAATATAGCCGAGTCCGATGACAGGACATCGAAATGATATGTAATTTATACGTAACTTAACACAAAAAATAGAGCGAAAAAATATTTTTTTATTTTTACAAATATCAAATGGGAAATAGAATATATAAACCGATCGTTAATATTATATTATATTATACAGTGAATCCGAACGAAGTATAGAAATCGGTCGTTCGAGTATTTATTGAAGAAGTTTCTAGGGATAGAGGGGAGGTCACAACATGCCAAAGTTTCTAATATCCATACTGTATTAAATGAAAAAAAAAGTTGCCAAGAAGTATAGGAAATAATTTATTCCATTTGTTGACGATAATTTTGTATTTTATTTGAATGTATATTACATTATAATATCACTGTTCAAACTGTAAATTAGTAAAATCCGTTATTTTATAGTTGCAAATAAATATACAATTTTAAATTTAAGTTCCAGTAGGCATACGAAATTTTTTCTGTGAGGTAGAGGAATTCACCTTTTAGTTGACAGTATCACTCTCCCTGTGGGAGGGGATCAGAATACCTCTAAGGCAATTTTACCTTTCGTAAAAGACAACAAATATGGTGGCGTCTACAACTGGTATAAAAGTCTATCAAACAGGACGAGGAGTACTAAATTTTGGTGGATTGTTCCTTTTCGGAAGTATGTGGAGGTATAAGAGGTCAGAAGAATTTATGTTGCTAGAGACCGAGGAGTTACATGTAGCATTGGATGAAGTTACGAAAGGAATACTAGGCAAGGAACCATGATGTTTTACAAATGCTATAATATGAATATTTGAAAATCTGGAAAAAGTTAACAATCAGCAGAGATAAAAATGTTTAAGTGGATGAGTGCCGAGTGGAGTGGCGAGAAAATATAGGATAAGAAATCAGTATACATTACACAAGACGTAATTTTGACGTAAATTTGGTAGAAGATAAGATGAGGGAAATAGATTGAAATGGTTTAAGCACGTCAGCAGTAAACATTTTAATGACAATAAACGTATTAAGAAAGAGGAGGGAGAGGACCGAAAAAGAGGTGATTGGATGCGATTAAAAATGATATGATAACGTTAAGTGTATACCAGGACGATATGGGGATAGGGTCATAATGTGGAAGTTTAAGACGAAGGTGCCTGAATCTAAATATTTAACTCCAGTACTCTATTTTACTTGAATACTTGACTTTTGAACTCAACACGACTCGACAACATAAATACTTGATTCGTCTCGATTAGATTTTAAAATTCCAAAACTCGCCCAATTTTTATTATTATTAATGATTAAAAGTTGAATATGTAAGATAAATATTATC